GTAGTGAAATGCGGCAGCATCGGTGGCCTGCTTATTTTGGTCACGAATAAAGTAATCCGGATCAGATTCATTCGTCATCATAAACGCCTCCTCCAGCGTTTGTGACTGCATATCAGGTTGACGTCCTCGCCCATGAAAGATAGAGCCAAGGGTATTGCCACTGGTAATTTCACCAGGAAGGAAAAAGTTATGTTTTCCCACACGGTGGGCACAATCTCGGTACGCCCCGGAGATATCCCCAAGAGCATCGACGGTAGCCTGTATAGCTTTGTCGTAGCGAAAGCCGTCGATGTCGAAAGAGGCGATGATCATACAGGAATGACGAATAAGTCTCTCTCTGACACTAGGCACCCATTCACGTAACCGATCTTGCACGGAGGCAAATTTAGCGAGCTCTCGTTGCCAATCAGGATAGACACCAAATGCCTCAATGTCACCATATTGATCAAAGTCACTGTCGTAGCACCCTTCAAGCTCATAGTTGACCCACTCGTCCACGGGGTACCCGGTCTCATTCCAAAACCGAGGATATTCACATGTCTCATTGTAGGAGTTTCCATATCGGAAATCAACATATTGACGATCAGATTTCCAGGAAGCCTTGTGCTCTTTGATTGAAAATGGGGTGGTTGTATTCATGTACCCTTCAAAACCAATGAGGTCTCCCATGCTAGTGCTGTTAGATACTTGTGACACACTGAGAGAAGATGGAGACTTACGTTGAGACAGTGTTGTCAAAAATGACATACATGCCGCGGTTGTGAATCTCCGTGATAGCTGCTCTCCATGTTTGAATTGTCCCAAAATGCTGGTCGAGCAGAGTAGTGTCAAGCGCCGAGTAGCCATCAGATCCCCATGGCTGGTTCATCAATACCAAACCTGCGAGATAAAGCCCCTAAGGATTCGATTTTTAGTTAACATCTGATATACATTCAAGGTCCACTTGTAAAGCCAACCTTGATGCCCATTCCTTGTAGGTAGTCCAAAGTGTCCAGTAGGCCAGCCACATCACCTCCGTGTCGCATTTGGTTTGAATTGATGTCATGTTCAAAGAGTGTCGCATTTACATTGTCGTTTGTTGGATCACCGTTCACAAATCGGTCAAGGAAAAGGGTATATACAGGAAAACGCCAATTTTCTGGAGAAGGAAAATAGGTGTGGTCGGGCCATTCTCCCCAGTAGTCCAAGGGATTGGTCGCTGTTTGGTTCTCGTTGATGTTATAAGCAGCCAGAGTCTCATCGTAGGGCCAACTAATTCCTGTGGCTGCGAGAAAAGCGAGCACTGGGATTGTATATTTCCAATTCATGGTCGACAAACAATGTGGTAAGCCGCTTCAAAGAAACTTAGGATGGTAGCATGTGTCGAATATGACGAAGAGCGAGGGAAAGACCGTTGATCCGACTGGAGCTCCTGGTAAACAGCCACTATGTCTCACCGTTTCCAATTAGCAGGTTTGATAACTTTTTTTTGAAAGGATACGAGGAAGATGCTCGTGTACCAGACTGGTACCGATGGCAAACCAAGTCCTCTCATCCAGGTATTCCGAAAAGTAAATATACTAACAGGGCAAAGATAAGCAACAGTCTGCTTTTTCGGAAAGTCACAGGGGCTGAGAAAGGGTGGTGAATTGACGACGAGTGAAAAGGACTAGTATTAAAGACACACTTCAAGCATTTTCTGTCAAGTATAATATGGTCAATAGTCATCCGATCTATGGGAGCTCTCCTAAGTAAAAAAAGGGGGAGAAGAATGGAAACCGAGAGTCGCGGAATGGTTAATAGAAATAAGAGAAACCTGGAAATGTTTGAGAGATAGTAGAGCACTACCAACGGTGGTAAGATCACTCGATGTAGTTCAAAGTGAGTATGATACTCCACAATCTACTTCTTCCAATAAAGTCTCCTGATGGTCTTTCTAGTTCCCAAGACAAGTCATGAGCTACTTGGTCATTCAGCCTTGAGGCTCGGAATGAACGGTCGAAGCCGAAGACGCAGCTGATAGGAGGCAAAGAGACGCAAGTACACGGATCTATGTCCGCGCGTTGATTGACATGCTATTTACCGCTGTGTGCTATTTACAGAAACTATATGAACTCAGGTAACGAAGATCTATGTCTTACGAGGAGTCACCATCGCTCAGGTTTCAAGCAATACCCATATTTCTTTGCATGGGACGGCCGTCATGGAATGGTCGTGGCTCGACGAGGCTAAGGAGCAATCCATGCATTGCAGGTATCACGGCAATTAGGTGAGACTACCTTGCGGATGGTGTGCAGAGGAGCGGGGAGCCCGAGCAGCATGAAATACACATCCAGTCTTATATCGGCCCAATTGAAACTTCGACGGTAGACAAACTAGGCTAATTTTTCTCCCAGAGTACTTTAGTTCAAGTAAATACCCGAGTCATATATCATTGATATCGAACCATCGACGCGGTCTCGACCATTGCTCCCAGGGTTCTGGGTGTATGATGGAGGTAACAGTTGCAGCAGATATTCCGTCTAACGCGCACCAACTCTAAAATCATGTCTATCAGGGAGATTGAAGGTTAGATCGGCGGTGAATGTATACAAAAACAGTTATTTTCATTTCCTATTGGGGTAGGCGTACATTTCCAAAGTTGTTATTCGGCCTGCATAGAGGTATGGAGTACACACGTATACAAGATCCGAGCCTCCCTGTACCCTGTACTTTGCACTGATTTATATGGACTGCCATTTTTTGTTACTATCACTAGTCTATCCTAAAAAAAAGGTTGAGTCGCTTTAACAGGTGTTCAAGTCACTACCAGGAGACCTTGGCCGTTGAAACTTCTGAAACACTAATCGTCCTAAACAAGGAAAAATGAATACATACTGCATTTACCAAATGTAACCTAACGTCCATCGTGGACACCGGGGTCACCGGTTGTTCTAGAATTAGCCTGCTATCCTAGCTTTTTCTAGGAGGACAGCAGTTAAAGCAATATAGGATTGATGTACTTACTAACTGTGTGTTTATCATTGATAGATCTACCGCTCTGCCAATGTATCACAAGTAGTATGTCACGCTACTGAGATTTGATATGAATTTGAGATAATTAAGTGGCTGATTAGAACCTGGTTAATTGAAAGATGATATGTGAAGCTGGATTAGGGCCACATAGTGATGTTCCTATGTAGTAGAGTCAAAGAGCACACAGGGTAACACCATGTCACCTGTAATTCACGGTGTGAAAAGGGTCGTGGGTTTAGGTGTATTCACTAACTACACCAACAAGCTCTACAGAGGATTATGCTTGCTCTAGTGTACAAAATGGAACAATATGGTGAGTTTTTATTAAATAATGTCATGGTTTTATACTTAGGTGACATACCCTCTACAAACATAGAGAAGGTTGCAATATAAAATACTCCAAACCCTAACTTTACTAAAAGCTGCCATACAATGGCCCTAAACTTACTAATCAGATATCAAAAGATGTTATGTTTAGTCACTTGGTTTATTATACAATTGATCTTTGAATCATGTTCCAAATGTATTTCCTTGTTTCAGAGGCAAGATGGCTGCCTTGAAGAAACTAATGCTATGTCGCTGGGAGCAGTAATATTAATTCCCTTTCGTTAATAATTGAGGGGAAAAATGCCATAAATGGATCTTCGTGCTCTATAGAGACATATAAGAACGAGACCCTTCGCTATTTAATTTGTTGGTTACTTGGAGGGTTGGCATTGCTGGGGTTTGAAGGCTTCTGCCACTCGAATAGAACCTGGGCATTGGTTGGAAATATATACCCTCAAAATCGGAGCTAGCTGAGCAATAATTGTTTTTGCTCTCAAATGAGATGGAATAACCGAGTAGCCTCGATTCTACCTCCGGTCCCACGCTGCTACTCTTTGTGGAACGCAGGCAGCCATTGGGATATCACCGGAAGCTGCCGTGTATTAGGGGTATACACAGCACACACTAGATGTCTCATCTAGGATCTGAGGGAATCTTGGAAGATTGCGTAGATAAACCTGAGTATTTCGAGATTATCCAGATTCAATTTAGCGTATAGATCTGATGCTTATGAGTCCAAACTTAGATATATACATATACTCGGTGATTGTCCTCAATCTTGTTCTAGATTATAGCTGTGTAAAACAAACAAACAACTAACCCATTACATGCCTATTGAATTTTCTACCTTTCGGAATTACTATACACTGTGCTAGAGTATGTCCCACTAGGTACTGATCAAGTGATGAACTTGATAGATAAATATTGCTCGAGCGCAGCATCTGCTATATACATCTCTCTACATATATACTGCCAAATTCGTTCTGAATGAGGTACTTGTGCTGCTTTTTGTGCGCAGTGTCAAACACAATCTAGCACCGGCACCGTCTGCCGTGCTGTGTGTCGCTTCCCGCGCCATATCGATTACCACTACTGGCTTGCCAAGGTACCTAAATCCAGACTATCCATCTTTTCGATTTCATGTGGAACATTGTTTTGCTCACAGGGCTTCCAGCGTCGAAGTAAAACTAGTCAGTTCAGGGGGTGTGGTGGAATACAACATAGGCAGAAGTACTCAGAGGGTGAAAAATGCACTTGGTTATCAATACGTTCAACTAGATAATCAGCAAGATCGGAGGCCTACGCAGCTCCGTGTCTCCCGATTGGGGTATATATCAAATTTTCTATTGTCGGATTGAGCACCGGTCTCGCCTGTTTGCTAGGAACCTTCGTGGGCGATCCCAAAAACAAAAATGCAAGTATATTTGCTTGCCTATTATATCATGTTGTTTCAAGATGGGCAAATGGGGAAGCCATTTGCTAGCTGGTCTAAAGTGGATGGTTGCATCAATTATCGAGGACAAATCAAATAGTCCCTGTAAGAATGTGTCCATTTCCTGTGTGGATATGGGTATTGTTTAAGTAATAATATTTTCAGGGTAACTCCAAAATATCCTGGTATCCATCCTGTCTTTCTTCATACATCATGTCTTGATTTGGCGAATTTCACAAGCCGATGTCTACTGGGCACCGTAGCGCTCACGGTAATCCTTCAAGCGCTGGATCTCACCAGCGCCAATGCTATCACCCAGCTTCTCAATCAAGTCGTGGAGACCAATGACAGACCGAATGGGGATCTTACCACCGAGATCACGTTGGGCAACACCGATGGCGCTCTTGGACTCGGTATCGCTAACGCGTTCCTCCCGATCCAGCAGGACAACGACACCAGCGACGATACCACCTTCCTTCTCAATGATACCGACAGCCTCACGGAGTGCAGTGCCAGCAGTGATGACATCGTCCACAATGACGACCCGCTTGCCCTTGAGCGGGGCACCGACAATGTTTCCACCCTCGCCGTGGGCCTTGGCCTCCTTGCGGTTGAAGGAGTAGCTCACATTGTCCCAGGTGTTCTTCCCAGATAGGGAGTCCCGCACAGCGAGCTCGTTGGTGACAGATGCGCAAATGGGGATACCCTTGTATGCGGGTCCGAAGATAATGTCGAAGTTGGGCTGAGCGGTGCCGTCGGCGTTGGTGGTGACAAAAGGCTCGGCGGAGAGAACACTAGCGTAGGCTGCAGAGGATGCGCGCAGCAAAGGTGCAGTGTGCAGGAGGGAAGAGGTGAAGAAGTAGGGCGATTCACGGCCGGACTTCAAGACGTAGGTGCCGAACGAGAGGACATTGTTGGAGATGAGGAGGGGAAGGAGGGTGGACTTGTAGTCCTGATCAGCAGATGGAGGAGGAACAGTCGACATTTTGGTGAAGTGGAGGGATTGTAAGGTAATTATCCAAGAGTGGTCCAAGAGTGTCCAAGGTCAAAGTGCAAATCCCAGCCAAGTCGGGAAAATTTTGCCGGAACTTTCTTTCCCATGGAGGGGCAGGCGGTAAGGCTTCAATTATTGCGCCATAGAAGGTCTAAGCAAGTCATTTCCACTATAAAAGTACCATTGGCAGTCATTTTCTAATATCAAAAGAGATAAAAATGAAGATATCACATATAATTTCCTATACTGCGTACTTTTACTTCACTTTTCCACTTAAATTTCCTATAACTCCCCTTTTAAGAAACAAAACACGTGCCTCCGATGGCCGGCCTTCCCCGCCAAATGTTGTCCCCCAAAATGTTCCGCTCACCGGATTTCTCAATTCCTCTCCTTCACTCTCCTTGGAGCCTCACAATTCCTTTTCGCACTTTTTTTTTAATTTCATTTTTGTGTGTTTTATCCATTTGTTCCCCTTCATTCCTAGGTTCTGGACATTTAGGTGTCACAGTACACAGGGATTGTGCCCAGGTTCTCAGCAGAAGTGGCCTGTCTCATCTGCACAGATATTCCAGTTTCACAAACAATCTAATTAATTATTGCCAGCCCTCGGTATGTTTGTTCCAGAGCCCAAATACAAGTCTTTGATGGAATCGATGGCCCCTTAGCACACTGTGGTATGCTTACAAAGACTAGATTTAACCCGACAAGATGCATATCCGAGAGAAGCTTGCTAAAAATGAGGCGGAGGGAAAGACGGGAATCTCCTTTGAGTTCTTCCCTCCCAAAACTGCCCAGGGTGTACAGAATCTTTACGACCGAATGGACCGCATGCATGGATTGGGTCCTTCATTCATCGATATCACCTGGGGTGCTGGTGGTCGCTTATCGGATCTGACTTGCGAGATGGTCAGTGTGGCACAATCGGTATATGGCTTGGAGACCTGCATGCACTTGACTTGCACGGATATGCCCTTGGAGAAAGTTGACCAAGCGCTCCAAGCCGCCTACAAAGCTGGCTGCACCAATATTTTGGCTCTTCGAGGAGACCCACCGCGAGACAAGGAGACATGGGAGGCTGCAGAAAATGGATTCCGCTATGCGAAGGATCTAGTGAAATATATCCGGAACAAATATGGCAACCACTTCGATATTGGTGTGGGTGGCTACCCCGAGGGTGCCGATGACAACACCGATGTGGACCAATTGATCGATCACTTGAAGGAGAAGGTTGATGCTGGCAGCTCTTTTGTGGTCACTCAAATGTTCTACGATGCGGAGAACTTCATCGAATGGTTGAAGAAGTGCCGCGCCAAGGGCATCACTGTCCCCATCATTCCCGGTATCATGCCCATTCAGACATACGCTTCTTTCATTCGTCGATCCAACTGGACCAAGGTCAAAGTGCCCCCTCAGTGGATGGAGGCCCTTGAGCCGGTCAAGAACGACGATTCCGCAGTTCGCGATATCGGAAAAACTCTGATCGCGGATATGTGTAGAAAGCTGGTCGCTGCTGGTATCAAGCACTTGCATTTGTAAGTTTGCTCCACTAATCCCTCAATCCTACTATCCCGACATATCCTAACAAATTGCTTAGCTATACTATGAACCTGGCTCAGGCGACTCAGTTGGTTCTCAAAGAGCTCGACCTTTCCCCGTCGGATGAGTCCCCAATTCAACGCGCGCTTCCTTGGCGGCCCTCCCTTGGCCTCGGCCGAAGGACAGAAGATGTGCGACCGGTGTTCTGGCGCAACCGGAACTCATCATACGTTGCTCGTACCCAGACATGGGATGAGTACCCTAACGGTCGCTGGACCGATTCCCGGTCACCTGCGTTTGGTGAACTCGACGCTTACGGTGTGGGCCTGAAGGGAACAAACGAGCAGAACATCAAACTCTGGGGCGAGCCAAAATCGATCAAGGATATATCAGATATCTTTGTGAGTTTCTTGACTGGCAAGCTTGACCGACTGCCGTGGAGTGACTCGCCAATCACGACCGAAGCAAATGATATTCAGGAGGACTTGCTCAAACTAAACCAGCGCGGATTCCTGACAATCAACTCTCAGCCCGCTGTTAATGGAGTCAAGTCGTCTCATCCTGTGTACGGATGGGGCCCCAAGAACGGTTTCGTCTACCAGAAAGCCTACCTTGAGCTTCTTGTCCCCTCCAACTTGGTCGATGAGCTCATCACTCGCATCGAGAAGAACGATGACTTGACCTACCACGCCACCAACAAGAAGGGTGAGCTCAAGACCAACACACGTGATAGCCCCAACGCCCTCACCTGGGGTATCTTCGCTGGACGAGAGATCATCCAGCCCACAATTGTCGAGACAGTCAGTTTCCTCGCCTGGAAGGATGAGGCATACCTCTTGGGCGAGCACTGGTCTAAGTGTCACGATGCAGCCAGCCCTAGTCGCAAGCTGATTCAGCAAGTGATGGACGACTGGTATCTTGTCAATATCGTCGACAACGACTTCCACAGATCTAACGCTGTCTTCGAATTATTCAATGGCCTCGAGATCAAAGATCTCAATGTTGAGGTGGCCGGGAAGCCCTTGACCAACGGCCACGCCGAACAAAATGGCGTTGCTGCCAACTAAACCAGTTTTCCTCAACTCAGAACTGGTCGCTTATCCATTCACACCCTCGACCACCTACCTCGGTCGTATGCCATCTTTGCACACCTCTCATAAAACCAACTCAACACCCTACCTAATTCAACATCACTCATCTCAACGATACCACAGCCCAAACAAACAATTACTCCAACACATCTCGGGCCCCCCTGCAATGTCTTATGGCGTCACGACTGAAGACCTCTCAACGATTTCTTCCTCAGCGTTTTCATTTCAACATAATGTACCGATACCCCGTCTCTTTTAACAATGGCGCTTCGTCGATCGGATTCTCTTTTATTTTCTCGGGTGTCCTCCTTCCAGGCCCGGTGCTTCTCTTCTGAACTATGTCATGTTTTCTGTTTGGTCTAGTACGACCCAGAACAATAACCCAGAAGAATGGAAGAATGAAAAAAATGAAAGAAGAACAAAAATTCAACATAATTTTGCCTTTGAGGCCTATTCCATTCTTATCGTCTTTGTTTTGTTTCTCTTCATGTTCAATTCTTAGAGCGCTGGCAGTGGCTGTAGCCCAGCCCTGCTTTTTCCTTTCCCCTTTTCTTTCTGCTTTCTTTTTCTCTTCCCTTGCTTTCTGCCTTTCCCCCGTTTCTTGAATGCTGCCTTTATCCCACAAAACGCCGGGCGACACCTCGGCTGCGTGGATACCCCCTTCGCATGAACTCAAAATAAAGGATTGCTCAACGCACATCCGGACATGAAAAATGTTTGAGAAGGGAACCTTTCATGTTTAAATTCCTTATCTTTTCTCTACTTTTGCATTGCTTTTGCAAGATTATCCCGGAGCTAGCATACAGGACCATTCAACACCAGGATGACGGAGTTGGGTCTGTTTTTCATCATACACAAGATTGAATTCTGGATTTGGGGGACATGACAAAAGTTGGGTGTTATTTTATTTTCTCTCTTCAACATGGGAGAGTCGACGCTAGATCATACACATCATTGTGTGTTCGGTGTCTTCAGCTTTTGTGTCTCGGTTTCAAGTCAAGAAGATCAATTTCAATGCAATTTCTTGTCTACTACTACGTACAACTACGTACATTGACATACCAAGGGATAAATGGTTCCATATAGAATATTCAAGTTTGAGACCTATTTAATGATAAGCTAGAAATACAGCCAAAAGACAAAATGAGGTAGGGTAGGTGAGTAGATAGAACCGCTCGAGACCAGGACAAAGACCCGAAAGCACCAAAAACGACGAAGGTGCTCCTTCCAAACTCGAGACTTCCAATGAAACAATCTTGTACAAGCAAACAGCTAATGGTTGGGGTAATTTTACATTATCAGGGCACGGCCAACACATTGGAAGATCCACGCGAAAGGCCTGGCAAACCATACGATCCAACTGCTCACGAGAACGACGTAGCCAACAGTACGTGTTATCAGCATCGCTGCGAACCCAAGAATCAGGAGATACACAATGGCTTGAAGAAGCTCCAACATGAACTGACTGATAGATTGGTCACTGCGAGGCTTGGGCCAGGCGCCTGTGGCCTGGTAGTGAGATATCACGGTGTAGATGCATTCGAACACACGCCAGCAGTGACTGGCCATGTTCAGGGTGTTACTGGCCACAAATCTGGCGTAAGGACTGTCGATACCTATCCGGAGAGTTTTGTTCACTTGGGTGACGGCAACAACAAGAATATTGAAAAGAAGTGAAAGAGCCAAGGGATTGAGTCCCTGGTCATCGGAATCATCATCGTCTTGGGAGTGCATGTCACCTAGATCAGCGGAGACGTCCGTGATGTTGGACTGAAGAGACTCTTTGGGGCTTGCAACCTGAAGCCCATCGAGCTCGGCGATTTCCAAAACTTTATCAGAGGTACGGAGACGAGGTAGGGGCTTCACGTGCGCTTCCTTTTTTGGCGGAGTATCAGGCTTCGCTGCCATAGGGGGAGGAGATCTTTCAGACACGGCTGATTTTATAGAACCGGAGGCTTCATCCAACTTAGAGGTTTTATCCAACTTGGAGGTCTCCTTCAACTTGGAAGTTTGGCTCAACTTGGACGGTTTTGCTAGTACGGAAATTTTTCTGGTTGATGTAGGGGGCTTGTCCGGTTTTATCGACGAAGGACGTTCCTCTGATAAGGTCACTTTTTTCGTCACTGGTTTTTTGGGTGCGGGTGCAGGTGGTTGTGAGGAAGATTGTTTGCTTTCATTAGGCTCCTTTTCCATCGTGGCCATTTTTGGCGGCGAGACGGGTCGATTTGCTGTGATAGGTGTGGTTTCTTCGGTGGACCGAAACGACCGTTCCGACCGCGATGATTCCGAATTATCCCTGGACGGAAGAGTTGGTTGAGGACTTGTCGATCGCTTCTGATTTCCACGCTGGAGTGACCCTGAACCATTCCGCAGAGATTCCGCACGTGCGCGGAGAGACTCAGTCCTGTTGCGCAACATCGTAGCAATGCTATCCGTAGGTGATCTGGCCAGCCCTGAAGGTTTTGCCATCCCGGAGGTACGGATGAAGCCACGGATAGTATTCGATGTCGTACCTGCTGCTCGTTCTGGAGTGCGATCTTGCGCGTGATCTTTGTTTTGACCCTCGTCGTCTTGGTCTTTCAGCGTAGTGGAGGTGCTGGTGAGTGGCAACGTTTGGGAAGTTGTCAAGGTACGCTCTGTTAGGTTCATATTCATATTGGGTCCCCCGGGGCGTAACCCCGATGGTGTGGAAATCATCTGAGCCCTTGCCCGGACGGCTTTGGTAGCCTCGGCGGTAACTGTATGATTTGTGCCACCAGGACGACGCAGCCCTTGCGGCTTTGGCGAAGATGCTTTCTTGTCGGGCGTGGGAATCATAGTGCGCGTGATAGTGGGTGTGATAATGTACACATCGTCGTCCCCCCGATTTTCTTCCAGACTTCCGGATCGCTCCGGTGTATTGCTGGTAGGATAGTAATTCTCCTTGCTCGAGTCTTGGGACCTCGTCCGCGGAATTGTGGATGCGTTCTGGGAGTAACTCCGATCCTGGTACATAGCCGACGGCTTCGAGCATTGGGCACGTCTCGAATTCTGAGAAATTTGTGGTTGCTCTTCCTGAAGGACTGCCGTCTCCTCGAGTTTGGGGGTGGTTTGCTGCTCCGTCGCTTTCCTCACTTCCTTCGGCGCATTTTGCTTGTTCTTCTTGTTCTTGGAACCCAGGGACAATGGGGGTGGATGCAGACTGGCATCGTCTGGGGAAGCGAACCTGAGAATTTCGTCTGGATTCTTCTCCCCGGATATTTCCCTGCACCCTAAAAAAGATCCGTCGGCGTTTTGCGGGTATCGCTTCTCCTTGGGTTTTGTGGGCGATTCTTCCCAAATTGTGCTAATCCGGTTGTACCCTATTTCATCTGGGCTGTAGTAGTGGCTCGCCGGTTGACGTTGCGACGCAGTTGTGGGCTGGAGCTGCTGAGGTTGAGGCTGTGAGTGTTGCTCCAGGTGAGCATTTTGATGAGGCGGCGGCGATGGGCGATGTCCCTCTTGCGACAAGCTCGGCGCTTGGCGCCTCTCGCATGTTCCGTCGTATGTGTTAAACCCCCTTGGGCTCTGAATTCTCTGTTCGCTGGGGTTGAATCTGATCTCGGGAGACACGTTACGACTAGGCACTGTGCTCGGGTCTACCATTTTCCCACCTTCCCGGTGTACCCGTTCAATGCTTTTTTGATACTCGGCAATCTGTTGAGCCGTCATCGTTGGCGGATTGGGGTCTTTTGCAGTTGGCATATTCACAACGAAACGATCTTCCCAGTCGGTGATAGAACTATCCTCAGCGGAGACTGGCGAGACGGAAGGATGAGATCGAGGGCTTGAATCAGTCGTCTCGTCTGTTCTCACTGATTTCTGAGGTGTGGTTTCGGTAACATCCATGATGACCCATTGGTCGTCTTTCTTCTGCCATTTGCTTTGAATGTCCACAGGAATGGTTATGGGAGCATCATTCCTCGACCCCCGAGCGGGACTGCTGTGGACAGTACTCGGGCTCGGGATGCTGGGCGGTGCATTGCCTGCCCGGTAACTTGTTTCATCGTGGCTAGTGCTGGTAGGAAGTCTGCTACGGTGGTAGGAGATGCGCGAGTTAAGCGATTGGTTCTTGTCGCTATCCTTGCTCTTGGTACGTCGTGTTAACAATGGCGAGTCTTCCAATTTATCCCTTATTTTCCTCCAATATTGGTCGTGAGCTTTGTCCACTGGCCCAGACTGGTCACCGAGCCGTCCCAAGGAACGGCTTGACGGGGTCAGTTTGGGAAGTGCAGTGGGACTGGGCGTTTGATTCGAACCATCGTTACGACTTTCAGCGAGACTCCTCGGGATCGGTAGCTTGGTGGGTTTTGGCAGTTGAGATATATTCCCCGGTGTACCTCCTGCGATGGCATACTCTGTTGATCTTTCTTCTTGTGTGTGTCGGGGTGAAGGTGTCGCCGAGAGCTCTGCTGAGGGCTCGTACTCGACTCGGTACGCTTTGTAGGCACTTGGGCGTACAGGTCGCGGTGAGAGATTCACGAGGTGTCCATCGGGCAATTTGACATGAGCTTCGTCCATGTTGGAATGAGACTGACAGCGATTGTGGTCGGGGTTGCCAATGCTACGGGCACAGCACAATGAATAGTTGTCCTAGCCCATGCCGTGTATGAGCGAAGAGAGAGTAGTCGAGTAGTCTTTCCCTGTGCGAATTTTCCGGGGCAAAGGTCTATGTTGGTTGGCGGCTGTTGGTGGAAGGATACGATAGACTCAAGAGGAGCGGGGCGATCCAAAAAAGACTGGCTATTGAGTGATCTTCACAGGTGTTCGTGCTGATAACGCGTAAGGATAATGTGGTCCCCTTTGTCGGAATGCCAGGTCGGTAATGAGGAATGCCAACCCCTGGGGTGAATGCTATTTGAAATGTCCCGCCGCCATCTGGAATGGCACTTTCCTTTTCAGTCCCACATTTTGGAAACTGAATTGCATCACTTATGCATGGAAATTGCGGGCGCTGAGTGTTGAACAGAAAGTGCGATCCAGATATCTAAATCACAGCGTGAACGTAGTGTACTGCTAACTTAAGAACTCCAAGCCCAGCTGACCGCCAATTGGATTGAATACAATGACCAAGTGAATCAGATCAAAGACCAGGGCCGAGCAGTCGGAAGCAAAAGAATTGCCATGGGTCCTAATTTCGTTGGGCTGCCCTAGATGAGCAGCTTGCATTCCTGAGCGTGGCGAACATGCATGAGTGCCATGAGACAAACGTCAAATGTATAGCTATACTGGGCATAGCTTCAATTAAGGATGGGATGGATGTATGTACGAAGGGTGTTGCTATCGCGTCATTACGGCGCATGTCTTGGAGCACATCGGACGCCATTTGGGCCAGCAACATTGCATGCTTGTGGAAATGGAATTTGATCATTCATTCGTCTTAGAACCGCCCTTTTTCTCGGCGAGTGTTGATGTTATCTGATCTATTGACGGTGGCTGGGCCACCTGGGTTCATTCCTCCCGGAACACTGCTTCTTTTCAGAGGACTGGAGCTCCGCATCAAGGGAGTTGTACCACGCTCCTTGTAAACAAAGTCTCCGTTGTTTTGTAAGCGGCGGTCAAATGATGTTGTCGCAGATTTCCTTAGTGGAGAGTTTGCGTGGCTGTAAACACCGAGGCTTCCGCCATCGCCTCCTGTTGTTGCAGTAGACCGGAACTGTGGTTGTCGCATTGTTGTGCGGCTGGTACCTCGAGCCATCGGCGAGCCATCTCGGGACATGCTTGGGGTGTTGGTTGGCGGGCCTTGGAATATAGAAGAGATCGGAGTAGATGCAGTCGACTGGCGAACCGGGGTGAAACCTTCTGGGTCGACGTGCTTCAGGTAGTTGGGGTTGGGACTGGTCTTGAAACCACGGTTGATGATGTGGGCCGGGCTGTAAGTCTCAACCCTGTTGCATTCGTCCTCGGTTTTTGGTGGTCCACCATACGGGTCCGAGAATTGTGTGCCAACATCTCTCATCAAGGGATGTGTTCGGGGTTGGACATATTTAGTGTCATATTCTTTGAAAACCTCTTTGTGTATAACCTTTTGGTCCTTGGCTTGCTGTGTGTAAGAAGAAGAGATGAAGGACATCTGCACAGACAGGAGAGCCGTCAAAACTATCGTTGTAACAATCGTCACACTGGGGCGTGGATCGGAAAGCTGGGTCGGGAGGAACAGCCAGTACACCAAGACGTGCCCTGGGCTGAACAAGCAAAAGAGCCGGAGGCAAAGTGGCGAAGGATCCCAAATCGCAAGCTCCCAGACATCGCGTTGAGCATCGGGATGTGCTCTCGAGTGTGCCGATTCTGTTGAAAGCGCTTTGGCAATGTATCGCAGGGGAGACGGCATCATGGGGCTTGAATCAACGCGTACACGATGTGCTGACGGTGTCGCCGGGTTGTTATCAATAGAGTTTTCGAACAGTCGGTAGTGTCTCTTTTTCTGGAAAGTGTAGAGAGCATTGGCCGTAGAGGCGACGGCCATTAAATGGACGATGAATGATGCCTAAATAGAACGTCATGGCACATTAGCTTTCTATCCATTAATATCGGGAACAGGTAGGAAACATGAGCGGTATAAAACCAGGAGAAGAGTAACGTACAAGCCACCCACGCAGGGATGTGCCATCCCCGTCGCCAAAAACATCGTCAAAAGCCTTGCTACCACCGGATCGACTATTTGCTCGCGCAATAAGGAATATCACGTTGAGCGCAATACCGATAGGCAAAGCCCAGTTTTTCTCCAGCTGATCCCAGTCACCGGCTTCAAATTCCTCAGAAATCCAAAGCAGAAAGTCATACGGATTCAGGTGTGAGAGTATACGCTCGGAGAGCGGGCGGCGGCGTACCAGTCGAGGCATGATGTCAGAGGACGGGAGTGTCGTAGTAGACGGAAGCTGTTCCTCAGCAGCTTCGTCCTAATCAAGATGATAATACAATGGCATCAAAGGTGAGGGGCAGTTCAGTGAAAGACCATTACAAGATTGTTTTGCGGACGATGGAGCCTTGGAGTAAACAAATCTGAGAAATTGCATCAGCTTATGTAATCTGCAGCTCCCGGCGATAACCAAGGTGATCAACGGACAGCTGGACCAGATCTGTCATTTACTTGATCCATCTCGAGCTGCCAGTTCGAAGATTGTGTATCTCGGAAATCTCAGGTCGATCTTTTCTTTTCCCTCATCATGGCGGCATCGGCCGCAACGTACAAGGTACTTGACATCGAGTCAATGGAATAACCCCTCCGATCGCTAACTCAGTGCCCCCAGGAGCGGCAATTCCTTGCTGTCATTGGTGATGAAGAGTAAAGACCCGTCTTCCAAGTTGCTTATCCCCAAAAGATCGGGCCCAGCTAACCTAGCTCAAACTATTATGCAGCTCTGTCACTGGTCTTTTGCTCGCAGGCATCGGGGTATGATATTGTTCACTACCCCATCTACGTCACGTCTCTGTGACATCTATATGGAACCCAATTCTAACATGCTGTCTCTTTTTAAAGCATGTCACCCAACCACCAGACTCTCAGAGAAACTTCCTCGTCGTTGATTCCAAGACCGAGACCTCGGAGATTGAACGGGCCTTCCAGAACTTCACCCAGGAGAGAAAAGACATTGCTGTGCTCTTGATTAACCAGCATGTGAGTTGCTCCTCTATATCCTACGCTAAAGAGTTACAGCGCTCGCATCTTATCATCTACATATTCGCTGACGGCTGTCTCAAACCTAAGATCGCAGAGCGCATCCGCCATAGCGTCGACGCATTCGCCGACCCCTTTCCAGCTGTCCTCGAAATCCCTAGCAAAGACCACCCCTACGACCCGGAGAAGGATAGTGTCCTCAAGCGTGTCCGCCGTCTGTTTGGAGAGTAGGCTTGGTCTACATTTATTTTTGTCTCTGTCATTTAGCCGGGAAATGGTGAATTGGTTTCGCCGTTCCGCTTCGAGGGTCTACACAACACCTTCAGTCCCGTCGTTGATGATCTCGGTGCTTGAGTATAATTGGAAGAAAACATGGAAATATCAGATAGGGAAGATACCCAACGCAACTAGAACGAGTTCATACACCCTACCCTTCACATATACTCTCTTCGCGGCTATACGGCATTTATTTGACATACGTTACGTGGTCGGCGGAGATGATATAGTTATATATTACAATCACAGACAGGTGTAGCTGCCAGGTTTACAGTCATACTTGTGGTGGTTTACATAGATGGTTGTAAAACAAAGCTAGCAGATGCAACGAGCGTAACATGAGAAAGTCCAAATGATATCCGAATGTACTGCAAAGCGTTACAAAACTTGAAACAACGGATGCGAATATTGAAGTAGTCGTGAGAAGGGCATGGAAAAGAGCATTGCGGATGCTTGATCACCGAGTCAAGCACATAAGCCAATGGTGTTGACAGTTCAGCAAAACGAGAGATGCCACCTGGTGAGTGGATGCATAGCAATGTCTAAGATAGACAGAATTAGAAGTGGAACACAATGTCATCCGCCTTGAGGCAGGTGACCTGTTTCTGCTCCTTGTTGTAAACATCGGCGAGAACAGCGTATTTGCCCTGGAGAAAAGAAATTAGCTACTTCCCTGGCTCTAAATAGTTGTAAAGACGACGTACCGGGGGAATCTGCTTGGGCAATTCCACCTCCTTCTTCAAGATCATCTCGCCCTTCTCTAGGGGGCACTCCAGATCCACATTCTTAAGCTCATCGCATAGGTCGACGGTCTGTTTAATCAAAGTGATAAGACCCCACTTCACTTCCAGGTTCACGGTAGCGCCCTTCTCGATTCTCTCGAGCAGGGTACCTTTGGCGGAGATTGTCAACTTCTGTCCTCTGTTATCATCAATATGTTAGCTAGTGAAATCTACTACGTTTATAAAACACCCTTCGTAGATGACATACGGTAGAGGGGGGTTAGGTGCCAGATCCACCGACTCGATCTCGAGCTTGTAATTGTCTGGTTTGGCGCAGTACTGCAAAGGATTGTCACCATTGACTGGGTACTTCTCATTATCGTTCACTTTCAGTGAGGCCTGCGTGGGATCGAAGACCGAGAATGCGGCTGCGTTTGCAAGAGGAGCGGTAAGAACCAAGAGGCTGGCGGCTGATAAGAACTTCATGGCTGTGACGGTTGTAGTTCAGTCGGGGAAATGGGCGCAGAAAGTAGATTTCTCGAGTACGAGCAGAGAAAAATCACGAAAAGAGGAGCTTTAGCTCAAACAACATATGGAGTTGGGATTAAGAGTCGGAGATAGAAGTTGGGGTGAGGAGAAAGCGATGTCACTTGATGACGCCTCCACACGTGATCCCAGGGGCAGATCTATACCGTTTCTGTCGCTCCCATGGTTCAACGCCTCATGTACCTGCAGGGTGTGGCTGGGAGATAGAAAATCCCTAATATCATCAGAGATAGCTTTTATATTCAGGGTTGTAGCTTCATGTTGTTCTATTAAGAAAATCCATCTCATGCTACAACATAGGTGGGGAGTTGATCTGACCCACTATACTCCAGTTCCTTATCAATGATCGACATCCGACCTCGCACCTGGGCATGCCAGAGATTTTTTTTTTTTCCTGATGTGTTGTTCGGTTGTTTTGATTGGAGGAATAAGAGAGAACCAGGAGGAAGAAGCAATACAATCTGGCGTTGGGCTGGCGAAACCTGGGGAAAGATGAGAGAAGGGAGAAAAACAGGAAGAGAAGGCCTGTTGCCTTAGATCATCTGGTGTATAACATATGCCCATTTCCCACAAGTCTGGCTATCTAACTATTTAAGTAACCAAATATCTGATATCTATTAGGTAAAACCTATTAGTAAAAGAGTCCTCTAAGAAAAGGAAGCGTGGGGTGGGGGGTGATTCTACTCACAATAACGACTACTACCGTGTAAAAACCATCGCCGTGCTGCGAAAAGTGCTCCGAAGTTTCGAGTACTTTTGACTGGAATCATACTATAGTACCTAGGGGGAAGTCGATCTTCCCCCAATTGGTGGCCTAGAGCAAAGTACATAAAAGTCTCAGGAAGAAAATTGACTTGACAAAACGCCGAAACCCAGAGCTGGCCATCGATATCAAGGAGAAAATGTGCTTTTTTAAGATCTGTATAACAGCATACCATTCTCTCATGCCTGAAATCAATATAGTCCAGCTCTTTGATACGCATTTCAAAGACCTCTAAAACCTAGGACATATTAGTACTAAAACTATTTCTTAAGGTCCAGGGGTACAAACACGATTAAGATGACCCTCTAGATCCTGTAAAGAAGGGTAGTCAACGTCCGATATCCGATCATCCCAAAATATTCTCATATGGATACGTCCCCCGTCGATAGGACCCGGTCCTATACCAAGGGGAAGCTCAATAGAAACAATATCAGAAATAGCTCTTGCTCTCTGTATATCGGATGCAATATGGTCGGTTTGAATAAATTCCATAATCAGATATAAGCTATGTGGTTCACCGAACACGGCATAAATTTTAGGAATACGAATAGCGGCCCTTGGCCCAACCCGATCCAATAAGAATTGTTGATTTTTCCATTCTACAACGAGGGACCTCATATTTGATGAAAAGCTTTTCGCCGTTATAGGTGTGGATAAGATGATTGTCCCTCCGACCATGTTTAGTGCAAAGCATTTTAACATGCTCTTTACTAGGCAGGTCTGGGGCGTTTGGAGAAACAAAATCCACAAAGTCACTCATATCGGGGATCGAGGGTGAAATATTTGATTCCAGATGTATTGAGGGGAGAGTAGGAGAAACGGGACACTGGAGTCCCAATATTTATGTAGATGGTAATAAAGACGTAGATAAAATAATAATGTTATATCTATCATCATGACCTGACGGTGATCACGGGTACCCAAGCTCGGCTGGGTGCCATATCCACATTCGTTATGAAAGGGTTTTACTGTATATGGTTTCCCACGCCATAATTACAATTATCACCCTTGTCATTCGGCCGTCCGGTGAATCATGGCTTTCAGATATGTGGGTTCTGATTTTCCGAGTAAATTTCTACCATGTATTCAACGATGGTATTTGACAAATAAGAGAACAGTGACCATGAGCCATATTCACCAATTACCAAGCCAGGTTATCATATCACCCACAAAGCGTAGGATGACTCCCGTTCAGGCCATCTATATATTGAAGAGTACGCGGTTTTAGAACACGGTTCTGGCATAATGAACCATTAGTATTGTTTGGGAGCCCGAGGTGGCTTTGCCTCGGGGTTGCCTATGGAACTTGGGAAATGGGCTTTCGCAGATATCACGAGAACAAAAGAAATAAATATGAGATTAAACCTCTTGATATCTACCTAGATATGCAAAAGAAAATCTTAGATAACTAAGGCTAGTTTCATTATCCCATTGTGAGGATTTCTATGAAGTTGAGGTTCTGCCAGGCAATAACCCAAGTAGTGCATTAGCTAAGAGCAACGAAAAACTTGCAAGGTTTGCATCTTAACGAGGTACAAGCCTAGGTTCGATCCCCCTTGGAACTATAGTTCGCGGTCTGATGGCCATCTTGGCGATGTACTGCTGGGAATCACCGCTTCCTTTTTTATTTCATGTATTTTTGTTTTATCCTCGTTATACTCTATCAACCATTAAGAGTTGTTGCATTGATCATGTTCTAGGCTAGTAATTTCACAAGATTTTACTTCGTTGATATCCCATATATATGTTTCTGCCCGTGAACGATACTGCTAGGCTGTATACTGCATATATTCCACGGCTTTAGAACAGTTAAAAGGTGCGTCAGTTTCTTCGTCTCGTAAGTTAGATTCTTCATCTCCTCAATCCGATCTCACATTCACCACGTAACGCGATGTCTACAACGTAGGTCCTCTTGACAGGACAAGTTATGCGCTCCCGGAATGTCTATTCAACGTTCCTCTTTACACTCCACAGTGCTTTCCATCGACGCCATGTTTATCCTCCCACTACCTCAGCATTGCCATCCTCGGTATCGTTATCATCCTCACTGGCGACTCCCTATAGGACCCGCTAACTGACTAGGCCACTCACCTACGACCTATCACCTGCTTAGTTCTCACACTCGCAAACGGTTTATCGACAAACATACACTTCCCTCCCTCCACCACTCAACGGCCACATCGAAGCGCGCAGTTTTCACACTCGTCACGGGCTATCATCCCACAATCAGCTTTTTGATGCGATTAGTACCTCCCCATTCGACACACTACACCTTTATATGCTTCGTACGCGGCAAAGTGTCTTTCAACGAGATGTCCAGTTTGGCAGAACCCAAGCTCTTAGAGCTCGTCCCAATTCTTACTGATGAATCCAACTTCGTGTCGTGGTCAACCTCACCTGAACTACACTTCTCACAACGTCTTTTACGACGTTATTTTAACCTTTACCCCCAGAAATGCTCCCGACAACGATACATCAGATAACACGGTTAACAACCTAGTTATCGACACTACAGTCTCAGCTCCGGCCACCACCATCATTCTTACTACAGCCAATACCATAACCAGCCACCCTATGATACATTAGAACAAGGCTCTCGCCATTCAGGTTTAACACGGGTCTAACCATTTGTCAGGGGCTCGGCGCTGTGATTGTATTTTTGTGGGGGTTGTCACCTTTTAGTCTTATAACTTAGCTTCTTCAACTCTTCAATTTGATTTTGACATTCACCATGCATCTCGACATCCTCCACGTAGACTTGTATTGAAAAAGTGCCTTTCCTGATTTGAATATCTCTATTATGCAGTTGGGAAGCCGTTGTAGAAATAAGAGGGCATTACTTTTTTATAAACGATTTGGTATGTGAAGGCGATCTACGATCACTCCAGTGCTATAGAAGCCTGACCCCTCTTACATGTTATGCGCTACCAAACGAGACCGAAATGCATCCTAAGTGAATGTTCGGAAATCTATATATGTTGTCTATCTTCTCTCTTTTTGACCATGTGTAGTTGAGGAGAAAAAGAAAAAAAGAAACAAGTGGGATTCCCAGCAGTACATCGCCAAGATGGCCATCAGACCGCGAACTTTGGTTCCAAGGGGATCGAACCCAGGCCTGTGTTTCGTTGAGAGCAACCTTGCAAGTTTGACATTGCTCTTGACTACTGCACTACCTGGGTTATTGCCTCTAGTAACTTTAACTTTATATATCCCCTGGCCCACTATTTCTACCATAGATTCATGAATGGTCTGGACCCACCTATTGGACCCACCTACTACAACCTTATCGGTGCAACTTCACACCTTGGAAGGTTGTTTACATTGACAGTGGGCGTTTATTGTCTCCCCTCTTAGGCTTCCAAGATGTGGGTTCTGATTATTCCGACACTCTGAATGTTTCTATACTAGCTACAGCATGACGCGCAAGTATCGGACGCACTATGACGAGTAAATACTCAGATTTTGGCTTTACCACTCTCAATCTCCGCCCAACTTTGTTCTTCCAACTTCTGATACTTTGTGCCGTCCAACCAATACAGAATGTCACCGCCACAGTCTTTGCGAGGGTTCCAGCCTTTCTTGGCTAGGTCACCTTTAGCTTGCTTAAAAGTGACACCCGTGGCAACTCTGTGGATCACAATTTCATTAGCGGCATGGTCAAATTATCCAATAAACAGAACGCTTACTTCTCAGTGAGTCTGACCAATCGAGGCAGAGCGTATGATGGAACACCCTTCTTCCTGAGCTTCTTGTACAAGGTCGACATCAATTCCGTCTCAGTTGCTGGTGATTCTAGCGTGATACCAGCGGCTCCAGCTTGGCCATCGTACCTAGTAAAGATCATCAGCAATGCGGTCTCACCGAATGAAAATATTAAGACAGCCACAATACATACCCGCCCAGCTTCACACCATATACCACAGCGTCATGTACACCCTCAATCCGGCAAATATGGTCCCGAATCTCTCCTGCGCTAACGTTCTCACCCTTCCAGCGGAAAGTGTCACCAACCCGATCTTGGAATCTCACCCATCCAGATTCATCTTGAACAACCAGATCGCCAGTCCGCTGGAACAAATCTCCCTTCTGAAATACATCACGCAGAAGCTTCTCTTCCGTCGCACCCTCATTACCCAGATACTCAATCAGCGTACCACGGTCCCGGACACGACCAATTGCCTCACCCTCCTGTCCAAGTGCAGCTCTTACACAGAACCCAGTGACAGGATCCCGATACGGCATCTCGGCATCAGTATCATACCTAACGATGAAAGTTTCGTCTTCCAAGAACCGGCGTATAGGTCCAGAAAATCCGACCTTACCAACACCCCAGGCTCCAACACCGTGGTTATCGAATTTGGCGACTCCCTCGGTTGAGCGGTAGAACTCGCGGATCTCAGGAACGTTGAATCTCTTGCGGAACTTCTCCCAGATTTCCCCGCGCAGCCCGTTCCCGCTTGCCACGATGCACTTGTGGTCTTGGTCGTAGGGGGATGCTGGGGTCGCGAGCAGGTACCGACATAACTCGCCGATGTACAGGATGCGGGTTGCGCCTGAGTCGTGCACCTCTTTCCAAAACTTTGAGGCGGAGAATTTTCGTCCTAGGCATAGTGTGCCTCCGTTGCCGACGGCGCCGCATAGGCCGACGAAGAAGGCTGTGCCGTGGAAGAGGGGGAGGGGGAGTATACGCGGAATGGGTGGTACTTTGAGGGATTGTTGAGGTCTGCTGAGAGTGGAGTGGATGTGATCAAGGTGAGCATATTGCGGATTGCGCATGCTTTGGGCCTTCCTGTTGTTCCTGATGTGTAGATTAAAACGCAGAGGTCTTTCGGGTTGCGCTTAGCTGCAGCAAGACCTGATGGGGAGAACTGCTGCAGGGTTTCCGAGGTGATGAGCTCGATTGTGCCTGTTTCGGTACTTTGGAATGACTCCATGTTCAATGTGAAGTGCGGTAGGTCGGTGCAGACATGCTGAGCCAGATCTGCGGTTGAGATGATTAATTTGGAGCTGGAAACGTTGAGGCAATGAATGAAAGTATCGTCTGTCGCGAGCGTCAGCGGTCTATTCTCGTGGACTGGAATTGAATGGTTCACAAACCTCGTAGGTTGGTGTTGATCATCGCTCCAACAGCGCCCAATTTTGACAGCGCATACACAGTCACGACCATCTCGGGAGAGTTGGTGGTGAAAACACCCACTGTATCACCGGGGTTGATATCACGGCTCTTCAAAAGAGCAGCCATTCTGTCGGCCACTGCAAACAGGTGCATCAGCAACCAAATACGAAAATTTCTCCCAACCGAGTGGCAACACTTACATTCCTTTAACTGGCTGTATGACCAGGCCTTCTGCTCAAACCAGAGCGCATCGGTAGCACCTCGTCCTTCAACCTCCACCGCCCGCTCGAGTATCTTGTAGATTGTTGTTGAGCCATCGAGCTCGGCGATGCGCTCGTTTAACCGCTTTTTCGCAGCCTTATCGCTGTGTATTGATTGCAAATCAGTGGAAATAGCAAGCTTCGCATTCAGATAAGCACCAGCCGCAACCGACAAGGCAGATGCCATGGCCACAGCAGGCGCACTGACGTTAGAGAAAATTTCCATTGCGACCGAGAAGGTTAAGGTCTTTCCAGTCAAGTGCTTCTTGTCAACCCAACCACAATAATTCAACGTGTTGACAAGATGAGTGATTCTTCTGCAACGACAAGAGTCCCGTGGAAATTCCGAAGCTTTCAGAAACCGGCATGACGACGGATATAAAGATCCCCAGGCCTCGGGGCCTCTGATGACGGAAGCCAGCCAGACTCGATCTGCCGTTCATAACAGGACCATTATCCCGGCCCTTTACATTGGCCGTAATTCGGAGTGGGGTCTACGGGAAATCCCCCATATTCCTCTCCCCGGGGAGGCTTAGCTGAGCTTTCCCCGGTTTTGGGTGTCAATGGCTATTCTAGGGTTTCAGAGCTTCTGGAGAGATGAGAGATTATGTTACCTGACAGTCAGACAGACATGCGAGTTCTCGACTTCTCTACGCCTTTCCTCAATATCCTCCAGATGTCCTTCCATGATCAAGCGTGCCAATATCCATGTGGGGCCATGAAACATCTTCGATACCACCAATTCACCAATCACAGCCATCTAACACAAGCCGAGGGAAGTGAAAAAAACGGTATCATACACCGTGTGACCACCGAAGTCCCGGCACTTCCAGTCGGCTCAAATTGTCGTCTCCCCAGGGGAGATGGTCCTCGGTGTGGAGAAGTTTGGAGAAGCCGCGGTTCTTTTTTAGCACATCTGAAAGAGATTCAAATATTAAAACCATCCTCCTTCTTTGTTTTTAGCTCATTTATATCATTCTTACTGACTCCCTACAATGTCTTCACCACAACAACGTCTAAGCTCCGTCGCCAACCAGCTGGCAGCTCCTGGCTCGGCCCGCCAAAAGATTCTGGCCAAGAACCCAGATGATGTTGTATGTCGCTAATTTTATAGCTATAATTTCGTCATGGCAATAATTAATCAATTGGCAGGTTATCACTTACCTGGCCCGCACACCGCTCACCAAGGCCCGCAAGGGTGGGTTGAAGGATACCACCGTGGATGACCTCCTCGTCTCACTGCTCACGGTACTTTTTCCCCCACGATTAATGGAGAAAAAAATCGCGGTAATTAATTCCCCAAACAGACCGTCCGCGAGAAGTCCAACCTGGACCCCAACCTTGTGGAGGATGTCTGCGTTGGTAACGTCCTCTGCCCCGGTTCGGCATATGTCGCCCGTTCCGCTGTGCTGGCAGCAGGCTTCCCAGTAACAGCAGCTGCCTCCATCGCCAACCGATTCTGCTCATCCGGTCTCCTGGCCATCCAAAACATCGCCAACCAAATCATCGCAGGATCCATCGATGTCGGAGTGGCTGTCGGAGCCGAGAGCATGAGCAAGAACGCCGACGGCGGCGCCCCCGAAATGTCCGAACGCATCCAAAATCACCCGATCGCATCCCAAAACTCTCAGCCCATGGGACAGACCTCAGAGAATGTAGCAAACCAGTTCAACATCTCACGCGAGCAGCACGACAGGTTCGCTGCCAACAGTTTCCAGAAGGCTGAGCGTGCCCAGAAGGCCGGCTGGCTCGAGGACGAGATTGTCCCCGTCAAGACTCAAATTAAGGACCCCAAGACCGGCGAGGTGAAAGATATCGTTGTTGACCGTGACGATGGAATCCGCTACGGTACTACCCCGGAGTCGCTCGGCAAGGTCCGCGCTGCCTTCCCCCAGTGGGCCCCTAGTGCTACTACCGGCGGTAACGCCAGTCAGATTACCGATGGTGCTGCTGCTTTGGTTCTCATGAAGCGCTCACGGGCCCAGGAGCTCGGTCAACCCATTGTTGCCAAGTTCTGTGGTGCTACCGTTTCTGGTCTGGAGCCCAGAATCATGGGTATTGGCCCATCCCTTGCCATCCCCAAGATTTTGAACAAGTTCAACTTGAGCAAGGATGATATTGATATTTTTGAGATTAACGAGGCCTTTGCCTCAATGGTAAGTCTATCAAGTATGCAATTATCTACTGTGCAAGTCTAATATATGCCATTATAGGGTGTGTACTGCGTCAACAAGCTGGGCTTGGATGAATCTAAGGTGAACCCTCGTGGTGGTGCTATGTAAGTGCTCTTGGACCTAGTTCGATTGATGCCATGCTGATGTTTCAAAGTGCTTTTGGTCACCCTCTCGGAGCCACTGGCGCTCGCCAGGCCGTCACTGCTCTGTCTGAGTTGCGTCGACAGGATAAGCGGGTCGCCGTGACCTCGATGTGTGTGGGCACTGTAAGTGACCTCTGACCATCATGACCAAATATTTGAGATTTGCTAATTGCTTTCAACAGGGCATGGGTATGGCCGGTATCTTTGTTTCTGAGCATTAAGCATTCAATAAATCATTTTATTGCCAGTAACTGTGTTGATATTGTACATATTATTCCATGGAGATGAACACCATTCTAAAATTTTGAACTATGCAGTGTGTTGGTATGATGAAATTCGAACCACATTTTGTCCTTTTCAACATGCCTGACTGATAGGAAAACAAATGAAAAAATGAAAAAAGAAAATAGAAGAGGGGGATCCCCAGCAGTACATCGCCAAGATGGCCATCAGACCGCGAACTATAGTTCCAAGGGGGATCGAACCTAGGCTTGTGCCTCGTTAAGATGCAAACCTTGCAAGTTTTTCATTGCTCTTAACCACCCACTGCACTACCCCGGGTTATTGCCAAGCATAACCTTAACTTTATATAAATCTCTATCACGTGAACATAAATCCGGACCCACTTCGTAGTACAGGTCTACGATTCATATACATCCATCGATGCATGCATCCATATGCCCAACAACCACAAATTTTGGTGAGGGGCACTCATAACTGGGGATTCTAAATCTACATAGGGAACTGGCAACTCTCCGGCACTACATTGCTCTACATTATTTAGAACTAATATCCAAATAGCAGATACAACCATCTCAACTCAACCCTTTGCAAGGCTCTTCATTGGCTTATAGTATGTACTGGGAAGTTTCCTGGCTGTTTATTCTTCTCTTCTGTTGCCAAGAGATGCCAAAGATAGGCTATCATTTACAATATAAGGAGAAACCTACAATAAACCAACCAGCTAGGCAAAGATTCTTAATATTATTCAAACCGACTCGGGGCGCCCTTATTGAATCGAGAAAAAAGAAATAGAAACTACCCTTAAACCCGGTCGTGCTTTAGCCTCAATGTCAGATTGAGAGTCTCAGAGGGAGACTCAGCAGCGGTGGTGATATTCTTTAGACGAATAGCGAAGGCTGTTGGAAGCTAGGGGCCTGGTCCCTATCATTCTTGGTCTCGGATTGGCCTTTGGTCGGGCAGTTGTCAATACCGGAAGAGGAAGCGGTGGCAGCAGGGGTGGTGGCGGCAGCAGCGGCAGCTGAATATGTTAGCTACGATCAGTTCTTCTCTGACTTTCCCGGCAAAACATACGTCTCATGTGCTTTTTGAGGCACCTCTTGGCCTTTGTCACATCCCCTTTGGGAAGCTCGGGCTATACGGCTCAAGTGTTAGTATAATCTAAGAGATATGTGACTGCCGAAGTAAGGTATATTAGACTCACGACTTCCGTGCGAAGTGTGAGGCCTGCGACCGACGCTGCGTGCGCCGTGTCGGTCACTCCTTGGTGGGTGCCACTTCGTCGTTTAGCAATCGACTCCTCGGCAGGTTGGTTTGATGCCATGGTGGGTAAGTTGGTGATGATAGAAGAGAGTAGAGAGCGCTGTGGATTGATGGGGTGGCAGTACTTAAACATTTTAGCCACAATCGGCCTTTTTCTGGCTTTCCTAGAAGAACATTCGTCTCGTGCGCTTGTCGTAACCCCTCTTAGCCTGAAGGCTATGTGTTGGCCCCTTCTTCTCACTCACTCCTATTGGGGGGATCCGGCTGTAAAACTTCAATGTTAGTATAATCTAAAAGATGTGTGACTGCGAAGTGAGGCATATTGGACTCACAGTTGGAAAGTCCGTATGACGCAACTTCCTCGCAAAATTTGTGGCCTGTGACCGACACTGTCTCCGTCGTGGTCGTGCCTTTTTTTGTGGGCGCTTCATTCGCGGCAATGGCTCCTCAAGTGAGTGTTGGGGTCACGCTTTCTTGGGAGATTAAGCTATAGGGTTCAAATGTTAGTATAAAATAAAAAGTATGTGACTATATAAGTAAGGTATGTTGGACTCACGACTGGCAACCCTGTACGGCGCAACTTCCTTGCAAAGTGGAATGCCTGCGACCGACGCTGCTTGTGCCGTGGTCGTGGCTTTTTAATGTGCCATTCATTGGAAGTAATGGGCTCTTCAACTAAGGTTTCACCACTGGGGATCCATGCCTTGTATATGTCCCTAGAACCGCAGCAATGGCGATAAGCTGTGGCTTAGACTAGCCAATAACAGAAGAGAAGGTGTAGGTTGTGCGAGAGAAGAGGAAGAGAAGGAAGCAAGGCTATAGCAGTTAAACGAGAGCTGCAGGTGGGGTTTCCGTCATGAGAAGCAAGCGAACGAGAACAGGTGTTGCTCTCATGAGAGACAGTCTGAAGAGAGCCAGGCATGCGAGAACAAGAATCGGCGACAATGGCCGTTGCACAAGACTAACCTTGTTCAGTGAAGGCGTTACCCCGCTTGCCATTTCGAAGACACGCAAGGATGGCGTTGCACATATCATCAATTTCGTATCCCAGGAAATAGGGCGTGATGTTAGGAGCTCGTCCATGACGTTTCCGTGCTACCAATAGCTCGATGTTGACGGGTATGTTGAACTCTTCGGGAAAGAATTGTCTATTTATCCATTAGAGTCGCGCCTTCCTCATGGGGTTGACAGGCACTTTCCTCTTTCTATTGAAGTTTCCCTGTCTGGGCATAGTGCCGATGTGCACCATCATTCCATGAATATGAAGCCTGAAGAACCAAGAGTAATGAAGTGAGAGATGGATGAGAGATGGGTGAGAGATGGATGAGCGACGAGAAGTGCTCAGTATAAATAGCCCTAGGTGAGCTTGCGGGATACCCTCCTATTATAGGATACCTACTAGGGTAGTAAAAGTCCGACACACGGAAACTTGGCCACCACTCCCTGGGGCCGGAATCCGCTAATACGATTACTTCGGTGTTCTTCGGAGAAATTGACTCAATCCAAGATTGCTCCGATGTATAACTTTTGGCATGAATTTCCCCGATAAAGGATACTGGACTCTATTAAAAAGACGAAGAGATACATATAATCTAATCTTTATGGGGTTTAAGACTAATGCTTGGTCGTGCTATTATAAAGTTGAATTATAAAGTCAAAGGTTGTATGTAGAAAAGTCTACGAAAGTCTACGAAAGTCTCTTATATAGAATGTAGTCGTATATATCTAAAAAGACATATAAAAAGCATTTAAAAAGATAGGTTAAGAGTCATTTAAAATGAATACAACAAGGCCGTATAAACAGCTGATCGCAATTCTTGCCTTGTATATGCGTCCAGCGATGAAGTGGTGAGGTAATATACAATGAGAAAGTTATGAACTGTACGCACAGGCCAAGAAAAACCTTGCCAAGAGAATGCTGACAGCAGACACCCGGCGTTAAGATCGGCTAAGTTGAGCTTAATTGAAGGAAGAAGATTTACCCACTTTGACTAGAATGGCTGAAATTATCCTAAATTTACATGATGTTGAAGGTTGTGAAGAGTGCGCGGGGATAAACTCCGGGGTTAAAGAGAATCTTCACACGGCTGACTATCGGCTTTAAACTACATGCGTTCATAGATATAATCTCCGGGTGGCAAACCCCCCACTTGCTCGTATAGATACGACCTGCCTACTTAAATACTAACCTGAATTCTGCTCATATTTTTATTGGCACATAATTTGCTATCATCATATACAAGTCTCCCTCGAAATGTCGCAAAAGCAAGACCAAGTTATCCTGATCACTGGCGCCTCTGGCTTCATTGCCACCCATATTGTGAAGGATTTCCTTAGTGCTGGCTATCATGTTCGCGGAACCGTCCGTTCATCCGCCACGGCCGAGCTGGTGCGCCAAAGCTTCTCTCAATTTACATCTCAATTGAGTCTCGTGATCGTGGAAGATATGGGCAAGCCTGGAGCATTTGATGAGGCGGTTCAAGGTGTTCATGGTGTGATTCACACCGCAACCCCATTCCAAATCTTCAATATCGAGGACAATGAGCGCGATCTGCTCCGGCCAGCCATTGACGGAACCACCAATATCCTCAACTCCGTGCTCAACCACGCCCCTGAAGTCAAGCGCGTTGTTATCACTTCTTCTTTCGCCGCCATGGCAGACTACAGTAAGGGCTCATGGCCAGGTCACGTTTACTCCGAAGCCGACTGGAATATGACACCATACGAAGTCGCAGCTGCTAAGGGCGCTCCGGGTGGTCTGGCATACTCTACTGCCAAGGCATTGGCTGAACGTGCTGCCTGGGATTTTGTCAAAACCAACAAGCCCAATTTCGATATCGCAACAATCATGCCTCCCATGGTGTACGGCCCTAACATCAATGCCACTGCCAGCCTAGCCAAGCTGAATACCTCTTCTTCTGATATCTACCGTCTGATTTCACCTCGAACCAAATCCTCCGATGAGGTCCCTCAAAACATGTTCTGGTCATTTGTGGATGTCCGTGACGTTTCAAAGGCCCATCTTCGTGCCTATGAGGTTCCTGAGGCCGGTGGCGAACGCTTTTTCCTTTGCACCGGCAACTTTACCTATCAACAGTTTGTTGACGCTTTGCGTGAGAAGATCCCTGAAATTCGTGACCGCGTGCCTGTTGGAAATCCGGGCACTGGAGCTGTCCCTGAGACAGTGTACACCATCGACAACTCGAAATCACAGAAGATTCTGGGAATTCAGTACCACGCGCTTGAGGATACCGTTGTTGATGCTGCACGTTCTCTTTTGGAGCTAGAGAGGAAATCTGCCTAGGTGATCGGAGCGGACCTTACTTCCTACCTAGTGTTTGATCTCTCTCTCTCTCTCTCTCTCTCTCTCGCATAGTTAGCCAGCTCAATGAAACCAATGGTTTTCCTTTCCTTACAAAAATGCACAATTAAGCCATGTTAAACCAATTGATTTCAGGGCCAGGCTTTGTTTTGGAATGCTTGCTCCGTAAAAGTGGCCAAGAACTATCCATGGCGCCTTACAATAACCAGTGGAATCTAAGAATACAGTATGGCTCGCATGTCTAATAATAGGTGCAAATAAACCCGTAGTGAGTTCCACTCTTTGTTTTCACAGGTAACAAATACTTCTTACTCAGATATAAAAACTTCTCATTTCCCTCCTACAAACTTCCTCCATTTCTACCTGGAACTCCACCATTATGTATATAGTAAAGTCTATCCTTCTCAGCCAACCTGGCAGTTGCGGTACCTCATTTCTGGTACCACCAAGCCATACCAATCTTCGTTTTTTTCACGCCTGTGATGTCGTTTCTGATGGGGAATCCAGGCCCTCTTCACCCTTTATTTGATGCGTTGGAGCGTCATTAGCTCCAGTTGGAATAGACGCAAGCCTCACCAAGCTGCTGGAAAGGACTCCATTGGATACCCGAATCTCCATACTCCGGTTTTTTATCTTCCGTGTTTATACACCTTCGCCTAGAAAGCGAGATACACTCGGGTAGCAGTGAGGTGTCAAAATGTGAGTACCCCCTTGTACCTTTATAGCAGGCCATCTGGATTCTAAGTCTCTAGTTCTATAGTAGCGGAAGACCGCATATCTAACACAACCTGCATGTATTCTACCTGGCCTTGCCACTCAACTTATGGGCGCCAAGGGACAAGGTGGTACGGCTGGACTGGATGTTGCAGATTTGTGAAGTGGGGATAAGAAGCAGTGAATAGCTGTGATGTGCCAAGCGATTGATCACATTGCCCTGGATCAGGACGCTGGTGATCGGCGTGACAGCGGTTTAAAAGGATTTACTACTTCTTATCGCATGGCGGGTGTCGTGAGTGAGAAGCTAGTCACTAAGCGAATGAAACAAAGACTACTCAAGACCCAAAGATATTGCGACTTAAGACTTGTAATTATTACTTTTCATATAATGTATAAGGAAACCGTGTGATAACTCATATAAGTATAATTTTTAACAGTGGTAAAAGTAAGTAAACAAAAGTAAGAAAATATTACACAAAAACCAGCCGATCACCGACCATCAAACGATAGACCAATGAGTGAGTATCATCCAACCAATCACTCCAAATCGCCCAGGGAAAATGACATGCTTAGAAAGTGAAAGCAAGGGCGAGAGCAACTACCAGGGCACCGGCAGCAGAGCCAGCGACACGGGTGGCAGAGCTGGAGGAAAGGGTGGAGGAGGGAGAGGCAGAGTCGGAGGAAGAAGAGCCGGAGCCGGAACCGGAGCCAGAGGCGGAAGATCCGGAGCCCTTGCTGCCAGAAGTGGCGGTAGCGGAGGATCCAGAGGCAGTGCTAGAGGCAAATCCGGAAGCGGAGGCGGAGGCAGAAGCGCTCTTAGACTTGGGCTTGGTGGAGGGGCGGACACCGGGGGTCACAGATGGGGAGGAAGCACCGGCGGAGGAGGAACCAGAGGCACCGGAGGCACCAGAGCCGGAGCCGGAGACACCAGAGCCAGAGCCGGAGCTGGAGCCAGAGCCGGAAGAAGAAGAGCCAGAGCTGGAGCCGGAGCTGGAGCTGGAACCGGAGGCATCAGAGCCGGAGGCAGAGCCGGAGGCAGAGCCAGTAGCGGAGGCAGAAGCGCCGGTAGCGACACCAGACTTCTCGGCGAAACCGGCACCAGAGGTGCTGGACGAAGAGGCGGCAGAGCTGGAAGATGTGGAGGCCTTGCAGCTCAGGTCATACAGAGGGGTGGTGTCGGTGGAGGAACCAGTGACACCGAAGCTGGGGGCGGTAGTACCGGCATCCTCGAGGATGTACCACCAGGTGTTGGTGACGCCCAACAGAGGGCAGGCAACTTCGTCCCAGTACTGCTTGGCGTTGGCGACGTTGGCGACAGCCAGGTTCTCGGTGGCGCCGGTAGTAGGCCAGCCAGTCTCGGTGATCCAAACCTCCTTACCGCCAGCGACAGCCTTGGTATTCGCAACGCCCTTGTTGAAGAGGGCCTTGGCGTCATCGATGGAGTTGGGGTCGGTGTTCTCGTAGTAGGGGTATCCATCGAAACCGAGCCAATCGACGGCCTCAATGACGGCAGAGTTGGAGCTGTTGGTCCACGAGTTCCAGGTGTCGACGTGGCCGATGGGGGCGCCGCTCAGGGAAGTACCGGAGATGGCGGAGCGGACCTGGTTGATGTAGTCGACAAGCTCGGTAGGCTCGACACCGAGACCGGCGTTGGCCTTGACACCAGTGACGGAGTTACGGTAAAGATCCTCACTGCCGACGGAGATACCGACGACCAGGTCTGTGAAGGCATCGCCGTAGGTGGAGATGGCGGTTGTGAGGGCAGCAATCTCGTTGCTCATGTCACCACCGGAAGCCCAGAGACCAAGGAGAAGAGTGGTCTTCTCCTTGATAGCGGCGGGGATGGCCTCAATGGGGCCGTTGGTAGTACCACCCTGGATCATGGTGTACAGACGGGCACTGGTGAAGGCATTGTCGGTTCCAACGAGGTTCTTAGCAGTAGCAAACTCGGTCTCGAAGTCGGATTGGGTCTTGAGGCTGCCATCAACCTTGAGAGCACCGTAGTTGAAACCCTGAGAGACGGCCTCGGAGGTAGCGACGGCCATCGCGAGGGCAAGGAACTGAGCGGAACGCATTTTGAAAGTTTTCTTTTAACGAGTGTTGGTAGTCAATGAGAATGAGAATGAGATGGAAAAAAGGGAACCTGGAATAAAAGAGTGTAGCCAGGGAAAATATGAAAAGAAAAGATGAAGAATAAAGGTGAAAGTGAAAGTGAAAGTGGAAAATGCAAACGGAAGAGAAGTAACCCTCTAAAGTCTTCTAAAGAACAAAAGCAAGGTTGGTTCTAGCCATGAAAATTCAGTCTAGATTCCGCCACAGTGTAGTTTTGTGGATTCTGTGGGTCAGAACACGTTTGCTTGTCCACTTTAACCCTGTTTTAAACCCTCCGATTGGTTGAGCCGAAAATTGATTGATTCCAAAAATATGCATGAGCTGTGGGTCCTGGTGAATCCATGGATCCCAAGGCTGCATTCGATGATTTTGCCCGATCTCCCCGGATACTTCCATCCGGTTTGGGGAGTGAAGCGTTACCCCGACCATTCACATTTTGAACCTGAATAAAATTCACACCCTTTTCATTTGTTGCAATTAATATGTATTCAATATAGTGGGTCGGAGACAACCTTGGAGTACTCCGTAGGGAGTAAACCCTAAGCACTAGAGGAATATGACAGAGACACCCTGGTGGAGAATCGGTGTCATTGCATGACCGAGCTCATCTCAAGGGTTCCATTAGGGGTTTACTAATCTCCCCTATACAACACTGCCCTGCTGGTCTATTATTAACCAACCCCTTTTAAGCTCAACCCTTGATAGATCAATGATCGGCCGGTAGGGGGGCATCGTGACGTTGTAATCTACGGTGTACTCCGTACTCTGTGCCTTTGTCGAGTCTAGATGTCAAACAATGGCATTTAAATAGATTTGTGTAATTACGGAGTATCATTCCAGCACATTCACATGACTCCTTACTCTATATTATAATTATTTCATCCAATCACGCTAATAATTAATATGTATCGTAGTTCGGGCTGCCCTTGGCCAAGTCGACACTTACTGATCATACCTAGGGAGCAGTACTCTCAAGATAAATATATTATAGTGTTTTATGGTTTACGCACACACTTTTGTTTTTGTAGTCGGCATAGCTTAATGTCTTACCCGGTGATTTTGGTCTTATCGATCTTGTCGAACTTGGAGTGTATTGATTAGAGGTGGAACGCTGCTAATAGGAAAATATTTCATAGTGAATAGTTATGATTATCTTTCGTGGCTAACACTTATGATTAGAAAGTAGCATGGGTGTACGGAGTACTCCGTAGTAATTATTCTAAGTAGACGCATTTAATTTTCACATCACCTATTCCTTTGACCGTGTGGGTCGACTCCATCTACTCCGTAGATATATTATTTCCCATCTTAAATAGATGGGTTATATTCTTTTAGAAAAAGGGGCCTTAATGTCCATGTTTAATGTTTAGGTGCCCAACACAAGCCTTTTAGGCTTACCCCCCCCCTTCCCTCTGTCATATCACGCCCTCTGTCAAAACTCACATTATAGTCTCACATTGAATCGACTGACTGGTAGCCCAACACCAATTTGTAGGTCATCAACGTTTGTTATATAAAATAATTATTTCTCTCTATGTATTTTTCACTGTGCTATATTTAGCAACTTGTCCTATCTGCGATAACCAACTGGAAGGTGGGGTAATTAATTGTCCACAGATGGAACATCGAGATGTGTCCTTAGTTCCTGTTCCCTACATTAATCCGAAAGTATGACAATCACAAAGGAAAAGGTTCAAGACATCTTGAACAAAACTGCGCTCCGCTTTCGAGGCCCAGGAGGTGCCATCGCCGTCGTCAAAGATGGCGAGGTCATCGGCCAACGTGTATGGGGATTCGCAGACCTGGACCAACGAATCCCCATGACATCTCGAACGCAACTACCCATCTGTTCAATTACCAAACAGTTTGTGTGTGCACTATTGATTGACCTGGAGCGCAACCCAACCCAAACACTAGCTGCAAAGGGCGATGTCCGGAAACAGCTGTCAGATCATCTCACGGAAATACTAAGCCCGGAGCTCACACGTGATGGCGAACTGACACTTGATCGGCTATGCGACATGCAATCCGGTATGCGCGACTACTGGGCTATGACCACACTGTGGGGATCCAAGCCCGACGACGAGTTCCTGATAGCCAGAGACTGTGGCCCACTGCTTGCCCGAACCAAGTCATTCCATTTCCAGCCGGGAACGGAATATTCTTACTGCAATGTCAACTTCCATGTACTTGCCCGAGTGATTGAACGTGCTACGGGGGAGTCTCTTGACAAATTGCTCGAAGAGCGAATTCTCCGACCGGCTGGTATGAGCACGGCATTCCTTTGCCCGAACACTGCACACCACCCACCGCCATGTGTTGGGTATGAGGGTGACGAGCAGCACGGCTTCACAGCGGCTGTTAACAGAATGGAATGGTCTGGCGATGCTGGATTAGTGGCCTCACTCACTGATATGATAGCGTACGAGAAGTATCTCGATCGCTGCTACGCTGATCCGCAAAGCTGGTACCACACCGCTATTGTTGCCCCGAAATTCAAAGATGGCACCCCTGCGAGGTATCGTTATGGGCTAGGTCACACTGATATTGGGGGCGTGGACACGATCGGACATGGTGGAGCGTTGCGAGGGTATCGACTGCACCGGCGACACGCACCACGCGAGCGTTTGTCCGTTGTCGTTATGTTTAACAGTGACGTCGGCGCATTCAGTCCCAACATTGATATCTTCCGAGAGCTGTTGGAAGTACCCAAGCCTGTGGCAGCGTCCGTTCAAGCTGATGCGAGTTGGGTTGGCGCGTTTCTTGATCAAGATACCCAGCTGTCGATTGTCATCACCAAGGGCGCACGGGACGGAGAGGTGGCCATCAGCTATGACGGCGCCGCCGATACTATTAAGCTTAGCGCACCGAATCATGGGAAGTCCGATTCGGCGGTCGCGACGATCGATGGAGATTCCTTGAGTATTCATCGTGTCGGAGACAACCGTATACTCAGTGCTCGGCGTATTGTCCCGAAAGAATCAACCCTTAAAGGGACTGCATTCCAGGGCATCTATCACTGTGACGAGATTGAATCTACCTTCCATTGCATTGGTGAAGATGGTGTGCTATACGGTGCATTTGATGGATACCTGGGTCAAGGAAATGCAACTCCCATGAAATATCTCGGAGATGACGTCTGGGTCTTGACTTGTCCACGTGGTTTGGATGCACCAGCCCCGGGAGACTGGACCATTGTCTTTTCTCGTGATGAGAATGATGCAATTCAAGGGTTTACTATTGGTTGCTGGTTGGCCAGGAAGGTTGAGTTTGTGAAGAAAGCATGAGGGTTCTATTTTAGTACGTGGGTGAGTCAAATATAGTCAATCATATTCAATACCAGGAATTATATAACACTTTTGAAATCGTGGGTAGAATGTTCAATTATTCATTAGCGAGTAGCGAGTAGCTGCTGCAGCTTGTACTTCTCAGCTTGGAGTACTGGGGATCGATTGTGGCATATTGACTAGAAAGAGGAAAGTGCCTGGCAGTCCTAGGAAGGTGCGACCCAACTAGACTGAAGACAAAATGAACAGTTCTCGACAACGCGTCTTCCTCTTCTCTTTCTCTCCTCCCCCATCAACAACAAAGTTCCCATAATGGAATCTGAGCAACCTACCGAAGAATCCATTACTAAAAAGGAAGTGGTGCCCAACAAGGAGCGACCAACCCGGCGCAAGCAGCGTCGGTCCGGCCTGAAGAACTTCAGGCGCATGTTCCAGCGGACGGGAGAACCAATGGTGAGTTTAATATGTCTTACTTCTGCAGTCAGATATCGTTTAGATTATACTAACATTTGAGCCCTATAGCCCGAGGTCCCTGAAGGGGACAAGCCGAAGGCCAAGATTAGCCGGCAGGCAAAGAGGCGCCTGAACAAGCGCACGAGACGTATGTTTTGCCGGAAAAGTCAGAGAAGAACTGACAATAACTAACATATTTAGGTGCTGCTGCCGCCGCCGCCGCCGCCACTACCCCCGCTGCCACTATCACCACCGCTGCCGCCGCGCCCTCCCCTCCCACCCCTAACGACAAAAGCCGAGTCATGGCTAGATCTCCCCAATCCAAGAAGGATGGGGACAAGCCCCTCGACTTCAAGCAGCCCCTCGCCTTCCGCCCTAAGAACAGCACCGCGGTTGCGGAGTCTCCCTCCGAGACTCTGAGCCTCACATTGAGGCCAAAGAACGACCGTGCCTAAGGGCAATTCTTCTTCTTGTTTTTTTTACTATTCAAAATAATGGTGCCCCAAATATGTTAGATTATTGAATTTTGTTTGGTTAATATTGATAATCGTTGCCTAGCTGGTTGGTTGTAATTTTCCGCGTTGTAAATTATAGCCCGGTATAGTGCCAGAGAGTTAATTTCCTTTGCGGATTAAGGATCCCTAGTTATGAGTTCCCCAGATTGGCAATTATGACTCTTGAACATATGTATATGCAGTGATGGGCTTACATGAATCGCAGATTGTACGTTAAGGTGGTACTTTGAAGTGGATCCGGATCTATGTTCATATCCAGGAAGTCGAGTGTTCCGGGTCCTAAGCAACAGGTGGAAATGGGTCACATTATCATCTAGGGCCTGTCCACGGATTCTGCTGGTATCTCACGATTAATGAATTTCTGGCTATTGGCTGCCCAGATGCAAAGTGACCAATATTCTCACGACAGTTCGTAATCGTATTGCTTCGAGCCCTATCTTTGGCCTGAATAATAAGGTGTCTATTTCCTAAAGCCACCCACTTAGGAAAACCACACCAAATGCGGAAGCTGAGAACCTCGACGATGTGATAGGACGAGATAAAGTAGTCAAGCACTGACTAGACCCGACTCGATATAGTCCAGTCCGACCACATCCAGTTTATCGGGATCGGCACTTTCATTGCAATGCAACTGGTTCCTCTCACGCTGAAGGTTTGACACGCGGGGCTAGGCCTGCTGCTCATTTACCCTGTCCTACTCCATCGCATTTTTTTTCTTCTTCACTTTCTGGTTCTTCCATCTTTTCTCTTCCTCAGACATGGACCAGGATCAGCACAAAGACGATGTCCACTCCACTGTGGAGGTGGATGGTCTTCCTCCAAACAAGATCGACCAGCCAATTGCACCAGATCAATTCGACGAGAGATACCGCACCACCCGGATGGAAATCTGGGCATATTATGCGTGCGTGGATCGTTGAATTGGCCATGTGCACAGACTAAACACCACGAATGCAGCTATTACATTGGAAATAATGGCTTGTCTCTGTTCAGTGGGTCTATCCGCACTCTCAAAAGATCATAATTCGGGGAAGTGGAAGAAGCAGAAGCTGACCCGTTCTAGACTTCGCGCCAACTGCTTTCCAAAACTTGCTCTACCAAGCAGCCCCTTCCGATGGACTACTCGACTTCATAGGCAGACCACGCACGGTCAACAGCATCGTCCTCCTCTCAAACGGAATCTCCTTCGCGATCCAAGTCGTGGTATTCCTCATAATTGGCAGTTTCGCCGACTTCGGCTACTGGCGACCCAACATCTTGATTGGGCTGTCAATTATTGCCTACGCCATCGGCTTTGGCTGGTTAGGTGTCCATACCTCGGACAAATGGCATGTCGCAGTTGGTCTGTACATGGTCGGTTTGATCGCCTATCAGACTACACTCACTTTCTGGACTGCTGCGTTCCCGGGCTTGGCGCGCAATTCCCTCGAACTGAAGGAAAAGGCCGACGCATATGTCGCGGGGACGATCACTCGTGATGAATACGACTATGCGGATACCATGATGCGCAGCAAACTTGCCAACGTCGCTTTCTATGTCCAGTCTGTCGCGGAGATCTTTATTCTGGCGATTATTGTGGGAATTATGTTCGGATTGAAAGTCAATGATAGCGAGAGCAATAACAACTGGGGACTGAGTGTGCTGATCGCTTTCGTCTCCGGTGTGTGGTTGCTTGTCTCGATTCCGTGGTTTGTTCTTGAGAAACGCCGTCCTGGTCAAGACCCTGGGAAACGGTCTATTCTTGCTGCAGGCATTTGGCAACTGTGGTACGCTATGAAGCAGATCTGGCATTTAAAGCAGAGTCTGATCTATCTTATTGGTAAGACTTTGTGTTCTACTATGTCTCTCGTTTGGTCATTGGGTGCTAACGGTGCTGGCAATAGGTTATTTCTTACTTGGAGACTCTCTTAACACCACTGTGACTGTTATTGGAACTTTGCAGAATAGCATCGTTGCTTATAACACACTGGAACTGACATATCTGCTTATTGTTGGTATTGCTGCACAGGTGACCTTTAATTTCCCAAGCAAATTTGTTACAAACTGACACATCTGTCTTAGGCGGTTGGCATATACGCATTCTGGACAATCCAGCAACGCTTCAAGCTCGGAACCAAAACAATGTTCAACGCCATCGCTGTTGGTATCATCCTACTCGATGGCTGGGGCATGATCGGTATCTGGACCAATAAGTTTGGCTTCCACAATACATGGGAAGTCTGGGTATGTCAATCTCTCTCTGCCATATGAGTAATGATACCTAATATGTTCATTGCATAGGTCTACCAAGCGTTCTATGGCCTTTTCATCTGCCCCTGGTACAGCTACTCGCAGATCATGATCTCAGAAGTCACACCCCGCGGCCACGAGTTCCTATTCTTCAGTCTCTTCAGCATCATTGGCAAGACCTCGTCTTTTATTGGTCCCCTCGTCTCAAGTGCAATTATCGATGCCAGTCCGTCGGGCAATGCCTCGATGCCATTCTACTTCTTATTTGGGTTGAGTGTTGCCAGCTTTTTGATTCTGTTCTGGGGTGTTGATTTAAAGAAGAGCCAGGTAGAGCAGGAGATGTTCTTGTTGGATAAGTTGCGTCAATTGGATGCTAGTGCGTCGTCTTCTGATGAGACTTCTGCGGCGGTATAAACTACTATCTTCATATGTCATGGGTGGTTGACTCTTTCTGGTGTTTCTATCTAGAGACACTGCGGCTTAGGGAGATACTCTGATGCCTTTGGTAAGTGCATGTCGCGACAGCAATGGGAAATATGATATAAAGCGCGCCTCCACCGCATACGGCGGACGTTAATTAGATGAATGAAGAAATTTACTATCATTTCAAAAATAGTGTGTGTAGGGTAGAAGAAGAATAGATCATTTATTGGTATTGAACAATATTTTTTGTAAATGTACACACCAGCTTGGGGCGTACACGGGTTGCAACGTTGCAACGGAGAACCAGGAGACAAGACATTTAAACGCCAGACCTATGCACTGCCATAAGCGCCAATTCCGATACAAGATACCGATACCACAATTAAAGAGCAGATCATTCCCCATCGGAAGAAACTTCCTTGGACTTGCTCTTCTTCTTTTTCTTCTTCTCTTTGCGCTCGGCAGCCTCGTCGGCGTCGACATCCTCTTCGGCTTCGCGTTTCCGCTTGCTCTTTTCCTTCTTCTCCTTCTTTTCTTTCTTCTCCTTCTTCTCCTTCTTCTTCTGCTTCTCCTCGAGATCGGCGGGTGTCACCTCCTCGGGCGCAACAAAATCTTTCTCGCGCTCGCGCATCTTCTCGTCCCGCTTGAGGCGTTGTCGCTCGACAACCTCCTCCTTGTGAACGCGTTCCTTGGCCTCCTTTGACAGGAAGTACTCTCCAGACTCGATCTGCAGATCGACCTTGCTCTTCTCCGGCGCAGGGGGGAACGGTGTGTACGTCTTCTTCTCCTTGTCGGTAACCTTGAACGGCACATGGCGCTTGGACAGCGTACGCTTCTTGAAGTTAGGCAAAAACCGGTCCCAGGACTCTTCCGCCAGCGTCGGGTCCTTGGCGAGCTCGCGCTTGATCATCAACTCCTTGATGTGGTAGATCGGGTGGATGTTGGCCATGCAGTCGTCGATAATACGTCGCACCTCTTTGAGTCCCTTGAACGGACCCATCACGGCGACCGTGTTACCCTGAACCAGGATGTATGTGCTGGTGAGCAGCTCGAGCGCTTTGAGGGTTGAACCGTTCGGGCCGAGAATGCGCTGTCGTCGTTTCACGAATCGCTCTTTGTTCCGCACTTGGTTGCGGATCTTGATCACGTCGCATGCCACGCCGTCTTCGAGAATCTTCATGGCTTGTGTCACCGGTACGCTTCTTGCAAGCAGCTTGATCAGATCGCGGGATTTGATGATCGCTGCCGGGTCGTAGGTCTTCCGCGTTGTCTTCACTGTCATGCTACCCTCGACCAAATCCAGTGTGCAAGCGATGCCCTGCTTCTCCAGCGCTCTTGTAACCACCGGCCATGCTTCCTTCAAGTACTGTTCACGGTATTTGGGGAAGAGTGTCATGAAAGACGACTCCTCAGCAAAACTGCCTGCGGCATTGTGTTCCGGTTTGAATTCTTCGATCTGGTGCGAGGATTCGTCAGTAAGGTTTTTTCGCCAGTGAAAAAAAAGACATCAGGGGTGTGTATTGACTTACCTTCCACTTATCGATATCATCTGTATCCCAGGCCTTCTCCTTATTGTGTGTTGAAGGCATCTTGTTGGTGGTGACTTGAATCAAGAAAAAGAATTGGCGACTGTTCCGGAGCTCAAATGAAAATCCGCGCCAACTTTTTTTCTCCCCGCTTTCCCCGATTGGGTAGTTTCTGATGCCTTTTATATCAGGCACCCACCACATCTAGATCGGGGTCAAGCCTGCGTATCTTCCTCTTGACTAGCTCTACGCTAATTCCTGTTGTGGACGAAGTACGGAGTACAACAATTGCTAAGAATAGTTCAAATTGGGGGCCACTAATTATCAGCATATAACAGGGGCAATTTGGTCTCAGTCCTCCGTACGGGAAATACAAATGAAATTGGACATGGATCATGGGGAAAGCATTCGGCGATTTCCACGTTTATAAATAGACCAGTATAGGATTTCCAAGCACCAATCTTCCATGAATGATCAGGTCCAATCGAAGTCACAAGCTGTCGCGCTAGATTCTCCCCTCCATGACTGTTTTAGCCCTGTTTTGTCCTCGAAGGCCACGGAGGAGATCAATCACAAGGACTGCGCGCGATAGGTACAATTCTCGGGTAGATCTGTGCCCAATGGTCGCCTCAAGGCCACTCCCCAACACACCCATAAAGAGGAGAGTATGTACCCAAGGCATTTCGAGCTCCTGTGGGTCTTTTCGGCAATCGAAATACCGCAACTCGTTGAGCTAGCGTCCCTCTCACACAGGGGCATTCCGGAGGAACTCTAATCGGACACTAAGAGGCGGCATGGCCTCTTCCCGAGTAAGGGAGAAGGAATCCAACAAATCAACAAGAACCGAGCGTTAGTTATATCCCGACATGCAGCTCTGCTCATGTAAACTCCCAATTGTTAGTTATTTGGAGGTTGTGATTGGGCACCAAATCCGTACGGTAAACACGGTAAAGAGTGTATTGGTTAACAGAGCTCCTGCCGCATATATAATACGGGTAAGACACGGGATTGGACGTTTCTTAATGTGTAACAGACGTTGTGGTAGCTCATTGAGACTTGAGGGAGCTCGCCTCCGCTTGGGGCCATCACTCTCGATATGAGACGAGAGTATGCTCCCAAGGCATGAAGGCATGATGGCACTGGTGCGAAGCGGTCAAATTGTCAATTCTGTATGAATATTGTTAACAGCTGGTATTGACATTGAGATCAGTCAAAGCGTATATACCGCCTGAGACGGGTGTAATCATGTGTTCCTGAAATTTGGTGGTTCCCTGGCTCTCCCGTCAGTTCGGTAAATCCCCTCCTGTTTCATCTTCCTCTGTGTTCTTCGTCTTTTGTCACTTCGCTGATCAGTTACGTCTTGGAGCATGATGGGATCGGAAACATCCTTCTCTAACGGGTAAGGTTAGATCGGGCCCAACGGTGTCGGGTATCGCGCACTGGGCACGATCTCAACAGCTTAATCTGCACCCCCAGGCCTCCTGCTCTCAAACCCTCTCGAGTCCTCTCCTGTTTCGTTTCACTCCCATTCTGCCTAGAAGAAGTCAACTAAAAGTTCAACTTACCCTATGCAGCGAAAGCGATGCCTCGTCCCCGAGTTTCGTTCAATGCACCTGGACTTTCCCACCGCGTTGGGCAGTAACCCAATACCGATGTCGAGTGGATACGAGGCTCTTTAAAGCCAAGACTTGATGCATATGGGAATTGTTGGCTTCTCCGGGAACCGTGATGCGCACGACTACGAGCATTCTCCGATTCCAATCACCATTGAGGTGTCCCATTCGTTTTCGGTGCGACCATGCAGTCATCTTTCAATGGACTATACCGAGATTCCCAAGGTCTCCACTGGACTTCAGCAAACATACAGCGACGGTGGGACACGGATCTCTATCCCATTACAAACGGCAAAAGGAAAGAACAGGTGCAATAAAAAAAACCTCATTCGACTAACCATCTTTCCGCTAATGCAATATGTTTATGCAAATGGGATGAGAAGGACAACACAACAAAAAGCTGTACAATATGCCGGGATATGCTGGATGCAGAATGCAGGAGTGTCGCCAGCGACAACGAGCCCATCGTACGAGCCAGTTGTTTTCTTCCGCAAGAGGTTGCCCCTATCGAGCCGTCGCACCTGCCGATTTGCCCAGATCGGTGCCTTTATGGCTTTCTGCCAATGCACACATATCTTCTTTGTCAGACTCTGTCTCTTGATTTCACATTGGAGCAATACCTACAGTGGGAAATATGCTTTCAGTGTGGGGTCGGCTGCCTCTTGCTGCGCTTGGTCCACCAAAGCATTAAAAGTATTCGGAGCCATATGCAGACGTTGAGTCAATGGGTATAGTGCGAGGGAGCGGAGCAGTTGCTGCATGTTTGCGCAACTGTGTCGGCCGATGTCTCGCATCCGCTGGTCTGCATTGAATCAAAATCAGTCTCGTTCGTTTATCTTGGGCACCCAAATACCAACCAGTCGACCACGCAGACAGGGGAAGAGGAATCATCTTCGTATCCACCTCGACAAACCCTGCCTCTGTCATGAGAGTTCTCAGCTTCGATCCGATCCGAAGATCTTTCCTATCCTCCAGAGCACGCAGGTATTGTGTGCTCCATCTCCTCAAGGCATGTTCATCAGTGATTGAGCCGTTGTCAGATTGAACATTGAAGTATATTTCCACCATCTGGACCCAACCTCCTGGCTTCAGGACCCTTGACGACCGCTGGTGTTAGCCCTTGGGTTTCGGTTGCAGGACTCTTGCCTCTTGGAGTGACGGCAAGGTCAACCAGCTCTGGAGAACTCGCACCTGACTATGTCATGAAGATAGGATGGCCATCGGGATCGATTAATGCCGGTCGCAAGGAGTCTAGAATGGACAAGATCGAAATGGTTTGCAGGAAAGGTGAAACGGCGGTTCAAGTCATCGACCTATTCGGCACAAGTTAGCGATTGTTTTCCAGGGGGATACACACCTAAGCAGAACTGTTGTTCAAGATTGACGGATCACACAGAGGCCACGAAGCACAAGCCATGGGTAAGAGGCAGTGTTACAACCCCCTCATGGTGTAAACCACACCGTCCTCGGTGGTGAGATGTGAGACGAGTTGGCTTACCTGGAGCCATAAATTGTCAGGCATGTCGTCTGGACTCATGTGAGGGGCAATGTCTACGCCGATGACCTATGGACCACCAAATGTTAGGATGTTGTCGGGCGCAATCAAAGGGACATCTCACTTCGCAATCAGGGTTCTGCTCAGCAACATCGACGGCCCAGGATGCGGCTCCATGACCACAGTCTAGAACTCTTTTCAATCGACGGATTGGTGGGAAGATCAGACGATTATCGAAAATTCTGTGGAAAAGTCGTTGCTGGTCTTCGAGTTGTTGTGCTTCTTCCTGCTCCAGCTGTCAGTGAGAAGACAACGATGAAAACCTGAACGTCTTACCTCATCGACCGGTCCAAAGTACGTACGATGATCGATCGAATATTTCTGATACTCACGGCCCTGGACCGTGATCGTATTGAGATATTCACGGTCTAATTCTACCGTTTGTGAATCGGGGCTCCTGGCGGCCATCAACGTCAGTTGCCCTTGGTCCGAAAGAACAACGGGGAGAACTAGCATACGCCATTGTAACTCCTGGATCAAGTGGTGTTGTGGACGAAGAGGAAAATCCGAGTTGGTATATCCTGATTTGTCTGGCCAGGGCGGGGTTGAATTCTCCGAGTGCAAGATCTTGCTTCAAATCACAATATCCGAAAAAGGAGTGAAATTTTATGTGCTGGGAGTTTCATGGGAGAGATCGGGTGCCGCTTGAAGACGTCGGCGGTACCCACGGAGAGGATGGCGGCTCGCGCGAGGATCATTCGCCCTTGGGCGTCTGCTCGCGAAGGCTGTATGGAGGGGCTTCCAATTATACGTACCAAAATGTACGAACGGGCAAGACCAAGCGGTCCACCCAATCGAATTACCTCTTTTAAAGATCACACCAGATGCACGACTTGATTTGTGAAGGCACGGGGTGCTTAACGGTCGAATATTTAGCATGGATGGGGCCTGCGTGGGTAGTAACCAAATACGATCAACGCGGACTCCTAACTTCCCTCCGGATCGTTCATGTGGTTCCTTTGGGGCCAACCCCGAAACGGTCCCTCACATCCTTGCTAGTGGAACTACTAAAGATGGCCTGAGACGCTCTGCGCAGGAGGCTCTTGTTGCTACTGGGTGACCCTGGTATGTCAACCAAGGCTTGACGAAAGAAAAAAATGCGGGTCGGTTGAGTGGCCGAAGAGTGGTTGACGAATAATCCCGGGCGATTGACACCAGAATGGGTAAGTATCAGAATAGATTCGACTCGGGTCTGCTGCTTAAAGTCAAGCTAATGAACCTTGAAACTAGGCGGCAGTGCCGTCAACTAATGCACAGTTCGCCGTCTCGCATAGTACCTACTTTCCTCGAGGGTCTAAGGGCGCCCGACGATGTGGATCGAGTACAAATCCGGCCACGCCGCTTAATCTGACTGGGATCTCGATACCCCTTCAAGTATCGTCGCAAAACTAAATACGGTGGGTAATTCCGCGACTGTCGTCAACGGTTAAACGGCAGGTCTACAGAAAATTGAATCGCACCTTACTTGGGCAGCCCACCATGACTCCACAAGTTTCTAGGATTTCACCAGCGAACAACAATGTAACAAGGACTTGGTGAAGAATGGAAGAAAACAAAACCCACCCACCAATTAAGCCAAATTGAGCAGCATCTCGCCATGAGGTTGAAACGAGGACAACCCAGCTGTTGTGCGTCGTGAGACACCATACGGAGAAAAGAAGAATTGAGGAATTGACCATGATAGAGCAGACCGAGAAGAGAAGGAAAAAAAATCCCGTGGGGTTAGAATTCACACCAACCCTTGCGTTGTACAGGCCAATTGAGTGAGCCCTGCATTGCCGATTCCAAAGGCATGACAAGGGATCACCGCCGGTTCCCGCTGTCACTTTAATGAAGAAATGAAACCAAAAAGTAACCCACGTTGGACGAAACAGCTTGGCGACAAATTTCCAACACCCTCTCGCCCACGCCGCGGAGTAAGGCCGTGTCCTCGGGCCAATGTGCAGTACTGTGGGTGCCAAGTGGCTTGTTCAGTCCCGGTCTCACGACCAAAATGCTCCAGTGGCCCCTCAACTTGAGTGGGGTTCGACGGGCAGGATCAGCGACTTCCTCGTTGGGGCATCCATCCCCTCGGGATTTCTAGTGGGTTGGATTTAGGACAGTGGATTTCATTCTTGCCCCTCATGTTTCGCTCTCGCTCTCACCGCTTGTCTGGAGGTTTTGTGTTCCAAGATTCCAATGTTGTTTGCGCAAGTGGCGGACATGGAGATTTGCTACAGGGATTTTTAGCCGTCTCCGGATCGCTCCCGAAACAATCTGACAGAAGTACGTCCGAGGCAATGGATTGACACTGCTGTTTTGCCCCTCTTCTTTGTTTGGGTACTTATCAAGTTTTCCTCGTTGGGATTTACCTTGGTTGCATGGTACTTGCTACTGGGGCTAGTGCTGGGCAGCGGGAAAGATATCCATCCCGTGTGGATGTGGATGTGGACATTCATTGCCTCGAGGAGAAGGTCCAGAGTATGCGATTACATTATTACATACAAAAATGTGGGCAGTATCCACTCTGGTCCGAATCCACTGGGAAAACACCTTTGAAATTATTCCCAACTTACCTGACACCTCCTAGGTGCACCTGGTTTTTCTTCACTCTGGGTCAATTCTCCGAGATAATCGGGTCCCACTTCATGACCGCGCCGGCAATCCATGCCAAATGCAAGGATCTGGTACTTGCGTCTGCGGTTGCAAGGTACAGATGTCCAAGACTGGTGCATACTTTGTAGAACCACGTCTCACATAACAGTTAATGGTCGATAATCATACGGTGGTGATATGTCAAAACAGGCAGGTTACTTCCATTCTGATTAGGCTTATAACCCCGAGTCCATTTTGGAAGAATATATAGTCCGACCACTGTTTTAAGTTCACACAAGTCAAAAAATACTCCTCAGTCCGAAGCCAAAGAGAGAAGAAAGAGAAAACCTAGTACAAATTACAATATACGAAGTTCCATAGTGTCGGGATTTCGACAGGGCCTACCCGTTCGGCTCCGCCGTTGGCCTCACCCAGCACCATGGTTCATCTCTCGGGTAAGGGGGCCGCCTACCCAACTTTTTGGGCTTCTGGGGGAAGTCTTATACTTTGTATATTCATTCCTCCGGCTATTTTCAAAGGTCTCTCCTATTTAACCAAAAAAAGAGGAATTTGGAATCTAGATCGGGACATAACGGGTAAATTTAAAAATAATAATTAAAAAAAAGATTCCCCCTTAATTAGCGTATTCATTCATAGCCCCAACGCGCTGGTTCGCCTTCCAAATCGGGCGTGATGACTTCTGCCAAGCCATGTCCTTTACGATGTTACGTTGTAAGATGAAACAAAAGATGGTGATTCGTATTCTCGCATACTCGGTGGATATGTGACTTTTTTTTGGTCTACTTAATACGAACTTGCCCATTCCCTCGGTCCCGCTAGCCATATGCGTGAAGTCGCTATAGATACACTTACGTATAGGTGTAGTGGTGGTACTATCTAAAGTGCTAGTACAACAGAAGAGAAAATATATTGCTACTAGGTACTCCCAACATTGCATGATGGTCAGCATTTCGCGGTATAGAAATTTGCGATGTGAGACCCACTATTAAATTATATATATTACGTCTAACATATCAATGAATACAAAAATGTAGTAAATATATATCTACCAGAACATCCTTTTATGAAGTATCATCCCTTCACGCTCTTACATCGCAATACTATTTAGGCTGTTGCGGGTGGGTTCTGATAAAATGCAATTTTACTACGTGCTCAGTCCTAATTGACACTAGTAGAGTAGATGATAGTGTCTTAATTTCATATCTATAGAGCCGACCTAAGGCATTTGCACTAATGATTAGCTTTGAGCATATTAAATACAGAAGCAAAGAAGCCTTTCATAGGTATCTGCTAGTTGATAGAAGTGGATGGGTGGGGGATATAAGGCTTGCCGGTTTTTACTTGCACAATGTACATGGAGAAATTATATACAGCAAGAACTCAAAGCGGTAAATCAAGAGTAGGACCATGAGATAGGCCAGGCTACGTAAAATATAGCAGAAGAAACGAGAAAGGCAACGGATCAGGAGCCTGAGGGAATATATATATAGACACTACTTCATACCTACAATATTAAACAGAGTGTACACATATTCTTTACGCTAGAGTGTGGTATGTAGTCTCAGTAGCGTGAGTATAATTGGATGCGTATCATTCATCGCAAAAGCACTGTCACTGCCATATATGCTCATATAAACAGCAGGTAAATCGAAGAGTGGGGTATATAAAGTTACAGAACAGGAAGAAACCAAGCACAACGCATACACCAGAAGAATGCATCCACCTCAGAACACCGCTAGTACGCTTTCAATCATAAGACCAGTACAAAAAGTACTCGTTGACCTACCGGACATCCTCCCTCCCCGTCATAAACTCGACACCCGCCGAAATAATCTGCATAACCGTCTTAATCTCCGCCTCTGTCCGTGGCGCATAAATCAAAACATACTCCGCCGGGATATCAGGCCTCGTACCAAGCGAAAGGAATGTCATCGCAGATGTACCGGAGAAAGCATGACGCTGGCCCCAGCCAGCCTCAATAACCTTGATACCTAGACAACAATGTTAACACACGAACACCAAACCAACAAATAGAAAAAAACCATACAATCAGCCGGCGCAAGAGTCACATGAACCGAGTGGTCATTTCCAGAATGAATATGCGCAATCTCCCGGTTCATAGTCTTCGCAATGCCAAAGACAGGAATATGATCCGCGACAAAGAGCCCATCAGCATGGCGTTCCAGATTCGACTTCTGGAATTTCACAAGGTGATGATTCTGATGGCCGAAGGCACTAAACGCAGAGCGGAATTTCTATTACAAAAGAACATAATCAGCAAATAGCTCTTCACTCATCGCCTTCTCTTCCCCAACACCCCAAGAGGACCGAAGAAAGGGACACACGACACATGATACACACAACATACCTCCATAACAGCCTCATCTGGCACCTGCGTCAACTGTCTCTGCGGTGCAACATGCGGTCCAACAACAGGCCGTTCTTCCCCGCGTCGACTCCCCAACTGCTCCTCGGATAAGAACAAAAACCCATCATTGCCCTTCCCGTGGCCATCAGCTGCCGCAACGCGTTGCACGTACTCGTCCGTGCTGAGCATCTCGCGCCCGAAGGGCTGGAATAGCGCGCGCACGACAATCCATCCTAGCGCGTTGTTCGGTGGGCCGCCCGGTCCGTAGGATTTGAAGATTTTGTAATCGCGGTAGGCGGCGGGGAGGATGAGGGTCGACACGAGGAGCGCTGCGGCGCCGAGGGCCAGGGTTAGGCGGTTCGGGGGTGTGTTGGGGTGTTGGAATGGGATGCGGAAGACGGAGGTGAAGGGTATTGGCATGTTTGTGGTGTTTGTGTCGATCGTATGCAGAGCTTGGAGCTTTGTTGGGTGTTTATTTGTTTATTTTTGGTGTTTATAAATATCCGAGAGATTGTCTTGAAATTAAATAGAACCTACCTTTACCCTGTAGGGCCAAATCCGGGGCTGACGTGAGAAGCCGCTTGCTGACGCGATCCCGAGGAATTCGCGTGCTCCGGTCCTTTTTCAGGAATTTGCTAGGACTATAGGGCTATAGGGCTATACGTAGTACACTGAACATTGTAAATCTGGGTTTCGTTTCGTTATGCTACTCGTATTATCATTAATCCCGATGTCTGGCATGACTCGGTTCATGGATCTAGGTACAGTGATTAGGTGGATTTCCACGGCCTCACAGATGAGGCTTGATTGAGTGCGATATAGCCCGTTTGGACCCCGTTTTGGAGGCTCTGGTGACTCATGCGGCGGCATTCGATGATCCAAAATCCGAAGTCCGTGCCATACGTCATATGTCTCGGTATCGCGGAGTTTCAGGTGACAGCTAGCAAACATCATGGGTCTGAAGCGCTTTGCTTCTTGCGCCCATAGCTAGAGCACCTAATCGCATCCCTGTCGGAGGTTGATTATGTTGATAACGATATCAAGGTGTAAAAGACACAGAGCAAGGCACTGCATGTTTTCAGTCCTCTTTACTCTCCTCTCGGCTGATAGAGGTCAGGGAGTGTGCAAGCTTCAGGAGCACCACACTCTCCGTTGCGGCGAAGTAATTTAAGCTGTATAGTCATGTTAGAACACATAGCCGAATAATATGAATGCCCAAGGGTGTTACCCACCTATCCATCAAAATGCGGAGGTGACGCGAGAAATGGTCCTCATATCGTTTCAGTGTGTCCTCGAGTTTTCCAATCCGCGTCGGATCATATCCTCTGGCATCAGCGCCGGGGACTTTCCCTCCAGCCAAGTCGGGATCGGCTGAAGCCAGGGCGCGTGAAAGTGATGCCGCAGTCCAGGAAGCAAACATAGTGCAGCAAGTCACCAGTTTCGAATGGATCTGTATACTTATTAGTACGTATGCCACCGCGAGTGGGGAGAAACATACCTTCAACAGCTTAGCCTGTGTGAGCATGCACTCTTTCAAACATGTATCCAAGAAATCAACATGATCCTGCATCAGCTCATCAACCGTCCGGTTGACCTGCTTCATATCATTTTCCTCCACCTCCGACGCATCGGCGTGAACGCTGTTGACACGATCCATCAGGCCAACCCAATTGGGCTCAATGACCTCAGCTGTGCAAAAGTACAAAAGCTGCTGAACAAACACCAACATCTTGGCGCGCAGGTTCCACGCCCGCCGTTTCCATATTTCAAGCCTTCGATCGGAGGATTTATGTCTCCAGCTGGTGGTCTTGTTCTGGTCTGCCCAGGACGTGACCAGCAACGTCTCGAGATGGCGCAGTGATAGAAGATGGCGGAAAATAAGTTGGTACCGCAGAACGGTTTTGCGGCTAATGACCAGTGACAGAGGGAACGGAACCGAATAGTCCAGCTCAAGCGCATCGAATCCAAGAATATCCTTGTCCTCGTCGGCGGAATGAACAGCAGAGACTTGCTGCTTCTCCGTTTCTGCACCGTCTTGGTTGACACCTGAAACATTGACGACTTGCATCAACCATTTCGTGAGGCCGATTTTGTTCATTCGCACCTTAACATCTTCCTTGAACGGGTCCAGTGCTGCAACACTGCCAGGCTGTCGAAGAACAATATCCAATAGTGACTGGAGCTTGCCCTCGTTGACGGCACGTGCCGGTTTTCGTAGCTCAGAAGCCCCAAGTTCGAGGAAGTAGGAAAAGAAATCTGAGCGATCCAGGAAGAAGTAATGTTTCAGGGAGCGGAATCGGGTAGTTAGGGAGTTTTTTGTGACAAGAAGATTCAACAAGGAGGCGTTGGCATAGGTATAGGCGGAATTTACGTTGTCCAGGAAGCGTGGATCATCAAGCGTCTTTGGGACATCTTTGACCTCTTTGCTGACGTCGACACCACCACATTCACGCACCACGTTGAGATATTTTCCAGCCAGCAGGACTTTATCCTGGACGCTCTTCAGTTGAGGCGGAACCTCGTTCTCTCGAATCGTGTATCGTTTCTCCCAATACTCGTCCGTGTAGTCCTCCTCAAGTTTCTCGCGCTTGATCCATTTTTGTTCCTTAACTAGGAACTCGGCGTGGGGATCTCTGATACCGCCATGGTGCAACCATTCATTCAACATGGCCATGTAAGGCCTACTGGCGTCACGCAGCAAGGTCTGAAGCAGATTCTTGGTTGTTGGATCGCCTGAGAATGAAGCCAGACGCCCCGTCAGGAGTCCGAGAATATTGCCTCCTTTGCACATTTTCTTGCGCGCCATAGACCCTGGTACTAAATCTCCCCCTTCTTTGAGTTGTTCAAGTATATTGTCAACATCCTCATCAAAGTCGTCAATCGATTCCTCGAGCTCTTCATCTAGAAGGCCATTTTTGAGCAATAGTTCCTGGCCCATTGAATATAATTGGGCCAGACATTGACTGGTCGGCATTGTGTGGAGGTGAAGAAGGTGCAAGGTAAATGTAGGATTGTTCAGCAGCTGGCCTTCCAGCTGGGCGATAAGGATCAGGTAATCTTTGAGGAGCTTTCGAATGGATGCGCATAACGAGTGACTAACAGCGCCACACTCAGCACGGCTTTGTATTTCCACAAATGCCTCCATGGCACTGTAGTGTGTCGCCATTTTCAACATGGACTGGATGAGGTCACGAAGAGTCGGATCCAGGCCCGGGGCTATCTGAAAGACTGGGCCCGTTAGGCGGTCTTTTTCGATTGATGGGTCATATGAGCTGGCGTAGTGAACATATTGGCCTTCGAATCCCATGAACACGAACAACAAGTCCTCCAAGATCGCTGCTTCCTGGGCATCGGATGAGAGCTCTCGAAGTGGCCGAGGATGAAGGGCCTGTGGGGCCGTCGAAGCTAGAGGGGGGACTGATACACGACATGCGAGAGGAGCTGTTGAGTGAGGAATCAATGAAGCTTGGGGATTCCATGGTGCTGGAAAGAAAAAAAAATCATGGTTAGCAAATCCATTGCTTTCCCCGACAAACTGCGACACAGGGATCACTCACAATCAGCCGGGCCCTTCTCTCCAGTCCGGGAACTGGGTCTTGCGTCATCAAGTTGAACAGGCTTCCTGGACCGAGTCTTATCCCAATCGCCTCTGTTGGCTGCACTGATAGATTCCTTAACAGGGTTCACAGGGTTCCTTCGCACTGCCTTTTCCCGTGATGCGATCACCATCCGCTCCGAGCGCTTATCGGACATACTCTTCTGATCCCGGGATGCTCTGTGTTTCTGACTCGAGGTGCTGTGGCGCAAGGGATCCTTGTTTTCGACTTGTAGCGGCGATGGTCCGCGAGTTTCGGAATCGACGCGATTGGAGACGGCGCGGGGTCGTGGAGCGCTCATATACGCGGCGCGGTCATTGGCAGACATAATCCCGCGAGGGCGACGAGTAAATCATGCAGCATAGGAGAGTGAAAGGCGCGAAATCGAAGAATCAGCAACAAAAATAGCAGAACCAATGTATATGGGGAGAAGATGCAAGTATCCAAACAACTCCACTTTTAGTTTGGGCAGATGAACGCCTCAGGCACCAAGGCAGTAACAGGCACCTCACCTCTTGCGTACGTCGAGAGCTTCCCTTCCCGAGCTTCACTCAGACACCCACCTCTGCTCCTCTTCCCTTCCAACTGATTCTCTCCTCCATCGTCATTCGATATTGCTTCATTGCTTCTCTTTTTGACAAGTCTCTCCCGTCCCATCAGATAATCCAATATGTTCATTGCACGATCAGAATATGGTAAGCTTCATGAAGGCCTCCCCTCACCGCGGAATCAACTAACAGCTTTGGACAGACCGTGGAATCAAGTACGTTCTCCGAGATTAATCCGTGTCCTTAGACAAACCCGCAGCCTGACAATGTTCCTTCCGCAGCACCTTCTCCCCCGAAGGTCGTTTGTTCCAAGTCGAATATTCTCTTGAAGCTATCAAACTAGGCTCCACAGCCATCGGAGTATGTCATACCACTCAGTTCCTCTGTGCTCTACGGTTCAAAGAATGGCCTCGAAACACTACAATGAGCGACCTTCGTACTGTTATCGGAGCGCAAAACCAAGGATAATGCGATGATGGGACCGTCCTTTCTAACACCCATCTAGGTAGCAACCTCCGAGGGTGTTATCCTCGGCGTTGAGAAGCGCGTCACATCCACGCTGCTCGAAGCGTCATCTGTCGAGAAGATCGTCGAAATTGATCAGCACATCGGCTGTGCCATGTCCGGTCTGCAGGCCGATGCCCGCAACCTGGTTGAGCACGCCCGCGTCGAGTGCCAAAATCACGCCTTCCACTATGCCGAGCCTCTGCGGGTTGAGAGCACCACACAGGCAATTTGCGATTTGGCTCTGCGATTCGGTGAGAGCGGTGATGATGAGGAGAGTGTCATGAGCAGACCGTTTGGTGTTGCGCTGTTAATCGCTGGTTATGACGAGGACGGGCCCCAACTGTAAGATATGCAGTTTTCTTTCGTCTGATAGATTTACTGACTTCTTTCCTTTGCTAGATACCACGCCGAACCGTCCGGCACATTCTACCGGTATGACGCCAAGGCCATCGGTTCAGGAAGCGAAGGCGCGCAGGCGGAGCTGCAGAATGAATACCACAAGTCTTTGACCCTTGCAGAGGCCGAGACGTTGGTACTCAAGACGCTGAAGCAGGTCATGGAGGAGAAGCTTGATTCCAAGAATGTCCAGTTGGCCAGTGTCACCAAGGAGAAGGGTTTCCGTATCTACAACGATGAGGAGATGGGCCACGCTGTTACACAGCTGGGTGGTAACCAATAAGTGCGATTAGTGTCGAAGATATCTCTTGACGAGGCTCCTCGGACTTGATTGGAGGCTAGTATCTATGTCGGGAGCAATAGAAAAATAATGACGATGCCGTCCAACGCTTACATGCTGGCCTAACTATGTCGCATTTCAGGTAGTTAGCAACTTGGAGATGGGGTGGTTCGTGAACACCTGTAGTGGTAATGTGTGGTAAATTTTGATTATGTACAATGACATGACATGTAAATAGATCCTTTGCAACGTCTAGCGGATCTTATAAACGCACGGCTTCAGCACCTTGGCCTCCTGCTCAGCCGACAAGCCAGACTCTGAGTCAGGCTTGCGGTCAACAAAGCGCTTCTTGTTACCAGGCGCAGGCGCACTGAGGGCCGAAGCGTGTTTCCCCTTGGTAGGCGCACCACCCTGCTTAACAAACACCATTCTCACAAACATCTTATTGGACTTATCCACGGATTCCCGACGAAGCATGAACCCACGAGACTGGAACACCTCCACAAACGCCGAGATATCAGTCTCGTCGGTATTGTCAGACGGCCGCACATCCTCAGCAAAAATGTCAGCGTCATCCTCGGAATCGTCACCGCCCTTCTTCTTGGGCTTCTTTTTGTCTGCCTTGCTGCCGGGCTTCTGCGCACCGATCTGAGACTTCTTGCGTTGGACCTTGCCAAATCGACTTTTGACCTCACTGACCCAGCATTCGCCCTTGCCGTCATTGCGCAAAATACGCCATGCCTCCTCGACGAACGAAACCCAGTTAGTTCCCATCAGACTCAGACAGAAAATAGCCACGTCCGCGGCGCCGTCCTCCAAGGGAAGATTCGAGATATCGGCTTTGGTGATCAATGGATCGGGCGCTGCTAGGTCGTAGCTGTTGAGCTTGATGTTCAGCTTCTTGGCGGAGGGAGTCAAGGCGCGCGCGAGCTGTGCATCACCACAGCCCAGATCGGCGAATGTGCATACTCCAGTAGGACGACGGGGGAGCGGGTAGCCCTTGGCAGGGTTGAGGGGCTTTCCTCGCCTTGGGAGCGGGATTGCACCGCGGGTGCGGATGGTCTTGATGTAGTCGTCGACCGGGTTTGAGGGCCATGACTCCTTGACCTGTCGTGCGAATCCGGCATGGTACTCGTCGAAGAGCTCAGGGTTGGTACTGAACATCTCGAGTGCTTTCTCGGAGGGGGTCGTGTAGAGGGTTTCGTTCAGGTGGCGGAACCGGGAGGATATCAGCTTCTGTCGCATAGCCTGCTGGAGAGGGGTCAGGTTCGCTGTTGGTGGGAGTGCAGGCGCAGCGGGGGCAGGGGCAGAAGCTTCTTTAGCCGGGGCAGTAGGCTCTGTCTCGGTCTTGTCTTCTGAGGCGTTGTCCTTGTTCTTCTTGTTTTTCCGCTGCTTCTTCTTGGGAGCTTTCTCCTCGGCTTGATCTGCGTCTACATCGGCGATGGTGACAGTTTCGCCTGTAGGCTCCTGGGTGGTGGCCGTCTCAGGTGTCTGCTTCTCCTTCTTTTCCTTCTTTTGCATCTTCTCTGGCTTCACGGAACCCTCTGGGCCGCGGTTTGAACCCTTCTCAATGTGCCTGCGGTACATCTCATCCACATTTCCGGCGGTGACACGGTCATTAGCACGCTTGCGCTTGTTATTCTTCGCATCGGCGTTGGGGGCATCCTTCTCCGGCTGGGATTCGTTCTTGGGCTGCACGGCCTGAGTCTGTGACTTCAGAGCAGAGCTCTCCACGGACCATCCTGGAACAGCGAACATGATCAATTTTGAAGGATTGGTTGAAAATTTCCAATGCCTTTGAAGTAGAGGAAATGGTACCTCAGAAAAAAAAAAACCTATCAAAATTTCGTTATCGGTAATTTTACTATCATATTACATACACATGGCTGCCTTAGGCATTAAGGCACTCAGCCGGGGTAAACCTCGCCTAAAAGCCTATGGCGTGACCTTGTTTGGGGCACAAAGGGAACGTTGTACGGTAGACTCCATACGCCCCTAAGCGCCCCGTAAGCCCTTGTAACCGTGAAAGTCAATGCCTGTGGGGACTTAGAAGTCTGGCTGTGCACTTAAGAGAGACCCTTGCAAATAAGTAGGTGACCATATCCCCCTTTGATGAACCACAGTGTATTGCGGGTGATCTGCGATCCTCGGCAGCTTTTACCTATCTAATCATTGTGCCTTTTAGCCCCACAATGTCCTCGCACATGTCTACTCTCCAATCTTGAGTCATTCGAAGGCCATGGCTGACAAGCCGATGGATCAGCTGGATATCCCAGCGGATCTTACTGTTGACGGTCCTGCGGAAGCCTCAACCACACGGTCAGGTCCCCGCAGACTCCCCAAGAAACGAACTAAGACCGGCTGTTTGAGTACGTTGCAGAACGCTGGAGATAGTTTCCCTCGTTGACCAAGCCTTATAGCTTGTCGGAAACGCCGGATCAAGTGCGGCGAAGAGAAGCCAATATGCACCAACTGCGTGAAATCCAAGCGAATCTGCGAGGGATATGCCCAACGGGTCGTGTTCAAGAACCCCATAGGAATCTTTGGATCTTTCAGTACTGGCCAGGGCCAAGATCCGCAGATAGAGCAACAACATATGAGGACTCCAATCCCCAACGACTATGGCTCTCAACTCCCTCCCCAACAAGCGGCAGCCGCTGCTCAGCATCCAATGTTAGCTCCGCGACCTGTTGATCCGGCAGCGATGGGATATCACTCCTTTTCGTCACAAATACCTTCGTCGAGTCAAATACAGCCGGCCAATGCAACTCAATTCTATTATCCAACAACCCAGGTGCAGCCACCAACTCATATGTGGCACAATCAGCCGATAGCTCAAATGGAGAGCACACTGGTACCGCCAAAAGCGAATGACTTCTCACAAGCACAGCAGCAGCAGCAGCCAGTTCAGTTGGGACAGACGAGCGCTGCACATAGGCCCCATTCAAGCGTACACAACGTAGGCCAAATCCCCAGCCCCATCGGCCAGACGGCTGAAGAATATGCCTTCAATCTCTCACCGGTACCTGGCCTCAACCCAATGGCGGGAAGCAGGGAGAGCGAGCTGAATCTGGTTCCTCAGGTATGCATTGCCGTGATCCCTCTGTTTCTTCCAGCCGGTATACTAAGTACTTTTTTTTAGATGATCCAGCCGCTACCAACGATATATCATTACCAGCCACCGCAAGGACAATTCCCGCAGCAATTACGACCTGATGACCAGTTTATACCCCATGAAATACCCCACCAGCCACAAGTCATATACATGGAGGATGAAAGCGAGGATTATTACGACATAGACTCGGACGATGAGATGGCAGATCAATCGCAGGCCGAAGGCTTTAACCAGTTGAGTCTCATCATGGCCTCTGCTAACCGTGACGAGCGACAACTCCGCTCCTTCACGACATACCTGAATGAGCCCAATGTGCTCGCCTCATACCGACCTACACTGGGCTCTTCTCCCTTAAACAACCCAAAGACCGCCCGCATATTTGCCCACTTCATTCACTCGACTGGTCCATCTTTGTCTATATTTGAACGGCACCCTACTGACTCCTCAATCGTTCTGGGGGCGGCTGTGCCATCTGCACAACAGGGTCTATGGGTTTATACACTTGCACTGAAAGCCTTGGAACATCCAGCCCTTCTCCAGGCGATACTTGCCGTCAGCAGCTTACACATTGCATATTTACAGCAAGTTCCCACAACAGTATCGCTGAAGCACTATCACTACGCCCTGAAACGAGTTGGTTCCGCAGTTGGCCTTCCCCTTCGACGCAAGCAAGTTGGTACCTTGGCTGCCACTCTTCTACTGGGCTACTATGAGGTGATATCTGCCGATCACTCGAAATGGAATAACCACCTGGGTGGGTCCACTCATCTTATCCGGGAGATCGACTTTGCCAAGACCACCAGAGACCTACGGGCCCATCGACGTAGAGCTCATGAGCAGCGACGTCAGTCTGGCTGGTCGGACTCGTGGTGGGGGATGCCTGGCGATGTCTCTGAGGATGATCCCTTCTCTGAGAAAGAGGGCAGCGTCGATGAAGATCTCGTAAGCGCCATTATAGGACAAGCAGTCAATTACGACGATTTTGGGTGTATTAATGATGAGAGTACGCTGCCCTCCAAAAAGCATTTTACACGCAAGGACATTGAGGTCTTCCGGATTCAATGCGATTTATACTGGTGGTATGCAAAGCAAGATGCATTCCAGAGTTTTATAGGCGGAAACAAACTACTGTAAGTCAACACCTACGGCTACTAGCAGACAACAGAGTTGCTTATCGTTAAACCAGAATGCCCTACTCTCAATGGGGTCAATGTCCGCCTCGAGCAGGCATTGGCCGTTTAGATGCCATCTACGGCTCTGCAGATCACCTGTGGCTGCTACTCGGTCGGGTCACAGACTTTGGCTTCCGTGATCGTAAGCGAAAATTGAGAACCCTGAAGGCAGGTGGGGTGGATTGGAGGCCTGGCCCTGAGATGTTCAAATTCATGGGTCGGTTCGCTGGTGGCCCACCTGGCCAAAGACCGGGACCACCTGGCGGCTTCGGTCCAGGGGGGCCCCTGGCCCTCCATCTGGCCCACCTAACATGCAGCCTCAAGGGGACCCCAGGGCTCCGTCCATGCCAGAGCCTACTGGAGGGTCTCCTTCAAGCTCTGGACCGGCTTCGGTCGACAGTCCACCCATGTACGGAATGATACCCCCTCAACCACCTCCACGCCTTCCCCGGGGATTCCAAGATAGACCGCATGAGCCTCGTTTGTCACCAGACGAGGATGACCCGGCTCACGAAATGAGTTACAAGGAAGCTGAACAGGAATGGGAAGATATCCTAGTCGCCATGGAAACATTTGCGCAAGCGCTGGGGCGCGATTTCCAACCTTTACCGGCAGATGTAGCGCCCCCAATCACTACACCGTTCGGTCCTGCCCTTCAGTACCGTACGCACACCATCGCCGTGATCTGGGGGTTTTATTATGCTATGCGTTTGCTGCTGAATCGGATTCATCCCTCCATGCCACCGGCCATCATGATGGCAGCTGGGGTCTCTGCTCCAACGACAACTGGATTCGCGCAGATTGTCGGGAAGATCATGGCAGGTATCTACTACCCGCAACGCTTTAACCTGGAAGCTGGAAGCTTGAGTCCGAACTTGGGTTCTTCGTTGACTGAAATGTCGGTACCTCTATTCTTCGCAGCTGTACAATATAATGATCACACGCAGCGAACTTGGACCATTTCAAAACTTCGCGACATCTCCCGCCTGACTGGATGGAAGACCGCGGATGCTATTGCAGGTGGCTGTGAGAAATCATGGATAGTCGCTGCAAAACAAGGTCGTGGGCCACCCTATCAACGATCATTCGCGACTGACCGAGAACGAGAAAGGGAACAAGAGCGTGAGGTAAGCATGTCGATTGGATATCCCTGGGCTAGAACATCCATGCTAATGTATACGCCACAGACTGAGGCTGTGCTGCAAGAGGTTGAGGATCGTCGATTTGTCACAGTCAAGTCCGATCGCGCGCATTGGGCTATGGGAGTCTTGGAAGAGAACATTGCGAATTTGGAAATTTAGGGTTGGATGAAGTGTACAATGCACCAGTACCTACATACATAGTACATTTATGTACATTAGGCACAACATACAGTCGCATCATACAGTAGTGCCCGTTGAAAGATGTGGCGCAGATAGGTACCTGGAAGGTACCTAGGTGTCCCCCACATTCAATATCCGACCGACCCAATGTCATCACTGATCAACTTCTGCCTGACGTTTTACCTATCCCGTACTTTTTGACGTTCACTTTTCTCCCAAGGCTGATTCTGAATTTCTGTTTTCTGTTCCTTTCCCCTCACTTTTGCCTCCCAGTGTTTCACCTCTTTTCTTTTTTTCCCATCGGTTTCCCGAGGTCACTATCAATCTCTCTCACCCGTGGTCCCTCGATAACCCCACCCTCGGTACGGAAGTCAGCCGCTCGCGTCATCCACGGTTCACCCTTCTTTTTTTTGTTGTGGAATCCGGTGATACTCCCAAATGTCTCGATACGATGATTACCGCTCTTCAACAGGGACCCTAGATTCTCACGATCGATACGATCGATACTCACGGGGTCCCCCGTGGCCGAACGACCCCGCCATGCCGAAGAGCGCTTTGAAGCGCGCCTCCGTGAGGAAGACCGATATGGCCCCCCTGCGCGTGCACGCGGGAGATTCTATGAGGATGACCATCTAGACCACCCACCCCCTGCCATGCCTCTTGTGGCGCATGACGGGCGTCGGCGCCGTGATGCTAGTCCGTCATTCCAACGTCCTCAACTTATTAGGCGGCAGTCTTCCTTGGACACTTTCGACCGCATACCCCGACGCAAAATGGAACACCTTGAGGCCCGGGACCATCGACCCCGCGCTCCCCGTGTGCCTGTCGTTGCTCCGCCTCGTCGCCATTTATCTCCGGGCCGTTATCGTGAGCGAGAAGTCTACGAGGATATTAGGATCGCAGAGCCCGACTACTATGGCGATGAAGAGTTCAGAGACATCCGTGACCGAGATATGACTGATCGTCGCCGCCGCTCCAGCAGTAATGTCCGCAGACACCGTGAGGAGAAGCCTTACCCGCGCAAAGGGAAGACTCGTGTTCCTCGTCACCTTGCTCATATCCATGCCATCATGGATCTAGGATATCCGTTCAAGGAAGAGGTGGGTGCTATTTTTCCTAGTAGTACTTTTATCGGCTACTGACCTAAGTAGGAGGATGTGATTGTCATCCAAAAGGCATTGTCGAAGGAACAGATAGATGAAGTGCTTAGCTTGAGCCGCGAGTTCAGGCGGCCTTCGCCCGTGGAAAGTGAGTAGCACCCACATCCGCATTCCCAATTATGATGAAGAGTAATATTAATTGCCTTCCTCGAACAGCCGAATACATCGGCTTATCCCCGTCTCCTCCCTTGAGGGAACGGCCACGTGAGCGGGTGACGACAGAGCACCTGCGTGTCGAGGCCTCTCCCCGCACAAGCCAGGCATTAATCGTGGAAGCATCACCCTCTAGACACAGGTCACGGTCGCGTCACCATGTGGACCAATATGAGGAGATTGTCGAGAGACCTCGAGTGCGTGGAGTCTCCCGGCGACGAGCTGTATCAGTCCATGATCATGCACCTCGTCTCTCATCTGCCGTGCAGTATATAGGGGAGCGAGAATCCGATACCGTTCGGACGGGCCCGATGGTTCTTGTTCGTCCACGGGAAAGTGACCACGACATAAGCAATTACATTCGTGATCTGGAAGAGGAGACAAGACTTCTTCGTCTAGAAAGGCAGGGTGGGATTGAGATCACTCAGCAGCGCGAAACAGATATCATTGACGATAGAGGCAATCAGGCGGAGGTTACTGAGATCCGGAGGCAGGAGCGCTCAGGTATGACGCCGCAGATTACAATCCCGATTTCATGATTCTAACATTCTCTAGAACCAAATTCTCGTATCATGCGTGCTATGATGGCAACCCTGACCTGATATGCTGTTTTCTTGCTTTTCTTCCGAAGCAGAGACTTATGATTCTATGATTTAATGTGATTCCAGTGGTTCTGGGTTGTATGAATTTCCGGATGTTTTCATGTATCTTTTTAGTCAATTTATAGGTTATTACTAGGTACAACATTGAAGTATTAACATTTAACACTCTATCCTGACAGGAGATGGCTCCTAAGAGGGAGCATGTGGTTGACATACATTTGGAGGTCTTCTAGTCGAAGGAGAGAAAGGAAAGATCGAAAATGCCCAGATGGTATACATACAAACTCATTTTATGGATGCCTGATAAGATATGTGGCGCAGGTGAGGCGGTGCAAGGTCGAGGCTTCGTCCCGCGTAGCACATGTGGTGATATCCTATCATCACTCTCATCCATTTCCTTCCATTCTCTCCTCCTTTTTCTTTCTAAATCACAAGTTCAAAATACACCAATCATGGATCGAATGCAGGCATTCGGAAAGAACTTCAGGTGAGTCCACCGTCACAGCCCCCTTACCCTGCGGATACCATTCCGCCCCCGTTGGCTTGTGATCGGTCGCTTTACTAACATCTTCTTGCCTTGTGGTTTTCTGACGGACAGTGCGAGCTTCACGCCTTTTGCGCAGCGTACTCAGCAAATGATCAAGGAGCAGCTGGGCCAGGCCGACGACAAGACCCAACTCCCCGATGAATACATCGAGCTTGAGAAGCGCGTCGATGCGCTCAAGCTTGTCCACCAGAAGCTGTTGCAGGTGACGTGAGTGATATCCCTGCTGCTTTCTGCGCCACTCATGGCTTTCTCCACAGGCGCTAACCGGCGCCACTTCTCGTGAACAGCTCCCAGTACTCCAACGAGGCCTACGACTACCCTCCCAACATCCGCGAGTCCTTCAATGATCTGGGCCGTACTATCAACGAGAAGGTCCAGCTCTTGTCCCAGGCAGCCTCCCCCGCTGAGGCACAAGCTGCCCTGACAGCCCCGCCTTCCGCTAAGCCCCAGCCCAAGACCTTCAACCACGCGATCGCCCGTGCCTCTCTCGCCGGCTCCCAGACACTCGCGCAGAGCACCGAGAGCGAGGACCCGCTTGCAACTGCCTTGGAGAAGTATGCTCTGGCCGAGGAGCAGGTTGGCGAGGCTCGTCTCGCCCAGGATGCTCAGATCCAGTCCCGCTTCTTGGCCGGCTGGAACACCACCCTCAACACCAACTTAATGTTCGCTGCTAAGGCGCGCAAGAATGTTGAGAATGCCCGCTTGATGCTTGACTCTATCAAGGCTAGCAAAAAGGCCGGTGCCCACGGCGACTTGGATAACCTGAGCGAGGATGCCCGTGCGGAGATCGAGCAGGCCGAAGATGAGTTTGTTGGCCAGACCGAGGAGGCTGTTAGCGTGATGAAGAACGTATGTTTTGTTCCCTTTTTTCTTGCTCTGGAATTCGTCTTGCAGTACTAACACTGCTTGCAACAGGTCCTTGATACCCCGGAGCCCCTGCGCAACCTGGCCGATCTGATCGCCGCTCAACTTGAGTTCCACAAGAAGTCATATGAGATTCTCAGCGAGCTTGCCCCGACTGTAGATGCTCTGCAAGTCGAGCAGGAGGTAAGTTCTCGGTGATCCTCTTTCTACATGTCCATCACATCTAACTATTTTTTTTCTTAGGCTAGCTACCGCAAGATCCGTGAGGGCGCTTAAGCGTTGTTTTGAATGCCGTGTTTCTTTTGTTATCCTTCTGCCTGGCTTTGATTTTGTCTGTTACTCCGAGCCATGGCCTTGTGTTTTGTATCTAAGCCGCTTTGCTTCTGCTGAGCGAACCCAACAGATCATTCAATCTGGATTTTTGGACCTGGAATTTGGTCATCCTATCTATATTTTCATAAAAAGCTCTATATTCTCATAAAAAGCCATATTGTAGTGAAAATGTAGAGTAGATGCCACCTTCGTTGGATGTATAGATGTCATATGGGACCTTGACCTTACGATCCACCGCCCGCTAATTCTGCCTCAGGCAGGCTAGCTCCAGGAGCTCCGACATCAACGGAGATACTCCAACTCACCAGGTCGCCTTTTTCTGCTCGCAACACACTTGACAGCTGCATACCGTCCGAGAAGGAACTCCAGATATTTGGTTCCCAGAATACGTACTCGAAATACCATCGAGCCGATCCCAATCGTGCCACGCTGCACCAAATAATCGATTACTTGTCCGTCCACCCGCGCCGTCAAAGGATCCGGACATTCAAAAACACTTTGCGCAGAGAATCTATACCATCAAATAAACGATCAGCCTCCTGCGCTCTCCGCCCTAGTTCGCCCGCTCTTCGCCCACATCGATATTCGCATAACACACCGAGTGATCCCCACTCACTCTGGGTTGTACTCTACTACGACGAACGAAGAGAATAACAAAATACCGATAAAATGGCAAACGGGTATGGTTCCCCTTCCCTCGGAGTGATGGAATAAACAATGCATACCTCCCTCGACCAATGGGTCGATGATCACCTGGTCATGGGTGTTCGCATTGTTCAATCTATCCCGCTAAGCCTCGACCTCCCGACCCTTTGCTCGGTGAGGATTATATGTTACAGTTGCTAACGCGAAATTTAACAGCTGGAGCTTGGTCATTGGCCTGATTATTATCATCGCCTTCTCGACAGCAGCATGGTTCCTAAGCCCGAAGGGCGATAACCAGACGTGAGTCCATGGTCCACTTCTTGCATGCTGGGCATCAGGCCCTGCAGCTATTCCTATAAAATTTGCAAGCTTGACAATACTGACTCTGCTATCCTCAGCCTCTTCCGCAGCACGCTCATCCTTACCTTCATTTCCTGTTACTTGATGTGGGGTATGTTTCTTGCCCATTCCCTCTATCTATCCATATCTATGATATGTGGGCTACATAAAAGATGCTAACTTATCTAATGTAGCAATCGTCTTCCTCGCACAGTGGCACCCCCTCATTGCACCAAAGCGGTCAGACATTCGACCCGATCGTGTACCGCAATAGAGGCATATCCTTTTCTAGTTCCTCATGTTTTGTCAATTCTGTCAACTGGCTTTTTGCGAGATTGTCGGTTGTGTCAATTGTCTCACCCTATTCTGTCGCAGGGTAGTATAAGATGAAGTCAAGTTTATCCTATCCCGCGGGTTAGATGGGAATGGGAACTGTTTTTTTTGCACCTGCTTAGGCTTGGTAGCGGCCTACCTGTGAAATTGGCATGCATTGCGAACTCGTGTCGGTTCGCAGCTGCTTTATGTTTTTGTATAGCTCTTCCTCTAGATGGCCTTTTCTTGGCAGCGTTTTATTTGTATGTTTTCGATTTGATCTATTTTTGTTTAGCAGTTGCTCGGTTTCCCTTTGTATGGAAAGCATTTATATCCTTTTCGGTCGCTTTTACTACATACGTAGCCCAGGACTCTGTACGGCTACGTCTATGCACTGATTGGGGATTTTGTCCAACGGATCTCTGCCCTAGAGAGGACCTAGATTTGGTGATGTATATATTTGAGCAACATGCACGCTAATAAGGATAGGTTGAGTTATTTTTATACCAGGGACCTAAGCATTCATCACAATAACTCCATTAACCAACCCCCACAGCACCAAGAATCACCTTCTGCACCGCCCACCGGGCGATTTGACCCGCAACAGCAACGGCAACAGCACGCAGATACCCACAGCCAAGTAAGATATACAAAGCCTCGATATTACTTAGAAGTACTAGGTGGGTATCAACGACACCGAGAGAAAGCAACGAAGCAAGCAAGTCAAAAAGCCCAGTCAGATAACTAGTCGGCATAGAAGTCCGAAGCATAGAAGCCGCGGTATCAAGCCATGATTCCAGGAAAGAAGAAGAAGGTGCCGAAGCCAACGGCGAAGATGACATAGCCGCTTTTGCAGAGAGAAGGGAAGAGGTTTTGGTGGCTGTAGCTAACAGACTCTGATGCACCGCGCTCGGCATCGTTGCCGCCTGCGTCAAGGGCAGGATCTGTGCTGCTGTCTGGCTGTGCTCCGGGTCGTCGGAGAGGCTACCGTTACCGTCAGACCCCCATATCACTAGCAGGATGGGGAAAAGCTTGGCGCAGCTGCTGACTAGCAGGGCGGTGCTGATCGCTGCTGGGCTTGCGGCGGTTGGAGGGGGTAGGGGCTGGATGTTCTGCAGCGGGGCCGTAGATGTCCGGCGCAGAGGCGGCGCGGGCCGGGGTGGTGGCCCCATTGATGGGCCTTGTGGTGGTGGGGAGAGGTCGGTTGGAGGGATGGCCTCGCTATGGGTTGGACTTAGAAGGGTTGCGGGTGGGTTGGCGGGGCTCTGGGCGTGTGTGATTGTTGGCACTCCGGATGGCGAGGAATGCAATGTTGGTGTTGGGGGGCCGGAGGGGAAGGGAGTGGCATCTCTTGTAGATTTTGTGCTAGGGTTGGTGTTCACATTGCTACCGCTGTCTGGGCCGCTGTATCGGCGCGACTTTGGTACCAGGATTGAGACCAGAAGGCGCACGGTAAGGTGGTGCGCGAGGGTTGCGGCGGCATTTAAGCTTAGGAAGAAGAGGTATTGGACAATGATAGGGGCGCGTGATAAGAAGGTTGTTGCGAGGGATGGATCCTTCTCGATGCGTGCCCAGGTTAGGTAGACGTCGAAGAGAAGCAGAAGAACCCCAAGGCGAATTATGGACCGCTACAAGGCCATATCATCAGCAAGTGGCTCGCGATTGTTTAAGACAGTATACCTACATCGAACTGGTTGTCGTCGCGTCCTAGCCGATTGAAGAGGAGATGTCGGTATACCTGTTTCAGGAAATGTCAGTCAGGTCGTGTCCCTGGAGACCACGCCAAATACTTACCTGAGGCTTAATGAGCACTAAGTCAATGAAGAGCACGACAAAGTCATATTCAACATATTTGTCGGCAAACCGTTGGCACCGGGGGCATTGCGTCAGGCGCACACCCTTGCCTTGGGATCGGTCATCGGCCCGACTGTAGGCGCTGTATAGGTGAGAGACCGGATAGGAACACTCAATGCAAATAGGCATTGTGTCGCATCCATAGATCTTTCGGGATGTCCAAGGGTCAAGATTGTAGCTCCCCTATCGCGATATCAAAGGCGGTGAACCTAAAGTTGGGGGGTATATGGAGTACCCCAAAGGGAAGGAGTCGTTGCAGCATAGGGAAGTGAAGTGTAGGGGATAGGGGGTTCTCAACCCACTACCATTAGCATTTCTCTAGACAATCTGCCACAATTCAGGAAGAAATACAACGCAGGTAAAAAGTAAAAATGTCGGGCAATCTCATTCATACATCATGGTTATTCATATATACATAGAACAGTAAATCTCCTGCAAAGTATGCCTTTTCTTTTACCATTATCGTATATACCTTATAAAAAAAACAGCTAAAAAGACATTGGAAGGCCGCATAACCAGTCGAATATTTCGAATATTCGTATTAGAAAAATACAAAAATTGAACTCCGATAGGGGGAATCGAACCCCCGGCTGCCGTGTGAGAGACGGCGATGTTAGCCACTACACCATATCGGATATTGGATAGAGATCTCTTTCCGGAGTAGCTTTATCAATTGGAGTTTAGCGCTCTTTAGCCTTATGTGCCTGTGCGTGGGTTCTATAAGATCCCCCTCCATCCAACAGTCCCAATTTTCTTTTTCACCTTCCTTTTCTGCTTCGTCTCGTAGGTGAAGCATTTGCTATTGACCTGGATCACCGAGCTCCTAGGCACCACCACTCACTTTTCCCCGTATGACTCGTCGGCTCCTCTGCCCCCACCCCCCCCGGCGGCCGTAATCCGAGCTGCCCTCCCTTTGTTTCCCCCTCAGCTCGACCATAGCACCGGATATCAATCAGCCGGCCTATATTTTGCCTCTACTTCTATAGGCGCATTTGAATTAAAGACTTTTAGGATAATCATCCCTATGTAGCGGGACTGCAAATCTGCCTCTCGGCCTATACACTCGGGCGAGAGCCCTGTCAACCCTAGCTGATAGCGCTCCCAATCTAGAACCGAAGATAACCAGGTCGGATCAATTGAATAGACTGATCAGACTATCTTAGCTGTGATTTGCATCAGCCGGTTCTGCTCTTCAGCGTAGTTAAGTGACTAAGGGAAAGTTTCTTTCTATACAGAACGGCGAGGCGGCGGCCCTGGCTATATACAAACATCCTCTCCTCTTGATTTACACCAGTGTATCGCGCAATCACTTCTAGGTATCTACGCCTCTCGGCTATCTTATTAAGGCACCCTGGGATTATATCCGTTGGTTCAATTGGAGATTGGTATGATCTCGGGGACGCGGTCGACTGTACATTTGAGAACCGCGTAGCCCCGACCAAGGGCGCCTTGTAACAGAAATCCTCGCTGGTGTCACGATTGCTTTGTGTAGAGGATGAGATAAACAGATAAAGTAAATTTTTTTCTGCTGGTGTAGGTGGCGCTTGTTACGGCGTATCCCGAGGTGATCGACTCCGCAGTTACGATAACAAACTTGTAGGCTTTCACACTCCGCTACCATTTGTCCTAGATACCTCGAGAAGTAACGATATACAGCATGCTAGAAATATGCATTCGTAAGACCGAGGTCATTATCCTAAGTCAACACTAATATTCGAAAAGATGTTTTCCTCCGATCCTGCTGTATAAATGTCACGGTCACCTTCGAGTGGCAGATTACCATCCAGCGCGACCTCTACCATGTCTTCCACATCCCTTTGAAGGTAACAAGGGCGGTCATATAAGTACTAGCGCGTGTCATTCGCTCCTCTCTCCAGGAGCAGTCTGACTGTGCTTTGATGGCCCCCGGCCGAGGCAGCTTGTAGCGCTGTTTTATAAACGCCCCCTTGGGCGTTAACATCAGCACCATGATCTATCAAAAGCTCCACAATGGAATCGAAACCTGCCCGTGATGCAGTTTGCAATGGATTACCGTAGCGGCCCCCCTTCGCATTGACGTCCGCCCCCCAAGCTATCAATAGCCGTACAACATCCTTGTGGCCTTGAAATGAGGCAGCAGCGAGTGAACTACCAGCAAGGATACTGTTGAGGGCCACTGAATCATTCCCTCGGAAATTGACGTCTGCGCCATGGTCCAAAAGTAACGTGACAATTTCTACTTTCCCCGAGGCGGCCGCCGCAACCAGGCTGCTGCCAACGATCTTAGAGTCATTGCATCTTCCTGCGAAGCCTAAATCCAACAGAATACGGAAGCTAGCTTCGCCACCGTTCACGGCGGCTGCATTCAGGGCCGAATAATGAAGGCCCTCATTGAGCTTAATCTCAGCGCCGTTCTGTAAGAGTAAATAGACAATTCGGTGGTGATTTTTGAACGCGGCTGCCTGGAGCGCGTTGCCAAAGAGTCCACCTCGTGCATTGACATCAATCCCTCGGTTTATGAGTGCTTCTGTGACAATGTATAGACCAAGGAGAGACGCATAATAGAGGCTGTTGGGGACATCTTGCTCTCTTTTTGATAGATCGCGCCGATTCCAGTTGTCCGGATCGGAGACGCGGAGCCAGTTAAGATAAGACGAACCTTGACTCTGATCCATAAGCTGCAAGATGTCATAAAGCAAATTTTTCGCTGACTCTTCCCGGTAGCCTGCCTGGAAAGCATCTTTTGCGTGGTCTTGCCAATGTGTCGCAGCGTAGACGAGAAGGGGGAGCTTTGTAAATGATTCGAGCGAAAGAAATTCAGGCTGATTTAACAGGAGTAGATAAGTGATGCATGCATGAGCCAGGTATTGATTTGCCGGTAGCTCCCCAATATGGAAGGAGGACAAAGCCGTTGATTTGAGCCGACTAGACATCAAATACTCTTTAACAGAGTAGTGTGCAAGCCGCACTTCACCGTTAGATATCCGAATAAGACTCGAGCATATAGTGAGAATATCCAATTCAGAAAATAGCCTGTCTTCCTCAGACAGAGCTAGGACACCAGGCTTGATAATCAGTGTCTCTGCAATTTCAGCTAATTGGAGATGTCGCACACTAAAGGCCAACCACTGAAGCACCTCGTATGCTTGTTTCTGGTATTGCGTATCTATACTCGCCAGTATCATATCGTAAGTCTTCGCCAACGTTTTTGGCATCGATCGCAAAGTTTCTCTAACACTTCTGAGGGTGAGACAGGATCTCAGATGCTGCAGTTGGCATTCCACCCAACGAAACCTAATGCCATGAGAGATAGCCTAGCAGGAGAGATAAATCAAACTTACATTCCATGAGAACCTGAAGTCAATGCGGCCTCTATTTCTGCTTTGACATGATTAGGCCGCTCTCGCAACATGGTATCCCTCGATAGAGAGTTGACCACATAGGTCCGAATGTCCATATTCACATCATCGAGAGACATGTAGATCACATTCTTTGAAACCTGTCCTAAAGCGGAACGACTGATCTCCGTAGTGTCACGACTTGTGGCCAGTATACTATATCCTGCGTGAGAGCGGAAAAGATTAGAAATCAAGCTTATGACCCCTTGCCGTTCGCCACATTCGTCTAATGCATCTATGATTAGATACACTCGGCGAAATTGTTCAGTAGCTGCATGAAGAACTTTCAACAATTTCTCTCCACGCAACCTGCCCCAGTACTCTTTGAAATCGTCACAAAGCGACCTGAACTGAATAGGGAGCTTCTCTTGTTGATACGCCAACTGAACGATGACCGAAAGCAGAAGTCCTTCCACGCTTTGTTTTTGCTCCTCGTGAAAATCAAAATAAAAGTACACAAGTCCAACGCCCGGTTTTCCGACCACGTGAGATTTTACGCGTTCGATTGCTGCAGAACAGAGGATAGTTTTACCGCACCCGGGGATTCCAGAAAGTAAGAGAGTAGAAGGCGAGTTGAGCCAGCGGTTGAAGCGTTCTGAGTCCACGAGCCACGAGCAGGTAGTCGGCTCATATAGTTCACATGCCGTTCTATGATTAGTCGACGGGTCAGGTGCGGAAAGCAACTGCAAGGCTTCATTGAATTGTAGTTCTGCGTATGTTAGAACTAACGTTCTATTAGAGAAATTTATGGTAGTTAGACTTGACCGACCGGTTTTTGCGATACCTAAATGATCAATACCGATCTGCAAACTCTTGATTCTCTCCGTGATTGCTCTAGATGTCCTCCTGTATAATCAACGTTAGGGTCTTATCAAGGGAAGGGATTCGTGAGCCCACAATTGAATATCTTGTAAGATAAGGCTAAGCGACATCTTATATCGCTCAACTGCCGCAAGGGTCTCGCGCACTTCCTTTTCGTGAAAGGGCCAAGCTAAGGCTCCTTTTACTTTCGATCTCCTATCGCTGTTCAACCTTGCCCTTAGAGGCACTAGCACCTTTTCAAGGCCAGCCATAATTCTGGCGAGAGCCTCAAGGCTTCCAGTCGGGGGAAGCAGATCTTCTTGGGCATGAGGTTGAACTAGCTCTTGCAGCGTTGCAAGGACAACGGTGGTATCGCGTATCTCGGCTGATAGCTTTTTTTTATCGTCCGATGCATTTACTGTATCATTGATATATTTCACTAATGAAGTAGTTAAGCTAAGAAGAGCAGTAATGCTAGCCGCAACACTTAAAGGGTCTGTCATGATGGAGCGTGCGAGGCTAGAAGTTACTGCTGCTGGTGAGTTGCACTCGCTGCTAAAAGACAAGGGGGAAAATATGTCTTCCTTGAAGGGCGAACGTCGACACTGGTTGTTGACGGAGTTTCATAAAGACCTGAGGATCGCACCACTATGGATGGTGCCGCCCCAAACGTTCACGGCTGAGGAAGACTTCCCGAAGTCCCACAACCGAATTCGAGATGTAAGATCGTAGTCACGAGGCTGGAATAGTGGGTTAATCAAAGATAGATTGGATGATTAGGGAATTAGGTTCTGGACTGGCAGTATGGAAGGTATTTCTGTGTCAGTTATCTGCCTAACAGTTTGGGGCCAAAGTATCTGTCAGCCTAAAATCAATCCGCGGCCCGTGGACCTCGTCAATGTGCCCCCGTCTATCTATCACCCCACCTTCACTCACTCAACCATCGGACTCATATCATCGCATCCTTTTACAACTTGCATTTCCTGTAAGTTCTCCCACTTCTGTCTTTGGGTAGGTACATCACAGAGATTAAACTTACATTAACCGGGCTCATCAATCACCATTATTAGACAATCAGTACATCTTTCCAACCGAGACCCATTCTTTCTTTCAGTCCCACACCCAATAATCAGATGAGCTGTTCAAAGTGCGGTTTCAACAATGTCTCGACGGCGGCCACATGCGAGAAATGCGGAGCTGGATTGGCGGTCCCAGGTTACCGACTATCCAATGACCCTAGAGAATAATAGCGCCTGGCTGTTTTAGCTGTGAAGGTGGATTATTGAATACGGATATGTGTTTAAGAGTGATAAATTAATACCATGGGAGAAGTAGGCCATCTTGGCTACTGACAGTTGAAATAGTGATTCTCAGATGAGTTTAACCTCCTGTGATTCCTCGTCCACCTGTCTGGTCTCAGAGAGAAACAGTGTGTCAACCCTTGGCTTGTTCTCGTCCGCTCTGACCCCCCCTTGCCCTATTATCACCTCTATCACTCTAGTCTCCAGGCTTCTCACTCATTTCACCTATACTCACCTATCACGGTGTGAGAGCGTACCGTTCTAGACAGTATAGATCTATCTGCCTTTGTTATTACTATCAAGAGACAAGGTCTCACATTGGTTCCCGTTTTCTTTTTGCCGCTGAGAAATGTGACTCTTTTACTTTACATTTTGCTTATGAATTAATTATACCCGACCAGGTTGCCGATTAAGTACACTCATACCCGATATCTCAGACATGAACCAGTCAGCGTAGATCCTTCTATGAAGAGTATACAGTTAGGTCACTAGTCACAACGGTAATTCGGTACAAAAATGTTCTACGAGCAGTTTGATAACTCCCCTTTTTATTTTTCATTCCACAAACCTCTCTGTACTTTGCCCCCAAACCGGCTTTGTATTATTAGTGGTTGTATCACAATTTCTTGAACATATAACTCTGCCGCTAAGCCAAGTGGAGGAGTCACCGGTGAGCTAGCCTGTAACCTGAAGTCAATCCATCAGGGAGGAATTCTCGCGCCGGTCTTGCATAGGGTAGACGGCAGCCTTACTCGACTGATGGAAACCTGTTGGTGAAATTGAAGGGGGAAAATAGCCGACATGGGAGGAAATTACGGTGCACCTTCCTGACCGGAAAAGGCCATCACTGCAGGTGCACATTTTACGAGCAATTAAGCCACCTGTTCACAATTGTATCGCGATTAACTATATTAGCTAGTATAAAATTACAAAAATAGGTAGATTGATTCTACCTTTCCATCGCCAAAATATTTCTGATTGCATCTTGTAGGTGCTTTCCAGTGATACCAATCTGTGTGTCGTCATAGCAAATAGTTAGTTTGATTATTTTTGAAATATTGGAAGGGGCCACAGGGCAAACATACTTGAGGAGGGCTCATAATTGATTCATGATCACCATCAACGACATGAATCACGACGTCACGAACAAGACGTTCCCATCCACATGGGCCGAAAGAGCTTCGGGGCGTGGTTTGCCAGTCTCTGGTGACCGACAGTGGCTTTCCATTTGGGACAGGATTTTTCTTTTGGGCCATCAAAAGCTGAGTAGCTTCTGCGACCTTAAGCGGCAGCTTATCGTATTCTCCTTTGCTGGCCCAGATCTGCATCACATAAGGCGGTTTTTGGGTCTGCTTCATCGGCTTGGGGACATAATTTTTCAACGCATTCAAAGAACCAACAGTATGTTCCTTGAGCTTCTGCGGCATGTCGATATCGGGCAATCCCTCTCGTTTGATGGGGGCATACAAGCCGGTGAGTTCAACCGCTTCCATAGTTGGCGATGGCATTCCAGGCATGCCATTGGGGCAGGGGCTGTCAATCAAAAGGATCCCTAGGATAGTTTCACCCTCTTCGAGCAACTGACGGGAAACTTCGTACGAATACATGCCCCCAATGGACCACCCGCCAAAGATGTATGGTCCTCGTGGTTGGATGCGGCGAATCTCCTTGATGTACACGGATGCTGCACGCTCCATAGTCCACCCACTCGGTGGGAGGTATTGCAGGAAGGGAGACTCAAGTGTATATACAGGCAAGTCACTGTAAAGTTGAGGAAGGTTGATGTATGATCCTGGATATCCTGACCCTGGGGCAATCAAGAAAAGTGTAGGTAGACCAGAAGTAGGATTGCCTTGTAGAAGCCGACCCATTTTGCTGTACTCGGGCCACGCTTCCAACTCAGGGGTGATCGTTTCGTGGCGCAGGGTGGGCTTAGGAGCCGAGCCGTTCAACATTTCGCACATGGAACTGACTGTCGGATGGTCACTGAATACCGAGGATGGCAGCCCCTTTCCAGTCATATTTTGAAAACTTGCCAGGATACCCATGGACATCAATGAGTCTACTCCCAGGTCCTTGAACTCAGTATCATGCTGCAAATCGGACATTTCGCATCCAGTTTCCTCAACTATGGCATTTAACATCATTTCAAATTCAGAAATTGTCGCATTAGATCCACCAATGGATGATCCAGAAGTTGATGAGGATGTTGTTGGGGTAGTATCATCCAGCGCTGGGGTGCTATCTCCGGAACTGGATGATGATTCCAACAGCATAAGATGCGCTCGGAGCTGGGACAAAGTGGAATCACCATCAAAAAGAGTTGCGGGAATCGGAAGACCGGTCTTGTTTTGAATGCTGCTCGTAATCGACACTGTGAGGAGGGAATCAATGCCAAGTTCGTCAAAGCGTGCTTCCTCCGGGATCGTAGACGTATCCATTCCAACTTCCTCTGCAATTATTTTGGCCACCCGGAGGAACATGTCATCAGAGGAACTCGTAGCTAACTTTGGAGGATATGTGATTTTTGACACGTTGGAATCCAGGCCCTCGGATTTTGCTCTGAGCTTCGCACCCACAGAGCCTCCAAGAAGGCGATGTAAGAGGTTGAGCTTGATCTGTTGGAATTTGAGACCAAAGCAGGTGGCAACAATTTCTTCTCCGTCAAGAAGATAAACATCACCAATCCACATGCCTTTCTTCTTAGATTCCTTCATACGAGAGTAGATTCCATAAGGTTTTGCCGTAAGGCGATGCTGAAGAAGTCGAAGATTTTCCCAGCCGCTTGAAATGTAGGCTGTGTCCGTTGTCCCGCTGAAGCCATTATTCAGCAAGAACCCAGCGAAGTGAATAATCCCATCAATGGCATACGGCGAAAACGTAAATTGCCCGTGATCTGACGCGGCTGGAAGATGTATTGTGCCGCAAGCCTCATTGCGCTGACAGTCAATGAAAATATCCGTGATGCTGTGGTACTTTTCATCGTAATCAACAATAGACGCAAATATCTTGTAAAGTACTTTGCCGGGAATGCGACAAATATCCTGGCTTTTTTCCATGTTCGCCAGCAGTTTCATTCGTTCTGAAATAATGTCTGCGTAGCGAGACCATTCACGCTCCCATCCTTCACAATCTCCAAACTGCACCTTGCAAGTAGAGTGACTGACAGGATTTCCCTCTATTTCCTGAGATCCGATAGATACATGTACTGCGTCACAGCCCAGTGAGATGCGAGACTGAACTGAGATCTGCATATCGGGACCAGAAGACGAGACGACCAACGGCCGGAAGATGTCGATGTCGGTCACCTCAATGGCAGACCCAGCTTCCACTTTGTTTCTGTTGCAATAGAGCAGCCTAGCCGATGTCACAGACATGTCGACGTACACTGAACTGGGGCAAAGATTGTAGCCATGAACACAATGACCCTCAATAGCTGCCAACAGCTGTTCCTGTTTTGGATCCGACACGAATAGCATTGTCGAATCTCCACGGGGATCAATCTTTTCCTGCTCCACAAATTGAACACAAGTGCTTAGAGGCTTCTGGAATCCTTCCTTTTTGAACGTGCCCTGAACCTCGGCATCTTTGAGATCAATGTAAAAATCTTGCGTATCAAAGGCGTAAGTGGGCAAGTCCAGTAATTGGAGATTCGGTTCCCACCCCTGATAGAATGCGGACCATCGGATCTCTTTTCCTATCCGATAGAATGTGGCAAGGCTTTCCGAGAGCGACTTCCAACAATCAGTTCCCCTTTTAAGACTTGACATGAAGTTTGTGTGGCAAGTGTTCGTTGAAGTTTTGATCATAACCTGGCATCCAGACCCAGGCCCACATTCAAGCCAAATATGTCTTTGATCATGCTGTAAGCTTTGCACAGCCCCAGCGAAATTGACTGGCCGCCTCACATGATGCATAAGATAGTCGGGCTCAATCAGATTTCCTGCCTCAATCACTTTCCCGAGCAGCGAAGATAGTACAGGGACTGCAAGCCGAGAGAAAGATACAGACGTGATAACTTCTTGCAGGGGTAGGAGAATTGGATCCATCTGAGCGGAATGAAAGGCATAAGGAACCGCCAAGAACTTCGCTTGGATGCCTTCTTTGTCCAGGCTGCATTGCAAATCTTTGAGATCTGCCTGAAGTCCACTGATAACCGTAGAGATTGGCCCGTTGATACAAGAAATTTCACACGATGCAAATGAAGCGCAGTATTCTTGGGCCTTTTCCAAGGACAAGGACGTGATAAGCATAGCATGGGTGTTCGTGGAGCACTTCGCCTGCATAAGTTCTGCCCGCATCCCCACAAGGAAGATAGTGTCGGCAACGGAAAGCGCTCCCGCGACACAGAGCGCTGAGTATTCACCCAGACTATGGCCTACCACCACGCTTGGAGTGATTCCCCAGCTTATCCAGAGCTCTGCCATTGCGATTTCAAATGCGACCAATGATAGTTGCTCAACCACTGGCAATACCGGGCTGCTTTTGTCCTCTTCCGTCAAGTATTCCAGGAAACACGGAAAGCCGAGCCCCGTGGAAATATTGTTGTAGGATATCAGAGAATTGCGAAAGTCGACACAGGAAGCGAATAGTGCTTTAGCGATTCCCCGAATGTCTGTGCCTTGGCCAGCAAAGCTGAAAACAATATTGGGAGGATGACGATTGTTTTGAGCCTCGGAATTATCTTCAGCAACCTGCTGCATCAAGTGTTTAATGCTTGTGGCAGAGTACGATGCTCGGAACGGATGATGCAGGCGCCTGGACGTCGTTGTGTACGAGAGATCAAGCAGAGAAATGTGATCCTCATTTTCTTGGAGGTAATGCAATAACCTGGTTTTATTCCCATTCAAAGACTTCAAGCTCTTGGCGGAGAGTACCACTGGAAAGGACGAATGAGACTGCGTGTTTGATTTTGAAATCTTTGGATATTCCTCCAACAGTAGACTTGTGTTTCCTCCCTATATCTCGTTAACTGAAACTCAAACAATGAACCAAGAAAATCAGTGGATGTGACGTACTGTTGCATTGAAGTTGTTGACCATAATCCGTCGCCTCCCTTGGCCAGATCGAGATTCAAATTCTACGTTTGATTCTGGAATGCGAATGTTCATCCCGTCAATGTAGTTGAGCTTATTATTTAGTCGGCTTTTGATGCCGACATGAGGAGGAATTTTGTTTCGTTGAAACATCATTAACGCCTTGATCAACGATGTAATTCCGGCAGCCTAAAGAAAACAAAGATATTAGCAAGGCCAAGAGTATTCGAAATGAAGCACCAAACATACAGCTTCACTATGTCCAAGGTTGGCTTTCACTGCGCCGATATAAAGGGGTCGCTCCGATTGCAAGCAGCTGCCAAACGTACTTGCTACTGAGGCTACCTCGATGGAATCTCCTGCCTGGGTTCCTGTGCCATGCAATTCCACATAGTCGACGGAAGACGGCGAGAGACCAGACTTGCTAAGCACTGTCGACAAGAGTTGCTCCTGAGCACCTTGATGCGGATGTGTGATGGATATCGCCTCTGCCGAGTGGTTTGTAGCTATACCTTTGACAGTGCCGTAGATTATATCATTGTCGGCTATTGCTTTATGCAGCGGCTTTAGAATGACGACACCCACGGCTTCCCCTCTGCAGTACCCATCTGCCTCATCATCAAATGTCTTGCAAGATCCAGTGGGAGACAAGAACCCCCCTTTGCTGAGCCCGCGAAACATGTTTGGTCCGGTCAAGATATTCCCCCTCCTGCGATGGCCATATCACAATCGCCAGGACGTAATGCATTGCAAGCAATTTCCACTGCGGCTAGACTCGAGGAGCAAGCAGTATCAATGCTGTAGGACGGTCCGTCCCATTTGAAAAAGTAATTCAAGCGGCCCGGACCAAACGCTCGGATGGTTCCTGGTACATAGTAAACATCCGGATTTTGGCCTGCATTTGACTCTCGCCAGTCATCTGTAGTCTGTCCAAAGAATGTCCCAACCTTCCCATCATAATCACGGCTGTATCCAGCCTTCTCCAGCGCTTCATAGGCTGTCATCATGAGCAGTCTCTGGGTGGGATCGGTTTGTTTTGCCTCCCGCGGAGACATAGAGAAGAGATTGGTGTCGAAGGAGCCAAGTTGATCAATCAAGCAGGCGTGTGGGGGAGAACCCTTGCCTTGGGTATCGCCGTACGGACCAAAATATTTGGAGGCATCGAACCTCGCATTGGGAATCTAGAACCAGAGCGTAAGCTACGAGCACTAGCATGGGCCATGTAAGGTAATGAATTCTCACCTGAGTGTGTAAATCTCTTCCTCCCTCTAAAGCGTTCCAGAATTCTTCCAGGCTACTTCCACCTGGGAACCGGCCGGACATACCAACGACGACTATGTCATCTTTGTATGCTGTCTCACATGTCGCATGTGACTGGGCGGAAAAATGATTTTCAAGGAGAGTGACCCCTTGAGCTACCAGCTCTTGACAGATAATTTTAGTTCCCCAATTAGGCCCTACAACTCGCATATTTGTTGTTGAACCCTTCAACTGCGTTGCTGTATGGCTGATGATGTTTTGGTATGAAATTGGCGCCTGGAGGATATCCTCGAGACCTTGGGATAGTATACTCATGACAGAGCGACCCATGTATGTCCTTTCAGTTGCTGGTGAAAGCATGAACATGCTGGGCCGCAATTGTCGGCTGCCAGTACTGGCAGGTGCAATGATACGGTCGATATCGGGAAAACTTAAATGTCCGGCATGGAACGCACCGTAGATAGGAAGAACAACCTTTTGAATATCTGCAAGCTCGTGCGACTGGGCCAAGAGCTGTTTGACTGTAGAGGGTGGGCCACTGATGGTGCAACCCATAGTTGAGCTGGCGCTGATGTACGAGTGTCGGGTGGGGGAATTTTCTGTTCATAGGACGGCACACATCAGCACTTGGAACCTAATATTCCACAATTCACGTACATTTGTTTTGTGGAATGAATCGATGACAGTAATCAAATCTCTTCTCGAGACACCTCGTATCAGTGTGGACCAACTCGCGGAGTTGTTCTCGATAACCTGAGACCGACGATGGACCTCCACGGCCAAACGCAAAGCCACGCAGACAATCTGAGTTCCGAACTCGACTGAGTCTTCCCAGCTGTTACAGGTGGCTGCAACAACAGCTGGTAAAAAGCCAGTACAAAGTCCTAGGAGATAAGTCCGGTTATTGGTATCAACTAGAAAATTCGAATTTTGGTTCAAGAATCTGTGAAAAACCATCAGTCCAGTTGACCCCATTGAATATAATTCCATATAACCAACAGTTGAAACGAACACAGTTGCGCTATGCAAAGCAGAACTGTGGAAGTCATTACATTCTTTTCCTCTGCCGGTACTTGGGCGATTAGACCCGTAATAGAATCTATAGTAGCAAAGGCTCTTTGCTCTGTCGGCCGCAAGTGCCTAACCTCGTACTTGAGAGCCGAGATGCTCGCTTGTAAGAAAGGGTATAGCAATTTTGCATGATGAGCATCCTGAAGAAGTGATCTGAGAAAATTCGCCGGCTCCTGCGATTGATCTGTAAAAAGGAGGAAGTTGTTGGACGCCATGGCAGATGTAGTGACAGTCACAAATTTCACACTGCCTTCCCAGGGTTCGGCAGATTAAGCATTGGGAACAATGAGTTTCGCAAATTCGTGCTTGTTTATGTACGATAGCTATTGACAGAGTAATAAAATAAGGATCTTCATATAGCGGATCCATTCCCTACTGAACAAACACTAATACGCACTTGTAATTTAAATATCCACTATATAGATTCCACCTTTGATCTACAGCACTAAAAGCCCAGCTAACCCTTCAGCTCAAAAGTTCATTCAAGCACAGAAGAGTCCACAGAGGAGTAAAGTCGAACTATCGATCGTGGGTCTAATCGGATATGCCATTTGGACAGCTCCACACCCTTCTGGATATTGTCCCGGGAAAATTGTTTACACAAACACAACACCCTTTTTTGTTATACGAGTAGCCTCTATGATGACTGCGTGTGGTGTCGAGATTACTTCGTAATAAAACAAAAACTCTCCCGAGCAAACCTTCTTTTATGAAAAGGGCCCAATTAAAGGAAGTAGCGGTTCCCGTGGAGATGGAGCAATGCAATCAATATGCCCCCACAGGGTATTTTAGGAAATTAATAATGATATTTTTCTGAAGTATAAGACACCAACTGACTTTTCTTCATTCTAACCCCCAACCCCCTTTTCACGAGTTTCCAATCAGCACAGAATACTTGAGAATGACGGTGAGCGAGCAACAGCCTCTCTTTGGAGAACGGCACGAAGATACCCACCATGAACAGGAGGCGCAAGAGCCACAGAGCACCGAGGTAGACAAGATGATCATGGGTGTTATGATCCTTGGGGTTTTTTTATCTTTGGCCTGTGAATCCTTTGTTGCGTCAACACACCAAGCAATTGGATCATATTTCAACGCTTTATCACTTAGTCCTTGGCTGCTCACAGCTTATAGCACGGGTTATTGCATGATGGTGCCGTTGGTAGGTGTTCCCTAACGAGCCTGTTAGACATATCTAATAATGACTTGGATTTAGTATGGAAGCTTTACGGATATTTATGGGGCGAAAAGAATGCTGCTCTCTGCATATGCCATCTTCGGTCTAGGCTGCACCATCACGTGAGTGTTATATAGCATCCTCATCCAGGGTTCAATGGCCAGTACAGCTGATTATTTAATTCTGTAGAGGGTGTGCGATTACAATGCCGATGGCAATAGTGGGAAGATTCATAACCAGCATAGGTGGTGCGGGAATGATTGATATGGTGTCAATAATTCTTCGAAGTGAGTTGCTAAAGGAAACTTAAGCCAACCAGCTGTTTGAAATTAATAAGAGCTTTAGATATGGTGCAACTTTCACAAGTCGGAATTTTACGGAGCTATGTATCTCTCGGTGTGAGCTTAGGGGTCAGCTGTGGCTCACCTCTTGGTGGCTTGTTGATGGACGCCGTTGGATGGAGATGGTATGGAGTTATATCTGAATAACAAGCTTCAAACTAAATTAAGATAGGTCATTTCTTTGCCAGGTGCCACTGGTGTTCGCATGCTTCATGATCACGACAGCTCGGCTTCCATCAGATTGTACAGGGGGAAGACATGGTGCCCAAAAAGGGACGTCTCGATTTGACATCCCAGGATATCTCTTCCTTACTATTACAATTGGCTGTCTAGTATTCATCCTGCATATGATTGGAGAGCCAGGTTCGTTTAGTCCTCCTCTCGTGGCATCGCTCACTGCAGCCTGCGCGCTATCAGGAGCTTTCTTCATTCTGGTAGAACTCTATACGGAGAGCAACCATGTGGTCCCTCTCCGTCTAATACCTAAAGATGGGATTGGCCTTATTTACCTGGGACAGATTCTACTTGGATGCTGTCAGTTCGCAGTAAGTATTGTCCTCCACCTCTCGCTCTTATGCTCTTTCGCATGTCTAAACTATAAATCCATTCTCTCCTGCCTTTCCGCACAGCGTGTCTGACACCAGAAACAGCTTATTTCCAATGTAACCGACTTTCTTATTTCCACGAGGAATATCCAACACGGCGTGGCTGGAATCCCTTTGGCCTTTTACGCTGCGGGTGTGACTATTGGGGCGCTGGCTGCCGGCCGTTTGGTAACAAGGTGGGAAAAAATCTGCCACATGGGACGCCGTACTGACTCCGATGTGCTAACTTATGTACACACCAGGGCCAAGAGATGCAAGAAGTTATCTTTGATAGCTACAGGTGTCCTCATCGCTAGCTGCACTCTGATGGTTATTCGTTGGCGATATGTTCCACAGTGGTGGGACTTCGCCTACGTCTTATTAGCTGGCAGTGGGATCGGTGCTCAGTTCTCGATCCAGTTTATTAGCTTGTCCGTAAGAACACCAGGATGCTCAGCTAATGTGATCACAACCTATTACCTGTGTCAGCAGCTTGGCGGCATCTTTGGAACTGCTACCTCCGCAGGTCTACTGCGTACTACTTTCCGTCGCCAGCTAAATAAGCACCTATTCAATATTCCTAACGCGCATAAGGTGAGTAACCAGAAATCATAACACCACCATTTTCTCAATGTTGCTAAAGACACCAATCCTACCAGATTATTGCCGGGGTTTTGAGAGATAGTCGTTTTATCTTTTCATTTCCGGAAACAATTCAGCTTCTGGTTCGGTCCAGTTATCTGAAGAGCTTCCAAGTTCTTCCAAGTGAGTGCATCATGTTCAATGCTATGAAAGTACAAAAAAACTATACTAACTGGAGTAAGTTTTTTGCCTATGTTGTTCATGTGCTCTTCTGCCAGCGATGTTGCTTGTGGATGATATCCCCATTCTGTAACCTACAACCAACCCCCTGCCACCCAGAACACAATATAGTTAAGCCTTCAAAATACCACAACATGGAATGGGCTACATTTATCTTCGTATATCGCCTCGGTAGAACAAAGCCAGAATGACAGATTCATACTCTCTCCCTCGGCGCCAAAGATAATTCATTACTTAAGGAATATTGCTCGGCTTCCTTATCCAAAGCACCATCTTGCACTATCTAGGCACTTGGTAACTTCTTCGATCCACTATATCCTCTGTGCTACTTATTTTTCTACAAAATTCTGGTACTCATGGACGGGCTTCCTTTGGTTTAACCCAATCTAAAATCGGGTCCATAAATATCATGACCTGTGAATATTTAGGTGGGTAATGCGACTCAAGGCAACCCAATCTATCTCCAGGGGCGGGGCCGCGTTTACCGAACATGAGACTTGGAGAGGGTGGATTAAAGTGGGGGTGACGAAAGTCTTGTCCAGATCGGTATGCAGCCATCGTAGCCCGAGACTGTCCGAGATCTGCAGTTCGTCACATAACCCGTGTTTATGCAACTCTCGCCGATCCTTTAAACTAGCTCAAGTAGTTAGATAAATAAACTTTGCATAGAAAGATTACTGAACTACCTACACCTAGTATCGATGTGTATGCTGGATACTAGTGCTAGACTAGCATTAGCGGTATTATCTCAAGGTTGGCAGAACGATACACATGAACCTACATTGGAACGTGGCTCGGAGTACTGTAGCTGGCTAAGGTGGCTGGCTGAGGTGAAGTCTCTGAGCTCCGCAGGCCCTAAACTTGATCACGCATATTGAATCTTAGAGTGGAGAGCAAAATATGCCATATAAAATACAATACAAAACAAAACGAAAAAGGAAAAGGAAACTTTTGCCGAACATGGAGAAGCTATGCACGCTGTATTCCGTCGTAACTATGGAAACTCCCGAGGTCGTGGCGAAGGGTGGAAGGAAGAAGGTAGAAGCGACGTTACTCTGTACAGAGTACTCGCTGCTATTGTTACTCGTGGAGTCTAACACCTTGTCACTCACGGGATTCTATCAAAACTTGAATTTCCCAGAAAATACTTTGCAAGCCCACTCGTCACTATGGCAGCATCGCGATTTGATGCGTTGGAGTCGACCCAAATAGACCCAACATTTGCGCTTATGACTTCTTTCAAAGGAGACCCTGCACCCGAGAAGGTTAATCTTGCAGTCGGTGCTTACCGCGACAGCCAGGGTAAGCCATGGGTACTGGACTCGGTCAGGCAGGCATGTAATTTCTCAAATGTGCCCAAAATTGGGAGCTGATTTCTGATGATATGACAGGCAAAAGAGCAGCTCTCAACTGATCCTCTTGATAATCACGATTATCTTCCGCCACCTGGGAATGCAGATTTTCTCCGCTGTGCCCGGGACCTACTCTTTCGTGGAGCTTCGTATGATGAACAGTGGCACAAAGACTCAAACAGGATTGCGTCCGTTCAGACAATATCCGGAACTGGTGCAAATCACCTTGGAGCCAGGTTTTTGGTAGATGCTCTTCGTCCCAAGAGAGTATGGGTTTCTGATCCAACGTGGTCTAACCACCACTTAATTTGGCAGTTGGTTGGATCACAGCTAGATGATTTGCGACCACTGGAGATACGATCATACCGGTATCACAACACCTCAACCCACACGTTGGATTTTGAAGGCATGATCTCGGACTTGGAGCATGAAGCAGAAGCGAATGATGTACTGCTACTACATGCTTGCGCACACAATCCAACAGGCCTGGATCCTTCCTCTCAGCAGTGGGAAAAAATTGCCGATATCTGCCAGAAAAAAGCACTATTTCCCTTCTTTGATTCAGCATAGTAAGATATCTCTGGCTATACTTTCACAAATACCATCACTACATGGACTTGTTCTAATGGTAATCCACAGTCAGGGGTTTGCAAGCAGCTCGCTCGAAAATGACGCATTTCCAATTCGACACTTTTTCGCTCGCAATCTAGAGCTATGTGTTGCGCAATCATTTTCAAAGAACATGGGCCTATATGGTGAGCGCGTGGGTGCGTTTCACCTTGTAACCTCGTCTGAGACAGCAAAGGATCAGTCTTTCAGAAGACTAGTCCGGATCCAGAGGGGAGAAATATCCTCTCCTCCAGCATTTGGTGCAAAGATCGCTACCAAGATTTTGTCTGAACCAACTTTGTTTCGGCAATGGGAGCAAGATTTGGCTAAGATGAATACTCGGCTGCAGGGTATAAGATATGAATTGTGGAAACAATTGACCCTTCTCGGAACTCCGGGAAACTGGGATCATCTTCGCACCCAGGTATGTGATTGATCCAAAGGCCGATAATTGAATGTATCAGATCGTATTCTAATATAATATTCAAGGTCGGTATGTTCTCTTACATAGACTTGAATGGAGTTGAAATGGAGTTGCTGAAGACGAAACACCACGTTTATGGTATGCCTTCGGGCAGAATATCAATGACTGGCGGTATGTGCTGCCTCTTACACCTTTCAAACTCAGAGTCTTGAGGACCATGTTGGACTGACTTTTTGGACAGTGACCGATGCCAATGTGGTATATGTTGCTAAAGCATTGGATGCAGTATGCCGCGCAAGTTTAAATAGTTCGTGCTCTTCAAGTTCGCCACAAATCAAGCGTTAAGGTACCTCTGTTAGAGAGTGTCTAGATGCGGCTCGGGCCCCACCGCGCCTTTATCTAAGAAGGAGAGAATGACTGATAGTCCATTTATTTCTTCGTTTCAGGAGATATTCTGTGTACCGAAGAGGGGGAATGTGCGGTGCCTACCAGTTGACCTGGTGTTTCGATGGGAGCAAGGGAAGCCACCCACCAAACAGAACTAGGAAGCCTGCGGTGGTAATGGCTGCGATGTGTTGATGGCAGATATAGATGCGAAGTTCTTAATAAAAGGGGGTCAACAATTCTTCATTCGTCGGGGATGCGTGTAAATTTAAGTCCAGCACTGGATGAGATGAGCCCAAGCCCCTTGATGGCGGTCAAGTTATAGATTCCGCATTAATCAGACATAAAAGCACAAGATCCTCTTTGGGAATTGTAATGTTGAATGGCAATCCCCACTCAGGGCAGATGTGGTGTGGTACCGCTCCATATATATATATATATATATATTCGAGCCATCACTTCCACAGGATGAAAGAGCAAATACCAATACTTTGTTACTTTGTCTTGTATATTTCTTCCGTTGGTAAAATAGTCACAGTAAGGAATCTCGCAAGGTACTCAATGCATTTTTCTTTGCTTTATGTCCCACCGGATTGGTTAAGTAGATGAGAACGACCAGGGCTGTTGTCATAAGTAACGCAAACAGTGGCAGATAGTATATACTAATACTCTATGAGTAAAAGGATGTATATGAAGGACCTTGCAATAGGCAAACCTTGGGTACCTAATATATGATGCGGTGTACAACCCACACCCGGAGCCGCGCGCTTGAGGAAATCCATTCTAGGCTACGTCACATAAACGCCGGCTGCCAATTCTTTGCAGTACGGTCTGAGTTTCTCTGAGCTGACGGATATGGTCAAGCATCACGCTGTAAAGGTCGGCACTCGTACACAAAATGGAGAAATTGCCCATCCACTCCTCAAGGGGCATTGTGACTTTGAACGAAACTGTCATCAAAGGCTTGAGACAATCCCTAGACACTTGCACAAGTTTTTCAAGTGCTTGGATGAAATGGGGGTCTTCCTTCCCCCAATTGGCTTTGAAGGCAGGCCAATCGATAGACGAAAATCACCAGGGCCCATCATCAATGAATCAACACCAGGTGTTCTCGCGATAGCCTCAGCATTTTCAAGACCAAGCTAATTGTTTTTCTTTTTAGTATATGTCTCTTTTTGGGTTCATGGAGGACTCCTTACGGGGCTCTCGATCTGACAAATTACGGCGATGTTGTTATCCGCAACTTGCTCGGGCGAGCTGCCAGGTGGTGCCATGTCGGTCTTGCCGGGGATTAAAGTGGCCGGGGCGAGTGAACGGTGGCCCCCAGAGCAAGGGTAACGGACCAGTTTGACAGCCTCCTCGGCTTGCTCGGCGGTATCCACATGCGGGAAAACAATACCAGCTGCCCCTGTATTGAATCTTGTCAGAATCTGATTACTTTTTTCCCATTTCATGTCCAACATAATAGTAGCAGATGCAACCTACCTGCATCAAGCGCGTGCGTAATCAGCTCAGAATGAAGATTCGGCACCCGTACTATCGTCACGGTTTTGCCCTGACTAGAAAGATGAATTGTTTGGATAATCTGCATCAGTAATAACGCATCAATGGGACTAAGTGACAACGTTAGATGATTTTGTATTACAAGGAAATAATCAGGCCAAGGAAGAAATGAATATCAACATTGCAACTTACGCGTGCTGGGCATCCACGAAAACAAAGTCAAATCCCAACAACCCCAAGTTCCGTGCCATGATGGTATGAGGGACACCCATCATTGTTCCCAAAAGGTGATATTTCATGCGTTTTGTAGTCTTATCCATGGACTCAGAAATTGCACGTCTTAAGTTAGACGGCTGAAACAGTGACATTGCCGCAAATCGTTCCATATTGATGGGAATCTTGAGGAGAATGGATGGTTGGCCTACTCTTCCTTGTGGATGGCGGATAATATTCAAGTAGCACTTGCAGTTAGAAACAATGGTTAGCAAACTGACCATGGGGGGTTTTTCTTTTTTGAGACAACCCACCATATAAGTACCTACGTAGGTAACCCACACAGCTTAGCTAAGACGTTATCTCAAGACGGAGGGAAATCATACGAATACCGCTGGGCGAACCTATTGGTACATGTTCATCGGGATACACCACATTACCTACGCTATATGTAATATTGATCGTTGCCCAAGTGACATTTGGCAATATATCCATTGTTTTGCAGTTACTAGTGATAGCAGGTGGAGCGGAATGATCGCAAAAATCAATCTCAAGTAGATTCCGAACCTCAATTGGTGACCCAAACGACCCGCATATCCATAAAATTTTCAACCATTTTTCACTATAATAGAAAAGAATCTTGAAAATCCATACTTTTTTGGTGATGATGGACAAATCTATATTCAAAGTGTAGGAAAGGGTGTGGGGGCGCTGAAAGGCACGGCTTGTGCCGTGTCCGAGATGCATTTTGGTGGGGCGGGTATCCACTTCCGATCGCCGTGAAGTAAAACCTAAAACAAGAGCAAACGGTAATTGATAGGGGTTTCCACTAACAAAGCCGGAAAGCTGTAATACAATGACAGTACACTAAGGGTTGAAATGGTAAGGTGGGTAATTGGTCAACGTGGGGAAAATATCTAGATATCGTGTCCTGCCCCAGTTAGGCATCCACAGCCCCATCCGGGTAGGTTCAGGTTCCCAAATCTCTGTAGTCCACTTTTCTCTTGAGCAGGAGATCCTGCAGATTCGTCAAGGTGCTAAGTCCCAATACCCGGTAGCGTATTCCGTACATAGCAAAAGAAATTACGCAATGTCTCCCGCTATTAATAATGCCATGAAATTATAAGAGTCCCGTATTACAATTGGCCCTTCCGGTTTCGAACATTCAAAAACATTCGCCTTGAAAAGGAAAGGTCTCGCATTTTAAATACTAGGCTTCAACCTTCTCGGTGAAATATTTTACACTGTCACTTTCACTAACGGAAGAGAACATTCCGGATTTTGTTATCTATATTTACGACCATGTTGGAAATCGTGAAGCCCAAGGCACGGAGATGGGATAGTACGATGAAATGCCTCACAGGATGAAGAAAAAATACTGATTGTGTCTTAGGCCTCTTGAGTACGGAAGCAGCTGGCAGAGTGGTAAGCAAGGATTAGAGGAAATCTCAATAAATGGCAAAATGGGTTGACATTACCAAGCCGTCAGTGATGCAGACATTGTTCAAAGCTCTCAACGACCCTGGTAGGTTTCGCCATCCGGAGCTTAGAAAGGTACACCTTTCACTGATGTCGGATTCTGCATGGTAGATATTCTATCACTGGGCGCTGGAGTAGTTCCAAAGCAGCTTTTCCCCTTGGACAATATCAGCTTCTCTGTCCCTCAGCCAGACAGGTCCGGTCAAATCACGGACATTTCAACGCAGAAATATGAGCACCTACCTGGGAGCTCCAAGCTTGGTAAGACTTCAAAATGGGTTAAAAGAGGAAATATTTCCATGCGCGACTATTATACTGAAACTTTACATCAAAGATCTATCCGCCGCTCTCGACTACGGTCAAGCAACTGGCGTAAAGCAACTGGTTGAATTTCTTACTCAACATGTGGAGGTATTCCAACCTGCCCTCCTGCCTTGCAATATTCAGATCATGCTAAAACGGCCCTCACAGATATACCATCAACCTCCATACTCTGACTGGAAATGCATCTTAACCGGTGGAAATACTTCAGCCTTGGATCTCGCCCTTCGCTCGTTTTTAGAACCTGGTGACTTTTTCTTGGCCGAAGAATACACCTATCCAACATCATATGAAACAGCCGGCCCGCTTGGCCGGAAAATTGTGACTCTTCCAATGGACAATGATGGAATTGACCCAAATGCAATGAATCATCTGCTCCAGAACTGGAATGAAGCAGAGCGTGGAGCGAAACGACCTCGGGTTCTATATACGATCTCGACGGGACAGAATCCAACAGGAGCTACACCATCATTGGAGCGACGAAAGGAAATCTATAACCTTGCTCAGAAATGGGATTTATATATCCTGGAGGACGACCCGTACTACTACTTCCAGTATGAGCCATTTGAGAGTAAGGGTGGAATGGCGAGGGACATTTTACCAGAGGAGTTCGTGAAGGGTTTGATCCCAAGCTACCTACAACTCGATATTGATGGTCGTGTTTATCGCATGGACACATTTTCCAAGATCATTTCGCCGGGGCTACGCGTCGGATGGTTGACGGCATCCGAGCAGATGATTGAGCGCATTGTCCGTGCTCATGAGACGTCGATACAGAACCCCAGTGGGCTCACACAAATGATACTCTACAAAATTCTGCAGGAAACCTGGTCTCAGGAAGGATTTACAAAGTGGCTAATCAGTCTTCAAAGCGAGTACATGCGCAAACGTGACTTGCTCTACGATCTCGCGCAGCTTTATCTCCCTCAACATTCTGTGGAATTGATTAAGCCCAAAGCTGGCTTCTTTGTATGTGCATGCGAAGATTCTTTGAGTTTCTTACAGCTGCTAACACAGTCAACAGATGTGGATCAAAGTCAAGTGGACACAGTTTCCAAACTCTCACCAACTGAGCGCGAAAATGGTTGAGTCCCAAATTTATGACGAGGCTATCAAGCAAGGAGTAATCCTTCTCCCCGGTAGTTGGTTCCGGCCGGATCAAGGTCGTGAGCTGTCTGAGGTCTTTTTCCGACTTTCGTTTGCCCCTTGTACTCGGGAGGTTATGGAGCCAGCACTGAAGAGAATTGCTTCCACATTGGCCACAATGACTTGCTAAATACCTCTCGGTCTTGGATATTGAGTTCTGTGGCTTGCAAAATCTAGGACCCTATCATCAATTTCTCCATCAGTGACTCGCGATCAAAATAGATACTGAAGAAGTTAGCTCCCAAAATGGCCACATTTATAAGGTTTTTTTTTTTGTCTCGATCAAATGGTTAGAGTATTTCCCCGATCTTTAGGGCACATGAGGGCTCTAGGTGGCGTCAGCATGTTGAAATTATGTGGAGATTTCTTCTCGCGGACTTTCATGTCGGTTCTAATGCAAGATGCGGCACTAATGTACATCTATAACGGTTGGGAGGTTACTCATTAAGCGATCTCAAGAATATTTGCTAAAGTGTGATACACTTCGGGCCTGCTTTTGAAACCATTCTTCCAGAGGAACGACTCGGCAATGAGTACGGTCGTCCACCCCCCCCATGGGATAGAAAGAAGACTAGTGACCTACATGGAAGAGGAACTGGTCTTTGTCCCAAGCGTCTACTGCCAGTCGTACGTGGGCAGCGATAGACTGTCCTAGGACAGAAAATATCCCACGACAGAGGGATCAGCGCTGATGATGTTACTATTTTATGTGTCGGTCAAGATCGTACCCACAGGCAATTTCGCTTGGCCAATTGGATGTCACTAGTCAAGCAGTATGGCGCAGCTTGATCAAGCTGTCGCCCCCTGACTGAGTTATATGGTGCTTTTAGGCCAAACGCGCCTGGATCCAAAATAGAGTGCCTAACTTCAAAGCCCGAATTCTGGAGTGAGATACTGACCCAAAACCACATTGGGTGAATCGAGACCAGCTTCCACAGATTGACTCGGCCAACATGACTCTTGCGGATGACTCTCCCAGGGGCCATGGTACGCGAAGAATATATCGTCAGCTACGGTCAATGAAGAGAAGACCTCATCATGCGGCTCATCGAAATCGAACCCAGCCGCGGTTGGATTGACCGTTGAATTTGCTTGTTCGACTCCATCATCTTCAAAAATCCCCAGAGAGTGCAGAGGAACGTGCTTCTCACGGGTGATTTCCACCAAGCCGAAATATGGGACCGTGATTTCGCGACTTTCGCCTTTGCCCAATATCCGGCTGCAGGAGATCAATTCCGTTAATGCAGTATAACACTGTCTACACAGAGACTGAGGTTCGCCTTCAGAGCATGCTTCGAATGCCGCAACAGTTCGGTTGATGAGGATTGTGTGAGACTCCAGCATCAGAGGCCTCGTCGGATCCGCTATGGGTTCCGTGGTAGGATGGGAACTAGCAAGAATGTTCAAGAACAAGACCACAGCGGCGGCCAGCGCAGTAAAGCTAGTTAATTTGATGCTGTTGTCCACGACCGCAGTGTTAGGTTGCATGTCATACAAAGCGAGATATGCCTCGAGCAGGGACTGGGCACTGCTGAGGCAGGCATTTCGCCCATGGCGCGAGTTCTGACTCTGGACCAACTCCTTGTGTCGATCACATTGTTGCAAGAAGAGAGGAAGGTATAAGAAGGTTTTCAGCTGAAATATCTCAATGATACGATACAGTCGGGCACTTTTTTCATCCGCGTCAAGGCATGCAGCGATATGTGGCATGCTCAAATAGTGCAGGGGAAGCTGCGTTGTCGCTTTATCGATCTCTTCGTCCACGCTGACGACAGTACTAAATGAGTAACCCACCGGGGATTGCAGGCAGTCAATAACTCGGCCGGTTAAGAGAACCATATGCCGGTGATGGAAGGTGACAGGGGTCGATTGATTGATAGGGGGAATCGACAGGTAGCACACATGGTCAGGTACCGAATAGGGGAGTCCGATGAGTAGACTGACCCAGCGATCGGCACCAAAGAGCTGCCAAAAGATCAGATCTAGGGATTCTGATCGCTGGTGCGATCGATGGATCCCCGCTAACTGCAGCAGGGCATTGGCTTTGCGATAGACCAGCCATGCACGGCGCGGCTGGAGGGCACTAAACAGACAGAGACCTAACCCCATGAGGCACTGAAAATCATACTCATGAGTCGTACAGGAGTTGTCGGCGAGCATCCAACGCTCCACTGGGCCAAGGTACCGGCTGTAATCGCCTGTACTCATGGCAAAGCATAGGAGTAAGCTGCCAAGTAAAGACGGATTCTCCACGCAAACGGCGCGCGTAGCAAATTGGGTGAGTGTGCTGTCTTCCACTTCCCCCAGGCGAGCCCGAACGACTGGCGCCATGTCACCCACCACTGGCTTCGTGTTGTGAGAATTTCTGCGATGTCGGAATCGGAGGGCAGGGCTGAACACATTTCATAGAGTGCAAAGAAATTCTTTGTAGGCTGCAGAGACTCGACGTGAATCTGGGGTTGTGGTGAGTCTCCGGATACTGGGTCTCGATGACTGGCCTGATTGCGCCGCGGCTCGGTACGTCGACAAATCTGCATTGTACTCCCGATCAGCTATCGCCCTACAAAAGCCGAATCTGCCGCAATTCGTACTAAGTGATGGTTAAGTAATTTCATCACCGGCGCGCAGTCGCTATGCACTATCTCGAGGTCTAAGAAAGGCTCCAAAAGCTCCCTCTGAATGTCAGCGTGGGACGAAGCACTGGCTCTCAATGAGACCTCGACGCGTCGTCGCAGTTGATACAAGGCCTTGAAGAAGGGGCCAAGATCCTGATCGCTGATAGTTGTCGCTTCCAGTGGAGGAGGCGAAATCGAGATAGGAGCATGTTGGATGTCACCCTGCGGAATGCAAGCAGTCTTTCGTCGGGCACAGTTGTCGCATGCGTTCACATGTGGGGAAGAAAACCAACAGCGAACTTTGCGGCGGCGGCCTAAACGCTACGGAGTCAGTCAGGTTATGGGGTTCTAGGGGTTTTTGCGTGTTTGACCACCGTAACCAATACTCACATGCAAGACAGCTATGCGTGCCTTTTCTCATATGCTTGGGCATCCTAGCCAGGCAACGAATCAGGCTCTAAGATTAGGAGGTTCTGATAAGCGAGTAGTGGTTGCTTGAGCGAGGCATCTTAGAAAGAACGCAATGACGTGCGCAGTACATAACAGATACAAAGAACCAAAAGAATAGTTTCGATTAAGCGCACGGTCGTGTCTCTTTCACCGCTTTGATTTCACCGCCTTGCGGCGGCTATTAGCGACATTTGCGGCCAAACTACTTCATCCCATTAATTGAATTCGCTGCTTTCTCCCCGCCTCCACCGCCTACCTCTATATACATAGATATACATACATATCATGAGCTACGCGAGTGCGATGGAATGAACAACTGTACTATAATACTGGTACCAGCAAAAAGTAGACGACATTCAAAAACATTTCTCTCACGCGTGGTCTAGAGATAATGCTTCCGAAAGTTTTCGTCTTCATCAAGGATCGGCCATAGCGGCGCGCTGAGTAAGAGGTTGACATTGATAGCATTTGGCATTTCGCCACCCGATTTTGCCGTCCGATTCAAGTCCTCATCTGTTGACAACATCATCGCTAGGGCATCCACGCGAGATACCTCCGTGAGAGGGGGGGTCACAAGGACAGGAGGGACCGGGTTGCCCTCTCCGTCAACGTCAAAGTTGACACCCTCGTACATGTTGAAACCTGACCACTGGCTGACGGTAAAGCTACCGTCCGCAAATGTGAAATTAATGCCGATGTGGCCCTTGTCAGGCTGCACAGCAATCCATCGCGTCGTTTGTTCCATCTGTTGCGCATCAGTGGCACGGATCAGATCATGCAGCGCTTTCGAAACCATCCAAAGTTCACCGTCCGCCAGCAGCTCGTGCGATAAGTTGTCGTAGCAAGGGTAAATAGCGTTCGGGAAATAATTTGGGCCCAGGTTCAGGCGACCACCGTCGCGCATGTTGATGGAGGCGAAAAATCCGCGGAAGATCTTTTCTGCCGCTTTGGTAGGCGACTCACACTGAGACGCAAGCAGCTGATGTCGTGCGCGGTAAACTAGCTGGTAAATGTATGCGCTCAGGGCTTCGAAGCTGGTCACCCACCCCTTTCCACTGGGATCGGTCGCCAGCTTCTTCAACTCCAGGAGCTGAATTCCAGAGAACCGCAAGACTCGTCCGATAATGGGTGTTTTCTCAGATTGCCTTGGCGGTACTGTTTCGATCGGCTTCTCAGAATCTACTGTGTTTGACGCTGCCGGGGCTCCCTGCTCTGGTGCGGCCAGATTAGCGCTCTCGGTCGGTTGCTTAACATAGTATGCAGTGGGCTTATAGTCAAGGGCCTCTTGTTTTTCTCTTGGGGACAGAACACTCAAGTCCCAAAGATATGATCGGGTCAGAGGCGCACACGCCAGAGTAGGGTGTGATGATGATGACATGTTCCGGTAAATCTCCGCCATGCCACGGACTAGCTGGAAAAATTCACCGGCGTCACACAGAATATGATGCAGCCGAATGCCAAGCACCACTCCTCCACAGGCAAATCGAGTATGCTGGATGGCCAGGACTGGGTCCCGACACACACCCTCCATCGATGAATCAAATGGGGCCGTCAATATGGTGCCACAGTCCGGCAAATCCGTCACCAGAAGATATTTAGTCCCGCGATCAGAGGGAATGAGATCATCCAACAGGAGGTCGCAAGTGGCTTCACGCAGCTCAGCGCCTCTCCCGATGCAAGTTATCTCGGGGCTATGTGTCTCTGGGTTGATCTGTAGGCGACCGGTCAGATGCGGATAGTAATTGAGGAGGTAAGGTAGTGCCTGTCGCAATCGCTTGATATCAAGGAGCTTATTTTTGAGACTCGAAGCAGGGTGGCGGTAGACAAAAAGACATTCGATGGGGACGAACGGATACACAAGCTCGTCCAATGGGCCCAGCTTGAAGGGCGACTCAAGTGCGGTCACTGAGACTTCATTGGCACATTGAAGGGGATACTGAGCAACGAAGTGTACTGAATTTTGGGAGGCAATTGGCGCCATCTTTGTTAGGGAGGGAAACGTGTAGTATTACTACAGACACAGGTGATTTGCAATGCAGGCCTTCGCTGAACCTAAAAAAGGATAGAGATCTTAAATTAAACAGGAACAGGCAGCATCTTGCTTACTTGGCAGGCCTAATGCGGCCGAGTTTTTCTGTGTCAAAGTGGGCTACCCTATCTAGTGATGATTCAGAATGAGTCGAAGGGGACACGAGCTGTCCCGTCGGAGCATGACGTCTTCGTCCGAGCTGTGGGGACACTCTCGGACGAAGTTAAAAGTGAAAGTGGGGCTTTTGTCTGGTCACTTCGGACAAACGTTCATGGATTCGGTCCTGAATCTGCACTAACACGTATATAAAAGCCATGTTGCAATCCGTTCAATCTTCAAATAAGTAGCATAAGCCAAGCAAGAGTCAATTGGTGGATTTCACGGTGTGCATCGGATTCTGTGCTGTATCAAAAGCCAACGTGCCCCACAGAAGACAGCGAACTACCTTTTACATTATACTCGTCATTCCAAGCCGCAACACGGAAGTGATTCTAGGACGAAGAATGACAATCACTGTCGGTGTGATCGGTGCGACCGGCACAGCAGGCGGGATGGTGGTTGAAGGCCTACTCTCTTCACTGACAGCTTTCGTAAGTCAACTAGTCCGCGAAATGAACTCCCAGATAGCATCTACTGACCGGTTACACATGCGGTCGTATCTTTCACACGAGAAACCTCCGTCAATAGTCCTGCCAACCGCCGACTGGAGGAGAAGGGCGTTCAAATAGTTGGGTATGAATTGAACGGTCCTCGAGAAAGACTAGTGGAGCTGCTAAAGGAGGTTGATGTCCTCATATCTTGCATTGCATGGGAACATCTCCATCTCCAAATTCCTTTCATTGAGGCCGCTAAGGCAGCCGGTGTGAAACGTTTCGTCCCGTCGGAATGGGTTGGACCGGCCCCTAAAGGGGTTATAGATATCAAAGATAAGGTTGGCTGCGAACCCTGTTGGAGGACCCTCCAACATAGCCGGCAAACATGATGAACTAATCTAGCCAGAAACTCGACATTCTCGGAGTGATCCAACGAAACCGTCTGCCATACACCATCATCGACGTGGGCTGTTGGTATCAGGTCTGGGTTCCCAAAGTCCCATCCGGCCGGTCCGATCACGCGCACTCAACATATATTGATCATCGGATTGTGGGTGACGGCAATGTGCGATTCGCCTTGACCGATATGTTGGATATTGGCAAGTATGTTGCTCAAATCATAGCGGAACCACGAACTATCAACCGACATGTGCTGGCATATACCGAGGTTCTGAGCATGAACGAAATCTGGGACGTCATGGCAAGGGCCAGTGGAGAAGAGCCTCCTAAAGACTATGTAAGGTCTTCTTAGACAAAGGAAAAAATACACATAGAAGTCAATTCTCACTAACATTCACCATAGGTGTCGGAGGAGGAACTCCACGATATCATTGCGGGGTGTCGGAAGAAGCTTGAGGCGAGCTCCAAACTCTTGTCGGACCCTAGCAATATCATGGATACGGCCAACTTCAACATGGGCCAATACCGACTCTCCTGGTGTGTCCTAGGCGATAATACCCCAGAATATGCCGATTACCTTGGATATTTGAATTTCTGGGAATTGTTTCCCGATTTCCCCAAAGGCAAACCCCTTGAGGCATTCTACCAGGAAGTTCTCTGTGGAACAGTGCTCGACCTCACAGCTACCGCTCCACCTGAAGATAAATAGAACAAACGACCACTGCCAATGTACCAAGTTATCTTAGGCTGAAAAGAGGCGATAATTCATTTCAATGAGTAGAACCCAAATCGTTTTAGTCTTTCAGCTACCGAAAAGCGCCGTTCATTCCAAGTAGTGACCAGCCGATCCGTCAAAGCCTAGTCCGCTTATCACATCCAGGTTTATTCGCTTTAACAATGAGCTATGATTCAAAATCAGACAGAATGTGAATATAAGACTGTCTAAACGAGGTGGTATTTCCATACCAGCCTTAATACGCGAGGACCTACCTGATACTAGAGAATGTTGCAAACATCTGGAACTCGTACCAAGAAGAAGTAGTCTATTAGCCGAATACAGGCACATATTAGAACCTCTATATAATGATATGTATATATTTCTTTTAAACTTACTGACAGCATATATCAACTTAAATGTAAGACCCGCTTATATTTAGGGAATTGTTGCTCGCACCCCCCCCCTGCCTGAAACCTAAGTAGGCCTTGATAAGTCCCGCAGCACCAAGGCAATTTTGGTGCTTTTGTATGGTACTACAGCACCGTCGCAGCACCAGTTTTAGTGCTACGCTAGTATAATTCTACTAAGGATTACCCAAAATAGATGGATAAAATACCAACTTATTTTGATAAATTACTATTTTTTACTTATATATTAGTATTAGGAGGTAGTTATAGTCACTCACTACTAAGATTCGTATCAACTTACATTCAAAAAATAGATTTAAAGTAAAATCAGCCTAAAACAGTATAGAATTAGTAGTTAATATTATAAGGAAGAGAATATACTTGTAATATATATATGTAACGGATAAAAGATCCTCACAACAGGGGAACAGAATTGTCGCTTAACCTTATCGGCTGGGCCACGAGAGTGGAGCACCACCGATTCGTTGCTGACCCCATGTGATCAAAACGGGGTATAGTGATAAATAACACAGGACTCCCCTGGATCCTGTTTCTCTTTGACAAGAGTTAGTCTTGTCACATTGAAGTCAATACAATATGTTCCTCTCTCCTACTATCGTATCTTACCCGGTTGACAGGCCGTACATCTGAAAACAATATACCTTTACAGTTACCTGTCAATGATATTTTTCATAAGTTGATGTTTGATTTTTGTATCTAGTGGGGCGCACCCCGTCAAATATATATCCCATACAATTTAGTAAATTCAATATACTAATTTTAAATAATTACTATACCCCCAGTTTAGATCGTAAAAATAACCAAAATATGGATTATGCAGGCAATCGATAGTGGTGTTTAATACGAATTTAATACTTGGTATAGTAGCCTAGCCTAGCTATAAATCTGACCCCAGAGGTAGGGAGATAGCTTACCTCCCTTCGTCCAGTTAGAATTAATAGGAGGTAGAGGTGTTCTTGGAACCATGGTAGATTTTTAAAAACTGATACAATACTTGTAAGAGAAAGCACTGTATGTATTGAGGCGGACAAAGACGAGAAAGAGAGGAAGAGAGAGAGCAGGCAAACTAGCTGGGTTCTATCTACATGTGATGCCTTAGGCATCCAACAAAAACAGTAGGTTGAATAAATGCGGTTCAGATTTGACATTATGCGCGAAAAAACGGAGGTGTGGGTTTGGCCGTACGGAGACTTTTGCGGTGCGATTGTACACGGAGTGTGTGTTAGGCGCTTGACACGATTAGGCCAGATACCTTCAGTCAGGCAAATGGATTTACTTTATACCTTGTTCTAACACAAATTTCTGTGACCAATGAAAACTATTACATTCCTGGGATCCTAACTCATGAATCTTAAAAAGTGTGTATATGTGACTCTTAATGTCTGTGAATGAATGATTAATTATTAAACGATCATGAACCTGAAGCCTAGAAGCGACTTGTGAATTTAGCAACACTAGTTGTACGCTACAACAATCTGTCGGCTGACGACAATATCTGCTTCGCCTGGCTGCTGGCCGTTCTCCAGAATATCCTTCTGGCTATCTCCATCGCTTAGGCTGCCGCGTGGGTTATGGTTTATCGTTGATGTGGTGGTAGTACGATTGGGGCCTTTCATATTTTCGGAAAGCTCGTAGTTTCGCGACCGCATTCCGCCCGCAGGGCGATGGGAGCTGTTCATCCCGGGTGATTGGTGATAAGTCCTATAGTCCGAGGACTTGCTATCGCGGAGGATGCGGAAGAGTGGGCGTAGGGTTGCAACATTGCCAACTATCATGCCGAGGCTGTTTTCCGCGAATCCCCAGATTACAACGTCTGCGACTCCGTAGAGGTAGTCTTCTTGGTTAGTTAAAGCGACTGTGTACTTTAGTCGAATGCATGCTGATAGGGATGCACTATAAGAATCGAAAATCAGCTTTGGGAGAAAAGCAAGCAAGGGTAATGTAGAGCCACGCACAAGACGCCGAGGCCCATCAGGGCAATAATCGAGATTTTGGTGTTGCGATTGATCTGAACGTTCCAAAGCAGAGGCACCGGCCTATGAATGAGGTAAGAAATTTGTCTTTCACAAAATATGGATGGGTCTTAGATCCGTACAGGAAAGCTGTCACCCAGTCGGTAGCAATGTTCACGGCGGTACACGCGTAGTACACATCAGCAAGGACATAGCTTGGTTGGCAATGGCCTCCATTTTTGAGAGCTTCTTCGCTCCAGGCGGCTCTGCAAGGAGGTCAGCGTTTATTTTCTGTGGGGACATTAATGTGGGGAGACTTACTCCACGGGTATACAATTGATCAAGATGAAGATCAAAGCGACGATGTTCATGATAACGAACATAGCAATCACGGCATATTGGGTATAAAGGTACGTCTTGCGCCCCTGTGCCACTCGAATCAACATCCAACTGATGCTAAGCTTGATTGGAATGATGGCAGCACAGTAGCCGACTTCAAAGATGAGGAAGAACTGGTCGATTCGTCAGTGCTATGTCGGCCAACGTGATCAAACCCGTGTTTACCTTCTTTCCTTCTGCTGCGTACTTCTCATTGCCGACCTTTTCGAGCGTCGAATTACGAGCGCCAATTCCATTGAATGCACCCCCAGCACACCCAGCTACAAGCACGGCAAATGGTATCTTTTGTTGGCTTGTTAGTCGAGATATCGGATTTTTATTCTTGTGCGGTACCAACCATTGCTACCGTCATGATCCAGTCCTCTATCCCCCATGACTTGCGAGTCAATCTGCAGTAAACCCGCAAGCCGTAGGTCAATAATGCCACTATCGTTAGCATTATCGTGCTGCCAGCCAGGGACGGAGCAGCATCAGCGTAGACGACCATGGCTCTAAGATGGAGAGTGATGTGATAGTCAACCTTGACTGTCGATGGCCTGCAGACTCGAGATATCAATGCGAATCACCGCGAGGTTATAGGCTCTTTGAGGGGAGCGACAACAACAATGGTCTAATAGGCCAAATCCTGGCTAGTGCTGATTACCAAGTTTCCAAGCATTCCGTGATGGATCGCCAATTATGTAGCTCATTTAGTTTAGTTCAACCCTATGGGTATTGCCAGTGGAGTTTCTGATTTGTTGTTTTAGTATGGTAAATTAAAAAAAAGAGTGGGTATAGTTAGCATCGGGTCTAACCATATAGCGGAAGTAAATTTTGCTAGAACCGGACTATTGGGTTCCGGGTCTTTGGGAGAATGAATCTTGGAAAAGGCCCAGGGAGGAAATGTTAGACCTATTATCATTATTGGAATTTTATTACCGGGGCGAGCTCGAGATTGTGCTAAAATTTGATTGGACCGGAGAGATATAATCTATTCTTGGATTGATCGATCTAGTTATTCCTTGACATCCCGTGATATTTACCCCTATTTACTTCTGGGAAAATCTAGAAACCCGTGTGTGGAGTCATGATTTCATGATTCAAGAAGCTTGCTCAGGCCTACTTAATTTCCCACTGCCGAGGAAGCCCATAGCCGAGTGACTTTCCTCCCCGGAAGTTTACTCCCCGTAGCCTTCCTCCCCGGTCTACATCTACATCTGTGTTATTGAACTTCTACAGCGCCAAAATATTTCCCTGAAGTGTTGGATAACTGCACGATTTGCTGTTGACTATTCACAGAATGCATATACCTATAGGATTTACATATGTCCATATGTATGTAGGTATCGTTGAAGTGAGAGAACCTTAGAACATTGGAGGTTATCGGAAAAGGGATCTTCCCTTTTTCTAATGATTTTTGGGCTCTCACCCATACGCCAAACCTTCAATGTTCGAAGGTTAGAAACCCCTGGGTGGGGGGGGGGCCCATTGTTCTAAGTTTTCAAGCAACCGTCCAACCCCACCCTCTTGACAAGCGTGCATGTTACCCGTCCGTTCAGGATCATTAGAGACTTCAGATGTCTTGTTCTGGTAATTTTCTTTTTTGCTTATTTTGCCTTTCCCGCCTCTTTTCCGTCGCTCAATTTTTTTTTTTTTTTTTACTGAAAAAAGCTAACACGAGGACAGCGCATTGGCCCCATAGCACATATTCTAGTCTCTAACCTACTTTAGTGGCTTTAGGGGGCGTATCTCGATTGCGGTAGGCTGAAAGGGAAAAGCTTGATTAAGACCTACGTAGAGGGGAGTATACAATATTTAACCACTGCGAGCCAAAATAATGTCAGTTAATTGGTGGTGAAAGTCCCAATTTAGCAATCAATCAATTATTGCCTTTGATAAAGCCGCCGGGCTCATAACAGACATATAGTAAGATCAGGATAACCATACGCTAAACCTAGTTGGACATATCGAACTAGTCCTAATCAGATCTATGAAACTGCGAATCACTACGATTATCCCCTGAAACACCACGTAAAACCGTGGTTTTCCCCTGTTCCCCTGGATTACACCGTACAAGATACTGGATGATGTCATCTTCCAGTTAAACGCTCTTGGCTTTGTGCGTCACCATGCCTGGTTTTATATAGTATTCTATCCTCTCCCCTGACCCACCATCTATATTTTCCCTACAGTCTCAACTCATTCACCTTTTCTAAATTCCTAATCTAGCTTTTCGTATCGAGCAGATCGATGGTAAGGAAATCCACCTTTTAAACGCCTCTGCATGACATACCCCACTGCCCCCTCTTCGTCCTGTATCGATTTCCATTTATCCCAGTTATAGACATCTTTATAGTCTTGACGGAAGTTACATAGCGCAAAATCAATCGTGGTCACCTTGAATCCATTCCCCGCGTCCTCACGCACAATGCCTCACGCACAATGAAGCTCCTTGTTTTAATATCCACATTAAGTATTCCCAGATCCGCCATCAAGGATAAATTGACGGTACTCAGTCTCTGTATCTGGGGCCCAGGGACGAATCTTTTCGTTTTTCCCAAGCTGCGTTGCAAATCGCCCATCAAAGAGTTTCAAAATCATATCGACTTCCAATCTTAAAGAGGAGCATGCCACCCAGATAAGGACCACAGAGGAAAGAATGAACGGCTCGAAGACTGATGATATTGGCACCTGCTGTTGCCTCCAATCCAACTGATGTCTTCAAGTGAATGTTGATCACATTGCCAACAGCATATGGATATCTGAAATTATCAGTATGAGTATATTCTATATTGTAGATCTGCAGGCGGGGGTACCTACTCGAATTCGTGGGTCATGGTGGTTAGATGTTATCGCTGTGAGAAATCCACTGGGATGATGAGAGAAAATGTGCCTTACTCTAGGCTTGACGTATCTTGCATAGTCCTGAGCTCTCTGGAGCAGGTCCTGACTACAACAGGAGCGGTTCGAGAGTGAAGTTGCAGACTTTATTTGGCGTTGACTAGGCGGTGTAAAAAGTGTCACTCGTATGTGCTGTTTTGACAGACTGAAATTACACTGCATGGTGCTCATTTTGCGTGGCATTTAAATCCTTATCCAATGTTCGTGAAACTAAAATTGATGAGGTTGGACCGATCAGTCCGCCCGTGGGCCAGACAATCCACTCGTTTTCACGGGCCATATCTGACCATGATTGATACTCCTCTGATAACATTGATATCATCATCAAAGATCGATGTTCTTCGGGCGTCAGTGTTCTCTTGAGCTTGTTGGTAAGCCCCTCCTCCACAGCAAGCACAGCAAGCCGCCTCGCGACTTCGGGGATACCCGCACTGCGTTCAACATCCACAAGATTAATTTCGGTCGGCTCCATCCCGTCTTGCAACCCATTTAAGACGGTGAAAAACAAAACGCCTGGCTGTGTGATAAATGATGATCTATCAAGAACCACGGCGAAGAATTTGTGTGCAATGGGCCCGTATGCGTAGTCGCCAATGCCTAAAGGCAATGTTCGTTCTCGGCGAGTACCAGCGTCGAAATTGTGCAAAGTACCGACGGCAAACTCGTTGCGATGAGAGAGCAGGCAGGACAATGATGGTGAGCTAGGAGTTTTGAATTTTAACTACCAAATTCGGAATTTCTCGGGACGACTGCGGCATCCTAAATCCCGAGATAAATATGAAGTATGTTTGAGTTGCTCGGGAATATGAATGAATTGTTTACTAACTGGAATCCTTTCAAGCTGCACCAATCTCCTTGCTAATAACAGCTACTGTGTTCAGCCAGTGGGAGATGGTAAGTACCTGCCTCGCCCAATGAGTAAAGGCTTTGGACAAATAACCAATAGCAAATGGTTAGTCAATTCCTATCCCAACGCTCTCAGATACACTGGGCCCTCGTCATCAATCTCCAAGGTTGCTTACGCCAGTCTGCCCGATGCCCCATATGCCTCTATTTTTAATGTCGCTCCTCTGGCCTCACAAACGTGCCAGGGCTGTGATGCATATGCATCGGGGGCTGATCTCCAATATGACTACTATGGTGTGTCCCAGTGTGATAATGCCAGCAAATTTTACGATGTGACCGTGGAAAGCTTGATACTGTGGAATCCGTCTCTACAGAGTGCCAGCACAAGCAGTAACTCGTCGACCAACTTGGAAGATGGTTCCTTTTCTAAGCAGTTCAGCTACTGTATGGACAATCCTACCATTAGCGCAACTGCGTCTGTTTCTGGAAGCCGTGCCTCTACGCCTTTGCCAACCGCTACCAAACATTGAGAACAGAGATAAAAGGCAATTTGACATTGGTTGTTTGAAGAACCGTCGATCTGTTTGTATCTAGTCTAGTCTGTACCTGATGAGAGATCAAATCGGCTGAATTTATGAAACCTAGTTTTTTCGAGAACTCTAATATCAAAATCGCAAACCCGGCTCTCAAGTGAGGTCACAACATTGTAATCGTTGGAATGACTCTGGGAATTCATTTCAAATTGGAGCGCAACTTTAGGCCCTCGCATCAACCTAATGAGATAAATAGAGAGATCTGTTGTACTGGTCATTGTTTCAATCCATAATTGGCCATGATGCAGTTGGTAAATTCTGCGCCTTCCTGCCGGTCAACCAACGGATGTTTCAAGGTCCAGGACTCTAGTCTTCAACTACACAATAGCAATAACATCGCTTTTCCTTATTCAATACTATATGAGGATGAAATAATAGAGTTGCGAATCCAGAACAGACTGCCCGTGCTGTCCGAGAATCGATGAATAACAATTGGGCCACCATATATCCGCTGTCGGAGACCTTCCGGAGCAATAATGAATTTCTACAATGGAAGATATCCATCGGTACAAAGTCCAAAAGTCAAGGGAGGCCGTTCTTGTGGTTTGGAATGCGACATCCTGGCAATTCAAGAAGCCTGGCGTAATTAATTCATTGCGTTTGGATACTGCAGAAACGCCGGACAGTTTAGATGGTGGCACACTTGTCCCTGCTTCAGCTTCCACCAACCAAACTTTATATGTACCCGAACTCAAATAAACGACCAGGAAGCAACAATACTGAATGCGCATATCCGCACTGGTCATACTAATGCAGATTTACCCATCGGGCGGACTCTGATTCTGCAAGGAACCGCCAAGAAAGCCAAGCCGCTGTCTCCCAGATACGAAGGGTCCCAGCACTCCTAGCGAATCAAAACAGGCTACCTAGGTCAAACCTCGTATCCAACCGAGCAGCCCAAAGAATTAAAAGGGGAGCGTGGCCCCCCGCAACATGGACCCCAGCTCTGGGATTCTTATTTGGCGCCTGCGACAAGTGACAATCCCCAGACCATTATTTGCGACAGCCTGAGCGACAATCGCAATGCGCCGCGCCGCAACGTTATTGCAGCTACCGCTGTTCCTCGCAGCACAGGCTCTAGGTAGCGAGGATGTTAATTACAGCCCAGAGGAGAACTACCGGCCACGGAACGTGACAGGTTTGGATTATTACTATTATCCATGGATTGGCTCGTACGCTCAACTCTGTATCCACATACTACACAGACTGTATACTAAAAATCTGCCTATAGGTACTACAATGGCAGTGCAGTATTCACCATCTCTAACGTCCAGCCTCGAGACAACCGCATCGAGTCCGAGATCGAAGAGGAGGGGGAGTTGGAACTCTGCGGGCAGTTGCAGAATATCACGTACACGTGGTCGTACCCAGCAATCCTAGCCATCACAGAGATAGAACCGGAAGATAAGCGACCAGAGAACACAAACCCAATCGATGTCTCGTTGTTCACTTCGTACTCGAACTTCACGCAGTATTTCAACGATTATATGGATTCCGGGAGCATGCAGGATTGGGATATGCCCTTTGTATTTGAGTCGATTGAGATGTCGTGAGTATATATACTCCTTTCTAATGCGAAGTCACTTTCCTGGCGGCTAGCTGATTGGCGACAGGCGTTATTCATACCCTATGGGCAGAGACACGAAGCCAGATTTTAACCTGACTGTCGCTGAGGAAACTGGAAATGGGCTCCCTTTTCGAGTGACAGGGAGCTCGGAACTAGAGCGGAACCCGCTTGGTAGTTTGCAGATGAATATGTCGACATGCTCCCGTACCGAGGGATGGTGGGGTGTCAGTCCCATTTCACTCGACAGTGACCTTGACGACGTTAGCGGCGTGACAAACCCGACTGTGCAGCTGACATTTGACGACTCCTCGACAAATTTTATTATCCGATCGTGGGTTGTCGCGAATACCTTGGGCGAAGGGGATGAGGAGACGCCAAGAATCTCCGCTAGGTTGACGATCGAGTTCTTGGGGAGGATTGATGCTGCGCGCTCGGATGTCTTAAATGAGGGAACTCCAGTGATGTGGATACCGAGCGTGGGGTTCGGGAATAATTCCCTGAGTTTGGATTATGAATCTGGTGCGCTTGCCGCAGCCGGAGTGAGCATTCGTCAAATTTGTAGTATCCTAGGGGTCGTTTTAGCATATATCCTCATATAAATAGCGCTTTCCATTTCACGGAAATCCCTTCGGTTGTTATTTTTTCCCTTCGAATGCTTATATGCATCCTTTGCAATGGGTCTGTTTCAACGACTTCCCGCCGAACTCATCAGTCAGGTCCTTCGAGATGCAGACTTTGTGGGCATGGATGGCCTAGTATCAGTGTCCCTGGCAACCAGAATGGTCTTCCAGGAAAAGTCTCGTGCGATCATTCCAGATCATATTTCTTCAAATTCCATTACGTCGCACGCTGAAATAAAAAAGCTACCCTCAAATATCGTCTTTATTCACAACCCTTCGATTTGCTGTACAAGTCTGGACGAGTATATGCAACTGACGAATGGAGGAAACGACAACGCACTTGAATCCACTATTTGCCGGTAGAACTCAGCTATGGCCTACCATATCCTTCCCATCACCGCCCAAACCCAGCGTTTGGCATGTATCTGCCTCTTGACTTTAAGGCAAGGATTGTTTACTACTTTAGGAACCTCGTCTATTCGAGTGCAAAAGGCAAACGACTTTGACCACAAGAAACGAGTCTGTAAGCTAGATCGGGTTAACGATATCTAACGATATACCTTTTCATCGCTAGAATCGTTTGCTCGATCGCTACGTTATCATTATCTAGGTGATAGGTCAAACCACCTCGATAATTATCAAGCTGAGCCTTTGTTTGTCGGAGTTCAAAGAACCTAACGTACCTTCCGATGCCTACCATTCCAAATAGACGAGGAAGATTCTCCGTTTGTTCCTCACGACGGGATAGCATATATCCCAACAGTTGCTCCTTTGCATGAGTCCAGGAACTAGACGGCGGAGAACCATTTTGTGACCTCGAGGCCCTCTTGCTCTCTATCATGATGACCTTGGATATTGAATTATGGACTAGGGTGCTCACACAAACGTTTGCCCTCGTCTGTGACCGGGATCGGATATAAGCTTCGCGTTCAACTCCGAAGTCTTCAGTGACCGGGAAATAGTATGCGAGGAGGTTCGTCCAAAGATGGTCCACATCAACCTCGAGGGTTCCTGGTACGATGTTCGTGATGTATGAAACTATGATTGGCTGTGCCTGGTACTGCACTTGTATATTAGTATGATGAACCGATCATTGAAGCTCCTGTAGGCTTACAGTCATGTCGCAGAGATTAGGCGGCTGTAGAGGAATGGATATTGAGGATTTTTCCGGAATTTGGTCTGGTCAAGGTTTGGAGAGTCGGATTTCGTGTATAGAGGTAGATAAATTGCGGATGTTGCGAGAGGTAGGGATTCAGTAATACGAAAAGAGAGAAATCGATGAGAATACCATGCGAGAGAAAGTAGAGGAGGAAATCTTGAAATTCAACCTATGGGAAAACAAGGTATTTATACCGTGAAGTTAGTAAAAAAGTGCTCAGTGCAAGCAAAAAGCATATATGGGATACTCCTGCGGTAGGAAGTAGAATAAGGTAGATGATCTGTATAGTTTCTAATACTATCGAGTAGACTGCGATATCGCCCGTCCATGGGCACCTCCTAGGTACCTATCGCCCGTCTACGGTGGGCGATAGGCTATTTGAAATTCCGAGTGCCCGTCTATAAGGCCTACGACTCGTAGGGATGCCCAAAGCGGGTATGCCTATAACGGATAAAGATCCTTACAATATGGAAACAGAATTGCTTCCTGACCTTACCAGTTAGATCACAGGAGTAGAGCACCACTGATTCGTTGCGGACCCCATTCCCCATTTGATCAAAGCGGGGTATAGCGATAGATAATAAAGGACTCCCCTAGATCCTGTTTTGCTCTGACAAGAATTAGTCTTGTCATGCTGAGACTACAATATGTTCCTGTTGAACATGCAGGCATGGATGTTTGACAGACTGAGCAGTCTTCAGATGATGTTTGGTGCTAAGGGTATTTAAACCCTTTATTTAATTAGTTCTTACAAATAACAACTCTTCTTCTTCCATCTATCTCCCCACTGTAGTGCCCCCATTACAACAGTTCCTCTCTTCTACCACTGTATCTCATCCGGTTGACAGGCAGTACACCTGAAAACAGTATACTCTCACAGCGTGGGACTGTATAAGAGTCCTATAGGACTAATAGGGTCATGGGACCAGCATTTCTTTGGTCCTATGGGAGTTTTCAAGGCCTACTTATAGACGGGTACTCAAAATCCAAATAGCCTACCGCATACTGTAGACGGGCGATGTCGTAGTCTAGATATACCCGAGGGCTCTGGCCTTCAACTATTTTAATAGACGATAGGTAGAATCCATGAACAACGAAGATGGATCGCGAGATGAGTATAAATCCGCCTAATGTAGTGAAACCTCTAAAAATAGACTTTTGTTTAGCATTTGAAGGAACAATTATGTATACTTTTCTTATAACTGTTATCTTCAATGTTATATAACTTTATTTCTACCTATGGATCTTAGATCTCAGTTGACACATACTGGGCTAACCCCTCTTTCCATTGCTTTCTTGATGGATCTATGGGATGGACTCAACGCAATAACAGTGCACCTGCCAAGTCTAGAGAATCAATTCGAGGAAGCGGTTTTAAGCAACATGCCTGAAGTTGTTTCCGGCATCCTTAGCGAGATGAACGAAATAGTGGAAGCCCCCGAGGTCTTTTTGGAGTCACTCCTCTTGAGGAATTATTGCCTTTGAAGTGCTAAAAGCTGTCATACTAGAAGGGAAGATTCTTCCAAGCCTCCTAATAGCCGGCGCCATAGCACGCAATCTCACCAAACATTGAAAATACGAGGTGTAGTACTGCAGGTCATTACCCCGGGCTTCAGCCCCGAGTATACGATGGCTATCTCTCGGTATATAGGCCATGTCAAATTCCCTCGCGCGATATGACCGGCGATGAGTAAGAACGTATTATTGCTTCCGAAGTATTGATTCAGTAAAAATAGTCTACTAGATATACCGATCACCGCTTTTGCCGCACGCCAGGGTGAAGTGGTAGTGTACCCGGACGAAGTCTCTACTTGGGGCATACATGTGAAGAGTTCAATCTTGTTGAGGTCGATGGAGATATTGGTTCTTGCATCGGAACCAATACATTGAAAGACACCTTGGCAGGGTGAGTGGATTAGACTTTTTGAGATACTAGGGGGGGGGTATAGCAGGCAATTGGACTGTATTGAATCTAACTGCGCTGTGTGTAGGGGAAAAGAAGAAATGGGAGAGGAAGTTATTTGTAGCTGCTAATGTTGTCAAACATGATCAGGTGACTTCAATAAGACTGTTCATAGTCCTTGTCCTTTTAGCGATAATACCAAAATATATTAAACTACTACGTAGAATAAACAGTAAGGGACATACAGCGAGTGTCAGGGCTGATAAATGGTGAAAGTGTGACGATATTATATGTAAGTAGACCTCCGTGGATAGAAGATAGCTCGTCTTAAGGGGAAGAACTCTCTGTCGTCTCTTCGTCCTCCGTATCTTTTGTTTCTACTGGATTACATTCATTTATTCATTACATCCCCTGGCTTTCTCTGATCCTAACGTCCGACAAATGTTTATCTCTTTCGTCGTATGACATTCATAACGAACTTGGTAAGGGTTCAAGGTTTTACAGAGATATATATGATCCAATGTCAATGATGCAATCATGATCGACACATTATAGGAATCACTTGCTGCAAATTTCCTACACTTTTAATCCTCTATCAGCTCCAACAAGTGCAATTTGAATTGAAGGAAGCTACTTCATCTTAATTATGCGGAAGAAACGGGTGTATTCTTATCGCAATCCCGATCCTCCATGTGCGTCTTGCGGAACTGCTATTGAGCCTGAAGATGTACAAGACAGTAAGTTCTAGCCAGTTGCAGCTTGGCCGGTATATCGAGATAGATCACTGAAGATCACCCTAATGCTAGTTCGACAATTGATCGATGAATGTTGTGGTGATAAAGAACGATACGAATGGTGCAGCGACTCGAAAAGCGGCCTTTCTAAATTCTGTGTATTTCATATAGGCTGCTTGAAATTGCTGATGCAACATTTCAAAAACGGAGTTCTCCCTCTCGATAGATTGGCCAAGGTAGTCCAAGAAGCACCTTGGCCACAGTATCGAGCTTGTAAGTCATTTCCCCGCTCCTCTTACGAAATTTCTGCATCCACGAGGAATCTCGAATAATTGATGAGAACCTTTAGACCATGTAATCCCGGAAACTGGGACGCCTAGCTCGAGATGCTTTCGATATATCGGGTTCCGGGCCGAGGCGAAGACCTTCCCACAGACAGCAAACATGGAATTTCAACACCCTCTTAAGAATGAGGCCCAAGTTACTGATTGCTTTCGTCTCCTTCCACTTGAAATTCGCTTCGAAATCGCCTATCTTCTCCCAACAGCCGAATATCTCAGCTTGAGACTTGTGTCAAAAGCCATGGTTCACATATTTCAATATCAGGAATTTTGGAAAACACGCTTTTTCATTCACCGCGAACGGGGATATCTCAACTATCTCTTGGAACAAGGTTGTGAAGATTGGCGATTAATGTACCGCTGCACTAGTAGACTGAAGCGTCTAACTAAGGCACTGCGTTTTCGAAGGCTACAGTGGCTTCATAACGAGTGGATTAAAGATAGGTGTATGATGGTTGGGGCTCCAATATCTACATCGTTTGAGGAAATGAGTCAATTTGATGGCCTACTATGGGACAGAGCCGGTGGGAAGGTCCAATGCGATAGGCCTTACAGATTCGACATCGATCCTCCATCTTCACTCAGTAATGATATCTGCAAGCGGTGCCGTGGAGTGCACAACCTATTACCGCCTCAGATGATCACCATCTCCAGCGAGCTTGTGGAAATTGTTGTCTCCGTTCTTGCCGAAGACGAACATTCATTCATCACTGGGTTCAAACTTGTCTACGGTGAAAGTTCATCAAGCACTAGTTTCGGTTATCAAATCCCCCAAAAGCAGATCACGATTGATCTTCGCAGTCAGCAGTTGACAGGCTTCGAAGTCTTCGCCGGAGAAGGGGGTATCCAGGCCATACGTCCAATATTTGACCAAGAAGATGGAATACGCCGTAGCGTGATTGGCACGCCGAATACAACTTGCGAATCAGTCCTAGTTACCCCTGACAGAGAGATAAAAGCCTTTGTGGGGGATTTCGATGTAAGTCAGATCTTGATGTCCTGTTTCGATTCACATACGCAGTTTTCTGACTCAATTATAGCACTGTAGGATGGTAGGATTTGCAGTAGGTTCACTACATTCAGGATCATAAAATGTATCCCAATTAGTGAATGACTCAATGGTTATTGTTAATGACTATTAATTTCGCTCTCTTGCTTTCGAATCCTATTGGGATTACTTCTAGGACTTCCTAGAATCACTCGCAAGTTATCAATCTTATTCCTCTAGGCAGAATTCGCAATATATTTGCTGGTAATTAATATTTCTGCTACCAAATAAATTGTATTTCTCTTATAATTTCTATGGGATTGACCTCGATTATTCCTCTAATTCTGATAAGATTGGGTCTTCCATAAGGCTTTATAGTCCTGCCAAAGTAGCAGCACGCACTGGCTAGCATATAAGAAGTGCCGAAATTCAAGATGGCACTCGCAAATGGGCTACAACAATTGAAAGAGTTAGTGCAGGTGGACAGTTGCTGCCTGCAATAGAAAATTCACAACAAAAGATCAGGCACTGATTCGCTATGTGATAAAGATGGAGAACTACATCGACGGGTAATATAAATTGGCAACATAAGAAATGCTCTCTAGGCTATGATTGGTCACGACCTGAAGTTCAGATGGCTCAATAGTATGAGTGATGGGATAAACTTAAACAAAAATATTATACCGCCATCCCAAGTTTTTTGGGTTCGAAACACCCATTTTAAATTACTTTTTATTTGCTTCATCAATTGTCTCAATAATGAGAGCTGTATGAACGTCTAAGAGATACTTGATTACAAGGGATGATAAAGGCGCCGGTTTAATATACCGCATATCGGGATAATCATACATACATGTACCCTACCTTGGTAGGTAGGTGTCACCATATTAACCTATAAAACTGCTTGTTAAGGAAACACCATGATTAACCCTTCAAACACCACGCATAACTCTAGTCTTCCGCTCCAGTCTCCCTAGACTAACTACATCATATCAGATATTAGATGCAAATTTAATGTTGTGCTGACTTTCAGATTTCATTCGTTGTCTATTTGCGTCGCCACGCGTGGCTCTATAAAGCCCTCCTATCACCCCGACAGACATGGACAACAAAATTCGAATGATTCCCCGCCATGACCCTGTTGTTACGCCAAGGGATCCTCGAATGGTGAATTACAAATGAAAGATTTTCATGGTATACCGTATGGTATACTATTCAACATCCAGCTCACAGGCTCCATGTCAGCCAAGTCGAAGTTCACATCAGTCATCTGAGACGTATTAAATCAGCACGAGACACGGAAAAACTGGGAGATTGAGGCTTACCATGGAATCCCAATCATCATTCATATCAGGAAGTGATGCCGTGGACTCCGGCTCAGTGACATCTCCGATTTTCCCATTCTGACCCTTAGCCGCCATGGGCTCGAGAATCGACAGACATTTATCTTCAGCCTCTTCGGCGGCCTTGGCTAACAACTTTGGAAGTTCGGCTTCTGAGACCCCTTGCATCAGGGCATCTAGCTGAGCGGAAACAAGTGCCATGAACAAATACCCCTTGATATTGGTCTCACCGATCTTGATACATTGCAAGCCCAAAGCTTTGGCATCTTGTATCACCGACAACAGATCGGGTCTTATGGAGACAGGTCCCAACCCCTCTTCTTCGAGAATTTGGCTTTTTAATTCGACGGCTATTATGAAACTGGAATGCAAGAATGGCGTGTGAAGGAATCCTGACCCGCACATTGTCAGTCGCCCGAAATCGATTTGATCTGGTGACGCGCTTTGGTTCGATGATGAGCCTGCCGTTGAAGGTAATGACATCCGGGAGCAGTTGAACAGTTTGACTGCAGTATCGATGACAGCATTCCTGGAGAAGGCGTAGGTCGTCCCGAGAAACGACGGTCCAAAAAATGGGATGTGGATTGAAATGAGGTAGCGACGGATGACGAAGTCTAGGATGAGGACCTCGAATTGAGAAGGTTGTATGGAATATCCCTGAATGGTCCGACGCATTTCTTTATAAGAGGCCCTCAGCCTTGCATCTAGGCGGATAGCTTCTTCATACGAGCCTTGACAGCCGAGGTCATTTAGGAATTTGGCAATGGCAAGTCGGACTGGAAATGTCTTCCGGAAAGCAATCGCTATTGACGATGAAGTCAACCGATTCTCCGGATGGGGTATAGGGTCTTCGGCGTCGATATCATGGTCATCGAAATTCCTCGGGGGCTCTGTGTCGAACTGGTCGACTGAGATCAGTGCAGGTCCTCCGGACTCCATACTAGATTGCAGGCAAACCTCCAAAATCGTATTCCACAACCTGCGGCGCATCTCCGATGCAAATCCAGATAGATTTGGTATCTGAACAGGATCTCTGTGTAGTCCCATATATACAGCTGTTCGGATCAATGTGCCTGCTGCGATCCAATTCATTCCTCCGTCCACACCCAGCAATTCCCGGGCCAGGAATAACAGGATGTGTGCTTGCAGGAATGGTATCCCAAGGCGTGCCTTATATTCAGGCTCAGCAAACCATGTTTGAGCTTCGTAAATTAATCGGACTCCCAAGGAACGTAGTGAGAATTCAGCATCATACGTTGTGCACCCAATGGCGAGCACCAATTTCAACTGTACTAAAAATATTGGATCATATCGGGTTGCAGAATCGAAGAACTTGTCATAGTCTCTTTTGAATGATGGGACGTGCAATACCCTGTAGAATCTTTCAGATGTTCGAAGATAACAATCAACAAGCGCGTCACAGATATCCTTCGAGGGCAAATCGGTGGTCATCGGTACTGGCCATTGAGGTGTCCGTAGTGCCTTGATCTTTTTCCCTAGATGCTTGCATTTTTGAAGGCCTAGAATAGCCTTGGACCCCTCAGTCATGAGATATGGCTCTATTATTTCGACAATATCACGAAGCTGGTGGTTTCTTAGCATATTTGAGTTTGAGTGCGATGGATGTGGAAAAAATTTTTACCAAGGACATGCTACCAATCCAATGGCTTTGGCCGAAAAATCGTTTCTTATGAATGAAGCTGCGTCTAACCATTTGGCCTTGATTTGAAGGAAGGCTTGCGTTGTGGAAATGGAATGTCCCAGCCAAGTGAGAATGTGTTGTCTCAATGTCAGAAACCGGGGTTGGTGCGCAAGTCTCAGTATGGCTTTTCGTTGATTTATCCAGTTGATTCTCGAGTTCTCTTATCTTGCTCTTTAGCATCTCAATTTCGTGTGTGGACGAGTGACTATTCGGAGTTGAAGGGGAAGTGGAACTGGTGGTTACCGTTCGTGACGGCCCACTTGACATCCCCGGGCTGCAATTAATAGGTGAAGGATCCACAAAACTATTCAAGCTTCGATTGATCTGCGGAGGCGCATGGATCCATCCAAGCTCACGTGTCTGTCCTTCTGCGTGTCCATTGCCATGTTGGGGAGGCGGCTGTGAGGACCGATAAACGCAATTCCCATTTTTGGTCCGCATACAATTATTGCAAGGGGTCTGCCTATTGCATTTAATCTTGCGCTGACGGCAAAGAGAACAAGATCTACGGTCTTGTTTAGAACGCGTGAATCAGATCGGTCGGATGTTGTTACTTACAGAGGCGGCCTTCTGCGCCGAGGGTTCAACCCGGATACCGATAAGGCGCCCGATGAAGTATTTGTTTCCGTAATATCCATCGCTTTCGCTAGTCACAGATCTCCGAGTTTGATTGAATGGATAATTTTCATTCGGGGCGGAAAATTGGAAGATGATCCTGATATTGTGAGTTAACTCCGTCGGACCTGCGCTTTTGGTCCGTCTCGTCTGCAATTCTCCGTCTCCGTCTCCGATTCCGCTCCGAATGTATACATCGTTAGAAAATAGCTTCTCTTGAAAAGATATATAAGCACAGGCGGATTCTAGGTATGATCGGTCTTGATATATTATATCTTCCCTCATAATTCCTCACTTGGTGGCATAACTACGTTTTATTTTAATCTTTGAATGCTCTCATTCTTTATATATTTCCACTATGGACAACCAACAGCCCCCAACTTCGGCATCAGAAAAGCTGACAGATGGTTCTTTCGAAACCAGTGAGAACAACAAGGAAAATTTCTCTCATTTCGATAAAGCACCGGATGGAGGTCTTCGAGCATGGCTTACAACGGCCGGAACTGCTTGCACTTTCTTCGCAGCCCTAGGTTTTGCAAACTCATTCGGTGTTTTCGAGGAATACTATCTTTCTCACCAACTGAAAGATGAACCAGCGGATAAGATTGCATGGATTGGATCATTATCAGCTTTCCTTCAGTTCGCAACAGGCGCCGTTGGGGGCCCATTATTTGATCGGTATGGAGCCTGGGTATGTTCCCCCACGATCTATCTTACCTCAAATACTAGCTAACAAGAAACCAAGGTTATTCGACCTGCGGCGATACTATATGTATTTTCCTTGATGATGACAAGCTTATGCGAGAAGTATTGGCAGTTCATGCTTGCACAAGGCGTTCTACTAGGCGTCTCTATGGGTCTCTTGCAATTTCCATCAATGGCAGCAGTGATGCAGTATTTTGACAAAAATATTGCGGCAGCTTTGGGGATAGCGGTCGCTGGATCATCTATTGGTGGTGTGGTTATTCCAATCGCTCTATCGAAGATGTTGAATAGCACATCGCTAGGATTTGGCTGGTCCGTCCGAATTATTGCATTCGTTGTGACCCCACTTCTAGCCTTTTCATGCCTCACAGTCAATGCCCGATTACCACCCCGAAAAACGTCATTCTACATTCCTTCTGCTTTCACGAAAGTTGATTTTTGCCTCCTTGTGTCAGCCATGTTCTTCATGTTCTTTGGGCTTTTCACGCCTCTGTTCTATATTCCGACATATGCAGTTTCTCGGGGTATGGATGCCACTCTCGCCTCATATCTACTTGCGATTCTCAACGCTGCTTCGACATTTGGTCGTGTGATTCCAGGTGTCCTAGCAGACAAATTCGGTCGATTGAATGTTTTGGCATTAGGTGGAACGATCACTGGCATCATCATATTTTGTATGAACAAAGCAGAGTCCAACCCAGCCTTGATAGTGTATTCGATTGCCTTTGGATTCTGGTCTGGGACAATCATTTCTGGGGCATCTGCTGCACTTTCCATCTTAATTCCAGATCCCAGAGTAGGCGGCACCTATCTGGGAATGGCATTGGGTGTTTCTTCAATGGCTGCTCTGATTGGACCCCCAGTTAATGGGGCACTTGTTAACAAGTACCATGGATTTTCTGAGGTTTCAATACTGAGCGGCACAACATGTGTGCTGGGTGCGCTTCTTGCCTTTGTTATAAAGTCTCAAACCCCTCAAGGCGTTTTGGGACGGGTGTGAGGGTGTCAAAGTGGAAAGAAGATAGGCGGATTTATGGCCGTTGATGTATGCACGTGAAAATCCTTGTGTTCATATGTACTATACTTATATACTTAGTGGGCAGGTATGATGGCGTGTAGTATCAAAATAATCAAACCACTCCATTCTACCATGGATGTCCTATCCCTTCGAACATAGTCTAGATCTGAATCCTCCTGATGTCCTAGATTGTACATAGCCACATAGCCGAAGCGTAGCAGCCCGACCACAATTCCGTCAATGCTAAGGAAGACAAAGAAGTATCACACTATCTCATTTCAATGCTTGTCATTACAAAGCGTCCGCACGAATGAATCTCCCAGTTAAAGGTTCAGTTATTGGTCACGATGCCAGTTGTCTGTTTACCCTCGTCGCCCGAGGAGGTCTCAGGTAGCAACGGCTGAGATTCAACATCTTCAGTGTACAAACACCGAAAGGTATCTGTCGAGACAGAGGATCTTTCCTGTTCCGCTGCCCTCGCGATAATATCCTCACCGTGGGTCATAGGAGCATCCACAGATCGGTCACAGGTTGCGCAAAGAGTGTAGTTAACACAGCCGGCATTGAGCATAGGCTTGATGAATCGGTGTAAGTACCCTAGAGCAAAGCAGCGCAAATATAACGGACTAGCGGGGTTAGTGTATTTGAAGGAGCAGGTTACATTGAATTGCGGAAACGACTTACCTGAGGATGATACATGAGAGGTTGGAGTAGACCTGCGGAATACCGACAGCAAGCCGATAGTCCCAGGGAGAAGCCCAGCTGCTAATGTCGTGAGAAGCAAGGATGGCTATTCCGGCAATGTATACCCCGATAAGGAATAACGCCATTGACCCATCAATAGCTATTTCGATGAGCGAATAAGATTGACTTCCGGATTTGCGATACATGAAGAGCATGAATACGGGTATAGTGCCAGAAATTGTGATCTTCGAATTGTTAGATGGTCTTCTATTATAGTAGGAGACGAAGACTCACTGCAGTAAACTGGACCCATGCGTGAGGGCTATGATGAGTCGTAAAGATGGTGGCGAGAGCGAACGGCCACGATATCACCGAGAGAAGGGCCTGTGCTTTGCGAGCTCTAGAGAACGGGTGTTTGTTGGAGGAACACATTCTTTGGCACATTTTGACTTGACTTTGATTTTTGTTTTCTTGGCTTTCCAAAAGAATAAGAAAAGGAGAGGTTTATGAAGATCTAGAAACCGAAGTCTTTTATTTATTAAGCATCTGGTTTGACGGCCCCCGGTCCCGCCAAGCATAAAATGGAGGGGAAACAACACTGCTGCCTTATTTAATTAATCTGCCTACAGATATTTAGTCCACAATGTATATAATTGAAAATACTCACCGACTTTTAATAGGCTGGTTTCAATTCACGAGGCTTGTTTGGGTTATCTTTGGGTTACCCTTGGAGACAATGTTGAGACCAAGAACAACATGATAGATCAGCAACGAAGAAAACTGTCAACAATTATCATCCTGTATTTCTAATTCGTTTAAAAGATCGTTCAGCCCCCTTCAGAAAATGGATCTTGATCATTTTTTTTTTGGCAGAAATTCTAGGAGAACACTCCAAGCTCTCAGGACAACTCACCATGTTTCTTCGAAACTCTCAACATCATTCATAGGACCAAGTAGGCGCGCAGTGAGAACCTCCAGCTCCCAAAAATGATGACCCGCATGTTTGAATTCTGCCATGATCCTTTCTCCCCTGCTCAGCTACGGAAACTAGTACAAGAGATCGAGCGATTTATCTTCATATTAGCAGATATCGAGGATATATCGTAAAATGCGAATTCCGCTCTGGGAAACAGCAAAAATGCAATGAAAAGGTTCGTGTATATACGTATCATGATTGCAGCGCCATGGCTCACGCAATTCTAAGTATTTTATGTCTTTGACGGAGGCATTTCTCATATACTATAGGATTTAGACATGTCAATACTTGAATACATGTTCCAATACAGCATCCTGGTTATTAGGGAACAAGGTGTACTGACTATCCTTGACTGCATGTAGATCCCCTTTGTATCATGATATTGTATATGAGCCAGGGGCAAGAAGTCAGCGCCCCAGGCGGGGTAATTCCAGATTCCTCTTTCTTTGTTCCCGTGGAGCGCACAAAGGTAGAACGTAGACCCAAGAATCTAAAACTCTATGTTTCTTCTCGTTGCAGTCTCAGCGTAGTCAGGTAAGAATCTAGGTGCATCAGATATTTATCTTTCCACTCCCAGGAACAGCTTCAGATAACAAGACGGAGCTTATGAAAACTTCACTATACAGCAGTTTTATTCGAAATTTGGTGGGCAGTGTGATACTGATGACTCTGTGTTTAGAACATTCCATTGGACCAGCTGTTGGATTATACTACAATTTGTAGAGGAACGGATTTGAGTGGAATCAGAATAGGTATCCCCCGCAACACCTTCGAGCCGGATAGCAATTCTCCTGCCAGCCCTGAATTTGAGACTGACTTGCAGTCTTTACACTCGGCTGGTGCAGCGGTGGTTGACAATGCAGAATTCAAGAAACGAAGCTAACAAGTCAATGGGATTGCTCGATCATCGGAATGTCAACGGGATATAGCTCGGTATGTATAAACACTTGAAACAAACGCTAACAACATCCACTCCGCGGAAGATCTTATTGGGTTTACCACAACATAGCCGGAGGAGAAGTACCCGGAGAGAAATATCGGGAAGTTCTTGTGGAGCAAGTAGAAGGAATTAAGGTGGACGGGGATAAATACGCTGAAATTGTGGGGTGGGAGCGTTTATTAGGCGGGCCAGGTGGTATCATCGGAGCAATGGAGAAGTATAACGTCGATCTCTTCGCCGTTCTATCGGACTGGGGTATAGCAAATGACATTGCGGCAAAGGTGGAGTTTCCTGTAATGTCTGTGACACTGGGGTACTTACCGGAAGAGACTCCTGTCGAACATGCGCAGTCTTTGTCATTCAAGCGCCCAGACTGCCGTAAGAATGCCCCGTATCGTTCTCGTGTTTTGTGTTTCTCACTAACCCAGAAACTAGATATGCTTTGACTCTTCTGATGAAGGCGTTTTCTGATAGGGTTATGGTTAGTGGCCAGCGTTGGTTAAATATTACTACGTTCCTAACTAACTTGAATCTTGATTCCCGGTTCCACATTTATCCTAAGTAACCTCTTCACTCTTCAATTATACATGAAGGTCTTACATTGTTCAACTACGCCAAATAATCTGATAACTGCTACCCCTTGCGGAAGGGAAATGGTGTAATGACCTCACCAGCTTTGATCAAACCTCGGTACCAAGTTGGTCGTAACTTATGTAGCTCGGGCTTGAGCTTCATTCTTTTCCGAAGACGATAGCGACCTTGAGGGGGAAAGATAAATCGAGACTAATTTGAACTAGAGGCTAAGTAACTTTGATAAGACTTTTCTATCGAGCTAACAGAGTGCAGCTAGGACTGTTTTTAATGAAGAAACATATGGAGTTAATTGCCTGGTTTTAGCCATTCTAATTGGCCCTCAGCCAATCCGAACGGCAATGCACAGACATGAAATGCCAAGTTTAGATACAAACCCCAAAAATTAGAGACTGGAGATTGGTTTTTGAGTTGACGACCCGGTTTTGAGAGGAGAAAATGGCTTATTTATTCGCCTGTGTTTCCCCCAGAAGTTTCCTCACTTTTTTCCCCCAAATCTTTTCCCCTTTGCGTCGCAATGTCGTCAAGTCCTCTTGTGCCATCCGATCGCCCATCCGATCGCCCATCCGAGCCCCGATCTGTAACCCCTGTCAACACGGAGGCCCGAGCCAACGCGCCCGGTCCAATTGCGATCGATAATTTTAGCGACGTATGGAGACTCAAGTGGCTTATTCTGACCCGGTAATTAAATCTCTTTAGGAAAGCGCTGAATTCAGTGATGATTTATCGGATCTCACTTCCCTGTCGGAGAGCGTGCTCGACTTTGAATATGAAAATGGTCGGCGGTATTGCAGTGCCCGCTCAGTAAGTTATCTTACTCGACCCATTGGCAAAGAGTTTCATTTCAATGACCAACTAACCTATGTCTAGGGAAATTATATGTATGTTCACATTTTCTTTTACAAGCTCCTGGGTGGACTGACAAAGTTATAGGATGCCAAATGATGAAGAGGAGCAGGATCGAATGGACATCGTAAGACACCAACCCCGACCATTAGACTGTCAAATGTTTGCATACTAAAATCTTCCTTCAGACTCATCACATGTCAGCGAAGTGAGACATTCCTGAGGAATAGCTGTGGCTAACCCGAGCGGTGTAGATGGCTGATGCTACTGGGAGGCGAGCTCCACAAGGCCCCTGTCACATCACCACAGAACATTCTTGACCTAGGAACCGGGACAGGCATTTGGTCTTTGGACATTGCCGAGTATGTGACATTATTTATCCTCCGTCTTTTATAACTATCAAGACTGACCGCGCATCAAAGAAAATTCCCCAACGCCCGCGTGATTGGGAATGACATCAGTCCAATCCAGCCCAGTTGGGTGGCCCCAAATATCGAGTTTGTCGTGGAGGATTTCGAAAGCGAATGGCAGTATAAACAAAACCATTTTGACTTTATCCATGCACGATGTTTAGCAGGGTATGTCTATCCCCCTGGGACCGGTCCTTTATCCTAACGAGAGCGACACTCCTAACACTAAGCAGATGCGTGGCCGACTGGCCTAGGTTTATCAGTCGGATCTTCGACCACGTTAAACCCGGCGGCTATTTCGAATCGCATGAGAGTGCCGTATGGGCCCAGAGCGACGATGGCTCCCTTAAGGAAGAATCCGCACTCATGGAATGGCAGAAGGCCGTTAATTTCGCCGGCGAGAAGCTCGGCCGGGAGCTAAATATTTACCACAAGTTAAAAGACTGGATGATCGATGCCGGTTTTGAGGATGTCAGATTGTCGGTTTACCCCCTACCTTTCTCGCCATGGCCGCGCGATCGCCATCTAAAGACACTAGGGAAGTATCAAGCAGTGCAGTTACAACAGGCCATCGATTCATATTCACTGCGCCTATATACGCAGGTGCTGGGTTGGAGCCCGGATGTGGCGAAGATGCATAATGCTGTCGTTAAGCATGAGTTGCGGGATAAGAGGTTGCATGCCTATGTTCAAACGTATAGTCTAACTCATCAGTTTTGATGGCCTGGGTACTTGTACTAACTATTAGCAGGGTCGCCGTTTATGGGAGAAAGCCTCTTCACTCATAACAGTTTCTTTGCAAAATGCGTAATCAATGACTGATGAATGATGTAAATTCAATTGTTGCGAATAATCTCCATATATTGTGCCAGGGGCTTCCATTAAGTCAGAAGATTTGCGAGAAAGGAGAGGCTGAACGAGGGCAAAGAGAATTCACGAGATTGTTTAATACTTCGTGGGACCAAGTACAATTACCATCGCTAGTTATTGTATAAAACGAACATGTAAATCTTGGTAGGTTCTCTACATATCATTGCACCCCTCTGGCCAGCCGTGGAAACAACGCTTAATCTGCAAACTGACCTTTCCCCAATACTGCATTGAGTTGCATAGTCAAGAGATTATTCTTCGTAATCTCTTCCTTCCTGGCCATCAGTTCCTCAACATCCCACTCAACCGTGACCACCCTTCCATTTAAAAACTGACTCCTCACTGGGTCCGCCGTCAGCCAAACCAAGGTAGCCCCTGTTAGGGCTGGGTCGTTGAAGTTGAATCCAGCCGCTCGAAGGGTTTGGGGGATAATATCGGTATCGTTAAGACCGGGATTGACTGCAATGGCGAGCACCATGCCTGGATAGGAGGCGGCAAGCGTCGTGGTGTAGTGGATCAGGGCAGCTTTGCTGTTAGAGTATGCGGCTAGGAAAGGCCAAGTTCCCCAGGCGCTCGAGCTGGACATGTTGATAACCCTGGCAGGGTTAGCGGTCGTGGCCCACGAAACCGCGGCTTTCAGAAACTGTTGTGTCATGATATGGGTGCCTTTGACATTGACTTCCTAAGGTCGGACGTTTTGTATTAGCCCACGAGCTGTTCATCGTACCAAATGTGTACTGGGGCAATATTATCCATCCCTGCGACGTGGCAAGGTATTGTTGGTGAAGACATACAAAGTTTCTGAAAAAGATATCCGGATCCTGCTCATGGGTCTTGTCACTGTCGGTACTTTCCACACCAGCGTTATTGACCAGGATATCAACCCTATGATATCTGGCTTTGATCCCAAGCCAGGCCTTAGCAACTTGGTCACGCGATGAGACATCCACACTCAGAGAAAGGGTTTCAAGATCCGGGTTGATCATCTTCAGTTCCTCCTCAACGTTCACCAGTTTGGCTGGATTTGTAGCTATGAGTACGATGGCTTTGACGCCGGCTTCGACAAAGGCCGGTGCAATGCCTCGAGCCCCAATCCCGCGACTGGCGCCGGTGACAACCACCGTCTTCCCTTTGAGAGAGTTATCCGCTTTTCCTGGATGAATGGCAGGGTAAACATTGGTGTGAGCCTTTCTGGTAAACTGGCTTGAGGTGAGGATCCAGTCTTTTGGGAGAGATGCTAGATCGGCCATGGTAGAGACACGGGCTGTGGCGTTTTGGGAAAGAGGCAGTGGGTGATCAATGTGCTTGCAGGGTTCAGTATGAATCATCACGAAGGAAAGGGTTCTGAAGTGGTATTTATCCTTTCAGTTGCACAGTAGCTGGGGGTACCGCTGTGTTGATTGAGAAGTATAGTGAAGCGGACGTTCGGCCGAAATGCGGTCAAATCGGTCGATGCACGGAGACATCATTTTGGAGTACCGGAAGGGATCACATGTACGATGACCCGATATTCTGGATCTGTCGGTCAAAAGATACCGTATGAAAATCGGGTGATGCAGATCCTCTGTTGTCTGGGGCTAGACGTGAGGTGAATTGGTATCTCCATAGCTGCAGATGTTTGCTATTGATACCTTAGAGATTAGGTGTACATCCACGCTAGTAAGAATCCAGGCACGGTCAGATTACGACCGTACTGCCCCTCTCCCCCAAAATGAAACAACAACTTCAAAACCAAGATTAACCAACGCGCTGTGATCATGTCGGCTAAGTCGATAACACCTGTTGGAGAACATCGTCGCAAGAGAGTCCGCAAGGGCACAAGAAGTTGCTGGGAGTGTACGTACTCAACAACATGACGGGCAAAAATATTGACATTTTTCAGGCAGGAGGAGAAAGGTCAAGTGTACATATCAATCGGAAGATGATAATGTTTGTGTCAGCTGCCTAGATAAAGGGACCTCATGTCTCAGTCAAGAGTTTGTCGAGGATCAACCGCCACGCCACGCGGAAGATTCAGCGCTAAGCCACCGGATGGAAAGGGTTGAAATTTTACTAGAGAAATTCATGCAAAAGGTTCCTCAGGGCACAGAAGATAACCGCCTGGCCTATGACCCAGTCGGTGTTTTCAATCCCTTATCAACGCCAGCGACGATGAACCACCCACGGCGTTCGTTTGTATCGACAGTCAACAGTGCTCTAAGACAGCAGCCCGAGGTTAATACTTCCACCTCATCTAATGGATCTCCGATGGAAGGAATTGAGGGGCTACAGCAGCGACTCGCTGCAATGCTGCCTTGTCAAGAGGATGTCGATTTTCTCTCCGGCATGAGTCATGGGTGGTGGCTAATTCAGCGACATATGATGCCACACCTTTTGAAGCAACCTGAACATGACACAGAAAGTCTGTTTGATGTCTTGTCTGCCTCAAGAAGTCACCCCATAGTCATTTCAAGGCTGCTTCTATGTGTGGCCATCTGTATTCAACAGCTTCCACCAAAGGTCGATCTGCGACGGCTGCACACCACAGTGCCACTTCGAGAAATGATGGAGAATAATATCACCTTCATCACCACAATGGTCACTTCTGACGATGAAATGACCGGAAGTATGGAAGGTGTTGAATCCCTTGCACTCCAAGGAATTTATCAGACCAATGCAGGTAACCTCAGAAGGTCATGGCTCACCTTCCGTCGAGCAATAAGTGTGGCCCAGCTTATGGGCCTACACAGAGTGTCTACAAAGACATCCCAGGGAGTGCCAGATTTGGAAAAGGCAAAGCGCCACTATATATGGTACCAGATAATGCAAGCGGTATGCGAATAACTGTTAATTGTCTTCACTTAGACTGATATCTACTAGGAGCGCTATCTCTCTCTTGTCCTCGGGGTGCCATCTGCTACAACCTCGGCACCAACTCAAGTCCATAACCAGGCTCCTTTTCTCTCAACCGAAGCCGTCTATCACCAAAAACTCTGTCATATCTCCGGCCTCATCCTCACTCGTAATCAAGGTGACTCCACGCACGCCTTCTCTGCTACTCAGGAGATCGACGAAAAACTCGACTCGCTTGCAAAACAGATGCCGCATGACTGGTGGGAAATTCCTTCCGCACCAATGACCAGCCGCACAGAGGAGACAGCCGCTCAATTTGAGCGGATTATGTGCCAAATATGGCACTTTGAGCTCGCCACACTACTCCACTTGCCCTTCATGCTGCGCGCGGCCACTGACCGACGATACGAGTATTCCCGAATTTCCTGCTTGAGTGCAACCAGAGGTTTGATCAGGAGGTGGATGTCTATTCGTGAAGTTCCAGGCAAGACCTTGTTCAGCAATCTCATCGAATTCCAAGCATTCGCGGCAGCGACAACGATCCTTTTAGGTCTTTTGGGGTCTACACATACCACCACGGATCAGGTCACCTTGCAAGAACGATACGAAGACTTGCAGCTCGTAGAGACGGTAGTTCAGACCCTTGAACGACTACGGGAGCATGGCACTGCGGTGCACCTCGCCGATCAAAGTATCACTGTCATTCGCACCCTCCAGGGCGTCATTCAAAACGAAGACGACTCATTCAGCAGCCTGCGCCTCGAAATACCTCACTTCGGCACTATCAGAGTTACGCGCAGCGGCGCCGTGCAATCGCTCGAAGGCGACCGGATCATAGGCGCAAACCCACATCCAAGGGCAACATTGAACGGTGCGAACCCGTCCCTTAGAACTCATGGATTTGACTCGGTACATCCGGAAACTAGTACGGGATCTGCATGGTCTTTGAGGTCTGCCTCTGGAGACGAAGGTCATCGAAGCCCCAATATGGCTGGCGATGTTATTGGTGACAACGCTATGGGAGTGGGTCACACTGTTTTGCAATTTACAAGCTGTCACTTTCCAGCGCTTACAAGCCCATCCATGAATGATCTTGCAGATTGGTGTTTCCAAGAGAGCGATACTTTATGTTTTGACAGCCTGCTTGATACCGATGTGGAGGGCAGTCGGGATTTCTAATATGGAATCGAGGGCGTCGAACCAACTCTCTCGGTTTTGTGTACACAAAGTTAGGTAAGAAAATATGGCTCCTAGGTCGATGCCAAGAGAATTCTGATCACGCGCGCTATCGCGTGCTCATGCCACGAAAGGATGAAAATAGAAGCTGGGATAAGAAGTCAGGATGAAGTCACAATTAACATACTTTACTGATAATAGAATAAAAGCGAGCATTGACTATTGTGAGGGTAGACAGCATGAACAACAGTGAGAACAACATTGCAGAAAGTAGATGAATCGTAATCATTTGCCCTCATATCTCATCACTTATATTCCCCTCTTAGGGCCGCTGCGATCTTGCGGCGTCTGGAATTAAGCACGCTCATTCCTTTCAATGTCACTCCGCTTGTGCTTGCATCTGCTTCCACGAGACTGGAAATGACCTGCAGGTACCCTGACTGAACTAGATCACCGTGTTTCTTAGCATTCTCGACAGCGAAGTAAAGAGCTGTTCTCCTGAATGGGTCATCCATGTGATATTTGTCAACACGTGCGCCATTGAGCAACAGGAAGTCCACGTTTGGTAAGCATCCGTTTATTGCTGCTTCCGCTAAAGGAAATTGACGTGGGGTATCTTGTTCATAATTCGGGCTTCCACCGAAGCTTAGCGCGACCTGGAGAACCTCGGTGTTATCGTATCTAGTCCAGCTACCTAGAAAGACTGCAACATGGGCATGTGAAGGATCAATGGACAGCAAGCGCCTTAACCCAGTTGCCCAACCAACTGAACATGCCTCGTGGACTATACGACGAGTAACATGCGCTCTCATTTTAAAGCACCATTGAAGCTTTTCAGATGACTGTGACTTGATGGCTAATATCGCTGCGCGTTGACACAACGTTTCGAATCTGGAGGAACGGAGGTATGCCGGATTGAGAGATTCGAAGTGCTTGATACCTGGCATCCATAAAGACAGGATAGCTAATTCCGCTGCATAAGACGAAATATGGACACTTTCCGTTACGAGCAATTTCAGCATTTTCAGGGATTCGTTCCTGACCGCAAAATGAACCGGGTCAAAGTTTGCAGTCATATTCGTATCGGACACGGGTTCCTTGGATATGGGATACAAGCATCGTGTTGCACCATATTGGAGTAGGAGGCTCGTCATCTTCAAATCTCCTTTGACCACTGCCCTCTGAAGGGGTAGGCATTTTGGCTTACTCTGTTCTCCACTATATCCCCGTGGAGGTATAATAGGATTGCCATCTTTTAGGTTCGCCTCGGCGAGGGATGGTGCTCCATGTTTCAACAGAAGCTCAGCCAACTCGTAATCACTGGACTCAACTGCTTGTCGAAGAATTGTATGATGCTTATCAAATCGAATATTAGTCATTGCGCCGTTCTCAAAGAGAAATCCGGCAATCTGAAAATGACGGGATGATAGGAATACTCATCATGCAGCCATTCCTTATGCCCTTGGCGCCCGAATGGTTCGGCATATGATCGAATATCAAGCGTAAAATCTCAATATCACGGGTTAAAATGACTTTCTCGAGATCCACAGGTGATAAATCCGTTGTAGCAGACTCCGGCGAGTACTCGAGAATGGTTGCAACCAGATATTTGTGTTTGAAATGGACGGCACAACTGAGCGCCGTGACTGTGTCAATTTCCCACTCCTTGATTTTAACTTTCGTATCCAGTGAGGCTCCACGGCTCAGCATCAACTGCACCAAAATGTTGTTCCCAGTTACCGCAAGGACGAGGAGAATATTCTCTTCAAAGAATTCGCTATCGAACGACAGCTTGCTCACAAATTGTCGATATTGTCGTATCGACTTAATATGATGTAACAATGCTGCCTCCTTCAATGCAAACTCGATGCACGCCTCTAGGTTCTTCTCTTGGAGCAGTTCCTTGAACTGACTTCTCATTTCGATATGTCTTTGGGGACGAAGCAGAGCTCGGACTTCGTTTGCTTCACTTTCGTCGCCGTACTCCTCATGGATGCCAGCGAGAAGCAAAATACCGTCTCGATAACCGGGGGAATTGGTTCCAGCGGTATATTCAGACTGATGAATAACCTTTCGGCATAATGCCTTAGCCGACTCAGGGCGGCCTGCGTCAGACAGATCTTGAGACTTTTGAAGCTCGGCCTTTGACCATTCCAAATGAGACAATGACTGGATAGAAGTATCATCGGTGGCCTTGGAAGGCACATTGGTCAGGGAAACAGAATGACCAATGGTGGATCTCTCATCTGCTTCTGAGATCCCAGTGAGAGCCAGATTGGAAATTGGAGGTTCGAAATTGTCGCTATTTCGCATCCACCCTTGGACCTTCTCCGATGGGGCCTCGGTCATGGCGTCAAGAATGGAATATTGCTTGTTGTCGACTGTTATGCTAGCGGACGTATCAAGTGCTATAGCAGCGTCTAGACACTGCTGAACCGTGGCTGGTAGACTTTCACTATCTGAGTCATTCTGTCGGACAATTTTTGTGAGTTTCTTGATCTGTCTCTGCAGTTGGTCAATCCCCTTTAGCACATCATCGTGTTGGCTTTCCTGGTTGATTTGAACATGCAGCATTATGCAGATATGGATCATTTGGAGGCTCATGTTCATCGCGGTATGGAAAGAGATAACCCGACCGCGCAGGAGCACCAGCTCTGGTTTCTTGTCCTTGAGCTTCCAATGCGTGGCTGGGCGGCAGAGGATATTGCCTACTCGGCCATGGGTTTGTGTTTCCTCGAGGATGTTTTCAATTCGCTCGACCGTTTCGCCACAGTCCTGTATACTAAGACCACAAGGATCTAATGTCAGACTCTTGAATGAAAGGCCCACCACGGAGGTTGAACAATACCAATATCACTATCAAGGATAATTGTCACTCACCATGCTTCCAGGGAATCTAGCAACTTAATATCACTCCCAAGGGTGGTAGTAAGTGCCACAGCGTTGTCCTTAAGGGCGGCATCCACGTTTTGTAAGGCTTGGGACAGAGTTTTCAAGTCCTTTCCAAAAAGCAATACAGCCTGGTCGACGTCTTTGACTTCCTCTACATACTCGTATATTGTATTTGCTAGCTTGAAGCATGTAACACTGATGGACGCAGCGGCGGCTGCGATTGAAAGGGGATCCATAGGAATCTCGCGTGACAAATGAAGCAGAAGATAAACAAAAACAGTTCGTCTGGAGAAGCGAATCACGCCCAATTCGGGCCGATTGTTCAGCAGAAGATTAGGGTGGTTGTTGGTTGGATGTATTGGGCGTTGCCTATCAAAGCTTTTCTCGTTTAGCGCTTTACTTGAATCCAACAGTTATGAAGTCAATAGTCTTGAAGTCGATGTGAACGATGAAAACTGGATAGAAGTAGAAAAGGCATGGGATGTAAGGCTGACACTCTCTCGGAGCAATCAACAGTTCACCCTATTGCAATGGTCAAGCACCGCCCCCGAAAACCAAAGGCGTTCATTGGTCCCCGTGATAACCCATGTTTAAAAACCCCTCATTAGTTGCAGATGGGTGCATGTATCCTCCATGGCTGAATCCCATATTTGTTTACTTCCCCGTGGACGCACGCCCGACCATATTTCCCATTCAGCAGTATGCCGTTCAGTCATGCTAATTTCCTACAATTTATTGTCGTTTTTGTCTGTCCCTATACCAGCTCTCCAACAAAGAATCTTATTGGGCAAAATGCACAGGCATGTGAGTGATCCAAGAAGGCGCTAGCCACCGACTTCTTATTGGCTAATTAGGAATCCATGCCTCGCCATCATCGTGCATTTCGACTCCGCCTTGGGCTCAGCCTCAAGGTCCCGTTTTTGCTTTTTTAAAAGGCCAGGCGTAATGAAATCATTGCCCTATCACTTCGCATTCTTGTATAAGCTCTATCCTCCATTTTTTCCCAAAGGTGCTAAGATGGGAGAACCTTTGGCCGTGGTTATGGCTATCGCGTCCGCAACCCAATTGATAGATTTCACCACTGAATGGTTAGATTAGCTAAATTACTATTTCCCCTATATCGACAACGTGCCACAAGCCCTTCCTGACCTACGACTGGGGGCGGAGCTTGCATCATCGCAGAGCAAATGTCACAGGGTATACGGAACTAGTATTTAATGTTAATGGACAGATATGTAATTTTCAAATATTACCTATGTGTAGAAGGAAAAGGGATTAAACTAGGTGGTTACAATACACTGGAAAGGAGTAAAATGAAGATTAACCGAGATATATGAAGATGATGAATCTTCAAACCGCCATGAAGCCCTTTAGTTATATGCTTCATGGGGACAAAGAGAGAGGTTCGACTAACTAGGGGCAGCAAGCAAAGCATCGCTCTCATACAGCCTGGATGCATCAAGCCATAAAAGAATGAATCCTCTTCGCAATAGCATCGATATGCTCTTCATCCGTGCCACAGCAGCCCCCTACTACTTTCAGTCTAGGTAAAATATTCAAAAGCCCATTGAAATCTTCAACCCACACGGAAATATCACCCCGATCTAGCACCACCGAGTTGTCAAGCTCATCATGGCACTTGAGACTTGAATTCCCTCGAATTGAGCCGATCCTCGACATCACATCTTCAGGGACACCCTGTAATGCTATCCTAATATGACGCGGATGTGCACAGTTAACCCCGAAATATGTTGTGTATTTATCCGTCAGGTGATCGACTACTCGAATCGCGTCTTCGAGGGTTCTTCCTCCTCGTAGCCGTCCGTCTGTCTCGATACTAAACGAGACATGAATGGGGAGATTATACTCCCGCGCCACGCTCACTGCAGCGGTGGCCTCATCTAGATTCGTTATAGTCATGATACACAACATGTCTACACCTTCTTCATCGAAGGTTCGAATCTGGGCACCATAATACTCCCGTGCCTGAGAGAATGAAGGCGTGTCCACTGAATCCTTGTAGGCATCTTGAAGAGGTCCCATAGCCCCACTGATGACGATAGGGGTAGATGGATTCTCGTTCTTGTGTCTCAGGTCACGGAGGATCTTGACTGCTGTGCGGTTCAGATCAATGACCTGTTGGGCGGAGAGGCCAATCGTGGAAGACCATGCCGGAGAGCCGCGCCAAGTTCGAGTTTCGAGGACGATGCCAGTTGAATGGGCCAGTGCAATATTTATATAGCCCTGGTAGATGGACAGGATAGTTTTTCTGCCCTCTTCCGTATCTAGAAGAGGAAGAGTGGAGAATTCAGGGAGATCAATACTCTTTTTGTAAATGAGAGTTGTTTCGATTCCGCCTTCGGTGACGAAGAGCTTGGAGGAAGCCAATTGCGGGAGGATCTTCGACAGCGAACCCATTCTGTGGACTTGTTATTGCGAATTTTCGTGATTGATGGCAACATTTTGGATAGGAATGAGTATAATATAATAAGGTTGCCGGTGTGGTACATAGGTAGATGTTTCCATTGCCCCGGGGGTTGCAAGCCCCGGGTGTTGCGCTCCTGACCTCATTAGGTATCAAGGAGGAGCATGGCGCTGTGGGGCATGGGAACGAACGATGAAGTGGTTTAGGTAGTTTAGTCTTACTGGCCATGATTGCCAGCAAAAGATTACCCATGTACTTACCATTTACCCTGATATCATAGCTGAGGACTCGTGTGTCGGGGCGTCTCAACCCCGGGGGTGAACGCCACCGTTACACATAAAGCTTTTTATGGCATAACAGTCTATACATCTCCATATGACAGAAACCAGGGTACACGGCAAAGTATGGTACGGTCGATGAATATGCGTAACCCTATCTAACTAAAATGACACAACCACCTATTTCAACAATCTCCACGGTGTCTTCAGTTATTTAATTCGACGACCCAAGAAAACCCGTGTATTTCCTTACAGTCATTTCATGACCCAATTATGGAATAAGTGAAACATGTACTCAGATATAGTGTCAATTATTTTGAAAGAACCTCGCTTGATTTTGAGAATACTGTACAAAAGCAGAGGGCGAGCACGTGATTAATGACAATTTGCGCATTCATACTATCGCTCTTCCCCCAGTCACCCCACCCTTAGTTGATTGTCTGCATACTCAGCCTGACCATACGTCGTGGTCTGGGATATTTTCATCGAAGCAGACTTCCCTCACTTTGCGAAAACCGACTTTTGGTGCGTTATGAGGCCATGGTCGTCCATTCCCACTCGCAAACAATGCGAACATTGCCCCTTCGAAGACAAGCCAGTCTGGTGGTGCACTTGCCATCCAGGAAGATGGAAACGAAGCTATCCATGAAACGGAAGCTTTATCAACACTGTACCCCAGTTCGTAGTGTAGAGGCTCCGCTCGGATATGAAACGTCATATTATCGAGGTTGGATGTTGGAAGAGGTCTTTCATCATACTGTATACCACACATTAGCCCCTAGATTCTACCAATAAGCCATTTGTAACAATACCTTCGTTGTCTCGTTATTTAGAAAGGAGGTGTATATGCACATGCCTGTGCTATTTTTGCAACCTGTGAGTCCAATGTCCTGATGCTGCAGCTCACTGAGGTAGCAACTGATTCCAACTGTTTGGTCAGGCTCTAGAATCCCATCAAACGGTAGTATGTCCGCAGAGAATGTCATGTTGAGCGACCTTTGCTTTCGCAAGATAGCGGCAGGAACATCGCGATCGCTAAGGGAAAAGACATTCGCATCGAATACCACACCACCGGATGGGTTTTCGTGGTCCAGAATATATGTCTGCCAGTACGGGGTGCGCAACTGATACCAAGATGGGTCTAAGGCCGGTTTATCGAAGTTATCCTGGAAAGGCGCTAGTGCGTTATTGGACGAACCCAGTTTCTGGGGATCATTGATGAGGATCGGTTTCCCTTCGTTCAAAATGGGCCAACCATCCTTCCAAGCTACCGGGCAAAGGAAAGTCTCTCGGCCCAAAGGAGAAGTGCCGTTCACATTTCGCCGAGCAAGGAAAACCGCGTGCCAGTCTCCTTCTTCAGTATCGAACAGGGTTGCGTGACCGGTCGATTGGACGGTGAGGTTATTGTGGCCATACGCGCCATTGTATAACAGTGGGTTGTTTGGATTTGATTCCCATGGGCCCTCTGGGGAAGTTGAACGCGCGATGGTGGCCCGATGAAGTTCGTCAGTGCCCCCTGCATTAGAAGTAAGAGATAAATCCACCAAAGAAAGGAAACAAAGACTTACCCTCAGCAATCAGCAAGTAATACCAGTCGCTGAATTTGAACATCTTTGGTCCTTCTGGTCGAGCTGTGGCGTTGACTGGCATTGTCCCGTTCCAAAGTGAGCGATATTCGCCTATACATCGACCGTTGTCTATGTCCACTTCACACTGATAAATCCCCCAAATCTTATCGATGTTATTATTAGGTGACATCAGATTAAGGTATACCTTGTTCGTCACTGGATCTTGATAGAGCTGGGGGTCAATACCCCAGGGGTCGGACCAGATCGGGTCGCTCCAGTTCTGCAGGTCATCCGAAAATATCCAGAAAACCCGCGGCCACACTTTGGCCACAGGATCGTAAGTCCATCGCACCATGGAAGTGAGGTAGAACTTGCCATTGATGCGGCCAAGGGATGGTGCCCAGGCACCTGCAGCCGTCAGATTCCAATATTCTTCAGGACAAAACATATGGGTTCTTACCTGCAGATGTGGGAACACCGTACAGGTGTAGTTGCCCAGGCCGTGTTAGAGCGTGTGTATATAGCTCCCAGTTCACAAGATCAACAGATCGGTAAATTGGTAATCCTGGCCAATATTCGAATGATGAGGTGGCTATAAAATACTCATTGCCCACTCGAATAATGGATGGATCCGGGTTCCAGCCCGAAATGATCGGGTTATGAATGACAACGTCTCCTTTGGTGCAGAAAACGCTGGTCACGAGGACACTTAGTAGATATATAATTTTCATTACGCGTGATGTATTATCTCTCCATAATGCCGGCTACTTCAACCTTAAATATTTTTTATTCCTGTGATGGAGGTTATCCGGTACTTATCCCGAGTCCGAACGAGCCTTTACCGTACAAAGGGTGCTGCAAAGGGATTGCGGGGAAATACTCGGAGAGTCTTCCGTAGGGAGCTTCCATTCCGTACCCAGGTACATACCCATAGAACCTCTCATTTTAAATTTCCCCTCGGTGTAAGCCGTCTTACCCAAAGTTGGAAGCTATGATGGGTGAAGTGCCGGGGAAGCTATCCCACTGATCCTTACGATACTTGAGTTTTAGTGACAGGGGCCCTCTGCTTGCAAGATTACACTACAAAGCCTGTAGGTTGCGAGGACAAGCTAGGGGAAGAAATTAATTTACCCGGAGTAATAGTCGGGTGTTTCCCGCCCTGTCTATGCGTTGCTAGTTCTTTTCTGGAAGGACTGCCATAGTATATAATAATTATAAACATTGACTGAAGTTGAAGGTCCTCTCTGTGACCATCTCCTTCTTTGGGAGTTCATTCATCCCCTCATCCACCGACACCCCCACATCCGTCATGTTTTTACAACATTTGATCAATAGCAGCACTCAATTACACCTCTGCATGGTGTATCTTGCTATTCTGAGTTGTTATCCCATTACTACGGCAGCATCATACTTTGGCCATGATGCTGTGAGAACCTATCCTGTTCCATCTGGGGTAGAGACTATGGATGCATATTCCATTAAGGTCACGCCGCCCCAAAGCTCACCGCACTGGGTCCAGCCCTTCCAAGCAAGAGTGGCCCAAATTGACGAAATTTCGGGCAATTCGATCGAGCATAACACTTCTGTTGGGGTGTTTGATTTTAGTGGTCCAATTGAAATTGCCATTACCTACCACCATGCACCTATTCGCACCGGCGTTGTCCGACCATACTCCTACGGAATCCGTCCTCAAATTATCAACAACACGATCCAATTCTCGCTACAGCAGCCTTGCAACCTCGTGATTCAAATCAATGACAATATTTTTGATACCATACAGCTCTTTATGAATCCCATCGAAACCAACGTCACGCGTGCCAATGACCCTGACGTGTTGTACTTCGGGCCTGGTGTCAATAATGGGACCGCTAACATCACAAATGGGACCTTGTATGTTCCATCGGACAAGACGGTATATGTGGCTGGAGGAGGGTTGCTCGATGCCCAAGTAGTGTTTCAGAATGTCTCGAATTCAGCAATCAAAGGCCGAGGAATCTTGGCGGCGAAATCATCAGGAGCTGTGCTTATCGAATCTTCATCGAATATTACGGTGGAGGATGTCGTTATTCTCAATCCCAATGGTTACGCATTGACTGCGGGAATGAGCCAGGGAATCAATATCCTAGGTATCCGCGCCTTCTCCTCCAAAGGCAATGGAGATGGAATCGATCTCTTCTGCTGTCGTGATGCTTTGATAGATGGAATCTTCATGCGCAACTCCGATGACAATATCGCGCTCTACCAGCATCGTTGGGATTATTATGGGGACTCAAGCAACATAACTGTGCAGAACTCCGCACTGTGGGCCGACTATGCGCATCCTATCAATGTGGGGACGCATGGGAACACGCCGCATCCGGAAGTCATGGACGGCGTTACGATCCGAAATATCGACATTCTCAATCACCACGAGCCTCAACTTGGGTACCAAGGCTGTATTGCCATTAATGCAGGTGATGGAAATCTCATTCAAAATGTCCACATCGAAAACATTCGTGTGGAAAATTTTCAGCTCGGCCAATTGGTAAATTTCCGTGTCATGTACAACACAAAGTACAACACTTCCCCTGGTCGGGGAATTCGAAATGTGGTGGTCAAGGACCTCACTTACGAAGGTAACCATGCCAATCCTTCTTTGCTCCTCGGATACGATCGACAGCGACCGATCACAAATATCACCTTCGTGAATCTCCAAATCAACGGGAAGATCATTGACGATAATATGAAGAAGCCATCGTGGTACTCCGCCGCTGACTTTGTCCCACTGTTTGCGAATGAACACGTACACAATTTGAGCTTTGTTTCTAATTAATGGCTACCTGCATCATGTTAATACCTTCGCTACACTTCGGATGATATGGTTAGACTCAAAAATTATTGTCGACTGTGCTGGATTTTCCAAAGACTTCTGTAATAATAGCTAACGATAATAAATGGATACCACTATGGATGAGTCCGGTGGATTACCGGGGATGGATAGCGGAAAATTAAGTGTCAACTCAGATGGGGTAAATTACCATGGATTCCCCTTTGTCAAGTTCTTTATTTTCCAGACCTAAAAGCACAATATGTGCCAATTGGTGATAGAAAGTTCCCACGCTTAAGGCCTCTTCGCGGCGCTGTTGACTAGTGACCCCTGTAAGGAGTGAGGCCAATACATGCTCAAAACTTTGAAGGTAAGGAGAAAATCCTTTGTACTCGCCGATAAGGTAAAGATTTTCGCCCGGGTAGCTCGGACTCGACATAGGCCGGAGTAAATACGTAGAAATCATACCACCTCGTCCCTACGTCTGATTTTGAAGTGATTGCTTTCTGATAATCTTCTCTGGGTTTTATGCAGAAAAAGCTATTTGCGTATGTTGATTTAATTGATTCCCAGCAAGAGAAGTTGTCTCTTTTGAGGGCGAAGAACTTGCGCAGGGGAAGGGTATAAAATAAGAATAGAACCGGATCATAAGGAGAGGACACTAAAATTACATTAACTCTATGGTTGACAATGCTCGAAATCGAGCCATATAAGAGGGACCTTTGTCATTTTGGGTATTATCAGTGTATGTTCCGATGATCAGATCAATGGGAATTGTGGCTTGGAAGTACCATCGTCCTAGAAATCCTATTACATAGAGGACTGGGACCGGAGAGGACAGGTGCAGTAATTGTTCTACACGCGGAGAAGGCGGAGCATCTGCCAAGCCGGCAGCGGGAAGGCAGGGGCTATTATTTTTAAAAAGGAAAATGGGCTGCGAACGGAATACATGCTCCCACGTGAGGTGAAAATGGGGTGTTTACAAAGGTACGTTACTCTTGCTGGTAGTCACGACTCTATAAGAAAGGAAGGTATCACGAGTTCACAAGAATGCGGGATGTTTCCCAATAGATGACCACTGTTCTACTGACACTCTACTCCATCCACTCTTTCATTGCACTTCGAACCTTAACAAAGGTGGTGTAGTCGACCCTCGCACTTGGATGATTTGCGAGTAGGAAATCATTCTCTTATGCTTAGCCCTTGAGGCTGGTATTGTGGACTGCACTTTTTGTCCACAGCATACATAATTGAAAGTCAAATATTTTGTATACAGCTACAATGTAGGAAGAGGACGCTTGGATTGTAAAGTGGAGATCACGACAGGACGACATATTCAACATATATTTCTATAAAGCTATAGTTCACATGGAGGTTAGCGTGAGGTCTGAATGAGCAGCACAGGATTCTCCAAGCAGCTAAACAACTCGCGAAAGGGTCAAAGATATAACTCATTGGAAGAAACTGTGGAGAAATATTCAAATTGGTAATTTGCCGCTCTCGGAGAGGTATTATTGCGCTTGCTCTAATCCCGGACCTCAATGTATATTGGCTAACTAGTTGATTGAAGCAAGTTCGGCGACTGCATGTTGTATGTATCCTGCAACCCTTATCTTTGCTTCAGATAATAAGGTCACAGTACCTCCTATCTAAAAAGTCTGGCGACATTTGAAATACAATCACTGCGACCGCATTATTCTATAGGACCCCTAGATGGCCAACTATCGGGAGTATTGTGGCTGCCCTAGTGTACTCCTGTCTGTAGCTTCATACTTTTTTCTTTGTCGCCCTACATGTTCGACATTTCTTGCCCTTTGTGCTTGACTTGGTGGTGAGGCATTTTACTATTCACCTGCACCCTGAGCGCCACTTTCGTCATTCTTGGCGCGCTAGTGCCCACCCGTAAAGATTGGAAAGTCTGCCGAGTCCCAATGTGATGTATAATAAATATTATGTAAGCCGGCTTGTTCCTGAAAGCGGAATATTCCATATTGCTTGTTCAAGTTTAACCGTTTGCATCCACCAAAGTATTCCGTATGGCAAACAAGTGAATCCATGGCACCAGGAAGTTTGTGGACCCTCGGGGGAATTCGGCTGTTTACATATTGAAAACCACATCTAAGTACGTCATAACCCTACTATTATCCATGGATATCTACTACGCGAGATTAAAAAGGGGCGGGATTGAGATTTTGCAATTCTTGGCGTGGAGAGAAGGTCAAAGCCGAGGCTGAAAACCATAGGCACTACCAGGAAGTCACAGTAGTATATATCACGGATATATGTACCCCCTGGTTAAGCACTGGCCCTGGGATGGCCCCCAAGATACCCCAGAAACCATGACCGAACGACTGTTCCCCGGAAAACGTTGGTTGAATATGAATTGATCTACTATGTAAATGATAATACTAATATATTCTCATGTGACAGGAGATAGCGATACCGAGTCGGCCCCGATTACACGTGCTACTTACTCCCACGGCGAGGTCGGAAAGCCGGCTTGAAACAAAGGAAAGTGAACCAGAGTGCACCGGTCCGTGTACCTTATCCCGCGCCGCAATGGATTTGAGTGTTGTTGGTCCGGAGCTTGATCCAACCTGGGCAAACCTTGTCTAGCGCCGAAAAGTTTTCGACGTCATGTGGGGGCCAAGAGGTTTCCGACGTCATGTGGGGGCGAAACAACCTTGGCGGCTGATGGTATATCATAACAGTAGAACGTGAGTATGCATAATATGTATATGATTTTAAAGACAGGGGATTGAAATGAACCACATAGATTAAAGTGTGCGTAGAATTTAACAACGGACACACAGCCCTAGCCTGTACCTATACTGGACACTGAAAATCGTCAGGGTTTCCGAATTAGTCATCTGCAACCGGTCGTGTGGATCTGCCAAGTGCCACCGCCAAGGCCCACCCGTGAGTGCCCCAGCCATGTGCCCCATGTAACCCCGCCAAGTCTCCCGCCAAGTGCCAAGTACAAAGAGTCCCGCGTCTCTCCGCTTCGGGAACCACATTGCCTTCGGTGGACTTTCCAGTTTCGGGTACCAAGGTTGAGTATAAATCCGAAAATTCACGTTGCCCTAAAATTCGCTATGGACGTGCTTGCTATAAGACGGCCAATTCCTCTACCCCAAGTTCATCCCCGTTATCTCTCCATACTAGTTCTTCCCCGACTTTTCTTTACCCCCGCCTCCCCACACTGACGGTTCTTACTTTGTTTGCACCGTCAACATGTGGACGACCACCAGCGGCTTGAGTGGTCGGCCGCTCCGCCTGAGCATCACCATCGCCGCTGTTATGGGTTTCTCGCTCTTTGGCTACAACCAAGGCATGATGGCCGGCCTGCTCAACGGCGACGAGTTCGTAAACTCCTTCCCGATCATTAGAATGCCCGAACCTGCGACTGCAGGACAAGAACACTACATCAACGTCATCCGCGGTGCTATCACATCCTGCTACGAGCTGGGCTGTTTCTTCGGCGCCTTGTTCTCCATGTTCTTCGGCGACAAACTCGGTCGCACTACCCTGATCTTTATCGGTGCCAATGTCCTGATCGTCGGTGCCTTGATTACAACGGTGTGCTTTACTGGCAAATGGGAAGTCGGTCAGTTCGTCATCGGCCGTGTTGTATCAGGCATTGGAAATGGAATGAACACGGCCACGATCCCTGTGTGGCAATCAGAATGCTCCGGAGCTCACAACCGTGGCTTCCTGGTTTGTTTCGAAGGTGCGATGATTGCTGGTGGCACTTTTATTGCTTACTGGGTGGTCTTTGGTCTCTCGCATGCCGCCGATACTGTTCAGTGGCGATTCCCTATTGCGCTCCAGATCTTCTTTGCTCTGATTGTGGCCACCGGTGCCTTGTTGCTTCCAGATTCACCCTCATGGTTTGTGAGCAGAGGACATGACAAGGAGGCCTGCGAGGTTCTCGCGAAGCTCAATGGCACCACTCCCGATTCCGATAAAGTCCTTAACGACTTCAACTTCTTGAAGACGGACGTGGAATCATCCAAGAACTCCCAGTCAAGCTGGAAGGCGGTATTCACTTTCGGCAAGACCCAGGAATTCCAGCGTCTTCTTATTGGTTGCTCCGGCCAGTTCTTCCAGCAGTTCACCGGTTGTAACGCCGCTATCTACTACTCAACCCTACTTTTCCAGGAAAATCTGCACATGGACAAATACCTATCTCTCATCATGGGTGGTGTTTTTGCTACCGTTTACGCCCTTGCAACTATCCCATCCTTCTTCATGATTGAGAGAGTTGGCCGTCGCAACCTATACTTGATTGGTTTCCTTGGTCAGGGTCTCAGTTTCGTTATCACCTTTGCTTGCTTGATCAAGGAGAACGAGAACAACGCCAAGGGTGCCGCCGTTGGTATCTTCCTCTTTATCGTTTTCTTCGCATTCACTCTCCTACCGCTGCCCTGGATCTATCCCCCCGAGATCAACCCCCTCCGTACCCGTACTGTGGGTGCGGCTGCGTCGACTTGCACCAACTGGATCTGCAACTTCGCCGTTGTCATGTTCACGCCCCTTTTCGCTGGCCAGAGTCCATGGGGTGTTTATCTCTTCTTCGCACTTTTCAACTTCATTGGCTTGATATTCGGCTTCTTCTTCTATGTTGAAACTGCCGGCCGTGAGCTTGAGGAGATCGACATTATCTACGCCAAAGCCCATGTCGAAGGCAAGATGCCGTTCAGGGTTGCCGGCACCATGCCCAAGCTCAGTTTCGAGGAGATTGTCCAGCAGTCTCGCGAGCTGGGCTTGGATACCAACGATCATGCTGCACCTGAGAAGAACGAGCTCGGTCTCAGCAGTGACAGTGGCCAGGAGATCGAGGAGGTCCGCGAGAAATAGTGGCCTTCTCTACGTAGATATGCTATAGCTATATCTATGGTTGAAGGTGGTGATGATATTTGAAACTGGATGTTGTCTAATTTTTTTTTAACGTTCTGTTCATGTTAATGTTTTTTGATGTGGATATGTCAATATTCCCGTGATAGAACTGATGGCACTGCTTCCGGCGTGTATATATATCCAAGACAAGGAAGGGATGCTGTTTTATATTGAAATCTGTTATTCTACTCTTCTGCTTCTGGCACCCTGAACCTCTCTAGTAGAGCAACCAAACTTAGTGGCTTCATACTTGATTGCTGTAACCTTCCACGCTGGGTCTGTTGAGGTCAGGGATGAACTGTAAAGCCATCATACTTCCTTGGCGTTTAGGTGCAGGCCATTGGGGACGTCAACTTGCCATGCACACTACGCTCTATCTTTGGCTGAACTCTAGTAACAACATGCAATATGAAATATCTCCATCTCTCTAACCGGCACGCTTTCAGCTTACGCAGTATATATAGGGGTTAAGGAGTAGATTAACATGCACTGTAGTATTATCTAACTAACTAGTCAGCTTGAAATGAACCACACAGAATATATAACACGGCTTCCACGGGGCCTCGTGGAACATCAGTTCCATTTAAAAAAACCCAGTAATCTCTCAAATGGCGGCCAAAGAATGAAGTAAACTACGGTGCTAGGTCATATATGTTGTATTCCCCACACGTCTGAGAGATATATATCTTAGGCCGAACTAAAATTTTTGCACATGTTCCCGTTCCTCTAAGATTTCCAGAACCTCGCTATTTACACAAACACTACCGTGTACTTCTGGATCTTCCATTCCCCGTCAACTTCAACAAAAGAGATCTCAGCTCCCCAATTTCCCTCATGAAAGCGGCCGTCTTGGAATTGATATTCGGTCGACCCTTTCACCATTACATCGTTGGTCCCCTTGCCGAGCACATAAACCATCCTAGGCTTGTGATGTCGCCATTCGACATTATCCCATGATCTCTCAATCATTTCTTGGATTTCTGGTTTTGTGTCAGAAACTGTGATTGAGCAGATTCAGAGCTGATGAACTTACCTTCGCGGCCATTAGACGTTTTGCCATTCCTGAATATCTGAGCGGTGGTGGTGAAGCACCCAACCCAATCTTGCGCACACTCCCGCTTGTCAGAAGTTTCCGTGAGACGCTCCAGGACAAGACGAAGGTGTTTGGGGAAGAGCGCTTGATCGTACGAAAAGTCAAGGACAGCCATTTTTGAGGTTATGATGTGTGCGTGGAAAAGAAAAGGAAGCTGAGTGAGGATGTGTTCGAATTGTTGAGTTGGTATGCCTTCCCTTTAATGGCTTCACGATCCTGGGATTGAGATTCATTCGACATATGAAAATACGCGTGGGGTCTTGATCTATACTGTGGAGAAGAAAAGAGTGCTTCGTTGATTCGTTGATTATGTGGAGAATAAAAGCGAGCGTTTAGGTCTTGATTTGTTATGTGGAGAATACTGAGAAGATGAGAGAGGGGAAGAGAGATAAGGATAGATACTGCATCGAGGAAATGGTATCTCGATGTGCCCAGATGAGCCTAGCAAAAATATAGGAAGGTTACTAAGGAGACAGATACAGCTGGGACTTCGCGCCCAGGAATCCCAGTGCCTTCCACAATAGTATGATTGCCTTTAGTGGGGCGTTTGATGTATATGACACTACTTCTTACGAAAGAAGATGTAGATAATGATCTGCCATGACTCAGTATCAACGTGCTACATATTGTCGTACGACTTTACCACTTGGCTGTGTAAATTTCCGATGCAGTGCGTTCTTTTAATTATTTAAAACAGTTTAGGATGTCCTAAGCCTCTTCAATTCAAATGCACACTAATAAACCCCTAGGCGGAAATTCTGGATTCTAATATTACAGATATTGCCGTAGCACCACTAGATATTTATGATATGCTCGTTATGTAGATTGCAATGCTTGTCGACACTCATGACAAAGAGGGTAGACCTACTCGCTTATGATACAAATTATCGTAGAAGACGAAGGCGATTAACAAGACGATAGAGTTGCAAGAGAGTAAGAATAAAGAGATCCCAATAAGTTCCGCGAAAGATGGAGAAAGATGTCATGATTATTTTCCTCGATAGACTAGATACATGAAAGCTAGACAGGCTTGATAGGGAAAAAGCATATATGCCTACTAAGCTGCATAAAGAGGGCGCACGCGCATCACATCGAAATTTTAACAGCTAGCCCCGAGCCCAGGTGGCAACCCGCGCAAAGAGGGCGTCTCCATCATGGGGCCTTTTGACGCTTTGGAACATGTCATCAAGCTCCTCCTTGCTGAAACCCGAGGTGAATGCACCTGTGTCCGCATCCAGAATTTCCTTGGCCATATCGGCAACCAGTTCGGGATGCCCTTGGAATGTAAGGACATTCTGGGCCTCAGATAGAAGAATCTCATTTTCCGTTGCTAATGAAATGTACCCAGGAGCTGGAATAGTCACTACCCTTTTATGGAACTTGTGGATTGACTGTGTCATCGTTGTAAGTCTAAAGCCAAATGATAAAAATCACCATTCCTTCACTTACGATATGTTCCTTGTCTAGTCCAAAGAAGGATTTTCCTTCTGGTGTGATGGCAATATCCTGGACACCAACCTATGAAGTTTGCCATTAGCGTTGATTAGTTGTAATAAAACACCTTCATATCGTAGTACTCACAGCTTGCTCTGTTTTAACAGTCCCAATCTTCCCACCGAGTGCACGTGCAACTACTTGATGCCCCCAGCAAATTCCCAAAATCTTTGTCTTCGGATGGTCTTTGTTCGCTGCCTGGATAAATTCGAAAGTGGCTTCAACCCACGGTTCCACTTTCTCTTGGGTGAGATTGAAAGTTCCACCTGTCAAAATGATCAAATTATAGTCTTGGGCGTTTGGAAATGGGGTTCCTTCAATGGGATGGAAAAGGTCAATTGCTGCGCCAGGGAAGAGTTTCTCGATGGTGCGATACCATGAGTCAACAACATCCTGGACCCATTTCTCACCAGAGACATAGTTTCTGCATAGAGCAACTTTGAATTGAGTCATTTTGTTGATGGTGGTTTGCGACAGCAAGCAATAATAATATGGATTGTAAGTGCCTCACTGAGATATAACAAAATAGAAAAGCGGTTTTTATACTCCAATACTAATATACCATGGATAATTATTACGACATTACGAAATTAAACGAGGTAGATAAATGGGAGTAGGTTTCCAAAAATTGTGGAGTCGTAAATCGCCGTTGGAGAATAAATACCCCAAGGGACATTGTTGATTGGAGACGTAATGAAAGGAGAGACCAGTGGAAATATCACGCCTCTGATAAGCCTCGCGGAAACCCTTGCCGATAACTGGAGACATAGCCTATCTAGGGCCACCTCAACCTTGGAGGTAGTTACACCGATTTTCCGATTTTCCGGATGATTTGGCAATCCTCATACGAGGAGTTTGTTGCGAGATGAACTTTAGAAATCAGAACAAGCACCTTCATTATCAAGGCTCATATACAATTACTTGCTGTGGAAACTTGTACATCTATCTGGCACTCCGTTGTGAAGAGAGGCAACTTTGTAAAGCCCTATGATTTACGCCCACAAGTAGTTAGTTATAAAAATGTAATTATATAACCAGGGAGGGTCAGGAACTAAATCTATCAAAAACAAATAATACTATCAGGTTTGAACAAGTGCGATTTTCGCAAGCGTTCTAGGGATTCCGACTTCAAGGGTTTCGTTTATCAGACTCCTGAGGCTAGCTTAGGTCCTTGTCGCCTTTATTGCGTCCTCGCCTACATATGGAGGCAATGCATAATGAATAAAACATAACCAATTTCAACAGACATTGAACGAGAAATAAAAAGATGCCCATGTGCATTGAAATGGCCTCGAGAGATAAAGACGTGATAAGAGACACGTGATTGGTTCGGCGTTCAACCGGTTCCCCTCCTTGAGGTCAACGTTTGGTCAACGGTAAATGTAGATATATGCACATATGCATAGGATTGAAAGGGCGTACTTGGACACTTCCAAATAAAAACACATTACCACGGTCATAGTTTACGATGCCTCGTGGAAGACCCAAGGTTCTCGTGTCTCCATGCAGGTTCTGCAAAATGGAGTTCAAGCGAGTGGAACATTTGCAGCGACATGAGCGCATTCGTGGGTTTTATCTCTATCCCCAATTGTTCCTTGTTTGTTGCTTATAAAGATTAGATACTCAGGAAAAGCCATTTTCTTGTGACTGTGGAAAGAAATTTTATAGACGGTGATTCATTAATTCCTCGGGGGTAGATGTGTGCTCTTGTCTCACAATAACTGCCCAGGGACCTTCTCATGCGCCATCGTCGACTTGACCATCACGAATCTCCTGCGCAAAGATTCGATCTAAATCTCCATCAAAACAGCGCGACCATAACGGAAGAAAGGTAGACCATCCTATCAATCCCGTGAAATTCAAGCCCACTTACCAAATCGATAATTAGTATGACAATCGAAAATCTCGATCCCAACTCATCACCTGTGGAGATGGTCACAGTGGATTTTAGTCAAAACGACACGCCCACAACAGAAGAAAGGTAGACTATATATCGGCTACACGAGATTTCCGCTAACTCGTGAAATCAATAATCAGACTGGTCACACCCCTTGACACTTATCAATCTTCTCCGAGGCCACTTCCACCAACCACGGAACCAGTAGAGCAGTGCTCCGAGATTCAGGATGCTTCTGCCCAAGGATTACTGTTCGATCAACCACCTTATACTGGGCTCATGCCTCATGATCCAACATCTAGCTTTGATTTTAGCTCTACATACGAGTTTGAGATGCTCTGGAACAATAGCAACGACATTGCTGATTTTTTACCTGCATCGTTCTTTGACACCGACTTTTCATTATCTGATATCTGGCAGACAGATAATAATAGAGTCAATAACTCGATGGCACCGGCTTCTCACATTGAGGAAATCGGACAAGACTCGGTTCCCAGCAACACAGATGAAACTCCGTCTTTCATCTCACTTCCTTCTCGGTTGCCACCTTTAGAGCCAGACTCTCTTTCCTCGCGCGATGAGAGGCTACCCCACAATGAGTTAGACTCATTGGGAAGAGTTGACCCTGTTACCGACACGGAACCTCCGTTGCCATGGAACATTTCCGCACTTGCATATGACCGAATCTCTGCTAGTATTCGAACATACGACGACATTTTACCCACCGGCTTTATCATTCCTTCTAGGCATACCATTTCGCGATACATTTCGGGATATTTCCGAGCCTTCCATGAGCATTTTCCTCTCATCCATCCTCCTACTCTCAAAATCGACAATTTATCACCGGAGCTTCTTCTTGCGATGGTCGCGATGGGCGCATTTTCTCGGGTAGAGAAGAGGAAGGGATATAAGCTTTACTTGGCCGCCAAAGCGATCATCATGCATCACCTTGAACTGCGTACCCGGCTATCTCTCTCAGGTCTTGCGAGGGGCCCATCTAATCATCCGAGAAACAAGATCCCTGGATCGAATTCCACCAATATCAATGGCCGGGAAGAGTGTGATCCCGACCCTATTGGTACCAAAACTACCACTTCTCCATTAGGGCTACAAACACTACAATCACTCATCATTTTGATAGCAATGGCGATGTGGGCAGACAAGCCTGCCGTGCAAGATGCTTTGTCAATGGGAAGCCAGCTTGCGATGCTTACTCGAGAAGCCGGGTTGGGACAGCCAGATGAGATAGTTGGAAGATGCGCGTGGTCTGATTGGATACATCGGGAAGAACGCCGACGCACTCTTTTCGTATCTTATACCCTTCTGAACCTCTGCAGTATCTCCTTCGATGTGCCCCCTTTGATCTTGAACCAGGAAATCCGACTTTCACTTCCCCACTGTAACACAGAATGGGTGAACACATCTGCAGCCGAGTGGCAACACACGAGGGAAACATACGGCCACACTGAGCGAGGGTTCCAGGAAACTCTCACGGAGATGATGGCCGGAAAGGACGTCCATCACGAAGAGCCACTTTCTGCGCTTGGAAATTATGCCCTCATAAATGCCCTGATCCAAAGCATATACTTCGAGCGACAGAGTACAACCAGCCACACGATCCGGCTGGATATTGTGAAGAAATTCGAATCTGCTCTCCAGACATGGCAAAGGTCCTGGGAAGCAACGTTGGAAACTTCGCTTGACCCTGAGTCTCCTCGGGGACCTCTCGGATTCAATTCGGCTGCCTTGTTGAGACTTGCATATCTCCGTCTCAATGTCAACCTCGGCCCATGTCGCAACCTGTTGTCACAGGACCCACAGTCAATCGCTCTTATTTTCACAAAAAACTCACCCCCATTATTTACGCGCTCCTTGCACGTCGATCGGGCTGTTCTTCAATGTATACATGCGCTTAGTATTCCGATTCGTGTCGGCGTCGCCTTTGCCGCGTGTACACAGTCCGTGAATGGGAGTATCCAACATCCTCTTTGTACACTGGAATGTGCCATTCTACTCAGTCGGTGGCTGGGTATTGTTTCCGATGTGGTAGAAGCGTCGGGGCTGGAGTCCCTACGAGAAGACGAGCGAAAGCTGCTTGGGATGATTGCTACCCTCATAAGAGAAACGGATTGGGCAGATACGCTGGAGAGCAAGGAGGCGGATAGTTACTGTATTCGGCGAATGGCAGCGACGGTCGTGAGGTTATGGGCTGAGACATTCCAAGGTGTGCATATATTCGAAATTGTTCGAGTCATTGGGGAGACACTGTCTATCGTGGCAGAAATCCTTGAAAACAGGCTAGAGTCACAAGAGAAACATCTTATGTAGGATGAATTGAAAAGATATTATGACAAAATATGTACATTATATTGGTTCCAACCGGCTGTCAACATTTGACCATAATCCCGGGAAGCAGTAAACCCTCATGTATTTCACGAGCTATCATTTCCCAGTGATAATCAACCAAAGCCTACACATTGATTAAACAAAACTTCATGCGTACTTGTGGAACACCTTGGCAATTACCTGCCATTGACCGTCGATTTTGATGAGAGTGAGGAAGTCGGTGTAGTCGGCACCCGAGGCGTCACCTTCCATGTCGATGCGAACGACGGCGGTGGTTTGAGTGATAGCAAGCACATCGTTGCGGGTCTTGATGTTGGGGGCACTGCCATTGTCACGAATAAAGGCGAAGAGATTGCCAATGGGGCCAGCGAGCATATCGGGCTTAGGAGGGTTTATGAAGCCGTACATGACAGCGTCCTTGTGGAACGCTTGGGCAACAGTCTCGGAACTGCCAGAGCGCAAGCCCTCAGTATACTTGTTGGCTGTCTGGATCACGGCATCGAACTCGGTGGTAGGAACGGTCTTCACGTTGGTAGACATTTTCTAGACTTGGAGGTTAGTTAGGGAAAGGTGATTGTTCAAAGGTTACGGACCGCGGAAGGGGAACGTACGAACGATTTTGGGGAGTGGATAGATGCAATTGCAGGAAGAGGATTCAAGTGTTGCTGTTAGAATGAGATATCGCTATTGAACTAGGTTGACTTCAGATTTTATATTGCTAGAATAGCTAATTATTTCTCCAACTTTCAACAGCTGGCCGACTGGGAGATCAACCAGATATGGAGAATTTTTAGGGACCCTCTCGTTTCACTCCATTTGCACAGAGTTGGTTACATCTTTTTGCCTAGTACAACAGGTTCTTAACTAGTTACCCCTTTAGCTTACCTAGGGTAGACCGTTGAAATGTGCCCAGGTCAGTACCCGGGCCTCGAGATTATAGATCCAATTACGTCATTGACAGGCCCTGGACGCATGTCTATCATGAACTCTAAGGTTCGGAATATTAGTCTTTCCATACACCGAGATCCACATTATTCCCTCCAACCCTCTTGGCCTACCTCCACAATCGCGACCTCCAACTGCACTTTGCTTATCTGCAAAGTTTGTTCCATTGGCCACCTGAACCGAGATCTCAATACTAGTTCTCAACGCGTCAACCGAGTAGTAATTGCTTTATGTTCGAATGTGAACGCCAACGCAGATAGCAAAGGGACCGCTACCTTTCCACCGACCTATCAACTGTAGTGTGTTGGTTCTAGCATTTTATTAGTCAATGATGTAGCTATATTATCTAATACTTCAAGAATACACTATATCGGAACATAAATCAACATTTGAAGATAATTGTATGAAAGCTTTGATATCCCTGGGTCCCCAGGGTCCTCAACTAGACCTCCGAAAAGCCCACAAATGGGCTCGAAACCCAGGCCCAAAGCCCAACCTGCAGTGGGCTATGGGCCGAACCTCCAAACCCATCTTCATTAGCCGCTATAATCTCTATATTCCGACTTTCTGCGGGTCATAAAAAGATCGAATCCATAATCTAGGTTTATAGTAGTTAGACAAATATATATTTTAGGTTTAAACAAATTCGGACCTGTGTAGGTCGAGAAATGGTTAATATTAAAATTTTGATCTGGATGTATATCTGTTTCCAATTTATACGGGAGTACTACTACAAATTCTAGTACACCTACGTAATTTTCGAAGTTTCTAAAGAAACGAGTTTTTTCACCCTTTTTTGACGTGATATAGAGACAGACCTGGTAATTTTTAATCAATAAAATTAATAAAATATTACCTTAAGAATATAGCTTAGAAACGGCGGTAAAACAAAGAGTAAATTCTCGGCATGTTTATACTGTTTGGGGCCTATTTAGGGCCCATTAAAGCGCAGCGGGCTTCCACCTTCGGCCCATAGCCCATCGGTGGGCCCGAGGCCGGACCCAAAACCCAACCCAGTTGGCTCGCGTTGGACTTTGGGCTTTGTGGGCTCGACGTATCCTCAATGCTAAAGCTCGTGATAAAGAATATTCTGGTATTTATCAAAGCTCTAACTTTGGGTTCATTCAACAGAGATTAACTTTATTGTATCAAGCAATTGGCTCACTAGATTTTTATGACCAGTCTTCCGGTAAATGAATGCGCAGCTGCCCTCTCGGGGATGTTCTCGCCCTCTTCTAGAGGAAGAAGGGTAAGATGGCTGACGACTCCATTCTCAACAACAGCTTCGATCATTTTTTTGGCTTCATCGACAGGGCAGTGCAATGATCCCTTGACGACGATTTCTCGGAATACAAGGTTAAACGCATCGAACTTGAAGCCAGATTCTGGCAGACCAAGAACGACACAGACGCCCCTAGGTTGAAGACGGTGCAGAGCCCAGTCACTGGCAGAAACGTCATCAGTGCAGACCACAGCGCCATTTAAACCAATACCGTCAGTGAACTGGGAGATCTTTTGGATGGCATCATGGCTATTGAAGTTGATGGTAAGGTCGGGTCGGAGATGAGCAGGGACTTCGGATGCAAGCTTCAGGCCAACGTCACGGTTGTCGATAGCGACAACTCGCAACCCTCGAGCTTTGGCAAACTGTATAGCCAGCACGCCAAGGCCACCGATCCCAACAATGGCTACCGAACCTCCCTTCTCCAACCCGGTTTCTTTGAGTGCATTCCATACGGTGGCCTATATGATTCTTGTGAGTCAAAATATTCCAATCGATATATAATAAAGGGGCAGACATACACCGGCACACATCAGGGGTGCCGCCTGTTCAAATGAGAGCTCATGCGGTAAGCGGACAAGTGCATAGTGGGAAGCAACCATATACTCAGCAAATCCACCGTCCGCCTTCAGGATACCGCTCATGGTCTTGTTCTCGCAGTAGCGGGCATCTAGAGTTCTGTACGTCTTCATCCTCCATCTGCATCCATTGCACGCGTTGCATGGCTCTCTGAAATTGATCACACCGACCCGATCATTTACCTTCCAATCGCCCGGTACATCAGAACCTAGTTTCACAACGGTTCCTGCGGGCTCATGTGAGCCCGTGAAGGGTAAGTGTGTGCCATATACACCTTGATAGACCTGATAATCGGTGTGGCAAAATCCCGCCGCAGCCACGCGGATTAGGAGCTCTCCTGGGCCAGGATCAGGGACTGGAACATCAGTGCGAAGTTGGTAATTTTCATTGTACTGGATTATTATTAGCTAAGAATCAGATTCGACGTATGCCATGTGCTTGGACATGTAAAATCCAGGAGGGCATGCATACATTGATCAACCTCAACGCCTTCATAGTCCGAGGGATATTCTTTTGGGCCATAGTTCGAGAATGAGCTCTGAGTTCTGCGTGTATGAATATGTGAAGAACAATGAAATACCTTGAAGATAGAGAGGAAGCAAAAAGACCTCGGGAAGAATCTGAAATGAATATCTCGTTGTCAAGCTACTCAAGGGTTACAGAGCCATGAGAGGCTCCACACTAGCCCCACTTGGAGTCGAAAGTCTCCAAGCTACTTTGATTTTTCCCTCCACACATATTGTTGGATGCCTGAGGCATCACCATGTTGTCGGAGCATGACGACCGGCATACCGGGGGATTTATTAATCCTACACATTTTTGTAATTAATGTTATGTAATCATGGCTCCATATAAATTGTACCAAGAGCCGATACAGAAATACAGAGAGTTGAATACCACTGATTGGACCCCTACATTTACAATACAGACCAATCCGACAGTTATGAGCCCGGTTCGCATCGAAGAAAGCATTACTATTTGAGATATAGTATCTAGTACACTACTAGAAGCCTGCTTTCTACCCCTTGAAACCTCCTAGCTACCCCTGAATTAGCAATTGTGAAGCTATTCCCAGCTACCCCTGAATCCAGCAATGGAGGCAGCATCAATTCTCTCCGCCATGAAGGGCGAAAAACTGAAGGACTCGCCGCAGTGGCTCACTTGGTTTGCAAAAGTGCAGCTATATGCCATGCAAAAGAACGTATGGGACCTTTGCAACCCAGATCCCCCGACGACAACCGAATCCCAAGCAATAAGATCTATACCTCTCCAAGAACCGGTGGAACCGGAATACCCAGAGGACGGCGATGACAAGGATCGAAGGATTTGGCGAGATCGAATGGACGTGTATAAAATGAAGTACACGAAGTGGGAGAAGCAAGCAAAAGGACTAAGTGATGTCAACGAGTACATCCTTACCTACCTCGACCCAATGCATCACCTTGCTCTGATCACATATCGTACTCCGTATGAGAGGCTTGTATACCTAAAGACTAGATTTGCTCGGTCAACGGCGTACGAAGAAGAAATCCGTATGAATTGGAAGGTCTTTGCCATGCAGAAACCAACCGGTGATATTGAGCAGTGGCTTCAAAAGTGGAATTCACTAAGAGAGCAAGCTATTAGCCTCGGCATTAGCGATGCAGATTCCAATCGAGACTTCCTACATGCAGTTAAAGAGGTACTGCCAATCTGGTGGCAAGGAAAATACCAAGAGATTGTTATGGATAAGAAGAAATATGACACTCGAGATCTTCTTGAATCATTCCGTGCAATGAATCGGGAGATAGGCGTCAAAACTGTGACCTCAACTAATGCTCCAAAAAGTGCTTTTTCAACCTGGCAAGGTCATCGAGAAGCAAAGCCGGAAGCGAAGCAAGAGAAGCTTCCATTCGAGAAGAGAAAATGTCCATGTGGCAATGGTCATCCACACCACAAGGTGGCCAACTGCTGGCTCATGAATGAAGCTATACGCCCAGAAGGATATACCCTAGACGAAGGGAAGCTAGAGAGAGCTAGAAAGAAGCTAGCAAATGATCCAGGGTGGAAGCAATGGGTCGACAAAGCTGTCAATGAAGCTAAATCAAAGCATCATGAATCTGCAAACCACGTTAGCTTCGCCACCACCTACCAGAGTAAGCAACAGGGCAGGCCTCAGAGCAGGCCTCAGAGCAAGCCTCAGGGCAAGCCCCAGGGCAAGCACCAAGGCAAGCTACTAAGTGAAGCTATACAGATTGGCAAGCATGCACTCTCAGCTGCAAAGACTGGCGAGCTCTCTCTCCGCAATCGATGGATTCTTGACACTGGGTCCAGTTCACATGTATGCAATAACAGAGCACTGTTTATTGATTTTACGCCGGAAGTCATAGATTTGACAACTGGTGACAGTACTACGCAGGTGCTAGGGAGAGGCAAAGTTCGACTAGTCGGCAAGCATCCACAGAAAGGGAGAATGGAAATCACATTGAGTGATGCTCTCTACTCGCCTAGCTTCCATACAAATCTAGTGTCGTACGCGATGCTAAAGAAGAAGGGGGGCACCTGGTGTCAACGTACAAACTGCATCCGAGATCCAAAGGATCTACCTGTTGTCAATGTACATCTATGGGACCAGTTTAACCTCTGGATTTTCGATGAACCAGGAGAGGTTCTACCGCAACAAGCATATGCCACACAGAGATCCTCAGTAAAGCCGCAGGAATCAAAGGCATCGGCTGACATCTGGCATCGGCGACTTGCTCACATTGAGCCCCGCGCCGTAGCTAAGCTTGCTACTATGGTAGATGGTATAGTCCTCCAGGAAGCAGAGCAAGAAGAAGCTTCATTATGCCAAACCTGTCATATTGGGAGAGCACCAAAACAGATCTCTCGCCGGCCAGTAGGACGTACTTTTGGACGATTTGGAAGGATCCACTTTGATCTCATACAACTGCCGCTAGCATACAATAGACACCGATGGATATCTCATTTCTATATGGAAGGAGTACGATTCCATTGGATAATGACACATGAAGTGAAGCCTGAATGCCAGCTGGCGATCAACCAGTTCGTACAGCTAGCAAGGAATCAGTGGAATCTACCTATCAAGGCATTTCACTATGACAATGAAGCTGCAGCAGGCAAAACAGCGGAGCACAGTTTGACAAGCGATGGTATCTTGATATATCATACTCCACCCGGCCACTCAGAGATGAATGGGTATGCCGAGAGATCTGGCGGGATGATCATTACCCGTATGCGTATGCTCTCTCTTGAAGGCAAGCTTCCGAAAGACCTATGGCCTGAATTCGCAAGCGCTGCAGTGTGGTTATTGAACCGTACCCCTACATACATTGCTTCTGAGAACAAGTGGTTAATACCATGGGAAGAAGTAAGAAGAGAATTTGCTCCAACAGCCCCGAAGATCAATCTAGCAAATGTTAGATTATATGGAAGTTTGGCGTACTGCCGCATTGAGAGGCAGATCCAGTCAGATAAGATGAATCCAAGAGCAGAGGTCGGCTTCCTAGTCGGATACTTGGCATCTAATATCTACAAAATCTGGTTTCCACACAGTGGGAAAGTGAGGTATATACGAGATGCAGTCATTGATGAAGCACGTAAATACTCGCCGGACTATGAGAAATCTCAGCCTATTCCACTACCATTAGTGAGAGAGCCAGAAGAGATTACGCCCGACGAAGTGGCGCAAATCATCAACCATCAGATCGCTAGCCAGGAAGCAACTAGTACGCCGGAAAGTGAGCATCAAAACCGACAAGATGAAACCGACGATGCTCTACCAGATGCTCTTCCAGATGCTCTACCAGATGCTCTTCTAGATGCTCTTCCAGATGCTCTACCAGATACTCTACCAGATACTTCACAAGATATTCAGCTAAGTGAGGTTGACTACCGAGAGATCACCCCACTTCAGGGGGTGAGCAGGCAGGCATTAATGCCTACCCCAATAAGCCTACCACCTATACTTCTGACCTCGGTCAGAAAAGAAGCCGGTGAGATCCAGGACATACAGAAGGATCAAGATCCATCACCATTAACCCCACCAAATGAAGAAACTGGCTTACAGCAAGGGGTGGAAACTGGCCCTGATCAGGGGGTGGATACGCATGATCTAGATGATCAACTGCTCAGTGAAGATCAGGCCCATGAAGAAGCCTATGAAGAAGCCAATGAAGAAGCCAATGGAGAACCTAATGAAGAACCCAATAGAGAGGTGGAAAATGAGCTAGAAAGACAGCTCCAGGCAGAACTGCTAGCACCAAGCAGAGAGATCTCCAGCAATATAGATGCCAGCAACATACTAAGTGGACGTCGAATACGCAAAGCAAAACAAGATGACGATTTTGCATATGCAACCACTATAGTACAGGGTATTGACGAAGAAGAGCCACCGGCTCTACTACATGCATTTGCAGCTGGTCTATACGCCGAGAAACCAAACGCTCGCCGCCATCGAGATGATCTCCCACCACCACCCAAGTACTGGAAGGATGTCATAAATCATCCTTTTCAGCAAGGTTTTCTCGCAGCAATGAAGAAAGAGATCCACTCTCTATCTGAAAAAGAGACATTCGAAGTCATTGAAAAGCCAAAGGATCGAGGGATACAAATCCTTCCCTTACTATGGGTTTTTGCATACAAATTCGACCAGGACGGTTACCTTTTGAAATTGAAGGCTCGAATCTGTGTTCGTGGGGATCTTGAGACGATTACCTATGAAGAAAAGAGAGCTGCTACGCTAGCAGCAAGAACAGCAAGAATGATCTTTGCACTAGTCGCTGCCTTTGACCTAGACCTCCGTCAGCGAGATGCTGTCACTGCATTTCTGAATAGCAAGCTAAGCCAAGAGAAACCGACGTATACGCAGATGCCAGAAGGGTTCCAGTCCCTAGGTAAATGCTGGAAGCTTCGTCGAGCATTGTACGGCTTACGGATCTCGCCACGTCTTTGGCAACAAGAAGCAGCTAGTGTACTCCGAAAACTAGGTCTGCAACAAGCACCAGAAGACCCTTGTGTCTTCGTCGGAGAAGGGCTAATAGTCTTCTTCTATGTGGATGATATCTTAATTGCTAGCCATGCAAATGCTAAGGCAAGAGCCATGCAATTGGAGCGAGATCTAGAAGCCCACTGGGAGCTGACAGATCATGGAGAAGCATCATGGTTTCTCAATATCCGAATCATTCGCGATAGGAAGCAGAAGAAGCTCTGGCTATGTCAAGATAGCTATATGACAAGCATTGCTACCCGCTACAATTTGACAGATCGACCACCTGTCTATACGCCACTACCAGTTGACGAATTGACGCCTTACCAAGGCGTAGCCACCCCGAAGGAGATCCTTCTCTATCAAAAGAAGGTTGGATCCGCAGGCTATGCCACCACTATCACTAGGCCAGATGCTGCAAAGGCCACCGCTCGACTAGCTCAGTTCTTGACGAATCCAGGGCCCCAGCACCACCAAGCAGCTGACCGGGTCATCAGTTACCTATATACTACCCGGAACCTAGCTATTGAATATAGTGCAGACGCAGTAAGCACTGGAATCGATTCCATACAGTTCGCAAGCGATGCTTCATACGGAGATCACCCAGATCGAAAGAGCTCTGCAGGCTACATCTGTCAAGCTTATGGTGGACCAGTTGACTGGAAAGCGAGCAAGCAACCCACCGTGACAACGTCAACCACTGAAGCAGAGCTGCTAGGCCTATCAGAGACAGGGAAGCAACTTCAATGGTGGCGTCGACTACTAAAAAGCCTCGGTTTTGAACCCTCCCACAATATGACGATCGACTGCGACAACGAGAGAACGATCAGCCTACTTACTAGTGAGGACACTGCCTTCGAAACGAAGCTTCGGCATGTCGATATTCATCATCATTGGCTTCGGCAAGAGGTTAGAGAAGGACGCATAATGGTGCGATGGGTGCCGACGGCGAGCATGGTCGCAGATGGACTCACAAAGATGCTATCTCGCCAGAAGCATGAGAGCTTCCTAAGGATGCTCAGGATGGTGGACATAGGCTATCTAATGGCCTAGTCAATTAAACCATGGAGATCAATATGCCGATCTAACAAGTCCAGCAATCCCATACTGGGATAGCTGAGGGGGTGTGTCGGAGCATGACGACCGGCATACCGGGGGATTTATTAATCCTACACATTTTTGTAATTAATGTTATGTAATCATGGCTCCATATAAATTGTACCAAGAGCCGATACAGAAATACAGAGAGTTGAATACCACTGATTGGACCCCTACATTTACAATACAGACCAATCCGACACATGTGATAGAACCCATAGTAGATAGTACACCTGCTCTCTCTCCTCCTTTCTCTCTCCTCTCTCGGTCCCACTCAATACATACGGTTTTACTCATATGAATGCGTACATCCTGTATTACATATTCCAACAATATTGTAGCTTTGGAGACGTTAACGAAATCGCACCAATCGCTCTACTTTAGCTTTAAATGATTTTAAATAGACTTATGTAAAATTTTAATTTATCCTGCACTTTCCATATCCAACTAACGATCATTGTGTATACCCAATTGGGAAAGAGTGTCAGTAGCCACAGATATCATGGGATTCTCTTTGAGCCTCAAGAATAGTCAATAAAGAGATAGCAACCTACCGAAGAGTGGAACTAAACCCAGACTAAGAATAGGGGGTTGATGCCTGAAACACCAGACACCCACAACAGATTCCATTCCTTAACTTCATCTTTACCATTGTGTGAATATATTTTCCTCGGATTTGTGAAAGCCACCTTCATACGTCCGGCAACATCCTGATTCACAGTAAGGTTGGCCAGCTCCTTGATGCTATTATGAAGCATAGATATATCTACCCCACCCGTCGTCAGGGTGACCTACTCCGATGTACTAGGAGGCGATGGACAAATCCTATCCCCAACGAATAGCTGCTTTCTTCCCAGCACGGTCTTCCTACCCCAGGAACACCCCCGCTCCCGCCGCTTCCAAAATAAACAAGAATAGATTTGCGGATAAAGCTTTTACGTAAAATCATAAAAATTGAGAGCCTAGTGAGATTAGACCTGGGAAGATTGTTATGCTGTAAAATTGGTTGTATGGCACGGTGATTTAATTTAGAAAGAAGAATGTAGATGATAAGGGAGAGGGGGTGGGGGGAATGGGGATTTCTTTTGTTGCATGCGTAATTATCAAATGTCGGAGCCGTTAAAATCTGAGACTATCACATCTAGAGTATTATGAAATATCAGAATCGGAAGTCGAAAGTCTGAAAAATGGATCAAATGCCTTGAGGGAGAAGGTGGAGAGAGAGAATCTCGGCAGAAATTGCTGATATCCGGCGATGAAGTAAAAGAGCGTTGGTAATTAATGCCTTATCTTTGTCCGTGGCACATAATAGGTAGGTCAACCCACTGAAAGGCTCGGAAATATACGCCTGCGGAGAGAGTTGCGGCGAGATGATATTTCTTTAGATAGACTGAAGGACTCTACGCACAGATGGGACCAACCAGAAATCACTATGCTGTACTAGAACGGGGTGGATGGGGGGAATGAATATGGAAAACCTATCTAACTATTCCGTACTTAGATAGTTTATGGGGAACTTCCCCACCTGGCTAGCCACAAGTACCCAATCAGTCTTTGGGCGTTTTTTTGGTGCAGTAACCAACGACCGATGAGCGTCAGATACACCGTACAGAGTCGATTGGCTCTATTGAAGAAATCCGTTGATTACTGAAAGCCATTGAATCCACTTGAAGTAAACCAACTAGTCAGATTGAGTCGGATTGCCTTGGCCACGCTGATGGCTGGCTTGGACAACTCCTGAACTTTCGCGAATGTAGAACGGCAATAGCGATAAGAGGTATCTCTAACTCCTCCAATATCCCGCAACCCAAGGCTCCGACTTCTTTTTGTCTCCAAATCCAATTGTTAAAAGTTGAAGATAGTCCGGCCCCCTTATGGCCACTTTTCTAATTCGACATTGCCTCCATCTCTGCAGATCATCTATGCACTAACATTTATTGAACTGGCACTCAAGACGTTCTCGGAGACTTTCGTCCTGCAATTGCTTTGATCTATATCGCAATACATTGCTTATTCCTCATCTCAGACTCGGAAATATGGGGACCAAGGATTCTTCAACAGCCGTGACTCTGGACACGCTTCCGAGACAATCCCAAGATGTCGAGATCGGCTCTGTTCGTGCCGTCTCCGCCAGTGATGTGGACCCAAAGCAGGGAGATCAGGGAGATAACCCCACAGATCAGACCAATGAGGCCGAGCTTTACCTCGCAGAGCACAGTTCTGAATGGGGCCAGTATACGGCACGCGAAGCCAAGAGTGTTCTTCGACGCATCGACTGGCGTATCCCCCCGCTTATCACCGTCACCATGACTCTAGCTGGTGTAGACGTGAGCAAGGACTTTTCTAGGCAGCCAAGTCACTGCTAACAAGGTTAGAAAATTCTCATCTCAAACGCAACCCTTTACGGAATGACGGAGGACACTGGTCTTCATGGACAACAGTACAATTGGGGTGTGTTTCGAGCGGAAAATCAGGTTATGGAGTAATAAGCTAACAGTGGTTTACAGTTGCATCGATTTTCTACTTTGGGTACATGGCCGCCACATTTCCTGCCAATGCAATGCTTCAAAGAGTGCCTGTAGGAAAGGCTCTGGGTGCTGCCACAATCGGCTGTGGGATTATCGCCATGTTAATGGCGGCGACTACAAACTTCGCAGGACTCTTGGTACTTCGCCTAATCATGGGGTGTTTTGAAGCACCGATATTTCCATGCATAACAACTCTGGTTGGTATGTGGTACACAAAAGCCGAGCAGCCAACTCGTACAGCCATCTGTTTTGCTGTATTCTCGACGGTACGTGCTATATGTTTACTATCATAACTATTCAGGTACATTTACTAATATACTGTAGCTGATCACTGGCACCGTCTCATACGGTATCGGGCACGCAAACACAAGTGTTGCTCCCTGGCGACTACTATTTCTCACCTTTGGACCTGCTACAATTGTATGGGGTGGGGTTTTACTCGTTTTCCTCCCAGATTCTCCGCTGAAGGATGGCTTCATGAAAGGGAAGTCAAGATTCATCGCGATTTCCAGAGTTAAGGGAAACTCGACTGGCATAGAGAACAAGGTTCGAAACCTGTCACCTCAGACTTCTTGTTTTTTACCTAACGACCTACTGATAGGAACTAAAATGGGAGCAAGTGCGAGAAGCTTTCTCCGACTACAAAACTTATGCGCTCTTTCTATTCTACTTGTCCAGTAATGTCCCCCTTGGTGGTCTCTCAACATTTGCTGCCCAGATCGTCTCAGGTCTGGGGTATTCCTCCCTCGAGACAACTTTACTTGGAATGCCTACAGGGATGTTCCAGACCCTTGCCGGCCTTATGGTTGCAGTTCCACAGCGTTGGCTCGTGAACAAACGTTGTCTTACCTCTGGACTGTGTTGTTTGGTACCGTTGGTCTGTTCTATCATCATACGAAGTAGGTGATTGCTACCAATTCGAATCCATTGTTGTCATAACTAACAGCTGAACTGACTAGAATTGCCGGAATCGAACATGACTGGGAAACTTGTGTCTTACTATTTTTTCTTCTTCTTTTGGGGCCCTTATGCGACAGGTGCGTTTAAATCTTAGCGAAAAGGTTACTGGATGCTAAATCAATATATATATATAGTGCTATCACTACCCATGGCCAACGTTTCCGGACATACAAAGAGGCTCACAGTGAATGGTTGCATCTTCGTGGCATATTGCATGGCCATGATAATTGGGCCCCAACTTTTCATTGAGAAAGAGGCACCCGAATATGCAACAGGTTATAATTGTATACTGGGATTTGAAATTTGTGCTGTTGTTTCCTTAGCTGTATATGCGTTTGGATGCATGATTGAGAACAAACGTCGTGATCAGCGGGAAGGAAAGGATATCCAGATGTCAACAGCCCATCAGTTGAGTGACCTCACAGATTGGCAAAAGAAGGGGTTCAGATATATATATTAGATATGCATATCAGGGGGATTGAATGGCAGCTCTTGTGGGGGGTCAAATGTCAGATCAGCAACTGGATATCCTTTGATAGCCAATGAAAATTGTGCTTTAAATACACACCACAGTAGATATAGACATTTTCGATTGTACTCTCCATCACCAGCGTTATTCACACGATTGTCGACCTTTATGGCAACAGCTTTGCAATTGCGCCGCAGCCTGCATTAAGCGGCTTTCGTGTTCACGGACCGTCTTCATCACTATTTCGATTGCGTTATTTTCGCTAGATAGAGAGTGTTGCTGTCATCGAACTCGAATGTGCCACTGAAACGGACCTTCTGAAGTTCGATAGCCGTTTGTACAGATTCTAGAGAATAATCAGTCTTGTGTTTCCAAAAGGACTGTACCCAAAGACCCGACTATAGACTGTTTTACTTACGTAGCTCGTGGGAACAACACTGGAGAGAGCCTCGCAACCCTGCCTCTGTGCTGAGATGTAGGTTGCAATGAAAATCTAGATAATCCATGCTGTGGCAAGCAAAACACATTTTACCCAGAGCATATACCGTTGTCTCGAGCATGCTTGCGTCGACCTTTGTCGTTTCTCCTCTCAGATGAACCCATCTTCTTCAGATGCATCAGTGTGGACTGCGAGATCCCTCCCTTTATCTTTCAAACAATAATGCACTGATTCGCTTTTGTCTCGCATTTGGAACATAAGGTTGGGCAGTCGCGGAGATAGGAAGGAGTCAATAGGATGGAATAGGATGAAATGAAATTGAGAAGCGGAATCCAACTCAGTGATTGGAATCCGACGACTAGATGAGGATATACGATATCTTTTCGAGACCTTGCACAATTCGTATAATCTCATACGACTCCTGTATCGACTCATTCTAGGCTCGCCCCCTTCCGAGATAGCTACACTTAAGATGAAAGGGGAAAATATTGGAAGCATATTATCTCAATCCTGGACGATGCAGTAGCCGACAATTGAGATATAACATGAGTACGCAAACATTATGTCGGTCATGTCTCATGACCGCAGTCAACATACCTGTATGCATTGGTTTTCATAGGTCGACTATAGCCACTTCTCTCGGAAATGGCACCGTAGCGTTATTGCCTTGAATTGTCTTGGTATAGCAACGTGATAGACTGTGTCTATCTTGCATATCCTGTCTCACGATCCTTGTTATAGATTGACCTACAGGCGCGCCCTCACCCCTCCGGTATGCCGCGGCGTCACATCACCCTGCGATAGTCGTGTCAAAACCTCGGAACTAGTTTCAGATGTCGTGATAAACTTGCATGATCTTGTCACCGCTGGCCTCAAGATTGTTGTCCCTTTCGGATTAGCACCAAAAGCAGGGTGAGGATGAGACTACAGACGATTCTCGCCTGGGTAAGGCCAGCATCCTGACTACTACCTTGGGTAGGTCTAAATTATCCAAATATCGATAAATCAAGGCCAACCGTTCGCAACTACTTGGAGAAATCCCAGAATTCCTACCTCAACCTACTCAGTTCGACGCACTTCCAATTTGGATCTTCGCTACAAAATGTAATGTAACTCAAGCTATTTACCGCCACTGTTGCTATCGCTGCCGGCCTTTCTCTGGCTGCTCCTGTCCAACGTACTATATTACTCCGACTCTCGAAATGCATCATTGGCTTGCTATGCCTTACTAATCGAGCTTATCACTAGACTCTACCCATGACCCGGATTCCACCGTTGGCCAGGCCTTCTACAGCAAATATGACGAGAAACACGATGTTGCGGATACCGATTCTTCCGTAGGTCAGGCCTTCTACAACAAGAAGTACACCCAGAAGCATGCGGACGACGTGGAAGATTCGGCAGTTGGCCAGTCCTTCTACAGCAAGTACACTTTCACGGTGGCTTTCGAATCCGGTATTTTGAACATATTACCAGCGGCTTGCTTCCTTTTGCCGGCAACCTATCGCCTGTTTCAGTTGTCTAGGCAGTCGCCGAAGGTGCTCTCTTCCGCATTCCGTGTGATCACTTTAGTAAGTATTCTTACTTCCATTTGGCGTTCGGTTCGTATGAAAAGGACCAACATCTAAGCATTATTCTCATACAGACTGTCTCTGTAACCTTTGCAGCCATTCAGGTTGGACTCCTGGCACTTGTTACGATGCAGCACCTTGCCGGAGGGCGCATCTTACTTGCGAGTGCTATTTTCGATTTTATATCGGCCCTGGTCGTTATAATCCTAGTTGACATGGAGTATCTCCGGTCCATCCGGCCATCATTTCTTGCCTCTGCTTACTTGTTCGTCACGTTGCTTCTGGACCTTGCGCGCGTGCGTACGTCCTGGCTGCTACCCGGCTATCAGGCCTACTCAGCATGCCTCTCTACGTCTCTAGCCGTTAAGCTACTTCTCTTAGTTTTCGTTTATACTGAAAAACGGAAATGGTTTATGCATACTGAAAAGGACCACTCTACCGAAATTGTGAGCGGCCCTTTTAGTCGAGGCTTATTTATTTGGTTGAATGGCCTGTTGTGGAAAGGGCACTCCGTGTTACTGACCGGAGATGCTCTGCCTACTGTTCATAGAAAGCTCTTATCTTCAGAATTGTCTACTCGATTCGCAGACTCGTGGACTCGCTGCACGTACAATGGATAGAACGTGTTGCTCTTGGCGGTGATCAAGTGTCTGCGATGGGAAATCGCGACGATTGCTTTCCCATGGCTTTGTGTCGTGGGATTTAGTATCGCGCAGCCCTTTCTGATTGGGAAATTTGTCGCTGTCTTACAACAGACCAGCTTGTTGTCGCAAGACATGGGCTATGCCTTAATTGCAGCAACCGCAATTGTCTTTACCGGGATCGCTGTAAGCTACTTGATGTCTATTCGCAGCGTGAAGAGTAAAACTTACATTTTATTCTAGGTCTCTAGAGCCTCTTACGAACACCTGGGATATCGTGCCACAACCATGCTTCGTGGCGGTCTGATGGCTCTTGTCTTCCGGCATATGATGGATCTGCCACTAGGGAGCACTGACGAATCTAGTGCCATGGCCCTTCTGGGCTCTGATATAGAAATGGTCGCCGAATATTTCTATTCCGTAGTTTGCGAGACTTGGGCTAATGTGCTACAATTAGCACTAGCTACATGGTTGCTACAAACCCAAGTCGGTGTTGTCTGTATCGCTCCTATTTTGGTGGTGATAAGGTAGTCTGCCCGTTTCCCAAATCATTGCCTCGCTGTGTTCATTGTCTAACAGCGCTAGTCTAGTCTTCATGGGTTCTTCGTTTGCCATGGGCAATGCCGTTTCCGCTAGACAAGAAAGTTGGCTTCGGGCTACCGAGAAGCGTATCAACTTCACCACTTCCATCCTAGGCTCTATTCGCAACGTCAAAGTTCTCCGGTTGACCGAGGTGATGAGTTCTATGATTGAAGGATTGCGCACGGAAGAGCTTGAAATTTCTAAAAAGTTCCGCCAGCTCCAGTCAATCCGTGTATGCATGGGTGCGTGCTTTAATCCTTATTACAACTCAACTATATTATGTTACCAGGCTCACCAATGAACTGACACCGACCTTTAGTCAATTCTCCTATAATTGTTGGACAACTTGTGACTCTCGCTGCCTATGCGATATTAGCATTGCTACAGGGCTCGGGAGGTCTTGCCGTCAACGAAGCCATCACGTCATTGTCGCTTATAAGCTTGATGATTACTCCGCTGAGCTACCTTTTAATGGCAATTCCCGACACATATGCATCAGTAGGCTGCCTGAATAGGATACAAGACTTCCTCATGATCCAAGCCGTCTGGATAAGTACTCCAGTTCTCTCTCCATGTTCCTTTGCACCACGTTTCACTATATCTAGATCCCAAATCACTCATTTTATCCCTCAGTGAGGTCTAATAAAACAATGTTATACACAGATCAGAGACGGCTCCCTCAGCTGGTATCGGCTCACTCAATTTCGACCAATAGTATTTCCGGTCTCGAGCTATGCCCGCTTCCAAAAAGCCCCCAAACGCAGAAAGAAGTGGTTCTCTCACTCCAAAATGTTCGATTTGGCTGGATTTCTCCCTCTCCCTCAGAGACACCCGGTATCACACTTAAGCTTGAATCCTCTTCCGCCGGTACTGTCGTTATCCTTATCGGTCCAGTAGGCTGCGGTAAATCCACCTTTCTGAAGGGTCTCGCAGGTGAAACGCCCGTATTGGAAGGTGAGATTTTTATCAAGTACCCGTATCTGGCATTTTGTGATCAAACTCCATGGTTATGCAATGCATCAATACAGAATAATATTGTGGGCGAAGGCTTATCTACGTTTGATCCGAACTGGTATCATATCGTTGTGCGCGCATGTGCGCTGGATCTGGACTTCAAGAAGATGACGGCAGGCGACAAGACATCCGTGGGTAGTAAAGGGTCGAAACTTAGCGGAGGACAAAGACAAAGAATTGTTGGTCCCTTGCCTCCTTTGTGTGTTGGTCATCCACTAACAGCTTCGCCTGTATAGGCTATCGCGAGAGCCGTTTATGCTCGCGAACGAATCGCTTGCTTCGACGATGTTCTCAGTGGCCTTGACAATGCAACCGCCCGACATGTTTCCAATAATATCTTTGGTCCGGCTGGACTGTTACGTCAGCTGGGATGTACGGTGTTCTTATCAACACATACCAGTACGTGCTTTCCTGCCGCCAGATAGCTCGCTTGATCGATCAAAATTTAGATCTCACCCTGATTATGACCTAGTCCATCACTTGCCGCAAGCTGACCTGATCATGGTTCTCGGGGCGAATGGCCAAGCCATCAAGCAAGGCACTTATACCGAACTTCGAGACTACGCTGACAACCTCTCTGAGATACATGGAATCAAACCCACGCGAACAGATGAAATGGAGAGAATCGATGATCTAGAGAGCCCTTCTAATTACACCGCAGACCCTATTAGTGCTCCTTCCCCAGATGTCCATCGGCAGACGACAGACCTTGCTGTATACAAGTATTATTTCTCTGCGCTGGGGTGGTTCAGAATTGTAGCCTTGCTTCTCTTCCTGATTACCGAGGCCGGTATAAGCGCATTCCGCTGTAAGTTGCAACTATATCGACAATGACTTATTGATGAAACAGCGTATAACTCACTTTTCTATAGACGTATGGGTCGATCTTTGGTCCTCCAGCAGCGACAACATTACAGCCTCACACCTAGGCTATTGGCTTGGACTATATGGACCATTCTCTGTTATTCAAGCCCTTTCTCTGACACTTGCCGTGTTGTAAGTTTCAGAAGTATAGTCCTTGATCCCATGCCTTGGCTGACGTCTCTGGTCTGGTACTAGCTGGACCTGGGTCATCATCGTCCCCGCGGCTTCTAAGAATCTTCATTCAATTGTGCTGCACATTCAATTGTGCTGCACACTTGCATGAGGTGGGTTTATTGCAATTAAAATGCCCGCATTGGTAATTGACTAACGACTACAGTGCCCCATTGTCCTTCTTGTCGAATGTTGACACTGGAGTACTGGTAACCCGCTTTAGCCAGGACATGAGGCTGGTCGACATGATCCTACCTCGAGGTTTTATATCTACGGGATTCCGTAAGTAAATTCCGGATGAATACTGGGTCAATAATCCAACTAAATCAACTTTCAGTGTTTTTTGGAGCCATTGCCCAAGGCGCCACTGCTATAGCTTCGCTGCCCTACTTGGCAGTAGCTCTGCCGCTTCTCCTTGGAGCCCTGGTTCTGATCCAGCGGTTCTATCTCAAGACATCTCGCCAACTGCGGCTATTGGAGTGCGTCGTTACTTTTTATATCTTTTCCGCCTTGATCTACCCTGCCTACTTTAATTTCGCATTCATGGAGCTAATCCACATCACCTACAGAATCGAGCTCAAGAGTCCTCTTTACACCCACTTCATCGAGTCACTAGCAGGGATCGCGACTATCCGTGCCTTTTCCTGGACCCACACCGCAATGTCTCGAATGATCTCCACACTGGATACCGCCCAAAGGCCCTACTACCTTCTCTTATGCATCCAACGCTGGCTGAGTCTCGTACTGAATCTGATCGTAGCCGCTATAACAGTGCTTCTTGTTGGGATCTCTTTCGCTCTCCGCAATCGTGTTGACTCAGGCCTTTTAGGTATTGCCCTTGTCATGATGATGGATTTGGGACTTGGTCTATCGGAGCTGATTCAGAATTAGACGTTGCTTGAAACATCATTGGGGGCAATTTCACGCATCAAGGACTTTGCTGAAGAAACCTGTGATGAAGAGAGCAACGCAGTCATTCAGACTCAAAGCGAACTCCCAGAATGGCCGACTGAAGGGGAGATTATGTTTGTGGGTACGAGTATTTCTTGGAATTTATCCGAGACAACGCCTTTACTCAACAGTATTAATCAAGAAGTTTGGCCTTTGTGGCAGAACAGGGAGGTGAATCTTACTCTTATCGACTCCTGATTTACGCGCTTCTCCTAGGCAGGGCTAACCAATTACTATAAAATAGTGGCAAAAGTACATTGGCACTATCACTGCTCCGTCTCAACGAGATTACTTCGGGACAAATCTTCATCGACGGACAAGATATTTCCCTCATGTCCCGATGATCAATCCGACAGCGTATCAGCTGCCTTAGCCAAGAGCCTTTTCTTTTCCCCGACACTATTAGGCAGAATGCCGATCCACTTAACGTAGTTTCGAGCACGCAGAAATCGATGCACTACAATCTGTCGGTATTTGGGACTCTGTTGTGGCAGGCCGCCGTAGTACGGACGAAGAGATTCTGGATTCAATCCTAGACGATAGCATTCTATCACAGGGCCAGAAGCAGCTATTCTGTCTAGCCCGGGCTCTGCTAAAGAGGAGCAAAATCTTGATCTTAGACAAGCCAACAAGCAGGTATGTTCATGAGTTATTGGTTTCCATTTTATTCCATCAGTGTTCGTGGTAGCAGAAACAGATGCTAAAGTGCAAAGGGTGATACGGGAGTCATTCCTTGGCTGCACCGTGATTATGGTGGCACATCGAATCCACAGTCTGCTTGACTTTGACCAAGTTGCCGTCATGGCTAGTGGCCGACTGGTAGAAGTTGGACATCCACAGAGTTTACTGAATAAGGCGGATGGGGAATTTGCAAAATTGCTGGCTTTTGAGTCATAACCTACTAGGTCAGCCTGTTAGGGTCTATATCAGACCCTAAAGCATCGAGGTCATTACACAATTGTTGCCAATATGTCGTCTACGTAACTGATAATATTATTCCTTCCAAGTTGTTCCAGTAATAGTAACCCGGAGACTGTGCATTCCTGTCTGCATGGATATAGCACCGGATTATGACATGGCTAACTCCGATATATCCGGATACTGCATCACTTCGTTGTCCAAGCCAAGTCTACTGAGGTGACATTGAAACCAGAGCAGAGAGAAATATAAAGGACGACATGGAACACCACATTTTGCTCGAAACTGTCAGTACTATTTTCTTATCCAAATTTCGCCATTTAACCGGTGTTATGCCTCCAAGCCATCGCTCGCACCGTCAACATGTCCAAGGAGCTTCTCACCGTCTTTGGGCTCACTGGAAAGCAGGGCAGCCCCGTTGCCAACTACGTCCTTGGCGATGAAGAGCTCAGCCAACAGTACTCAGTTCGCGGCGTCACGCACTCACCCTCAATTTCCAAGGTCCGAGCACTCAAATCTAAAGGCGCCTTAATCATTAAAGCAGATCTGGACAAGCTATCTAGGTTTTTCCATGCTCTAAATGGCACCTACGTGCTCTTCTTTCTTACAAACGCGCAAGCCGGCGCGGAGGGGCGCGAGATTAAATACGACAGGCCAATGACCTGTTTGATGAAGCACTGAAGCAACATTTCAGGGTGGCTGGAAAGCGGAACATTGAATATTTTTATGAACCAACTTGCATAGGAGAGAGAGGGGAGTAATAATTCGAGGGGCAATCAACCTGGTCAATTGATTTCTATGGAAACCACTGAACTACGTCTGGTTTGTCAACTCCTTCTTGACGAGGTAAGTCACATACCATCTTTCAACCCGAGTCAATGAAGAAAATACATTAAAAATACATCCAATGGCAAGTACTTGCTTTCAGCCCCTTTTCGGACAGACTACAAATTTCTTTGGTCGACGATGGTTGATGATCGGCTCGGTGGCCCCCTATACCGCTTCATAGTTCATAGTGTGCTGCCCCTAGGCCGGCCCCGGACCTAATCCATGAAACCATTTAACCTTTTAAAGGCTCCAGGGTAAGAACGGTGGAATACTTTCCTTGGTTGCACTAATCCGATAGATTCTTGGCATAGACGAGAAACCAAAATAATTCCCCCGCAGTATGCGCAATTCAAAAGCAAAGGTCTTTAAATATATACCTCTCTCCTATCTTGTACGTATTTTGTTCCGGTTGCTTCAACAATATATAGTAATATCTACATAGAAACATTAAAAACTCGTGTAAATTCATCTATTCTCAATCTAACTAGGTATACCCATACCCATGTCTATATGCAAAACCCAGAGACCTAAGCCTTAAGTGTATACACAACACGACCACGCGAGTCTGTACCCTTAAGCACGATCTCATCACCAGTGCTCGAGATAACCCGACGCTGATCCCCGTTGTGCAAAATAATATCCAAATCCTTCCAAGCAGGGGCAAAGCCAGCTTCATCACGCTCAAACTTAACAAGGACCTTCTCTTCGGTAGAGCTGTAGCTAATCGTGTATGTAGCAGTACCAGGTTGGACTGAGATACCATCATCTTCATACCAAGTCGTAGCAAAGACAGTACCGTGCGAAGTTCCCTTGGGCGGGAACACTTCCACGCCACGGTAATCATCGATATCTTGGACAGCCACTGAGGCAGCAGTCTCATCGCCAGGAACACGGGTGTGAACGCTCTTGCCGACTGGAATGGCACCACCGACACGAGCAATGAGAGCAATACTCTTCTGCCATTCTGACGAGATCTCAGTCCACTGCCCAGATGAAAGGTACTGGTACGGCGCGTTCATGTTGACGTAGCCATAGTCGAAGACGCCAGATTTGCGGGGAAGGTAGACGTTGGCCACATCGATGCCTGTTTTGTAGACTCCACCAACGAGCACGGTCTCTCCGAACCAGAACTGATCCTCCCCTGCCTTGATTGTTTTGGTCCACACCTCAGGATCGGACTCGTAGCCCCAGCCGGTCCAGCGCTGCGGCGGTGTTGCGAACCTGTGGCTCTCCAGACCAAGGGAGTAGATGTAGGGCAACATTTCGTAGCGACGCTTGATGGCGGCGCGGACCTGGGGCGTGATCTCGGGGTACATGAAAGGCTCGATGACGTCACCGACGGCGGAGTCCTTGGGGGAAGTCTTGAAGCAGTTGATTGCGAAACGGGGAGCGTGGCAGCCGAGTTGAATCCAGCGGAGGAGGAGCTCTGGGGAGGGTTGGGGACCTTCGAACCCGCCAATATCGTGGCCTTCGCATTGAAGAAGGGACATGCCAGCGTTAAGAGATAGGGCATTGGCACCCTTCATGTTCTCCCAGCTGGTCACGTTGTCACCACTCCAGGATGATGCGGCGTAGCGGAGAGTTCCAGCGGTAGCGCTGCGGGTCAACACGAAAGGACGCAGCTTGGGTTCCATATCTTGCAGAGCATCGTGGGAAGATTTGCCCATCAACTCGGTGTGGAGAGCACGACCCCAGAGACCAACAGAGTTCTTGACGTTCTTCGCTGCGGCGTCGGATACGGTGGGCTCATTCAGAGACATGGTCCAGTCATCGTCGGGTAGGGTGTATTCGTTGTTGTCGTTCCACATACCATCAATGCCAACCTTCTTAAGGCTCTGAACACCGTCGTACCACCACTTGAAGGCCTCCGCTGAGGTGAAGTCAATATGCGCACCGTCGCCGCCAGTAGCACCACCGGCACTCCACAGACGCATGTAACCAGGCTCCTTTTCGGCATCTTTGAAGAACCCACCGGCATCAACGAGCTTCTGAAAGTCGGGGTGAGAAGCCAACAGGAAGGGCTTGATGTTGGTGAGAAGTCGGATACCGTACTGGTGCATCTTGGCAATCCAGTCTTCGGGATCCGGGAAGCGCTCCCGGTTCCATGTAAAGACATTCCGAACCTTGGGCTCGGTCGCAGCAATGGAATATCCCGAGCTCATTTGGTGTGCCGAGCAGGGAATACCATGCTCCTTCAGTTTCTCTGCAAACTCCAGCAAGGCCAAATGGGCCTTTTGCGGCTCATCTAGCATGGTGTACTTGTAGCCACCGGAAATATAACCGTACGCCCAGCGGGGCACTAGAATGGGGAAGCCCACCAACTCGGCATATGAGCGGACAACATCCTTAATGGTTCTGCCAACAATGTAATATTGCTCAATGCCACCATAGTCCTGGCGGTACACCTTGAAGTGTCCCCACAGACCATCAATCTCGGCTCCTACAGACCACAAACCGCGGCCATGGGTTGTCGAGAAGATGGCCACACATCCTTCTGCAGAAGCCTTGATCAGGAGCGGGATGTGTTTGTAAAGGGGATCGGTGTTGTATACATCGTATCCAAAAGAGTCGGTGGCCGAGAGTTGAAATTGACGGCCAGTCAAATCCATGGGAGCTGCCTTCTCGCCCAGTCCAACATGGAGACATTCGCGGTCATGCACAGAGTAGTTGGCGACACCCTCGCCATCGGCGACATAGGACCGCAGCGGCAAATCCTCATGTAAAGGCTTCTCAGAGCCGGCCCATGACAATTTCACCACCGGGGTGTGTTCCCAGTTTACGGAAGCAGTGACACCGGCGACATCGATTGTTTTGGAGGAGGCTCCCTCCTTGGTGAAGACGTTGGCGCCTTGTAGGTTGGTATCGGGCTTGGTCACACTAGGGTAGGGAGGGATAGGGTGCTCTGTGGAGGAGAAAGTAGCTCGGAATAGGTTGGGACGAACAGCCTCGAAGGTGAAATCAAAGACACTCTTGGTCTTTGTACTGCTTCGAACGTGGACGGAAGCTTCTTGGTTGGTAGGCTGAGGTACTTGCGAGTAGCCCTTGGGGCAGCTTTCCTTCTGAGGCATGATGAATGTGAAAGGCGATGCAATTGATTCAGGGGAACTGGAGAGAATACCACGATAGTCCCTGGCATGGTGGCATATTTGAATGATTGCGGAGCTCTCCTTGTTCCCATCTCAACGTGTACCCCGCGCTGTTCCAATGATGCATTGTAGCAGTATAGAATCGGAGATCGGAGATAATCACCGAGAAGCGGAGACGCGAAGGTTGTGCAAGGGCCAGTCCCGACTTAGTTCTGCCGCAACTCTCCGAATTGCCGTGTTTTTCCCCACAAAAAGACATCCCGGGGCCCCAGATGGTCGATCCTACGCTAATTTTTCTCTCGGTTTTGCTCACCGAAACCCGATACTAACGATTCTCGGCATTTCTCATAACTCATCTTCTTCTCATCGCCCCTCTCCCGTTACTTGTTGTAGCGAAATGATTGGATAAAATATCCGACGTCGGCCACGGGTAGCAATGTGCCTTGCCGTTTGTTTCCAGATCAACTGACCGCGTGGACCGTAGAAAGTTTCATCAAAAACTATGTTAATGGCTAAAAAGGATAAATTCCTAGCGTATGTGGTATGACACTTCGGGTTTGATTATCTTGTCCGGGGAATGTATTATACTTTCTTCCCCACGGGGTTTTCTACATATATACCCCCTGCACTGCATATATCCAAGCTTTATTCGTTCTTTGCCTTTCAGCTCAACTCATGTTCATCCTATAGCCACTTGGTCTGTCATTCTTTCTCATTGTGCCTCTGTGAGTGATTAGCAATGTCACAGCCAAAGGGCCAGCAGGAGGAGTTCGTGGAGACAATTGAGCCTGAACTGTCGCCGGCAGTGGCTCCTCCTAATAATATTACACTGAACCAACCCAAAGGAGATCAGGCTTTGCAACTCATCGAAGATGCAGGGCATTCAAACATTCTGACCCCCTGAGAACAACGCCAAAGTTCTTCGAAAGATTGATCTGCGTCTTCTTCCAATTCTCCTCGGAATATATTTCCTCCAGCAACTCGACAAGTCGACCATCTCATACGCCTCGGTTTTTGGAATCGTCGAGAAAGCTCATCTCCATGGCCAACAGTACTCCTGGCTGGGAGGTTCGATATACCTCGCTCAGTTGGTGTTCCAGCCCCTGGTCGCATATCTTTTGGTGAAAGTGCCCCTAGCAAAATTTCTGGCTGTGTCTTGCCTCCTATGGGGTATTGCTTTAACATGCATGACTGCAGCTACAAATTTTGGAGAGCTGCTTGCTTGCCGAATCTTTCTTGGCATCTTTGAGGCTGGAATTGGTTTGTTGTCACCAGGTTATACTTTATTGTCCCTACTAATGATGCGCTTTGTCAGCACCGGCCTTTATTGCAGTTACGCAAATGTGGTACCGCCGTCGGGAGCAGCCTGTGAGGTTGAGTTCTTGGTATGCGATGAATGGAGTCGTAAATATGGTGGGTTTTCTCCCATGTTGCTTTCTTACCACTTAAGTTGACACCGAAGGAAAGTTTGGAAGCTTGATTGCCTTTGGACTGGGTCATATCAGTTCATCTATATTTGCACCCTATCAGGTGAGTTACAGCATGAGATTGCCTGTCGAGGTATGAACACCTAACAGTGACCAGGTAATCTTCCTATTTTTCGGTCTAGTTACTGTTGGGTTCTCAGCCGTTATTTTGTAAGATTCCACTCTGTCCCCTTTGTTTGTATATCCTAACATGGTTTCACGCAGTGTTTTCATGCCTGATTCCCCTGTGTCAGCCAAGTTTCTTGGAGAGGAGGACAAACTGTTATCTATTGAAAGACAGCGAATGAACCAACAGGGTGTCGAGAGCCAAGAGTGGAAATGGGACCACGCAAAAGAAGCCTTGCTGGACCCCAAATCATGGTTTTGGTTTGCGTTAATGTTCTCAATTTCGTGAGTTGGCCCATGGAAAAGGAGTATTGTGGATTGAAATTACATTACTAACTGAACTTTAGTGTTCCAAGTGGCGGCATCACTACTTTCGGGCCTTTGATTATCAAGTCCTTCGGCCTCAGTGAATATGATACCATGCTTTTCAACATTCCCTTCGGTGCAGTCCAGCTTGTCGCCACAATGGGAGGAGCTTGGCTAGCGACCGTCTGGAAAATGAAGGGTCCAGTCTTAGCATTGCTCTGTCTCCCACCCATCGCGGGTTGTGTGATGCTGTTGCAAATTACGCATGACAATGCCCGCAAGGGGCCTCTACTTGCAGGATACTACATTGTACGTATTACATCTAAATGGAAACACGAGCGTGGAAACAATACTAATCAGTCCTATCCAGATCTCTGTGTACCCAGCTATCAGTAAGGGTTTACTTAGTTTCGGAAGTTGAATCTAGCTGACCTCATCTAGCACCATTAATCTACTCCTGGTCTGCAGGAAATACAGCTGGGGAGACAAAAAGAAGGTTACTACCGCCATCCTGTATGTTGGACAATGCGCTGGTAATGTATGTAGCACCTCGAGTCCCTACATCGGGTCTTCTACTGATATTCCTCCTATCCAGGTCCTTGGACCCAACCTTTATACGACAAATGAAGCCCCCCTTTACCGCCGTGGCCTATTTTCCAAGTAAGTTTACAAATGTACAAGTTGTGCGCATGAAATAACTAACGATCGACTAGCCTGGCCATGTTTTGTGTCTTGATAAGTCTAACCGGGTAGGTTTCACAAAATTTAATGTGATCGACATTTTTTGCTAATTGTGACTCATTAGGGCAAACACTGCATACCTATACTTCCTAAACAAGAAACATGAGAAGAGACGCGTGGCTCTTGGAAAGAACGCTAAAATTGTAGACCAATCGATGCGGACCATTCAAGCTGTCTCTGACGACGTCAAAGAAGATTTGCCTCAACCAGCAGCAGATGACAATGCGTGGAAAGATCTGACTGACCTGAAAAATGAGGACTTTGTCTATGTTTTCTAAGATTTGGTCGGTTTAGTGAGTCTGTGTTATAGTCGGCAAGACTAGTGATTTTGTTTTATTTGAATTGGCTTAACTTGGAATATATCGTATTTATTATTAAATAAATTTTCAAAGCAACACTAGCGAAATCCCCTAAGACTTGACTTTTCCTTTATTGCACTAATTCATCGTGGGACCTGGCTGATTGTATAGCCGGCTCGGAGAAAATGCCGAACCCCGCGTTTCTCCAGGTTTTCCCCTTCCCGTCAACCCCGACAGTCATCGGTGCAAGCAGAAAACGTTTGGTTCTACATGGCCGACCAACCTGGGCATAGTCCGCACAGCCCGGTGATAGAGGATACCACCTTGCACTTTATCCCACCAACAACAGGGAAAAAACGAATTCCGGTACGTCGCTATTCAACTGACTGAGACCCTATAACTGCAGACAAACCCTAACAATGTATGGCGTTTTTGATGCATAGAAAGCCTGTGGTGCTTGTCGACAATCGAAGGTCTGTGCTCAAGCCTTTGGAGTCTAAACGTTGCGGGGGCTTTGGCTGATCGTTTCAAGGTGAAATGCGATGGAGAGAGGCCATGCACAAGGTGCGTTACATTCCTTGACAACAGATATACACGAAGCCCAGACACTAATACTAGTAAAACAGGTGTCAAAAATTGGAAAAACAATGTGTCTTCTTCGAAATACCAAAAGACCCCGTCTCAGAGTACGAACGTGCCTTACGCAGTTATCAATCAATACTAACATCCCCTAGAAGGATCGAAGGCATCGAGTCCGAGGTTCAGTGTCTCCAAAAGCAGCTGGATGAAATGCGCGAGTTGCTTCAACAAAACCGCTCGCAGCCCACCCCAAAATCACAACTAACACAATCTCCCACCCACCTCGGTGACCAGCAGCAGCAGCAGGTACACCGCGAGAGCGCTGGTGGCTCCTCGGGCTCTCATTATGCTCATCTACAGGATCATCCTCAAGACGAACTTTTAAACATACCTGTGACGAACTCCGCTGGCTATGCAAATAGTCACCGATACCAAAGGTCTATGCCAGCATCTATACCAACCCTTTCTCCGAATGAGACTTCGGCTCAACCTCTCTACCAATCCAATCAGATAATCACCAGACCTCCCAAGAGAAAGCGATCTGGGTTTGAGATTCGAGATGAGTCCATTGCCGATTTTATTGATAAAGGACTCATCTCGCTTGAATGTGCCGTTTCATACTTCAATACGTATGTATGAACCGAGAATTATGGAGCGATTGGCGGTTATGGCTGACTGAAACGACTGCAGTTTCTTCTCAGGATGTGTATGTATCATCACACCCTACTAGTCCTGTTCTTGAAATACTCATGGTTGGCCAATCGTACAGGACAGATATATCCCGATCTTCGACCCTCAATATGACACTTTCGATTCTATTCGATCTCGAAGTAGTATTCTTCTCAACGCAATATGTACAATTGGATGCATGGTCGAGACAAGTGAATTTCCTTCCCTGGTGTGTAATTTTATGCACAATGGCCTTGTACTAAATGACTTTTTTCAGGATCGGGAGGTTCAATGTCCGACCTTCTCCACGCCGAACTCAAGAAATGGATCAACGTCATAATCCAGAATAAGGAACTGAACTGCCTTGAATCAGTGCAAGCAATGCTTGTAGTTGCGTGTTATTCCTCAGAGCGCTCGCTGATCTTATCCTTTGCCACTCGCATGGCCCTGGATCTGGAATTACATGAGGCCTTTGATGAATTAATCCAGCGACTTGCTCTTCGGGATGAAGATATGGCCTATGCCTTACCCCATCAGATGTTTGAAGAGGAGAGAACTCTTATGTGGAATGCTCGGACTTGGTTCGGGCTTTTGGTTCTCGAGCATATGTAAGATGACCTGAAAATTTCTTGTTGGGATTATTAGGCTAATGGCATTCAATGTAGATTCCGTGTTGATGGAGGAAAGCCACCTGGTATTCGGCTCAAAGGTAATGCTCGACGCTGCCGAGTTTTACTTAGCCAGCCATCGTCAACAATTTTGGATTTACGGTTGTTCTCTCAGGTTGAGGTATGTCAGGTACGTATAATAGACTCGGAGAAGTACTAATCTTTGCTGTTAGTTAAACATCCTCAGAGGTATGGCCTATTTCATGAATCTAGATGTGACTTCTAAGCTGATTTCTATAGCCAATGTCGGCGATGCTCTAGGAGGAAACACATCGCTTGATGGGCAAAGCATCGCGGATTACGTGCATGATATGAAAATTGAGCTAGATTTGTGGTTTGAGTAAATTTCCACCTCTGTCGTATCTTATCAAACTTGCTAACCGTGGGCAGTGACTGGCTGCGAATCATCGGTATTATATAAATTGGCATCATTTGCTAAAACTTACTAACAATTCGCAGAAAGTTGTGTTGCCGCCGCCGAAGAGAAGCCATCTCTATTAGTCGCCCTCCGGGTACAGAAATGCTGGGCAGAAATGATGCTCAACTGTAAAGCCTTACGCTCCATGGGCGTTGAGAACGTAGCGTGTGTGCTACTTCACCTGATATGCTTCCATTTTTGTTAACACAAATATGTAGCGCCATGTCCACCACGGAAAGAACAATACTCCTCACAGCCAAAGCAAGTGCCCGCCGTCATCTCCGACTCATAATTGTCGATCCAGACTTCTATCTCGCCAAACTGAAATACGCAATGGATTTCGTGTGGGCGAAGTGCGCATTCTCCTTCCTATTGCTTCTTAAATTATCCCGCCTCATCCCTGAGCGCGACGAGGAGCATCAAGAACTGCTGGAACAAGGCAATCGACTAGTCGATGAGCTAAGCAAAGCTGGAGCTAGTGGAACTCAGTCTGGAGCTGGGAATATTTACCTCCAGATCTTGAAGGTCAGTATTGAAAAATATGGGCGTGCATTGATGGAAACGCAACAACCCAGCTCGGATGGCCCCACGGCTACGTCACCGTTCTGGGAGTTGTTTGATGCTCAGACGGATCTTCAGTGGTTTGTCCCTGAGCAGTTTGTCTCCGAGTGGGACTTTCCGGGGCTTAATCTGTTTTATTTTCCTACTGCTTGGCAGGATTTCTTTGGAGATTTTTCGTTGGCGATGTAATTGCACAGACTATATCGTAACTTCCCAGTCGTTTAATGTCAGATAGGTTCAAAAATCCCATCAGTCTCCATTATCTTACTCCAGTCAGGTTGAAGCATTCCTATTGCATGAAATAGGTCAAGATAGGGTAACCACATGTATCGTTGATTTGAGCGAGGGTGGGGTCGGGGCTATCTTGGCGAAAGCTAAATTCTTGGCCCTCGAGGCGCTGAATGGAGTGTAGACTAGAACCTGACCTACTCGAACCTGATCTGGTATGGAACCTAGTCTGGTATGGAACCTAGTTTGGTATGGAACCTAGTTTGGTATGGAACCTAGTTTGGCATGGAGCCTGATCTACTAGAACTTGATCAGCAAGCCAAACAAGATTAAAAGACCTACAAAGAGACCACCAAGGAGACACAAGGCCGCATGAGCGGCCGACTATTTTTGTTGATATATGAGGCAGTATCCAACAAGATATTTATGTCCCACGTGGCATGACACACTTATTCGCCCGTACTCGTGACCCCACGACACTGAACTTGCTATACTGATCCGACCGTCTTCTTTAGCGGATCCGAGAACCAGGCTGAGTATAATATCAAGGCATGCGCGAATTGCGCTTCGGGTTTGATGGAGCCATCCTGAGCGAGTTCCAGGTACTCAAGTGCTCCCTAGTTAAGTTAATAAGTAAACAAACAGCCCATTTGTAAGAGGTGAGGCACTTACCGAGAAAGCAAATTCCATTTATCGCCAGGCTGCTCGTTTTCGAAGTCAAAGTCTCAAGGCTGAAAATGGGCTCTACCCCCTTCAGCGCCAGATCGCTTATGGCGATTCCAGGTAGTTTGCGGTCGCGAGCAGCTGCCTTCTTGGCTTGCTCAAGTATTTCATCTCATCGACCTCCACCTTCGAAACGCTGCTGCTTGGTGAAGGCCACTTCAGGGTTGCTTCAGTGGCCCCAAGAGCATGCTTGCGGAACATCTTCTTGGCGGCTATGATAGTGGTGGTATTTTGAGGCTTGTCGGGGATGTCTCGAGGTATTAGGCCGAGGGGTGGGATGGACGACAAGTGACAAGTTGTCAGATTCCCTGGTCTCTGTACCTTAATTTTGACAACAATTCAATCCAACAATCTCAGATTGCACCATGCACTCTGACGTGGACCCAGCAGTCTCTACTGACACAAGTGACGCGGGTGAGAGGTACATATAGGAGAGTGTATGTGAGGTAAGGGCGGGCCCGTTAGGCCCAATTAGGAAATATTTTAAAAAATCAATTACCTTATGTTTACCCAACGTTTCTAGCCCTGATCTTAGGGTAATGTTTTATTACTTTAATAAATGTAGAGTTACTTATTAGCTCAATTTACATATCACGTTTAAAACCGCGAGAAAGCGCGTTATTTAGATAAGTTTTAAATTATAGAGGTTCATTTAGAAGGTGGTAGTACACCAGACTGAAGTAAATATATATCTCAATCTCTACGAGTTAGACTTTCTTTAAAATAGAAATATATACTTATCTACCTATTATAACTCTATATTCCGAATTTGTACTCCATAAAATCAGCATAAGGCTATGATAAAGCGATTATAAGCGCCAAAACCCCATTAATGGGCTATGGATAGCCGATCATAGCCCATAGCCCACTACTGGTTGGGCCTAGGGCCCCAATTTATGGGCGGTGCGGAGGTCTAATGTAAACCAGGAAGTCAACTAACCAAAAAGCCAAAGACTCAAGAAGAACTTAGGTTGGTATAGAGTCTTATATAGCGGACAATAGGGTATAAACAGGATATATTTCATCCAAACAAAAGAAAAGGTCTATGAATGCCCCACAGAAACAGAATATTCCACATCCTTCCGAATAATCATTTTCGTACTTCCATCACTTCCACTGCGCATACTGCCCCTATCCCCTTCGGACCTCTCTTCCCCCGAACGCGATGGTCCCGCAACCTCACACACAACCGTCCCGTTCTCCGTCCCGTCGCCTAGATTCGGCCTCTCCTTAAACAAGCCACTCGCCCGGTGCCCAGGCCTTCCTTTCACGGTTCCCATCTCGTAATCCCGCGACCGCCCTGACGCGTAGGGGTCTGTATCCCCCCGTCTCCTGGACCCATACCCGTACCCGTAGCCGCCACTGCTACTACCGAGGTTGGAGTCACCGGCTGTGCCATAGTGGGTTGTGAGGGCGTTCATAAATGGACGTAGGCAGAAGACTGTGCATGCTACCAGGGCGAAGTTGAGGTGGAGCTGGGTGAAGATTGTATGGCGGATTGCGGTGAAAGTGGGGTTTTTGATGGTTGTGTACTCTTTGAGGGTGGAGAGGTGAAGGCCAGAGAATATTATTAATCTATGGGTTAGAAGTGTGTTAGTTTGGTGCAATGGGGTCTGGGAAGGGCATTCAGGAAGTGGAAGAGGGACGTACGGTAATCTCGCTGCGAAGGATACCATGATCACGATTTTATGTGAAATATGCATCTGTAGACCCCATACCAGGGCAATGCAGAAGGTGAATAATAATATTTCGGTTGAGATATCGAGCGCTGCGATTGCTTGCCAGCGGGGAAACTTGTCACTGTCAGTATATTCCATTCCATATCTGTATATTTTGCTTGCAGTGGATTTCGTGCAGCTGTAGACATACCAGGTTATGACATTGCTCGCCAGGTATCACCCATGGTTTGTTTCCCTCGCAGTTTACTGCAATAACTAGCACTGAGACGATGATCCACGCTGTGCTGAGCCCGAACGGCATCCAGAGGATGCTCTTGTGGCGCTTGCGGGGCGTCAAGCGTAAGTAGATGGCGATGATGCAGCATTTTGAGAGGTAGAGAGTCAAAAGGTAGAGAATGTCGGCACCAAGGAGGGACTGTTATGTCAGTTATCTATATCCAATTGAGTGTGGTGTTGGATAATGAATACATTTTGTATGCGATCAACGGCCTTCTCAGTGAGTAGCGATATATCTGTCCCGAAGCCGATGCTCGAAGCATGGAAGATGATGATTGACTCAACAATGGCAGATATCTATACTGTTAGCACCATTTAAAGAAGAGGTTAATCTCTCTTAGTTACATACCGTCGCGCCCAATAGGATGATATCGTCTGGTCCCCATGGTGGATTGAGAAATAGCCGCACGTACACCCTGATCAGCAAGCAGACCAGGGAGATCACCAGGCAGATTGCAGAGGTGATAATAATTATACCGGCATGGTGCTTGTCGTCTATCGTCTCGAAAGGCGGCGACTGGCCGGGGGGCACTTTGATGGCCATTGCCACACAGAGACCAGATCGTGGTCTGTGGGCTGGAAATCTTAGGGAAGGAATGCTCTAAAATGAAATAGAAAAGAACAAGAATCGACAATCATGACGCTAAATTCATGGATCGTGGCCAGGCAACTCCGGCAACTAAAATGCAGGGATCTAGCATGGATCGGAAATTTAGGGTTAGCAGTTCGGGTAGACTTGAGATACTTGATCTCAGGGAGGCCAGAAATTTCAACCTCATTAAATGAAAACTAGAACCCATATCTCCCCTAATATGCTAATTCTGATAGACCTCTAATATAGAATATATGGCTAGAGAGCTGATATAAAACAGATCCACGCGTGCTTCTTCCCGATTGAGTAAGTCGATTTTTTCGGGTCTTCCGAAGCTGGAACACGATACAACGCAACAGGATTGATTAGGTTTAATTGAGCTATTTATTAGCTGAGTGCGATCCTCCCGGCAGCCAGCCATGTCGACATATGTGGGTATATAGGGCCGCGCGGGGGCCGAAAGCCTTCCGCTTAAGGTAGCTGTACCGAGCTGCCCCTCTGCCACCTTAATATGGAATAAATTAAATAATTCATTGTTAGTAGCTGGCCCTAACCTAACTACAACTAGCATCCAATTAGGATAGTGGCAAGACCAACCGGACCACCTTGCAAATTTTGTCAACACACGATCGGCGGGAGAGAGTTCACTATGTGGGGCCATATGGGAGCTGAAACCTTGGGACACTTCCGCTTAAAGTACCTAATCACCGTCGAGCTTTTGCTCCACCACTTTGATATCTAATAAATTAAATAATTCGACCTTATGCCCACAACCTTATAATTCTGATTTAATGGATATAGAGTGTGCCTAACTCAGCGATGCCAAGTCGGAAAGGCCCGGTGCACGATGTTATATGTATGTAATGCATACTACCGTGTTTCAAATGAATCAAATCAATCCATGAGATATATGCCCTGCCAAGCCCTCTCTTCTCCTTAGCCTTTGCTTGTTAGGTAATATCTAGGCTTTGCGAGATTTTTAACTCCTTAGTTAACTTTGTCGCCTAAATATATCCGACGAAGAAGCTTTCAAGGAACTTTAGAAGCTACGAACGTTCACCGACCCGACACTATGTTGATCGACCAAACACTCTGCATTTTCATAGTCCGAATATGTGATTATTCCTAACTGTAGATATATCAAATTACTTTTCAACCCTGCTTAACGTGGCAATTATACAGGTGGATATAGATTACATCTCTCGCTTCACCAGCGCCACGGGTGGGATGTAATGGTGCCGCCCCCGCAACACATAATACACGACCGCGATGATCAGAATTCCACCGTACATCACTGCGCACCAGTTCATAGTATCTGGCTCCACTGTCGAAGTGAGCGGGAAGAAAGCGAACACAAACACCGGGAACAGGAAGCATAGAGCCCCAATATTGATTGCCATTCCAAAACGGCCAAGCGTCCATTTACGGGGTGGGAGTGGTTGTCCTCTGATACGCTTGAGGAGCACACATCCAATCGTAATGATGTACGAGGACATCATTGCGCCGATGGTCAGGGTCACGATGGCGAGAAGCGCGGTGGTGGAGCCGATGTTGATGAGCGACAAGAGGATCGTCACTACTAGTGAGACCATCACGGCGTTTAACGGAATGTTCCAGCTAGGGTTTACCTGGTCCTGTTAGTGTTGTCAAATCTGAAGGAAGGGGGAGGGACATACATATCCAAAGAATTCGGAGAATGGCAGGCCACGATCACGCGCGAAAGACCACAACTGGCGCGATGCTGTTGCTACTTCTGTTATTGTGCTCGCCGTGAGGGTCAGCACTATAATGGCGGTCATGGTATTCGTTCCTGGCAGACTCTCCGTCGCGTTGTAGAATACCTGCATGAATGGATATCCTGTTGGAGTGGCCAGGATGTCGTCAATGTCGCCTAGCGTGAAGCAGACGGTCACCAGCATCAGGAAACCGGAGGCGGCGTTGACACAAACAGAAGTGATCATCGCCTTTGGCAGGGTCTCAGACGCATCTTTGATCTCCTCCGCTGTAAACTGTTAGCGAAGTTCGTCGGTTTTAGAAAGAGAGAGACGTACACATGTGGACCGCGCAATCATATCCAATCAGCGCCGTGATAGTGGTCGAGAATCCAACAAGTGTGGCAGTCCCGGAGCTGTTCCAGTCACCGCCGTTATTGAATTCGGTAAAAACCTGCTTCGCGCTGCGGCGAGGGCCAAGAACCCACAGCGGAATTATGATAGCGAACAGGCCACACACATGCAGAATCAGAATCAACACTTCCACGAAGGGCAGCCGTTTTGCCAGGAAGGTGTTGAATACGATCGAAAACAAGGTGATGGCGATCACAAGTAGGGTGCCGTGCCAGCGCTGGCCGTCGTAGTCCGGGTTGTTCAGCACCAGCAGTCCTTGAATAATAGTTCCAGCCAGATATGCAATCGACACGATGGCGCATTGCCACCCCATAGCGCACAGCCAGCCTGCATAATTAGCTTAGTCAAGCGTGGGAAGGGGTAGGAGAACTTACCAGTGATGTAGCTGAGGAATTTCTGGCAGCTAGGAGGAGCAAACTCGGATACCCAATGGTATTGTCCGCCGGATGTGGGAGCCCTGGGCAGTCAGAATGGAAACAAGAATTAAATGAGGAATGGGTAAACTCACATAGATGCCATCTCGGCCAGACTCAGGAACACCAGAAGGAAACCAAAAGCGACGATCACGAACCCCCAAATCAGACCAGCAGTTCCTCCATCGGTCAAGCCTTGTGCAAGCAAACTAGACAGTCAGTCATGCGACCAAGGACTAAGAATGAATAGCATACGTCAAAACAACCTCCCACGTGGCGATCAGCGTGCAGCCAAATCCTACGATTGAGATGTATCGGAAGTTACGCTGCAGGGTCAGCACAGATGAACTAGTCACGGTAATGCTTAGGAGACATACTCGCAAGACCTGCTCTCTTCCCAGAGCGCTCATATCAGCCTGGTCGGCGTGAGTGCCACGCCATTTCGCCGCGACGCGGCCTTTAGATGGGGCTTCGTCCGCTAGAGTCATGGTGACTGTTGAAGGGTCCTTATCCCAGGGCATACCGACATGCAGACAGAGAATACAAGGAAGGACCAATACAAAGACAGGGGTAACGGTAGGTTACGTTGGTACTTTGTATAAAAGAAGGGTGTCAATCGTTAGAATATTCTCCGGTGCTCGCGGAATCCACCCGGCGCATCTGGCCGACAGTGGAGCATCTCGCCTCGAACAGAATCTGCGTTCTTGCCGAGGGAAGGTGTGGCACTCTGGAGCAGGACACAAGTATGGTTTCAGCACCCTGCAGGTTAGTCTGAACTAGGGATGCCTCGTGTTGATAGTGGCTCCACTGTTTGTTGGTATTGCCACGTCCGGAGTGGGGTCGAGCATTATGTCGACCTATAGGGTGGTACAATCAAATCCGGTTGATTTGGACCTTTGATCTCCTTAATAATGGATTATGTTCCTTCGAGGGTTGGTCCAATTTGCTCGCCAAAATTAATTAACTTACGTGCATTGCATTGCCTTGGTACGTATGTATAGTGGGACCAAGGCTACCAATTATGTTACCTGAGTGGGGAGGCGGTACTTTTCTGCCATCGGGCGAGGTTAAAATGAACCGAACGCATCCATCTGTCGCCTCTTCGGGGCATACTGGTCAAATGAAAATATACAGAGAAGACTAGCATGTCCCGTGCACTAGGTTGACATGCATGATCAAAGAGAAGCACCAATTTTTTTTTTAAATTCACGCAGCCTCATATAAGATAATAAAGTGTCGGCTTTCTACATATGCATGTTGCATGCTGCATAGGTCACGTGCCGTTGCCGTTCGACTCTGCGCGTTTTCCGCTTTTTTTTCCATTTGATAGAAATTAACGAGTCATAATACATATGCAGCATAAGATTATATTTTACATTTACGACTTTTATTATGAAAACACGAAGAATAGGATATTAGAGCAAGCAAAAAACAAGCCAAACAACATTTGTTTTATTCTGGTCCCGGTCAACCAACCAATCAACTGGTACCAAGCCATTCTACCTAGGTAGTTTTTAGCCCCCCGGGCCTACCGCCCACACGATCTAATTAATATACTGCCGATATTTCTGAACAAAAGTCCGAACAAAAAATTGCCTTTGTCCTAAGGTTTACTCGGCAATTCAAACCAACGGCATTTGACTGTAGGTTACCGCGCGGAACCCGCTCAGCGGATAAACCTCGATAGTCATCAACGAGACACGGACACACATTCCGTCCAGTACATCGGAGCACCTACCTATGCAGGTGCTCGGAATATCAGGTTGATCAACATGCCAAGACTCCAGAATCCCCTTTAACAGAGTTCTCCGTTTGGAGTACCCCCTAGATCGCTTTTTTTAGCTTAATCAATTCAGAAATCAATGATTGGCTTCCTCAATACTAGCCCGTATGGATATCCTGCTATCCAACATGCTTTGGTGGGGGCCAGACTCCTTGCATGAGAACAAAGGATGATTGAGAGACATCGATTGAAATAACCGTCGTCTGATTGGCATTTTGTCCTCTTTTTCTTTACCCTCGCCCATCACCATGATCCCCCTCATTCCTGTCGCCCTCCTCATACTCACCTCCTACCTGATATACCACCATGTAATAAACCCCTACTTCCTCTCTCCACTATCTTCTATCCCCAATGCCCACTTCACCTCCCCACTCTCTAGCCGCTGGATCGACCGCAAGCGCAGCACAGGTACAGAAGTGCTTGCCATCTACGCCTTGCACCAAAAGCACGGCCCTATCGTTCGTCTCGGCCCGAAGGAGCTGAGCGTCAATTCTCTCCATGGGTTGAGAGTAATATATACGGGCGCGTTTGAAAAACACGCCTTCTACAATGATGTCTTTGTCAACTTCAACACCGAAAACTTGGTCGGTATGACGCACAATGCGCCGCACGCGCACCAGAAGCGCATGCTGAGTAAGACCTACTCCAAGTCGTTCCTCCAGGAATCTAGTGATCTCCGCGTCATGTCGAAGGTGATACTGTGGGAGAGGCTGATGCCTATTCTCAAGAAGGCTGGAGAGGGTGGAGAAGTGTTGAATGTGCTGCCGCTGTTTCAAGCCGTTGGAATGGATTTTACCTCGTCTTTCCTGTTTGGGTTGAGAGAAGGAACAAGATATCTGTTTAATATTCCCGAGTGGAAAATATGGTTGGATGAGTATGAGCGGTTCAAGTATTTGAGTCGGGATGACCGGTATATGGGTTTTATTGAGGGGTGGTGCTTGGGGTTCTGCGATCGGTTGGAGGCGTCTAAAGAACAAGACATGCTTAAGGATGAGGACAACCTACCGTTCACGAACCCAGTCGTCTATGACCAGTTGCGCCAGAGTCTCCTCGCTCAGAAAGAGCACGACCCACGTCCGCTAAAGCTAGCAATCGCATCTGAACTGCTTGACCACCTGGTTGCAGGTCACGAAACGTCAGGTATCACCTTCACGTACATGATGTGGGAGCTGTCGCAACATCCAGAACTTCAGGCTGAGCTGCGAAAAGAACTACTCACTTTGTCCCCTTCTCTCCGATACCCAGAGACAGACGGAGAGAATCCCCTTCCCTCTCCTTCTGCCATCGACGCCCTTCCCCTGCTGGACGCGATGGTCCGCGAGACCCTCCGTGTACACTCCCCAGCTCCAGCCCAACTCCCCCGCATCACCCCCAACACAGAAAAAGGAACTACCCTGCACGGGTACGACCACATCCCGGGTGGCGTCAGGGTCAGTTCAACGTCCTACTCCCTCCACCGCATCAGTGATGTGTACCCGCGCCCACTGGAATGGTTGCCACGACGGTGGATTGACCCAGGCGACAAGATCCACGACATGAGGCGGTTGTTCTGGCCGTTCGGGAGTGGTGGACGCATGTGTCTGGGGAGTAATTTCGCACTGCAAGGTATGTCTCCCATGTATGAGATTTAGAGATGAGACTAATTTTGTAGAAATCAAATTGGTCATGGCGGCTGTGTATTCAAATTACACGACGTCGATCGTGGATGATGAAGGCATCGAGCAGGACTACGCCTTTATCTCGCTGCCGCGCGGGAGGAAGCTCATGTTGAAGTTTACCCCCGTCGATGAATGAATGATTCATGATAATATCAAAAGAATGAAATTTGATACTTTGGTCATCTCTTCCCGAGGATCTTGGCCACAATATCGACTTCTTTTTCCACAACAGCCAATCGATTAAGCAGTAGGAATCCATGCTGGCATAGGCCTGGTCGAACCGATCCATGCCATAGCAGTCACCCAGAAATGAGGAACACACTGTGCAATACAATTTAACCATCAGCCCTGTAGATTATGTAAGGAAGTCACCGGCCCCGGGGGCGCATCGGCTCAATAATCCAGCCGACGCATAGCATGATTGGCTAAGCTCTCTTTGTTCTTCGGAGACATCCTCCTTACATTTGTCACGCATCGAAAACGTAGTTCTATATAATTTCCAGCATAAGAGGCCTCATACTTTTAAATTTCAAGCCATTCTACTCCCTTGGTCCTGCGATTGTTGATCTTCGGAATGCAGCCAGAAGAGCAGCCTCGAACGATTGTCGTCCTAGGATCTACAGGTAATCAAGGCAGAGGCGTGGTCGAATATCTTCTTCGTGAGCCTGGTTTGGAAACATGTCTCGTCCGTGCCGTTACACGGGACACCACATCCCCCGCTGCTAGACAATTACTGCAAAACTACCAAACCCCGGATGAGCGTCTTAGTCTCGTCACAGGCGATGTTTATGACCCCGAGAGCCTTAAAAATGCCTTTTCGGGGGCATACGGTGTGTTTGCAGTAACTAGCGAACACGGTCACAAGAGAATTGACACGGAAGAAGATATGAAGCATGAACTTCAAGCTGGTTTGAATATCATCTCTGTTGCGAAGCTCTGCGAGATACAACACTTCGTTTTCAGCAGCTTGCCCAATATGAAACAAGTTACAGGAGGCCGATTTGAGAAATTGTTTCATATGGATCACAAATATATAATTGAACAATGGGCAAAGCGGGACTTAGCTGCTGTCACTTGTCTTCTTCCAGGTTGGTCTAGTCTAAGACAAAGTAACCTTTAACATGCAACTGATACTTATGTGAATTAACTGACAGGGTTCTTTCTTACAAACCTAAACTGGCCCCAGTACTGTCGACACGAAAATGGGGTTGTCCGTTTTTGTCCGCCGATCCCTGGGGACAAGCTTGTTCAATGGTTAGATCCGGTACATGACATGGGTGTTTTTGCAGCAAGTAGGTTGCTCTTTTTTCTAAAACTTACCACTTTTCAATTACCCTCGTCATCGACTTTGTAGGCCGAGTAATGGCACTGATATAGCTTCGAAAATGAGTGACCGAAAGCTGACAACCCTCTAGGGGTTTTTGCCCTCGGAGTTTCGAAAACGAAGAATAAGAACTATGTTGTGGCAGCGCCCAAAATGCGCATGCAAGATTTTGCAACTAGTTTCTCACGTGTCACGGGTCATCAGGCCATCTATTCACCGACAAGTTTGGATGAGTGGGCTGATATGGCATCGGGAGCAGTCGGGCCTGGATTCAAAGAAGACATTCGGCAAATGATGGAATGGGCGTCTATCATGCCTGATGACAAGATTTGCTACGGGGCCCTTGATCCGACGGAGGACCCTACTTGGGAAGATCTTGGTCTTAGTGCCAGTAGCTTTGAAGACTGGCTAAAGCGAACAGGGTGGACTGGGCCTTAAGAGTATTTGTCAGACTTCATTAGCGGTACTACCTAGGTAGGCACTTGTCTGGAACTTTGCTTCAGGTAAGACATGCAGTATGTTTAACACATAGAATATAGAGTATGATGGCTTCAGGTTGACTTGGCCAACATACAAGTGAAATATATCCTCCACCAGTAACATGAATAGTACCCAAAAAATGTTACAATACATTGAAAGATAATGGGCGGGTGTGTCCAATGTGTCAGTGGGGACGCCTGGGAGGTTATGGTATCGGGTGGTTCCGGTTAGGCAGGACCCGCTCCGCCAAGTTTGGACGATCGATCGGACGACGGGATCGATTCGCAGTAGACATTTGTTTTGATAAGTCCATGTCACAATGGGCATGCCCAACATTGGGGGATCTCAAATGTGGACTAATCTAGAGCTGAATCTCAGCCAGCTTGGAGGATGCACATATGTCACTCTGTGGAAAATCGCTGTTGCCAACAGAACCTGTAGGACAGGCTGGATCGCCATTTGAGAGTCTCATGATCTTCTGCGTAAAATACCCCGCATTCGACATAGAAGTGGTTTGTACCAAATGGATCTCTCAAGACGTTGAGGCAAGCTTTGATTCCAAAGACTTTAACAGATTCCGACCCGCCAAAAAAGCCATATCGGATTTTCTTCCGAGGTATTGCAACGCACGGATTAAGAACTCACAATTCTGCCGTAAGCACTCAGTATACACATTTTGATCTCCCGAAGTACCCAAGCTTTCTACCAAGATAGATCCCGCCTTGGCAAAGCAATGGACTAACACAGCCGTCCACGGTTCAACTAGGAAGGCCACTTCGCTGAGGGAATCGTGGAAATGACGATTCATGAACGAGTCCTGCCCTTGTATTGAAGCTCTGGCGAGTCCGCCGACTGCCAACGCATTATTCATTCGAAGCGTGGCAACCAAGTGCGTGGTTTGCCGAGCCTCACACGCAATATCAGAGCCGAGCCTGCACTTGTCAATGCTCTCGAGCACGTCCGCCAAAAGCATCACCGCGAGGTGCCAGTGGCCGTCAAGGATGACGTACCACGACTGTATGCGAGAAGGAAGTAGTTCATGGTTATTGACGCAATCGACCATGAAATTCTGATATGTGGAATCCCAGTGTTGGCAGACTGACAGCGTTTTCTGGATGACCTTTTCAATATGATCAGGGCTTGCGCCTCGGTAAACCAGGGTTTGGAGCTGTGTCACTCGACGATAGAGCAGCACTTTCACGGGAGTCGCCTCCGAAAGGACGGATGCGGCTTCTTCGTATGAGCATGGCCACCTCGGCTGATCTTGGCTCGATCCTTGACGTTCTGTCGCAGAACGAAGGAATAAATCACCCCACACATCCTGTTTCCCACGTGTATTGCTTGCTGTAACATCCCAGTGATCAAGGTCAATTTGATCTCGAGGGTCAGGTATTGACGGCGAGGCCGATGTAATTTGACTATCCTCATCCGATACCACCAATGGACGCTGATACATTGCGGAACTTAGGGTATCAAACATAACGCCTAACCAAAACATGAGATCTAGCGTTGTGCGGTGTTCTTGGCTAGTCAGAAGTGGATCGAGCTGCGGAGGTTCGGAAATTTGTGGCATTTCCAGAACCCTTCCCGTTGTAGAGGAACCCATCCCAAGCTCTCGCACCTTGGGAGCAGCCTCTCGCTGCAGTCGTGTGAACTTGCGCCGAAAATTGAAAATTTGACGGTTGGCCGTTTCGAGAAATATTGGTGCACGATCATTCTCCAAAAGCTCGCCCAAGGTTGTGTCCTGTCCTTTGTCCAGCGGACTTTGTGTCAAAGAGAAAATGATGTTCGCGAAGGCGATGCGAAAAGAGGGAATGTGGCTCGAATGCTCCAAAGCCTGCCGTGCTTCGTTCCACACTTTCTCTCGTATTGATCGCTCATCATGGTCGATTCCCGAGGGAACCGTCGCACCGGTGCCCTTCTGTGCATGTTGAGTCCACTGGGATGCAAAAGACATAATCGCTAGATGAAGTGCCCGAGCCGCCTTCCTATCTTCCTCTGCACTTAAAGCTCTGCCGCGTATTGAGGACGACACCCGATCCAACTGGCACACCCGAATACACATTCTATTTGACCAATTCGGTCCCCATGCTTTCATCTCTCGGTGCGGAACCACCTGGCTAATTGAGTCGCTGTAAGGGCAGTTGTGCTCTGTCAACCAACATGACAAAGCATTCTCCATGCTGTCGTGGTATATGCGGACTAGGTTGCGTGACATTGTTGCACGAGCGTTTTGCTTGGCTGTATTTTCGGAAGCGATGCAGAAGTTCCATTGTAACTCTGGAATTGAACTGCGGTCAGACGCAGGCTCTGATGGTTCTTTGTCCCGATTATGTTTCCAGGCTGGAACCGTTGGTATGAGATGGGAGCTGGGTGCATATTTCTGTTGCGGTGATAAGTCGTAGGTGCTCTCGACAAGGGTTGGTGCTAAATTCAAAATGTCACACTGGCCGTCGGATTCCACGGAAGAATCCGGAGATGCAAGTGGATTTGAGCTAGTAAGTTGCAAATCGTATGGGATATCCATCGTCCAAGGAGATACTTGAGGCTGATTACTACTTGGATTATTGAGCTGGAATGACTCGAGAAAGTGACGTTCCGGGTGCGAAGAGGATGAGGACGAGGCATAATCCGAGGTTTCGGGGGGGCTAAGCAATCCTCCGAGATTAGCAGGATGCGTTTGCACAGAGCGTAGTATATCATCAAGAGCTTCATCGTCAGAGCGTATAATCGTTGCACTTGTGGTGTTGGTCTTGATTCGTTTTCGAGCCCCTCTCGAGTCCACGCGTTTTGAAGAGATCCAATTAAATGTACATTCTTTTTTCCATCGTGTGCAGTTGGAGCAAGAACTGAATGCGCCCTGTTGGCGTTCTTTCTAAGTACCGAAGTCAGCATCGGGCGTTGATAACACGGGAATATATTAACGAACAGGTGCGTCGCAGCCTCTTTTGCCCTTGCGACAAGGATCACAGCTATGAAGCTGACGTCGACGAGAGTCTTCCATAGTAGGCGATCATATGTACTACTGGTGACCAGTTGTACTTGCCAAAATGACGAAAGCTGTGTCACCCCAATATGTAGAAAAGTACGAAAAGAGTCTTCAGGCCAGGATATTTCGAATTTCCCCGGGGACCACGTGAACTCTGCGGAGTGCGGAGTGAGTTTGGGTGGGGGAAAAGTGGAGAAGCTAGCGCATCATCCGTCCACAGGTCGACACGATTCATTTTCGGTCCAGTGGAACTATAATTCAAGTCTACTTAGGTGTTGTATTTGATCAAATGCTAGCTTTAACAGATATTGCAACGTGTTCCATCTTATGAAATGATTATATTGAAGGATGAAGAATTCAATCGCATGTACCTAGGTATATATGAACGGTTAAGGTTACACGACAGGTCAGAACTTGGCGCATTCTTGAGATGACGCAAAATGCTGAAAGCGGATCGGAGGATTGTCATGCCGAGCCCGAACCAATCACACGAAACCCCCAAGTATGTGGTCACGGGCGCGACCGCCGCAGAGTTACCCTACTATCTCACCGCAGATCCATCTACAATATGATCGCCCAATTGAATGTGCTAGGCAGGCAAGGGGTTGCGATCGACATACAGGTGTACCAGTGGAATTTCTCCTTATCTCGATCTAGTAATGAACAAGCTCTCCAACCAATTGATTCGTATGTGTTTCGCTGGTTGGTCTAGTGACTGTCAACGATGGCTTCTTTTACCATAGGCAAAACCCCCGCAAATTGAAATGTACGCTTTTTGTGGACTTGATATGTTTGTAGAGTTGATTTTCCATGGTATGTACAAATTGGAAACGTAAAATAGCAGTTAGAATTCTTTCTGGCGATCTGACGCTCATGACTTGGAAAGGTGGATGCGGACGGTCTTCACCTCAGTGTAGTTCTCTAGGGCGTATGACCCAAGCTCTCGGCCAATTCCCGATTCTTTGAAACCACCGAACGGCATCTGGTAGTGAAGGGTGTTGTAGTTGTTAACCCAGACGGTTCTGTTAGGAAAAATATGTCAGCAAATCCATGCTTCCTGGGGAACCGCTCCTCAATTTAATGGACTCACCCGGCTTTGACGGCGTTAGATACCCTGATGGCTGTGTTGATGTTTGTGGTGTGGACAGCTGCGGCCAATCCTATTTTTTATTAATCGTCAGACCTTGGGAACCAGATTGAATGTGAGACATTGAGCAGTACTTACCGTAGTTTGTGTCATTGGCGACTTGGATAGCCTCCTCCTCACTCTGAACCTTTTGCACTGTGCAGACAGGTCCGAAGATCTCTTCTTTAACAATCGTCATGTTCTCAGTGACATCGGCAAAGATAGTGGGTTGAATGTAGTATCCTTCGGTGCCATGGCGATCGCCACCCGTGACAACTGTGGCACCTGCACCTTTTCCATCCTGAATATAACCCATGATCCGGTCATATTGGATCTGAGACACCTGTGGTCCCTGGAAGGTCTCAGAATGGAATGGGTCTCCGACCTTGTTTTGCTCAGCGCGCTTCTTGAAAAGCTCGAGGAACTTCTCATAAACAGCTTCGTGAACAAGAATGCGAGAGCCTGCGCAGCAACACTGTCCGTGGTTGAAGAAAATGCCCAGATTGACCCATTCGATTGCTTCCTCCAGGTTTGCATCAGGAAGAACGATGTTCGGCGACTTACCACCTAGTTCGAGGGTCACCTTCTTCAAGTTGCTGTCAGCCGCAGATTTCATGATCTGACGTCCGACCAGAGTCGATCCAGTAAAAGCGACCTTGTCGATATCCATGTGAGAGGCAATTGCTGCGCCTGCAGTTCTTCCAAATCCTGAGATAACGTTGACCACTCCGGGAGGGAATCCCGCTTCTTTGATAAGCTTAGCCACGTAGAGGCCAGACAGGGGTGTTTGTTCAGCCGTTTTCATAACAATTGTATTTCCAGTAGCCAGGGCAGGGCCGATCTTCCAAGCAAACATCAAGAGCGGGAAGTTCCAGGGAATAATTTGGCCACACACACCCACCGGTTCGTGGCGTGTGTATGTCAAGCTGTTGGTATCGGTGTCGATCGTTTGGCCGTAAATCTTGTCGGCCCAGCCACCGTAGTAGCGTAGACATCCAGCAGAGGCGGTAACATCGCCTTTAGCCATTGACACACCCTTGCCATTGTCAAGGGCTTCAATAGCGGCCAACGTGTCGATGTCGCGTTCCAAGAAGTCTGCGAGACGAGTAAGGAGGCGACCACGTTCGGACGGAGTGACTTGTTTCCATTCTCCGTTCAATGCAGTGCGAGCAGCTTTCACGGCAATGTTGACATCATCTGCTGTGCCTTCGTGGACGGCTACAATAGGCTTTTCGTTGTGAGGGTTGATTGTCTCAAAGGTTTTGCCGTCCACACCCTTGACAAATTCGTTGTTGATGAATCTGATGACTTATGTTAGATCATTGAATAGATGCAGTGAGCTTTATTGTTGTTCGGGCAAACTTACAGCCCCAAAGGCTGCTCATAGGTGAGCACAGGAGTCTCGACGGTTTGAGAAAGCGCCATGTTTGAAGAAGAGTCTGATGAGAGGTGTTTAATAAATTGTGAGATATGTGAGGAAGCTAGAATATGAGATATCAAAGGCACTCTTATATGATTACTGAGAAGGACCCGGGTGGCATGAATTGTCGGATCCGCACAGGGCGGGGGGTAGCATTGAGATCGATAAACGCCGGCCCGATGTTTCTCGCTGTGTGGGGGTGCGGCTCCGCTCCCGTACCCCAGCTTTCTCTTTAATTCACCTGGGTACACTTCCATTCGTCCGGACCAATTACGTTACCTACCTAGTCAGGGGCTAAAAGCGGGGAATCAATAAACCCCGTATTTTTGGAAGTGTCCTGTGACGGGAAAGAATGTGGGGAACTGGCGACGGAGGAAGTGAGGTCATTTCATATCACCCTCTGGCTCTACGGGGTCAACTATTTCCACAAACCAAAATACATAGAATTTTAACATTTGATTTTAATATACACCAACTATTTATTTTGTATTGGTATCATGCTTCAATATCCAGTAGTATTTCTAATCTAGCTGGCCCGTCCACAGTGAATCGCACCCGGTCTCTGGCTGGTATTTCTTAATCTAACATATGGCAGTTACAACATAGTCTCGTTGGATCCCAAATGCTAGGTCCCTGGCTGGGGCGTCAGAGTGCGGTGACTAACCGATGACAAGCTTGTAGTTCCCGAAGGTGTGTGGAGACCGGGGCGATGCAGAGAAGATCTCTAAAAACTCAAAGTCAACGTCTGTCCTATCTTGAATGGGAGAGATGGCAAAGTAAGAAGATACGGTATTGAATCCTTTCTGGTGCATGAATCATTGGAAGTGAGTCAATTTCGGAATCTCAATTTATATATATCACACAAACTCGCACGCAAGTCTCCACACCTATATACAACATAATCCTAGCGGAAAATCTGTCCCTGTAGCACGAGTCATCAATCGTCAATCAATATTTACTCTGGCAACTCGAGCACATAGCGCCCGGCAATCTTGCCTTGTTCTATTTCAAGTTAGTTTGAGCCTCGTATATATATAAGTGAGAGAGTGTGACATACCCATGAGCTCAAAGATCTTAGGAAGATCCTTCAGAGGTGCCAGCTTGAACGGAGCTTTGATCAGGCCCCGGGCGAAGAAGTCGAGAGCTTCAACGCCATCCTGCTGGTTTCCAACATAGCTTCCCTTGATAGTGATCATACGAACGACGGTATTAATCACAGGGGCCTTGAGGAATGCATCGGGGGGTAGTCCAATCGCAACAATTGTTCCTCGGGAGCGAACGTATTCTGAGGCTTGCTGGAAAGGTTTCTCTGAAACAGCCAACAAGATCACGGCATGAGCGCCAAGACCACCGGGGGTTGCCGCCTTCACGTCGGCAACCAGGTCTTTGGACTTGGTGAAGTCGACATAAGTCTGTTTAGTTGTTTTTGTTAGTAAACCGTTTGGCGGAGAGGAATATGTGGGTATGGAGGATTTGCGATCATACCTCAGTGCCAAGCTGCTCACACATCTCTCTCTTCTCGTCACCTCCATCGATAGCAACTACTCTAAGACCCATGGCCTTTGCGTACTGCTGTGCGAGTGATCCAAGACCACCGCCTGCTCCAACAATAGCAACTGTCTGGCCAGGACGAACACCGGATTCCTTCAATCCTTTGTAAACAGTGATACCGGCGCAGAGTACAGGAGCCGCTGCATCAAGAGGAACACCCTTGGGGATCTTAGAAGCGTGTGTGGCCTTTCCGACGGCATATTGCTGGAAGGTACCATCGACGGTGTATCCAGAAAGTTGCGCGTGAGCGCACAGAGGGGTATCGGATTGTCTGCAGAATTCACACTCCGAGCACGAGCCGTTGAGCCACTTAATTCCAGCGTGGTCACCGATCTCGAAGGTGCTCACGAGATCACCCTTGGCCACGACGACTCCAGCTCCTTCGTGGCCACCGACCAGAGGCATCTTAACTGGGATGGGCCAGTGACCCATCATCGCATGGTAATCGGTGTGGCAAACTCCTGAGTAGCGAATCTTGACGAGAATCTGATCAGGGCCTGGCTTGGGGACGGGAATTTGCTTGAGGACAAGTGGCCCTCCGATCTTCTCCGCCACCTGCGCCCATTGAGTCTCGGGGATGGACATCTTGATGAGATGAAAATGAAGTTTGAGAAGAGTTGGAAGTGTGTAGAATGAAGATGTGCTCTTTGGTGAGTTGATGATTATTTTCTGGGCTTCAATTGCAGCTTTATAGCTGGATGGGTTGCGTGGGGATGTCCGGGGTAACAGAAGGCGAGGTGGGGCCTGTCGCTTCCATTCCCAGATTTCCTTCCATCTAGTGAAATTAGGTCGGCCCACCGGAATGTATCAATGGTTGGGAAGACCCGGAATATGCAGTGGGTACAAAGTAGATTGATTGGGAAGAAATGTGTTTGACCTAGACCTCAAACGTCATGCACCTGGATTTGGAACGCAGCAAGGTTCGAAGGTTAATGCGGGGAAGATTTGCGGGGATCCCGCACGGCCCCCATGCGGAGCCGCACAGGTAGCGAATGTGATTGGATGTAATGTTTTCACCGAAATGCTCTCTTGTCCGGATTCGGGGCGATCTTTGGGCTTGAAAACCCGCTTAAGGGTATTCCGGAGCCTGAACAAATGAGTGGACATGGTTCATGGAGAAATCAACCGTCCAAAAGGGGTGCAAATTACTAGAGCAGCTGGGGGTTGGCGCTTGACCTTCAAGGTAATACAACTGATAAATTGAAATTTTTTGACAAGGCACAAAAGTTAGCCTTAGCGACCGTAGTTTTTCAACAATATTGCTATAATTACATTTTTTTAGTTCAAATTGCTAGTTATACACGAAAAAAAGGAAGATGGCGAGCTGGAAAATTCTGGCAAAGACAAATCCCCGCAAATCGAACACCTAAAAGCCGTTTGTCTCTGCCATATTCAGCAACCGTTGGGTTCTTCTTCAACTTCATGCGGAAAGAATGTGCTTGACCAGCCACTGCTGATAGCAAATCCGGAATATGGTTCATCTCTTGCATGTCTTCGTGACTCGGCCAAGCTTGCTCCCAAGCCGTCCTCCGGAGCTTGGTATGACGTCCCTAGCTCACTATCTTCAGATACGCTGGAAGATCTCTCCGACCACGTCGCAAATGCAGCATCTGAGAAGAAAGTTACGAAATTATCATTTCCTTTAACAATGGCTCCCTCAGAAGGTTGATTTCCGAAGTTGAAACTCGATCTTTCGGTGTAGAAAGAGTTTGAATCAATAACTTCATCGAAGACTTCCTCAAATGAGTCGCTTCTGTAGTATTTTATATGTCGCTCATCGTTGGCTTCTTCTTCAATGATCCCGTTGCTACACTCGACATTAATATAATGATTCAATATCACTGGAGGAGAATTAAACTGACCTATATCTTGTGGTATTGGGAATACCTTGTTGTTGAAACTGGGTTTGCTGCGGAGAAGTAACACCGTGACACAAGCTAGCCTTCCGTGATTTCTTCGTATTTTCATTGAGATATTTTGGCGGTTTCCGGATTCCATCGACACATTGCGATGGCATGTTGCGCTTCACACATTGCCCACAGGGGCGTTCATTTCCTACCACATCTTGTCAGTTTTTTACTCTCGAAATATAATTGCTCGAGACAACAAGGCAGGATCCCCGAGCTTACCGCATGTTTTATGGGCCTTTTGGCAATACAAGCAGGATCTTCTAGCCTTTTTGCGGGGAAGTGGGATCTGAAATTCGTTTCGGGATGCCATGCTCAAACTCGTCATCTTGAATATGCGTAGAGTGGGATTTTCAAGGAAAGCGAGATAGTGTCACGGCTATTGTTACGCGTAACTTGGCACCAGGTTTTATATATACCAAGGTGAATTGTTTTTTATGAAAGTCGCTAACACCAAGGGTCCCCAAAAGCTACATTCACCAAGGTGCTCATCATAAGCAATATGTATATCTAATGTCATGTGGAATTTGAGACGCCATTTTGAGCGGCTCCGCATCATGACCAGCCTAGTTGGAATTTACCATGGATGGGCTTGTTTCTCAGATTAGAATATCTGAGCTGTCTTCCACTTCAAAATACTGCGGGGTAGATCACTAACCTTGGAAAATGCTTTGATTAGCTTCCAAGGATTGATTTTAGCTGTGCGGCTCCGCATGAAATTTCGGATCCGCATGGGCCGAACCATACGCGTCAGCGCTTGGCAAATGGTGATCCTTCGACTCCATCCAAGATCCCTGATCTACATTCCCCACACAAAGGAAAGTCAAATATGAAACTCTTCCGCATCTCTGGGGATCCGAAGCCCCGACACGAGAGTTTCAATGGCAACGTTGCGGGCGGGAAGAAATGCAACCCAGCCAAGGTAACGATCACCATGGTTAGAATCCTGGTGCATACGGGATACAGTTAATCGATATGCCTTATTGGTCAACCCCGGGCCCGCTTGCCAGTGGATCCACTATCTATGCTGACCATTTATTGGGTTCACTTCGCGTTCTGGGCTCATCCGGCCTTGCTGCAAATCAATATATCCCACGTCAACCGTCTGATTGGACGCGGTGGAAAGGAGTATGGTTATGCTTTCCCCCTTTCAACAGTAGAATGAGCCAAGATCAATTACCCCATAGTTCACCCCAGCCGCAAAGTCTGGGGAAGGGTTAAAAGTCCCACAGTCCCCGAATGTTGAAGACCTACAAGCCTCGTTTCTCAGAGCTTCCATTCTTTTTACCTCCTACGGTGTATTCTTCCGCATTTCGGTACTAGACATATATATCCATCTCAGCGAGAACAAGATGGACAGTGACATGAGTCAAAATGAGGAGTCAAAGGGGATGTATCACAACAGGGAGAACACTCACAATGGTCTTACTACAGTGCCAACATCGGTGACACTGTCATCTGAACAATTTGAAAGGCTTTATTTGACTCCCATGACGGTTCGCCAATCACCACTAGCCAGGAAAGTTGGAAATCCGACACCATTGTGAGTTTTCAAACATTATCCTCTTAAGCAAGGCATCGTCGTCTAACTTCATGGTTCAATATCCAGAGCACTGGGAGGTTTCGTTATCACCACCACCCCCCCTTTCATGCTGTCTGATGGCCTGGAGAGGAGCTAGTGGAAATGGAGTCGCTTTCATGTGAGGCATCCAATAAATTGGCCCAGGAAGCTTCATCTAATGAACTAAACAGTGGACCTATCGTCTTCCTTGGTGGTCTGTTGTTGCTCATCACGAGCATTCTTGAGTTCATCATCGGAAATACATTCCCCTGTGTTGTGTTTGGCACTATTGGTATGTTTTCTTACCTCATGTGAGAAGTCTCGATCACTCGTTCGTGTTGCTAATACTTCACGAAGGCGGCTTTTGGTTTGCGTTCGCAGCCACGATGATTCCCGCATTCAATGCAGCCGGTCAGTTTGCCTCAATCAAATATATCGTTCCATCAAAATGGAGCCATCAGTTTGCTGATATTTATTAGCCCCGTATTCCTCCTCGACCACCAACACAGCTGCCGGGCTAGCCAGTGAAAGCTTCATGAATACATACGGTAAGTGCAAGCAAAGCCGCTGGAATTCTATGAAAGGCTCTAACAATACCAGCGTTTCTATTTATAACAATGGCTGTTCTCATGTTAATTTTCATGATTTGTGCAACGCGCATCAATGTGGTATACACACTCATTTTCCTCTGCCTGCTCTTGGTTTTCCTTCTTCTGTCGTCAGCCTATTGGGAACTAGGCCAAGCGAATGCAGCAGTTGGTGATCGATGTGTAAAAGTGAGTATCCATCCGTATCTTTATGATTGAGTTGCCATTTTGACTGGATTCTAACCTGGCCTTTTCTTTTCTAGGGTGCTGGGGCTTCGCTCTTTGTTGCTAGTTTACTCGGCTTCTACCTGTTAATTGTTCAGCTGTTTGAGTCCATAGGATTTCCATGCTCTTTGCCGGTTGGAGACTTGGCGACATTCTGGACTCGCAATCAAAACAAGTGAGCCTCCTCAAAGCTATCCAGTGCTTCCCGATTCTAACATAGTACAAGGGGAGAGCGAAGTGATGTTGAACAGCAAGCCACCCTTCGCTAGGGTTCAATCTTATTTGATGGATCCAGTCTTACTTTTTGGTATAACCGGTCGTCTGGGGTGTGCGGAACGGCTTCTAGCTCGCTGCCGTGGGCGAGATCTGGTACTGGCCGTCCCACTTTCTGTTCATTTCGATGTTATTTTGCTAGTTTTTTTATTGTGGAGCGTAACCGAGGCGATGTTAAAAGCCTAAGGGATACCCATCTTTACTGTAGGGTCCTAGTTCAGCTTTCCAAACCTGCGCACATGAACTTGCGCAGACATGCGACCACTAAAATTAATATATTCTTTCTTAATGGTTGGAATTGTGGATTTGCATAAGAATTCGGAAAGCCAAAGTGCGTAAATGAATTGCCCGAGCTATAAATTGAAAAGGGGGAAACAGCTGTAGACAGAGCGACGCTTCTTCCTATGTGGGGAAATTGGCACGCACGGTCTAACATTCACCTTCCGCCACCTCTGGGAATTGCCTATTCGGGCAGTATGTATAACATCAGGATCGCGAGTTGTTTTAGCCATCGGACGTCCTACAGAGTCAGGTATCTCTGCAAGCAGATGCTTTCTCCAGGCTGTCACCTTGGGGCCAAGACAATAATTAGGTGGCATACAACCTTGAGTTTGCTGACTATCTGCGGGCTACTGCTACAATTTAAGACCACGCAAACGGAGCCTTGCATCCTTCAACATCTCTATGCGCCTCTATATACCCTCCCTCTATTATCTACCCCATTTATTGATCAATTTCGAGCTTGTTTAATCGTGGTCGCCATCATCTGAAGGTAGGCTTACAATGTGACATTTGAATCCGGTGGTTGTAGGTCGATCGACACCTATTGCCACGACTTCACTCTTCTGGGAACCAACTGTACCTCTTCTGCCTAAGAGACGTGGCACACATGTGACCTGTCTGTCCTTCTTACGTCCCAAACACCCTACCCCTCCAACGATCGGCATACCGCTTAGACAACTACATTGGGACTGTTTTATTTCTTCAACATGCACATATTGGATTTTCCAACGGAGATTTTGATATTGATATCCGAATTTCTCGATGACGAGTATTGCATCAACGCACTCGTTCAAACATGTAGACGATTTTACCTACTGCTGAATCATTCCCTATACCAATTTAACGTGTGCTACTCGAACGCCTGTGCTCTGGAGTGGGCCGCGATCAAAGGCTCGGAAGCAACTGCGCGATATGCACTAGAAGCTGGTGCTTCTCCTCACGCCACTCACTACGAAGAGTGGCTTCCGACGGCGCTCGCTTGTATTTATGGACATGAACCTATTGTGCGGCTGTTACTGGAATACGGAGTCGATCCAAATTCAGGTGGAAGCTGGCTTCGATCCACTGCTAGGGATATCAATAGGGATGATGAAGGCTGTCCGTTGATACTGGCGGCTGGTCGTGGCCATGAAGATATCGTTCAGCTCTTGCTTGATTATGGGGTCCCCCCTGGTGTCGAATTTGTACGCATTGATGGTCTTGATATCTCACCACTTTCAGTGGCTGTCAGGTATGGCCATTTATCCCTTGTCAAACTCTTCGTCTCCCTTGGCTCTGATGTCCACATTGGGGCGTGGTTGGGGGCGAATATTCTCACTACCGCGGCCGAGAGGGGCCACTATGAAGTTGTTCGGTTCTTACTGGAGCCGAATCCTGATCTAAAGCAGTCTCCTCAAGAGGCTAGTTATGCCCTACGCTGGGCGGCTAGTGAAGGTTACTTAGAGATAGTCGAGCTTCTCCTAGGAGAGCATGGGATGATTCCAATACCCACCATGATCGCCTGGCCTATAGGTCCATTGGTCGAGGCTACACAACGTGAATACCATGCAGTAGTTGATATGCTTCGGAAGTCTATGGATCTTCTCGCCTTTATCACACATGGTGAGCCTGATGATGATACCCATAGAGAGCTACTATTGGTTAGTGCTGCATGTGGCTGGGATGATATGATTAAAGAGTTACTTGACCGAGGCTGCTCGTCTGATTGTCTTGACTGTACGGCTCAGGAATGGGGCATGGAAAGAAGGCTCCGGGGACCGAGGTATCTTTCTATTGAAGGATACCCATTACCTCTAGCGTTGGCAGCCCATCGAGGCCATTACAGCGCTTTCGAGCTACTACTCGACCATGCAATTAAGTCAGACAAGTCATTGCTACATAGAAGACACCCAATCCCGCTCCTATCAGCAATTGACGGCTCCCAGAAACAGATTGTTAGTATGCTCCTTGACCACGGGGCAGATCCGAATCATCGAATCCCCCCACATAATGAGCCGGTCTTTTTTGAAGCTGTCCAAGTGCCGGATATACTTGAACTATTGCTCGATCATGGAGCAGATCCTGGACTAACTGCAGATTATGGCGCTGAGGGGGTTTACTCCGAATCAGTGTTCATGAGAGCGTTGAGCACTGGAAGTCTGGCCGCAGCGCATATTCTACAGGAGAGGGCTTCATTCATAGAGCCCCGCTTGGGTACGGGCTTTTACCCTACGTCATTCCTTGAGGCGGCCGCCCAGGGTGGAGAATTGATGATAAAATATCTTCTTGACACCGACTATGAGGTTATGCCTGGGAGTCACCAAGTTGGGATGGCCCTATACACTGTACTATCTCGATCAGATACGTCGTCCTTGACTCTTCTGTTCGAAAGAGGACTAATCGGCAACTTGACCACAATCGACAACAAATATTTGATGGCAGTGGTAGATTCACCAAGCGAAGACTGGGATGCTGTGGCTGCTACTCTGGACACACTGATCGCATATGGAATTGATATCGAAGGGGCGTCCTACTCCCCTCTGCATGATGTTGTTCATAGGAAAACGTCCAATCTATCCCAGTTATTATTGGATCGAGGAGCTGACCCTCTCCGAACTCATGCACAGCTTGGCATCACCCCTTTGGGACAGGCAGCGAGGAGGGGGTCGATGAATTTGGTGCGAATGATGCTGAAAGCTCTAGAGCAGCGGATTGTTCCACTTGGGGAATTGAAAGAAAAGTTGGTTGGGGCAGAGAAGCAGGCAGAGTTGGGCCAACAAGAACGTTTGGCAGAAGACGATGTGCGACCACTTTTACGTCGTTTCTACTGGCGAAAGAAGTTCCAAGACCAGGCTGAGGAGACTGAAAAATAGATGTTCCAAGATGCAAAAATACCAATCTCATTATTAAATGAATATTCTATTTGGCCGTAGATGAGAATAAGAAGGCTAGTACGTACAAACATATGAATGTGCTTTTGCTTGTTCTTTTCAGATGGTCTTCCCAAACATAATTCAAGGTGATACAAAAGCATGAACCGTCTCAAAGCCCTTTCTATGTATAATATCAGGGATTTGCCCTAGTCAATCCTTCATCTGCCTAAAGCAGAAACTCCCAAAAGGCAACCGCATGACCTTCAGTCACGGGTCGCAGCATCCCCAGGAACAGCACCTATAATATTTCAACTGCAGGCTCCCCACTCTTCTCTTATCTTTCCTCCATCGACCATTGTCATCTGCAAATCCATATTCATGAACTTCCATCTACTTTTTACTTCGTGGCCGGAGTGGCCGGGGGATTCCGTCTGATGACCGCGGGGCATGCTCACTGGGTATGTTTTCAAGATCGCCACGGATGACCTTAAGGCCCGACCATTGCCTTCAGTGGAACTACTATAGCCGAAGTGGAACTACTATAGCCGAAGTGGAACTACTATAGCCGAAGTGGAACCTATCACGTGTTGCTGCAATTCAGGGAGGTGGTGAGGAGCGATGATGACCCCGATGGGGATTCGATTTCTGCTCGTACAGGTCCCCGAACACCAAGCAGGGGACGAAACATGTCTCGTGGAAATATCCCACCATTACAATCGAATACTCCCTCACCGCCTTTATCAACAATCAAGATTCTGGCAGTGGAGGGCGAGATATCAAGTCACGTCACTTCGTTCGGGAATAGGATGCCTTTTTTTTCTCAGCATTGCATTTCAATAATGGTGTCACTCTAATTATGGACTTGATCTGGTAACGGGCTTTGGCTCGGCATTTCTGATCTGGCTTTCACTGGAATGAGTTTGACTTTATTTGTATGGTTGGTGAATGAGAAAAGCCTTGATTTGTATGACAGTAGCGAATCCTTACCAACTTAGTGCATGTTTTTTGTTTCTTTCTTAACACCCATTATGTATAGAGCACGTCATTTTGGGGCCGTAAAACTTTCTTACGAGTACTCCGTGCTCCTAAAATAAATTCATGTTAGAGATCTACGGAGTACGAGGATATTATGAAATACACGGACCTGCACTTAAGATGGGCGCTTGGCACAGTTAATGGCCCTTACGCTAACGACTAACCGAATGAATATCGTTACTGCCAAAAGAAATGATGCGCGCCATGTGCTAACTTGTACTAATATTATCTCTCAGTCGCAGACAGCTCCATACCCCAGCCTAATGGTCTTTTGTATATCCACACCCCCACCCGGGGCCCTTAAATCTGGTGAATTCCCCCGGTCAGTACTTGCCTTCGAGGTATTTCGCATTTTGCTAGATATCCGGCCCCCAGCTCCTTTTGCATATTATCAAACTTCCAATGAAATAGATTGAGCCTCGAAATGGGAAAGTCTTGGGTCCGTCTGTTGTGGGGCTACCCTCGATCCTCACTTTCTCGGCATCGCTATTATGGAGTCACGGATAACCATCAAAACAGCCAGACCGAGCTCAGCGAAATTCGTGCTCAACCATCCGTATTTCCAGTGGCTTCTTTGTCCTCCTTATCGACAATTCCACAGGAAAGCCATCCATCGATCGCGAAAACCGCCCCGGTTGCTGAGAACGATACCCTGCTAGAACTACCCGTGGGCGATGAAGAAACGATAACAAGAACGAGAGCGGGGATCGTTGACCCGACATCACACACGCGGAATACAGCATGGATTGATGGTGTCTACCTCTGCGCCAGAGCTGGGGTCTTCATACTCCTCATGAACCTAGTCCTTGTCTCAATTGCGGCTGGACTGGCTAGTAAATACCCAGAAAATGGTAGCTATTCGACCACCGCAGTGATTTATCAAGGGAGTTGCGGTTTGACAAAACGATGGAACACTGCTCTGCATTTGATTATCAACGTGCTGAGCACGTGCATCCTTGCTGCAAGCAACTACTGCATGCAGACGCTTGTCGCCCCGGCCCGGGAGGAGGTCGACGCCCATCACGCTCAAAAGAAGTCGCTTTATATTGGGAGTGCGAGTGTCAAGAACCTTTTGGTGATCGGTTGCGATCGACTAGCCTTGTGGGTAGTATTGATGCTTACAGCAACTCCGTTTCATTTAATGTACGTACGGAACAACAGACTCATGAATCAGCCAGCTCGCTGCTGAATATTGAAAACTAATACCACTTATAGGTACAACTCGATGATATTTGAGTCTTTATCGATAAATCAATTTGACGTAGTGGTTGGACCTTATGATTTGGATTCATCAAATATCTGGAACCTTACGACCCCGGCATTGGATAAATGCTTCTCGAGTCCTCAATCTATACAGCTGGGCTGGCATGAGTTCGCCTCCCAGATCGCCCACAGGAATTATGAGCGAATCTCTACTGAGCAATGTACCGAGACTTCCCAGATATCCCACCCTGGAATTAAGGGGATCGTCGCGCTTGCAGACAACTTGACCGTCAGCGACGGGGGAGACAACTCCATTCTTCTGACAGGAATCACCAGTTCGATCAGTGAACGCAGGCCCTACGTGTCAGATGGCATTCCCCTGCCAGCTGCGCCGTCCGCCAATGAAACTGCTGGCCTGGATTCTAATATCACCTGTCAGTCTGATGATACTTTCTTGCAGAGTCTGTTCTCTTATGAACCAGACAAAATGGCAAGAATTGGCGCAAAGCGGTATAATATTACAGGATGCCTCGCGATCAAGGCCCCGGAGCACTGCCAATTGCTCTATAGCCCGCCGATCTGCATCATTATCATGTTGACTGGTTGTGCAAAAGTAGCGGCAATGTTTATAGCGGCTAGAATTGGTCGTGGTCGTTCGCCACCGCTTTTGACCATTGGCGATGCAGTAGCATCATTCTTAACTAATCCCGATCCTACCACGAAGGGCTTGTGCTGGCTCACAGCTACCGATACCCATAAGGATCAGTGGACATGTGGTAGCAGAACAGGTGGTTTTACGGCAATCCCGCAAAATAGCCAAGACGAGTCTATCACCTACAAACGCCTCTCAAAGCGGAAGTTCTGGATGAGAGCAGCAAGCGGCTGGCGTTGGACAGCAACTCTTTTCATGTAGGCTTTTGACAGCATACCTGACCAGCCTAATCACCACTTGCGCGATGCTTACCAATCTAATTTAGGTGCTTTTCGTCCATAATAACAGGAATAGTCCTCTTCAGGATGGCTATTTCTTATATGCCTCCCGAACTCTCCATAATTTCGGCACACGACATGAAACAATGGTTCAGCTCTGATGTCGATATTAGCAATTACAGTATCATCGGAGGAAGAATCGAGTGGAGTATGCTGAGCGCGGTAGTGTTTGCCAACATCCCACAACTGATCATCACCGTCAGCTATTACTGCTACAATGCCGTGTTGACAAGCATTCTGGCCGCTGCTGAATACAGCTCGTACGGAGCCAAACGTAAGGCGCTTCGCGTCACTTGGCCCATCAAGGACAGTCAGCAGCGATCGACTTACTGGTTGAGTGTCCCGTATCGATATGTCATCCCAATTTTGGTGCTTTATATGGTTCTCCACTGGCTCGTGTCGCAGAGCATCTTTTATCTTATGTTGGTCACATACCTGCCGGACGACCAACCAAATCCTGCAAATACGATGAGCTCTGTTGGCTTCTCATCTACACCAATCTTTCTCTCCATTCTGGTTGGAAGCATCATGATGCTTATATTGTTCACGCTAGCGTTCCGGAAATTCAAATCCAGGATGCCGGTGGCGGCATCTTCTAGTGCTGCTATTAGTGCTGCGTGTCATCCGTCCAAGGATGAGGACTTGGACACGGCGGCGTTGGGTTTGGTAAAGTGGGGGAGACGATATCACCACCAGCTTGGGTGATGGAAAGATTTCACGGCATTGACGACCAGCATGGACACTGTGGCTTCACATCGTTGGATACATTGAGCCCTAGTTTGACAAAATTGTATGCATAAACAGAAATTTAAATGCTAGATAATGGGCAGTCTTTATAACGTATAGTCATTTTTTCTTTTTTCTGAGACACAACTAGATACGTACGAACAGGGGGTGAAAAACATGGCTTCCCGTCTGTTCAGCCGTGCTTAAGAGCCGAATTAGAGTCAGCGACCATAAGGGACAACGAGAGACTCCGGAAGCATCATAGATCACCACCTCACCCTTGCGTACACGCATTTTTGGCCATATCACACAATGTCCCTGACACCATATCCATATCTTCTGCACAGAGAATCCAGTGAAGGGCGGCCTCATACCGAACATTTTTCCTTCCCCTACTTTCTATGGCAGATGTGAAGGAAACCTAGAAAGTCAATTAGCATTGGGACGATTCCGAGAATTATACCAGTAAATTACAGTATGTTACAGTATGTTACGATAAGTCATTGGAAAATAAGCTTTGAGACATTTGTAATTTAGATAAATTGCCATTTACATACAATATAATACGTAGGTACTACAATTTTGGCTAGAAGTTTAGTTTCATGGATAGCTTCAGTCACCAGAGCTGACAGATGGAATAATGGCATCTTCGCTAAGAGTTCTTTGTCGCTCTACTCTGTACGGAGGAATTGCTTGAGGATTCGGGCTAAGCGCCTGTGGCGCGCCCGAATGTATCGATTTTGGCATTAGCTTGTTCAGCCGCAAACCCCACCGAGGAATATTTGATTCGATCAATCCCCCTGATAGTTTTAATTCTGATGTTCTCGGCCCCCTGTGAAATTTATACGCCTGGGGAAAGACCCTGATTTCAGTGGATCCTATTGTGGGTTGTGGGTCACAGTCAAACACTCAAACACTATGCGGTGGCTACCAGGTAATTAATTATGCCTGGACAACACATACTATGTAGTGAACTTCGGGAGTATTTCACTAACAGTCCTCCTAGTTCTCTTGAGTGTCATAAGTTTGTTCCTCCATGGATGTAACGCCAGGCAATTCGAGCACTGGTATCCGTTCTACGAATGGACCCTGACACAAGAGGAAGGGGCCCCCACCTGCCTCAAAGATTATGCGGACGCCGTCGAGAGATTGGGAGCAGAGCAGTCAATGACATGCAAAAACTTGGTTAGCTGCATTTACAACAACACCAAAGAAATCGACAAGGCGGATATGTCATCTGCGCTGGTTCTACTCGGTCTTGCACCAACGGTCCTGGGACAGATGGGCCCGACCCTGAACCAGAAAGCTCAACTGTGCGTTCAGAGCCCCATCCTTGGGCTTTTGTGTGTCCTAGGCGCGCCTTCAATCGCTTTCGGGATGCCGTGGGCAAGGACGACTCCTATCACGCCTACTGACGCAAACGCCTTTGCTTCTGGGGAGATGTGGTTTTTTAATTGGATTATTTGGGCCTTTAATCGCATTTTTTGCGGCCGTATGGAAAAGCCTGCGCAACAAACGAAGCCGATGACACAGTCAATATGGATTATTTTAGCAAAATATTCGCTCGCGGTCGGTGCGGCGGTCAACCTTTTTCTCAACGTTTGGACTCTAAGCCGTCAAACTGTTGTCAGCTGGAAATGCACCTCTGTATATCTTGAGTTTTTGTGGGTTAGCCTCACATTGGTTCCGATTTTCTTGGCGGTAGTGGCTACGTCGGTCGAGCGAACTGAGAGTACTCGGAGCGGGTCGAAAGGCCGGCCTTTATGGTCCAGAATCTTCTATTCTCTATCAAATATCGCTGGCGCTGTCCATGTTCTTTTCGGGACGGTGATGTTTTCTTCGGTCCTTTTCATTGGAACATTAGATGCATTGGGAGTCGTCGGACGGTTAACAGCGTCCACGCTTGTCTGTCAATTTATCACAGCGTTGGAGTTGGAGCGTACGGAGGATACAGAACAGGAGTTAAAGAATGGGCAGGGTACAGAGCATGAGTTACAGGATGTAGGGAATTTGGGCGCCGGATCTAACTTGAGCAAGTGAAAGAGAGATACAGAGAGCGAAGACCCCATTATTGTGGACGGAATGCCGTGCTGGAGCTTTTGAGGGACCGAGGACCTGAGAGGACTGCGAGCGCGAGTGAAATGAGAGATGGTGCAACAGCGAATCAAACAAAATGTTTCCCAGTAACTTCAAACTGGAGAATTTTTCTCGTTCTCGGCAGCCTCAACTTGCCCCTTGCATGCATCTCTGGGCCTAGGCGGGTTTCTGTAAACCTGCGTGATAGAGAAAAGACAAATAATACCAGCATGCTTGCAATACTCCGCACCATCGGGCATTGCTCCTTGATTTTCATGTAATCATCAATCTTATTAGCGCCGAATAGGGCTACCCATAGCTCTTTCGGCGGCTTGTCTATAAACACTGGCACTGTCGGGCGGTAGCGGAGGCTAGTTGGCGTGTTCAATTGAGATAAATCTGTAAATTTCCAAACGGAAGGATATAACAGAGATGAAAATCAGCAACAGAAAGAAGATTCCAAGGTCACAGGACGGAAATTATAAAATCGACCCGAACGCAGCTCTGGGGGGGCGCCTTTATAGCTTCTGCACTGAGTCCACTGACAGTCGAACATCATTTTGGGCTATTCCCCTAACCATAGTACGATCCAGCTCCACCCGTCACAACAGGGGTCGGATACTAGCCCCGGACTGAGAATGGGGGTGCACTTATCCACTAACTTGTCAGTGTCACTGATCATTGAGTGTCAAAACAAGCGGCTTGCCCCATTTTCAGGGGCTCTGGGGCGCCCAGGGCTGGAGTTAAGGACGATTTGGCTTTTCAGCCTGCAAATCACATGGAAATTGTACTCCGATAATGCAGAACCTCAAAACGGAATCTCACGGTTATGTGATTTTGTGATTTTGTGATACGAGATACGGACTGTGCCATGGTTCTGGTGAGGTTCTGTTGTGGTTCGAATCTTGTACTATAACAGATAGGGAAGGCGGTGTATCTGGTTCTAAATCCCACCGTTCACCACTGGAGCCACCAACTGATGAATATCCTTCCTCTTGGCTATGGTCTATCCCTCGTCGATTTCTTCATACTAGAATGACATTCGCCTGGATTGGACAAATTTTTGTACAATCTTTTCAACGTAGCAGACAAAATATTTGAGTCACTATGTATACATGGGGTACATCGTGTTGCATATCCACATGCGGGCCACCATTCCCCACATTCCGCATGATTCTTCATGACTCAACCAACCCCGCCCTCCATATATAGCTGATGCTGCGGTGATCAATTAACCGCTCAGAACAGTGCGATCCATTCGACAAAATATAGCGAACTCCACAAACACCTCCGACTCCAATTTCTCTAAAATTCTACGCACCGTGACACCCACAACCTCAACCACAACCATGTCACCCACTACGACCCCAATGACGTTCTACGACATCGCCCTGGCACCCCCAGTTACAGAAAATGCTTGCTCCCCAAATCCCTGGAAAAGCCGGTTCGCCCTGAACTTCAAAAACATCCCCTACAAAACAACATGGGTACCCCTACTTGATATCGGCTCCGTCCGCGCCCCTCTCAACATCCCCGCCTCGCGCAAATTCGCCGACGGATCCCCCTACCACACCCTCCCCATTCTCTCCGACCCTGCAACCGGACGCATAGTGGGCGACTCCTTTGAAATCGCCACCTACCTGCAGGAACAATATCCGTCATCGGGGGCGGGAGACTTGTTCCCAGCACAGGAGCTGGACTTTGTATTTGCGCACGACATGGGAAATTACCCGCCGATTGCAGAGGCTCAGGGAGTGGATGGAGCTGCTGCTGCGTATGCAAAGTTTAATACGAATGTCGATGCTGTGTTCAGTGCGAATGCGCGTGTGATAGCGCAAGGTTTCCCTTTTGATCCTGCTGTTGCCGAAGAGTGTAAGGCAATGTTCTCGAAGAGAGTGGGAGTGCCGTGGGAGGCTATGGCGGTTAGTGCGGAGGAGAGGGGGAAGTTATGGAAGGACTTTGAGGAGGCCCTAGGTGGACTTGCGAAGTTGTATACGACCGATCTGAGTGGGCCGTTTTTGTTGGGTAGTAGGGCAAGTTATGCGGATTTTATTGTGGGGGGGTGGTTGCGTATGAGTCGAGGCATGTTGTTGGGAGAGGAGTGGGAAGCACTGAAGGGGTGGCATGGTGGTGTGTTTGGAAGATTAGATGATGCGCTCGAGGCTTTTTCACAGATGGACTAGGTAGTGGGTGATGCTATGACATTATTGCTGTAGTGGAGTACTACATGGGGTAGAAGTAGAAGACGAAGAAGAAGTTGTTATTCTAAGAACTAAGAAATGATGGTTTATATACCCTATTCAATAAACACCATCCGAAGGTTGCTCAGTCTGTCAAACATATGTGGCTTCATGCCTACATGTACAACGATTATATTTGCAGATGCAAAAAGAAAGAAACAGGTTATTCCTCAGCACCGATATCACGGCTACGTATTTGGCCCGATGTAGTGTCATGCACTGTAGTACAAATTACTAAAGCTACTGCATCGAATTCTGCATATAGTGTTAGTTAATATCAAATCTATACCTCGCTCCTGTTTACTAGTATATATGATGTCGAAGATTCAAGTTAATTCGTCATTGTTAACATGCTTTGGATTTTTCATGGAATTTGTTCATCCCTAAACCCCAATTGATTTCATGCATGTGTTGCGCCATGTCAATTCTTGCATACCAAGAATTCAGAACTCCTACAGAATTGAGACTAGCGGCGTTGATGCAGTTTGACGCCTTTATCAACTATTCCACCATACAAATCTGAGGATACTGAAATCATGACTCGACATTGCAATATGGACTGCTCACCATGCATCATCACCTTCATTAATCCATGTACGAATTATGATAACAGGAAAGAAGACAGCGCTTAGATATGACACCGCTCATTACCTATGATTCTTTCTGATTCTCACTACAAAAAGCAAGTTTCATGGGAATGAATAGATGATTCTCCAGGAGCAAGGAAAAGACACGAATAAGGGCTCATTTCCATATATGAAGATACCAGACATTCTTTCGGTTTATTTTACACCTTTGTGAAAGATTCCCATTCCGTTATTACATTTTACTATATTATTCAACACATGAAATATCATGGCAATATAATGTGGTAGTGGTCGTTTGCATCATACGTAACAATTAAGATCTTGGATATATATATCTAGGTACATACTAGGCAAATAGCCGAGGTAGGTGCTCTAGAGCGGCTTTAATCTATAAATTGAGTCTCATACGGGCTCCATGTGACATTCGAGCGGTTCCAGCGCCGAGAAACCAACACCAGTGTTGCTTGACAAGACCTCCAAGTTTTTTTTCCCATCTAGCTACCAAGCCTCCATTTTATTTTACCATGGATCGCAGAATATCGCCATCGGACTTGACCGACTCAAACCATCTCGTTGTGGATACCATGATCAATACCTTTCGTGTGGATGATAACACGGTAGTCGAATTATGCGACCCAAACCGCCTCGCTGAGGCAGAACCTTTTGAGGTTCATCCGCTCTAAAACTTCCCTTCCCGTTCCAGAGCCCTGGAGTTCCACAAGGCTTATGTTGATGAAACCATCGACGGTGCAGTCATACAAAAGATACCTAATTTCTAGATATTGCATCATGTGAAAATATTGCACCCTCTGGGGGCACCGATACCCGGTAGGTGCATTGGGCGCTTGGCACGGCTATAGTCGCGAATAGATCATTGATGGTCCCAGTGTATTTAATTCTACTAACATCATGTAACATCCCTTGAAGCTAATCATAAGGGGTTGCAATTATAGAGCCTTTCGTGAAGAAGGAATATGTTTCTTAGCTTAGCTGAAACGCTCAAAGTATGGAGGCTCGTGAAATTTCACAATTCAAATTCTATCGCAGATAATTTGCCCTCCATGAAGCAAACTCTCTCCGACAAACATCAATATTTGCTAGTGCCTAATGTTGCGCCCGGGTGAAAGAGCAATGATAGTGCATGGATGTGATGTGGCAGAGCTCTCATTCGATCGATAATAGGTCAATGCGTGTTCATCTGATAGGGGGCCAACACTGGAGAAACATATAGTTTTCAACTATCGATGACTATTAGGCAACCACTTTGTTGGAGGATTCATATTCTACTTGAAAAAGGTATCACAAGGTGGTTTAAATTTATTATGGACTGCTTTACAGAGAAAGAAGAAAGAGAGAAGCTCTCGGGATCTAACTAAATATGGAGTACTCCGCATTATTTTAAAGAAACTCAGCCAACTAACCTAACCAACCTACCTGCGGCTCATTTGCATTGCTAAGAAGCAAACTAGGGTGCACTTACGCAGTGAGAAAAATGCGCCTGGTAGCCAACACAACACTACGCCTTGGGAAATGTAATTTCTCTACCACCACAGAGTAGAATGACTGTAGTTTGTATTCTCAAATTATCTGTATCAATGGCGGGAAAGCAAATTTTTCACCAGCACCTGATAGAAACTCGGACAAAAATCTGGGATAGATACTATATACAACTAGCGTCACTCCCACCTGGAATAGGAAATAGTACCTATGCAGGTAGCCCTCCAGCTGTCGGTACCAAGTCGCAAGCTAGTTCTTTGTAGAAACGTGTAATATGCAGATTGGCCAGCCTCAACAGCCTGCCAGCAAAACATGCATATGAACAGGTCACTGGTATTCCGAAATGAGCAACATACATACCTAATAGCTGCAATGTGAACTTTGCTATGATATGCTTGGGGCTCTTATGTTTGTCTGCTTTGTAAGGCTATCACCTGTTATCAAGTCAGAAATTCGATCTCATTGCATGAAAAGACATAAAAGGAACAGGATATCACCCTCTTTTGCTCTAAGTGCTTTCACTTTCAGTTTCACCTTCAATACTCTTGCTATATTTACCCCGTCCTTCAACCACAGCCAATCCGGTGATTAGATATGGCTAGAGAGTTTGTCGTTCAAGCTCCACTCCCAGCGGCTGCTGCATGGATAGGCGGTAGCGGAAGGTCTTACACTGACCTCGTGATTGAGGTATGATTATAACCAAATATGAGGCATTTATCTTGGAGAGAGTCCATAAATAGCTGACACTCCGTAATCAGTTGAATCAGAATCAGTGGGCTTTACAGGGGAACCCTTGTGGCATTACCTGCACCCTCGCAAACAACGTTAGGGTCCAGATGCGCTATGACTATGATGCAACAAATGGCTTTCATGTGGATGCTTATAAGAATGGAGAACACCACGTCTATGTTATGGGAAGTCCTTCAGGTGCGAAAACTGGACCGGGGAATGTGGGAATAGGACAGTATACTACATCTTTGGGCTTTATGAACAATCGGTACAGAACCCAAGATCAGCAGGGTATGGTTGCTACTTTTCTGTCGGGGGTAATTTAGGTATTTTCAAGGAGGTTCAGCTAAGAATTGATGATCCTTTAATCCTCCTAGCTCCCAATATGTTATTTCACAAAGCAAAGTCTTCCATTTTGTAATACAAACAGCTGCTCTAGAAAGGGAGAGGAGGTTAACCGAGGGTTTTTGAAATCAGGTATGCCAATTCTATGAGAGGAAGGACTACTTGAGTAAACAGAAAAACCTCTAGGAACTGTATTGAATTGCGCAACTAGCTAGAAAAGAAGGAGGTGAGGGAGCCCTGGAGGCAACCTTGGAACCTTGGAAGATACCTAGGTAGGTGGGGGAGCACCCGCCCATTCCGAATGTTTGTTTCAGCCGCACGCTTTGACCTCCAACTATTGGCTGCCTCACAGAGCTTTTATACCTGTAGCTCTTTATTATGGGGCATGGCACTAAAGTATTCTCTCTGCCAAGTCCACGCTAAACTTTGCTAGCGTAGTGTATTGTATATACCTAGGTACTATCTACACCAATCTGCAAGTGATTTAGTAGCAAAAACACAGTATGCTGATGTAATAAAACGCCAACTTTACTAGTGTAAAGACATATGCAGGCTCCACGTTGACAGAATTCTGACTAGGCAGGGTACTAAATCATAGATATCGATAAACTAAAGTATTAAATGATCTTTATAATTAAAGCGCCTAGCCGGACCTAGCTATAAATCTAACCTCTAAGATAGGGAGATAGCTTATTTCCCTTCATGCTATTACAATTAATAGGACGTAGGGGTATCCTTAGAGCTATGCTTGATTTTAAAGACTGTAGGTTGAATAAAACGCGGTTCAATTTGACATTATGTGGGCCAGGCCGCACGGAGACTTTTGCGGTGCGACTGTACTTTGCCAGTTCACTCTAGTTATTTGTGACTCACCATTTCACTAATGGTCTTGAAGGTTGCTATGTTTTACGACTACCTGGGTGACTCATGGGATTTAGGAAAACAAAAGTACCTATATATGTAAATGTATTCCTTGGGTGACATGTATATTTGGTAACTCATTGATCAGCCCGCTAGCTAGCTAAGCTTAGGCCCCGTTCGTCATATATAAACACTCGGTTCCTATGCCTTCTCCTCCCCTTGATTTCCTATTAAACCTTCAACCTCTCAACTAGCGGCCACATTTCGTATTGGCCATGGAACGAGTAAGGAAGACCTTTTTCGACCCGCTCGCAACATCGAAAGTTAGGATTCGAGAGATCCTAGATGAACTTCCAGTCGGCTCAGCACACCCTTTCAGCCCTGAGCGCCTCCTTCTTTGTCGGACAGAGGCCGGCGTTGATGAAATCGATATCTCCTCCTATCCAGATGACTTTTTCTTCAATGCTGTGGACATAGGCGAGATGGGCGAGATCCTTCTGAGGCGTATGGCTGCCTTCCAGTCTCACCTAGGTATGTCTTCCGTTCTACTTTGCCAAAGAGTAAATGCTAATCATTTGTAGGAATATTTGAAAACTTCCAAATCCTGCAAGCGCCAGCCTCAACGTTCAAAGTCCCGATAGTGTCTGAAGAAATTATAATCCTGGCAGTTTCTGAAAGGACACCAACTTATTACGATTTCTGCGTCGCGGATGCATCATACAACGCTTGCTGCTGGATTGCAAAAGATACCTTTCCAGGAATTACCCATAGCGGCGATATTACCAACGGACGGGATCTCGCACAGTATCTCAAGATGAAAAGGGGGACTGCGACAGAGGAAGAACTCTGCGTGTTCATATCTGGCTACGAGTTGACGCCTATAACAAAATTCCTAGGAACACACCCTGCGTTGCTCGTTGCCGACCATGTGGATAAGGTATGTTTCTAGAGCTTTTTCTTTTATCGGCATTAGGCTAATCGTTATTGGTAGGTCCTTTATATTGTCCCGGTGCCCTTGGATGCAGCAACAATTGGAGACGCAACTATATGTTGCCCACTGGTAATCAAACGTGATGCGGACTCACTGATCTGTTCTGTTTTGCCAACAGCAACGACAGACATAAATAAAAGCTGCTACGGTAAAAGATTGGAAAGCGATTCCTTCCAGGAAGCGATAGACCGCGCTGGTTTCAACATCTCCACTACTTCTCTAACGGCCACACAAAGTAAGTCTTATCAGTATCAAGCATGCAGGCTCATAGAAGCTAAAATTATACAGATATAGCTACAAGAGGTGATGCAACCGAAGAGAAAGCTACCTCGAGTTTGGAAAGCACGCCCAGGATCACCAAAGAAAATGCTGTGTTTGCGACCGATCTTGCTGCGCTGCCTTCTTTCCTTGATTTTAAAAAGACCCAAGTTATACGTTTCGGGACTGGTATTGAATTCGAGCTACCAGGAGAACAGCTTCCCGTAAAGACTGAGCCATCTACCGTTGTTTTGCCATGCATCTTTGGTTCCCAGCTTCAAGGCCCATTCCTATTGGCAACAGGAACAGTCCCTTCAAACGTTCCCTTTTTTGACGAAATTGCCATGCGGAACTATTACAAGCAGCTCAAGAATGTCGTGGTAATTGTCGACGATCGAATGACAGATAACGCCCGCAATCTCGCAACTATCTACAGAATCAATGCACTCTTCATCGTGCAGCTTTGTTCGCAAACCAAGCCCAAGAATACCGGCGACATCATGTCGCTGTTGGACTCAGCAAATATCAACGCGGTGACAGCACTCGCTGGGCCACAATCCTTGGTTTTAATTCAAATCTCCGACAGGTATTACTTCTACCGAGGCATTGCTAATCGGGCACACCTCAACACGTCCAAAATCGAATTTGGCACCGATGTGACCTCCGTACTCGAATCTGCCGGCATGGAATCCATGCTCGATCCCAGAATTGAGCGTATTATTACCCTCGGCGATGCAATTCCGATCATCTTGCCCAATTCAGGTCAGTTGGTCCAACCTCGACATCTTCAGAACATGTTCGAAGAACTTTCGGTCGACCAGCTCAAAGAGATGGAAGAAGACATCATGTCAGCGGTTCCTCAACTCCAAATGCTTTTGGACGAGAAGGACCTACGAGAACTCTCCAAAAGTTTGGTATTTGCACTCTCATCAAAGATCAACAATGCGACAGCTGCATTGAGAAAGACCTACACCAACTATATAACCCAGGAGTACAAGATCACAGATGCAGATTCCACTAAGAAGAAGAATTATATGCTTGGAACATTAAGAAAACTCACAAGGGAGATACAGATTGCGCTTGAGCCGCTCATTTCAAGCTTGTCAAACATAATGTCTTGTCAGACGACTTCAAAGAGGACGCATGATTTGAAGAGACTTGTTCGCCAAACTCAGATTCAGGCTAATGTCGATGCTGTCAAGTCAATGAATTTCGATACTCTGGCCGGATACCTTGAGACATATGCGGGGGATATGGGAGTCATGCTATTGAATATTGACACATCATCCTATTCCCAGCTCTTGGGCGGTCTGAAAAACACTACCATCGATGCCAGGTATGTTACCCACCAATTCGAATATTCTTTACATGGAAGTCACTCTATATCGCATAATTCTAACCCACCTTTTATAGTCCATGCTGCGATCTTGATCCGAGAGTTCTACATCTCGAGGGATTCGACGCCGGAATTATTATCGAGCAGTCACAGTCCAAGCACAACGGCCCACTCCAAAGTCAGGATGGACCCTTCCACCCAATCCTGGCGTTACCCTACCTAAGCCAAGAATCAGGAACCGGATCAATGCTGGCTTGGGTCTGTTGGGACGAATTCGTTAACCTCGAAAATCCCTACAGCATCAGATGGATGGAGAAGTGCAATGAGCCTCACATTGCCGCGCTAAGGATCATAATGAGGTCCACTCTGAGCCAAGCAGTGTCTGCCAGGGAACATCACATTGGACCTAACAGCGTAGAAACTACCCATCTCATGAGCGCTTTGTTAATGGCGGCTATGTCGAAGCTCGCAGCTATGAGAACAACTGCACCGGTTGTGACACAGCAGGCTGGGGATACTGTCACCAGATTAATGCGAGGGCTCTTTGGCAATCTGTTGACAATAGCAGGTGCGGGAGTTCGTCCTCATAGCATGGTCTGGCAGTTGTTCGGTCTGAGCCCCCAATACGACGTTCCCAAAACCGATGTCGAGTGGATTTGGTACGAAACTGTTGTCGCCTTGTATCCTTACACCGGATGGCCTCTAGAGCAGTTCCACAAAAATCTAGAAAAGCTCCTCGACAAGGCGATTGTCCGTGTGGTGACCAAGAATGAAAAGGTGGAGTCGGTTAGAGCGAGCCGGACAGATGAGATGATCAGATTTTCCAAACTTCGGAACATTCAGCTTCACCATTCTCGGACGATCATTACCGCCTTTATGCGAATGCTTACAGTGGAAGGGTCCAACATTGCTGCTATAGCAACTCGTCTGCTAGAGCAGCTTCCACGGCAATTAAAACGACAGAGTTCGGGCTATACCCACACGATCCATTATCTTGATCACCTCTCGAAGGGAGGTGAACGACGCACCCACGACGACCTCATTGCTGCCAGTACCTACACCTCGCGTTCAGCAGCCTTTGGCTCGCTCAAGACCCAAGTGTCTGAAGCGTGTAAGAACAAAGAATGGGCCAAGATGAAGCACTCCTGCCAGGCAATTATGGACAAACATGCTGAGATTGCTTCTCTCTGGCACGTCAGTGCTGATATCTTGAAGGTTCAAAATATACAGGTGTACAAGGATCTCCTAGACGCAGATTTTGGAGACGACATTGACGAGGCTACCAATACCAAGAATCTCGAGCTGATCAACAAGGCCCTTGGCGACGCAGAGAAACAGCGTCTTCCTTGGCAAGTTGGGAAGAAAGGCGAATTTGGCAATAATATCGAGCCTTTGGATGAAGTATTCCTTCACGAAATCCTGACAGGAGACAAGCCAGAATTCACCCCTGCCGTCGAGCCAGCCGAGAAATTGGCAACAGAGACAACTGCCGTGATTGAAATCAAACCAGGAGATGAATTCGCACCATTTAAATCGTCTATGCAGTCTAGCTTCATCACTACGATGCAGAAAGACCTTTCGGCCGAGATTGTCTGCCGTATGCTTGGTGTTCCTGTTACCGCAATGCGCGTCTTTGCTAAAGCTCTTAATCCGAAATTCGTGTGGGAAGACTTGTGGAAGAACTATAGGAGCACCATTCTGGGGTTGTTGAATGATCGCTCCAATCGGTTGGAGAGCTGTCCTACTAGCAAGCTATTGGAGTTAGTGGGTGACAAGTCGAAGCTTCAAATCGACGGGTAAAGTATATTTTGCTTTAGATAGGAGAGGGGTGTTACGGAGAGAGGTGTATACTTAGTTAGTTTACAATTGAAGGGATTATCCTATTTATAGTTTGAATGGCTGGCTTTTATGGTTCAGAATACTCTTCCTCATTTCTCTATAAAGGTCTGCAACTTAGCAAAATATATATGTTCTATATCTGATATCCTTATCCGCAACGCTACCTAGTATCTTTGTTTCCCCGGCTGATTTAACTGATAATGGATATAAGGTCCCATTTCGCACAAACTATACGTGATTGGCCCTAGTAATTCGACTACTGATAGCCCTATCACCAATATTCTAATTATGAAGGTCAGCACCGAGATACATGAAAAAAAAACCCCCAAAAGCAGGTTTACCTCGTCGCCAATTTAATCTCATTTTTCATCTTTCATTTGTTCTGCTTCAAGCTATGGGCCCGGCGGGAAATTTTATGAAGCCTCTCCACTTCTCTTCCAAGTTGCTATATATCGCTGCTTGTACTCTCTGATTCCATGGAGAAACCCACCATTGCTCGGGGATACGATGAAAAATAGCACAGTAATGCGCCAAGATCACGAGAGCAAACGGCCTCAGCTCCCTAACAAGCTCAAAAAATCGAGGAGGAGTATAAGAAATCCATAATGATCCTGCTATCAACACTTCTCCTCCCCCGTCTATTGTCCCAAATAGGGTCTCCAATCCATCGATCGTATATTGGAATAACCGTGTCTCCGCATCTCCTTGTAGATGCCGCATTTCTAGATTCAATATAGAAAGAGAGGTAATCACCTCTCGGGATCGATTTGACAGCGTTGGAATGAAACTTGGCACACTGATTAACGGGGCGAATCTGCCGTTTTGGATCCACGGCGTAATTATTCCCGTCAGATGCACCATCTTACGGACCAGGAGAAAAATCTGATATATCTCTTCCAAGGATTGGTCCTGTGTAACATGAGCAATCAACGGAAACCCCCATGCACATATTACCAGAATATTTGACAAACAGAACGTCGCATTGCAGTTTGAAGGGTTCAGGTTGCCAATTACATATGCTAGCATGCTAATTGCTCGACCTTGATACCGTTCTGCTGCTTTTATCAGAGCCGTACGACGAGGCTCATCTCCCGTTTTGGTCACCAGGTGCATTGCTGAAAGTGCGAGTACACCATTGAGAAGACATGGGTGAGATAGGGACTCTTCTGGAACTAGATGTTGCCAGATCCATTCCACACTGCTGTGTCCGGTAATTGCTTGATAAGTTGAGGTACGCCAGTGTGATAGCAAAAGTGACTGCTGTTCATCGTATTGCTCGATCCCAGTCACTTGGAGGCTCTGTTGTGGAGACCCAATTTGGCTCATCCAGTGTACATCTCCTTCAGCAGAGTTGGGTGACTGGCGGGTGGTCCTTGGAAAGCTAGAAGATGCAGATACTTCGGATAGACACTTCCATGTGAAAGAACCCGATGTAGCATATTGACAATCGGTAGCGCGAGAAATACAATTGGTGCATACAGGACGCAATTCATCGCACTGTTCACAGTTCAGTTGGAGATAGGCAGTGTAGTCCATATAGCAATAATAGCCCTACCTTGACACTTCTTCGTTTGCATTGTGAGCATCCGTGATGCGAATTTGTACCTACTTTTCGGGGCCCCATTGTGAATCTCTATGAGTGATGATGTACTGTGTGTTCCGGCCTCAGACAAAGTTCAATATTCGGGAACCATTTCTTCCGATCCGGTTTGGCCGCTCCGATCATCGGACCCACTAGGCTAAACCGAATAAAGTATTTATTACGAGCGTTACACAGAGGCCGTTTTCATATGTAATTATCTATGTAGGTATAGGGTTTGTTCAAGGTAGAAAATACCAAAATACCTACGTAGTACTCCATATGTAGGTACCTAGGTAGGTACTCATACTCGGACCAGAGTACCCCAAAATTTATAAATGAGCCTTCTTGAATGTTGGAATTGTTCCATCATTTCTTCATCCTTCATCTTCATCTCCTCCATCATGTCCCTCTTGTCATCAATTACTCTCCGAATTGCCGCTTTTGTCCTGAGAGCCTGGGCGAGGTTCCAGGGACGCATTACTTCTCATCCAGACGAGATAATCTTTATTCAATCTAGAGAACATGGACGTTCTATCAAGGTTCACATCTATCGGTCACCGGTCACCGAGACACTCAAAACGCCCTCTCCCGTTCTTCTCAACTTCCATGGAAGTGGATTCGTGATTCCTGCCCACGGCAGCGACGATCAATTCTGCCGTCAAATGAGTCAACAGACAAGCTACACCGTCCTCGACGTGCAATATCGTCTTTCCCCCGAGCATCCCTTTCCAGCAGCATTGAACGACACCGAAGACGCCATCAAATGGGTTTTAGGGCAACCGAAAACTTTCGATATCTCGAAATTTGCCATCTCCGGTTTTAGTGCAGGTGCAACTCTTGCACTGGCTGTTTCCTCCTGTATCTTCCCCCGGAAACTTTCTCTTCTGTCTTGGCCTTCTATCCGGCAGTCAAAGCGTTCGTTGATCCCGAGGTTATGGCTGCACCTGACCCAAATGGTCAACCTATTCCAGCATTTATGCTACGGTTTTTTGCTAGTTGCTATATACTACCCGGGTATGATACTAAAGACCCCCGTATCTCCCCTGGCTACGCCGAAGTCGACCGTTTCCCGCGCCGAGTTTTGATCGTGACGGCTGGCTATGACAGTCTAGCGTTAGAAGGGGAAAGTCTGGCGACTCGGCTACGGGGAGGCTCTGGCCGTATTGTTGTTTCTGAGAGGATGGAAAGGTGCAATCATGCTTGGGATAAGATGGCCAAGAAAGGAACGTTTGAATGGGAAGCAAAGGAAAAGGCTTATGAGCTAGCCGTTAATATGTTGACATGTGCTTAGGTCGTGACTTGCTACTCTCAAAGTCCTCTACCTCGTATTCACTTTCCCTAAATGACTGAATTCTTCTACTCAGGCTTTTACAAATTCAGTCAAAGCCCCCGTAAATTCATCACTGCTTTATTCAACCTAGCCAATAGAAGAGTATATTAAATCTTCCTAGATCTAGTTCCCACTAGGGTATTGACGCCGAGCACCCTAAAACTTTGATGTGGTAAATAAAGGGGTATATCTCAGGGATCCATTTCAGAATGTTCTGTGTGTCATAAGACAGCAAGCAAAGAAGAAGCCAAAAGATTACGGCTCCGAGTACGACTCGAGAAATTGTTAACGAGTCTCAGCATGGTTTGGGGTGAGATTTATCAACCTTTGAACAGTACACCCAAAATCTCTTATGTGACATAGGATCTTCAACAGTAAACAAAAGATTTCGATTTCGTTAGTTGAATTCAAAAACTTAGAGAAATATAACCAAGAAAAGGTAGGATATCACAAACTTTAAAAAGAGAGCCGATCAAACAAATCGAACAGCCAATTGGCGAAAAAAGAAACGCAAACTGAAACAAAAACGAAGACGACAAGCAATAACAAAAGAGACAACATTGTGATTGACAACCCTTGGCCTCCCTTGCACGTCGATGATCAACGCTGGCCCAGTCCCTTGCCATTCCGTATTCAGAGCCACATCTAACATCAGGAGTTCAAGGTTCCTACTATATCTATTGTGAAAGTTTCTGAGCTTTCTCTATTTGGGCAATCCAACGGGAGTGCTTCTCAGCCAGGAATTTTGACTTGGCTCGATACCCTTCTGCTCTCGGTTCCTCTTATTTACCCTGCAGATCGGCACGCAGTTCAAGATTATGAGCCTCTTTGGTCGACATTGCCATACATCGAGCAACCTAACCTTGGGTGGAGAAAGATGCATTTGCTGCCTGAAACACCAAAACAAATATTTGAAGATGCTATTGATCTGGAAGGTAAGGATGAAGCATTATGGAGCTGGAGTTTTGCTATATTTGATGATGAACGATTGACAGCATGCAAAGCGCCTTTATTGGAATATCGTTTAGCCCAGTTTTCTCACGTTCCAGTTTAGTGCATTCAGAGATGCTGCTCTTTCACAATCACTTCTTTTATGACCATCTGTATCCTATCGTTCCCATAGGTCCCAGCTAATTTTTCCAACTACTTATTCATGCTGTCTTCTAGTATCTACTTGTTGAGAGCGGCGAGGATGCTATTAACTGGACGCGCTTAGTGTGGAAATACATATGTACTTGCGGTAGATAAATATATGGTCCTAAACCTACGCCCACTATATACACCTGGCGCGATGTTGGTAGTTGAGGCAGGCATCTTAGCCTTGGGCTTAGAAAAGACCAGAGACACAAAGCCTATAGATCTGACGCCTCCCTCTAACTCGCCCCAAGATCCCAAAGCCTCTTAAACTCGCTATCTCGCTTCAGAAGAGTGCGAGGATTATCCCATTCTAAGAGCCGACCACCGCCCATGACAGCAACATGATCGAAGTCGACGACAGCACCGAGGCGATGGGCAACAGCAATGACAGTGCAGCTGGCGAATTGCTCGCGCATGACTTCCCGGATTAGCTGCTCGGATCGCTCGTCGACATTGCTGCTCGCCTCGTCGATTAGAATGATCCGCTTTCCAGCCAGCATGGCCCGGGCGATACACAGGAGCTGTCGCTGGCCCTGCGAGAGCCGTTCGGCGTCCAGTGGGCTGTCTAGGCCCCCCCAGACGATCTACGAGATCGTCTATCTTGAGCCGGCGTAGGACCAGTAGGATCTTGTCGTCGTTGGTTTGCTGCTGCTCTTCGTTCTCCTGTCCATCCTGCTTTCGGTGAAGGACGATAAGGTTGTCGCGGAGGCTCGTATGCTTTAGGAAGAAAGGGTTCTGCGGCACAACGGCCACTGCAGCGCGCACTGTCTGCCGTGGCAGCGTTGTGATGTCGACGCCGTCGATCGTGATACTCGAACCGGGACCCACTTCGAGGAGACGTAGGATACAGCCCAAGAGCGAGCTCTTGCCGCTGCCGCTGCGGCCACATATGCCAACCTTGCTACCGGCGGGGATGTCGAGGCTCACGCCACGCAGGACGGGTTCGCCGCCGCCGCCCACCTCGTACGAGGCTACCAGATCCTTGATGGTGACACGGCCGTGCGCTGGCCAGTTCTTGGGCACGGTACCTGTCTCGGCGGGTCGGTTCTCCGACTCGGTGTCGGTGCAAAACGTTTTGACGCGCGCGACAGCGCCAAACGACGTCTCGAGTTGCGTCCAGTCCTGAATAACGTGGGCCAACGACTGGCCAAATGACATGATCTGAACGAATGCCAGGGCCACGTACTGCGGTGACAGCTGCACCCGCAGCTTCACGACTAGAACCATCATGACGGTCACGAGGACGGCGGTCATCAGGTCGAGTACGAGACCCAGCCAGCGCTGGATGCAGAAGAGTAGGTAAAATGGCCTTTGGGAGGCATCGAGAAGGTCTAGGTACTGCTCGATGAAGCGCGGCCCCCACGCGAATGCCCGCACCGTGGAAAGGCCCTGGAGGAGGTCAAGAAACTGCGTGAAGAGGGGAGATTTGGCTTCAAGATCAAACAGTCGGATCTGCCGAGACGTCCGCACGTAGAACTTTTGCAGCACTGTTGACCCATAATAATATTAGCTTATGTGTCAGTGCCCTGATCTCTTTCGTCTCAAATCAAGTGGGTTGGGGTGGGCTGTCAAAACTTACACCAGCAGAAAGCGACGAAGGGCACAAGTGCCGCTGCAAAATACCCGGAAAAGACGCACATCAGGATGACTGACATGATTATGAGGGCGAAGTTAACACAGAAATCCACGAGGGCAAAGGGCAGCTCGGTGTCGACAACCGACATGTCCTGGCTGAAGCGATTCGTGGTGACTCCGACGTCGGTTCGCGAGAAGAAGGCCACAGGGGCATCCATAACGGAATGTAGAAGCCGAGCGTGGAGAACTTCGGAGCTTAAAGCCACCATGACGACCAGAAAGAAATAGGCGGCCCCTGTGATTCCCAAGACGGCGAAACCGGTGAGCATGCCAAAGAGCCCGAGGTAGTAGTCATTGTTGGCTTGGTCGGATTCTTCTGCAGTTTCCGTCCAGAAGCTGAGTACGAGCGCCGTCATCCGGAAACCTCCCGCATACATAATGGTGAGGGCAATGAACAGTATGGTGTGCCATACGGGGACGGAGCCAAAGTAATATCCATATGTAGCAAACTCGCCGAGGACTCGTCCGGGCGATTCTGCGTCGTCGCTATTCTGGTCAGCATTTTGTCCAGATCGACCATTGGGAACAGTCTCGTGGCGACGCTGCACAGGTGGTCCAGCTACGTCCCGAGCATCAATCACACCGTTCTGCTCTACTGCCAGCCCATGCAGATAATCCGTATCGTATTGAAGTTGGGCAAATGATCCTTGGTGCACGATATGCCCGCTCACATCTAGAGCGACCACATGATCAGCATAGGCGAGTCTATGTATGGCATTAGTGACACAGACAGCAGTTATACCCATCTGTCGGAAGAGACCCGTCTCGGCAAAAAGATTCTGGAAGACGTGCTCCTCGGTTGCCGCATCCTGCCCTGCAAAGACATCGTCCAACAATACAGTCTTCTCCCTGGAGTAGACAGCGCGGGCCAAGGCGAGCCGCTGCTTTTGGCCGCCACTCAAGGAGAAACCTGCGCTGCCCGCCTTTGTCGCATCTCCGTCGGCAAGCTCACCGATATCATGCTCCAGCCCGCACGCATGGACAACTTTGCTATACCATTCCGCATCATAGCTGGCACTGCCTAGGATATTCTGGCGTATCGTCAGGTTCTGGATCCAGGGCTCCTGGCCAACAAACGCAATGTTGCCAAGATCGGCATGGATGGAGCCCGCTCGGAGAGGGACTTCTCCCAGTATAGCTCGCATGAGAGTACTCTTTCCCGAGCCCACAGGTCCGATGATGAAGGTGAAGCAAGACCTGCGGATGTTGACGGTGATGTCGTTAAGGATGTCCGGCCTTGCAGGAACCCAGCTAAAACTGGCTCCCGATATCGCGATAAGCGTGTCTCCCTTCTCGTTCTTTTGACTTGGGTGATGATCCTGCTTGCTCAAGGGCAGTCTGTAATCGGTACAACTTTCTGATGACAAATAGTTTTGAATGCGAGAAAAGCACGCGAGAGCGGCACTGACGAATGGGATAGTACGAAACATTACAACCATGGGGTCCGACAAGAGATATATCAATGAGAGCGAGGTATAGGCAGACTCCGTGTTCAATGGTTGGCCAGTGCTCTTGGAAATAATCACAAAAGTTACAAAGGTCGCTAACGGGGCAATGGTCGCCGTGTTCATTGCTGTTCGGCCAAAGCAGTCAGCACCAGCGATATGACGACACGTTGAAAACGCGGCATAGCAAGGGTCTATAACTCAGGTACTTACCAATGAAAGTCTGTATAGCCAACAATTTACGATACTGCTTAGACAAGTCCAGCTCTGATATGCGGAGGTTTTGGATCATATTCGCGACAATATCTGACAGGCCAAGCATTTTGACTTCCTGCACCGAGCCGATTAGTGATGTATCTTATTATCAAGAATAGGTATTTTCAGGCGCCTTCGCTGGATACTAACCTTCATGGATGCGAGGACGGAAGCCGTTACATCGACCCGCGTTTGGATGCCCTTCATCCATCTCTTCTTGGCCAAGCCAATGAACTGGGCAAGCTGCAACATGCCAGTAGTGGCAATCATTGCTACAACAATCGGGGCCAGCGCAGCAAGTCCAAGCTGTCTGTACAGGAGATATATGGCGACTACGGACTCGATTGGCGAGGCCCAAAGCTCGTGCAAGGTTGCAGCGCTGTGGCAGATACTTTCGGTGTCCGTGGACATGAGTGATACCGCCACGGACTCGTCGAGGGCTGTACTGCTGAGATCCAACGTCTTGGTGTAGATTAAACTACACAGACTGCCGCGAATCGAAGTGACAAATCGATATGTCATCTGGTAATAAAAGCCGTTCGAGATTGCTTGCCCAAGGAAGACCAGCAGCCATGCTCCCGTCAGTCCCCATCCAATTGCATCCGACTGCGACGAATCGGCTGTCCAAGAAGTTGTCCTGGTAATGAGAAAGGGCAGCGTGTACTTGAAAGCTGCCAATGCAAGCCGGGGTGCCACACCAGCCAGAAAGATATACTTGGTGGCCCACAACGTGGAGAAAGCCAAGGCATGGCGGTTAGACTGGTTTGATGAACCAAGTGAGTTTCGAGCTTTGGGGAGTAGTGTTCGTGCCGCTAGACTGTCATGAATGGGGAGCATATCATTATCGGTGAGAGAGCGAGCGAACCCAGTACGCATCAATGAGTTTAGCCACCAAAAGACACTCCGGGCCAGTATACCACTTGTTGCCTCTGGAGAGAGATTCTGGTATTGTGACAGAAGTATAGGTCTCTTTTCCCAGGTCTCCGAGCTCAAGACTAAGAATTTGATCGCAACAGTTGAGGTGAAGAGGCGCGAAATAGTAGAGTCATGGTCGGCAAGCCATAGAGTTCTAGCTACGACACAGTCAAAGAGCAAAGTAAAGAGTAAATAAACGTTGATGATGGTCGATGGTCGCACCGAGCGCGCATGCTCAGCGTGCGACAGGAACAAGAGCAAAAATCCATCAACGAAAGCCAGCACGGCAGCTGACGTCCGCAACTGAGAGAAAGGCCACTTCCCTGCATTCAGGGCCCAGTATATCAAGACCCCAAGTTGTAAAGCTGTGTAGGCTCCGATCAATCCCTGCAGTTACTGAACCAGTCAGCAATCGTTTTTCTTTTTTCTTTTTTTTTTTTTTTTTTTTTTTTTGCGGACACAATGGGCCCAAAAAGCATCTATAGTTTGGAGGAGGTTATTACGTGCCACTTTCACTATTGGTCGGTGGCTTTTGGCGACCTTGTGAGGCTGTCTCGCGAGCCAGAAGAGACGCTGTAGGGCCACAATCAGAAAGAGTGCCGAAGGTATGATGCCGAGAACGGCATCCTCAAAGGCGGGCGTAAAGTCGAAAGCGCCGGTGCTAACAACGGCAAACCGAGCTTCGTCTGCCATTTCTAAACTCCCGAGAGTCAGGAGAACCAATTAGTTATATGTATCCCCTTGAAGCTTTAGGGAAAACACTTCAGCACTTACATACTGGGAGAGGTGTTCATATTTATGCTACGGGGGATACTAGGCTGGGTTGCGCGATGCGAAGGAATCTGGTGCAATATTACGCCTTACCAGCTACGCAAGTTCTGCGTCCAGCGCGATAAAAGCGCTTGGTAGCTCAGCATGAGAAAATTACCACGAATTCCGCGAGCAATGAGCGATCTTTTTCTCAGAGCAATAACAATCAAGATCAAGAGAACAACAAGTATCCATCGAAATGTATGTACGTTGGGCGGCCTTGGCTTCGGCCAAGAGCGGGGCCAGGCCCGCAAGGCCCCCGGGGCCGGACCTGGCAAGCTTGGGCCAATCTCTGGCCCCTGAGCCATATCCGAGGTCGAGCTCTTCAGGGATTCTTCCTCTCTTTTCTTTCCTTATGATATCTTCGTGAAATGACCTGGCTAGGTCCCACATTTGTTCTAGACTACAGACGACATAACCTTTTATGTCACTGGTTCATAACTGTCTCATTGGATATTACCTCACCGCTTCTTTCATCGCCAGAGGCATAATACCATAGCTCTAACAACTCTACCCTTCTGATCCGCAACGGGCCCCTTCGCTCAGTTCAGACTCAGTAGGCACCTGGGGCCAGATCAGCGTGTTTATGTAATACTCAGTGATGCCCAGGTGGAGTAGATCAGAGCGCTCAGGGGTGTACTCATCTCTACGGAATACTCAGTGGACAACAAGCGACAATACCCGAGCACTAAAACGGGAAAAGAAGGGAAGTGGCAAACTTCGCCTGGGTCGGTATCAAAGATGGCAGGTCTGGCATCATGTCAATACACCCATTGTTCCAGTATTTTTAGCATAGATACCTGGCATCAAGCCATTTGGATCATTATCACCCTCAAAGGAAATCCAGTCATACAATATACAGGTAAGGTCCTAGCTTCCGTTTTATTTTAGAATCCGGTTTCACGTCTTAAATCTCATACTCTAACACTGGATAACCTCCACGGAATCCATTGTTTACTGCGACTCGAATTTCTTTGTCCACGCTTGCTTATCCATCCGTACCTACTAGTCACTCCTTAAGTGTATGTCCGCCCAGGATTTGAGCACAAAGAATCATTAAAGAGTAATCGAAGTTAAAGAAAGGCCCTCGCTTATAAATATGACTCTCTTTGTAAATAGCGGGTTTTGACAAGTGTTCTTCTTCTTGCACACAGAGTAATCCACAATCTATTCCTGGAACACGTTCATTGAAGATACAACAACGCTCAATTTCTTTCACAGAGCCCCTTACCATTCAAATCATTGCTTCTATGTGAGTGACATGTGGCTTGGGAAAAGAAGAAGACTTATGGAAAGAAAGTCCCCTATATAATGCCTGACTTCGCCCGGCATCTTCCACATCCCTCGACTTCGACTTGGAAAGCCCTCTCTTCATAACATCTTACCAATTCCCAATTTCACTCCGAGTTCTTGAAGTTACAAATCACATCTACACGGACATTCCCTGGCAGCGTCCAACAACGGTGACTATGGGGCATCTTTCGTCTGTTGCCGAATGCGTTCGGGGAATCGCTCAGGCAATCGCTTCAATCTCGTCCTCAATCGTGGATCATGTCACTCTGAAACGACGGCGTGGAAATGATGATTCTGACGATGAGGAGGAGGATGATGATGATTCCCTCGACATAAAATACGAGGCAGTATTGGAAAGAGTGAAAGTGAAGTATATCGGTAAACACGTGGCCGCGATTCGCGCGAGGATTCAACCAAATCACAAGAAGATTCCTGTCGTTGAGGTTGGGCCTCCCACGCTCTATGAGGAGGACATTTTATATAAGGTAAAGTTTGCTGATGGGGTTCAATGGATGCTCAAAGTCCCAGCTATCGGAACCCCTGATCAATTCGAGAAAAGCGATGCCGAGGCCCTTCGCTCAGAAGCATTGACAATGATCATGTTGCGACGTGAAACAACTATCCCAGTCCCCGAGGTCTTTTCATACGACAATACATGCAAAAGCAAGCTCAAAGTTCCTTATATTCTCATAGAGTTCATCGACGGTCGGCCTTTGATGGATGCATGGCACGACCAGGAATCTCCAAAAGAAGTTGTACAGGCGCGGCGTACACGCTGTCTGCAGGACATTGCTGCTGCATATCTTCAACTTTCCAAGTACACATTCAACGAACAAAAGCCCTTGAGATTTGACGATCAAGATCGCCTTATCGGTGTTGTGCCTATAAAGGAAGACCCATTCTCGGGCCTTAAGGCGGCTTTCACTTACCATCTGGACCAGTGGGGGAAAGATGAGTTTATACTTCAAAATGAGTTGCTGAAGCTCCTTCGGATGTTTACCGACTGGACCCCAGAGCCAATTGCTGGAAAGTCATTCGTTATGAACCATCCAAACCGCAACATCTTCAACTTCATTGTCTCAGATGATGGTTCTGTGCGGGGAATCCTCAACTGGCACAACACACAAGCCGAACCGCCAAGTGTAGGGAATGAGGTGTATCCACTATGGCTGATGCGCGACTGGGATCCGACTGTATACAATTGGACTGAAGAGATGGAACACGGAGTCAAGGACGAGGATGAGGTATGGGAAGACTCACCGGACACGCTGGAGTTCTATCGAAATGTCTATGCGCAATGTATCGCGAATCTGCGGCCAGAAAGCGAGAACGCCAAATTGACCCGGAATTCCCCTCAATTCATCCATCTTATGATAACAATGCAAGGGTCAATTTTTAGTATGGGCACGGCCAGTAAAATCTTGAACGAAGTTATGAAGCGAGTGGAGAAGAACGACGGTGATCACAGCTGGCCATTCAACCCACCCAACAACGATAAAAAGCACGACAATGACAACGAAAATAATGCTTCTTCCAAGGAAACGGATGCGACAGGCCAGGATAATCCACCCAACGAGACCGAGGACAAAGCGGAACATGGTGGTACCGAAGCAGACATTGATGAACAAGATGAAGAAGATGAAGTTGATATTTTTGAATTTCTCGCCGCTTTGGACAGATATGGTCTGTGTGAGCATCAAGAAAAGCTTCTCAGGGCGGGTTTTGACGCATTATTTTCCTAATTAGCTTCGAGGTTGTGCCTGGGTGGTGTTCGATGTATGTAGTAGTGATGCACAATGACTTCGAAGACTGAAGTTGTCAAGCATCATTATTGATTTTGGAGAAGAAACGAGGGTAGTTGCTTGAAAACTATAGAAAAACAAAGATTGGGTGCTTTCCCTTCTTCCCATATCGTCTCTTCTGTTCTCCAGTAGCATCTGAAAATTGATATATTGTTTGTCGTAAAATGTAACAGACACCTCAGGCAGAACATATCTGGGAATGATGTCAGCGATATTATGTAATCAAATACGTCAGCCAATAACAACATCCAGACTAACCGATCAAGGGCTTAGGGCTCACCTCAGTCACGCCCCACTGCCTTTTCGCACTTGAGCGGCTTCTGGACGTCGCCCTCTTCCTTTGAACATCCACCTCATCCGACAAAATGGTGAGTTCCCAAGAACCCCAATATACAACCGAAAAACACCAATACTAATCGAAATGTGACAAACAGGCGCCCGCAGCAACCGGAGGCAAGAAGCAAAAGAAGAAGTGGTCGAAGGGCAAGGGTACGCAATCACCACCAACCATGCGATCGTGACGATTTCCGCCGAGTTCCCACAAGACACGAAAGAAATCGTTGGACGAGCTGGGGATACGAAATAAAACACCGAGAAGCAACACTTTGCTAACATGTCTTTCGCCCTACAGTCAAGGACAAGGCCCAGCACGCCGTCGTTCTCGACAAGGCCACCAACGACAAGCTTCAGAAGGATGTCCAGTCTTACCGTCTGGTCACCGTCGCCACCCTTGTCGATCGTCTCAAGATCAACGGCAGCCTTGCCCGCCAGGCTCTCGCCGACCTTGAGGCTAACGGCCAGATCAAGAAGGTCGTCGGTCACTCCAGCCTGAGCATCTACAGTGCGTTACTCTTCAGCATCTCCTCCATCTCGAATCTGCAATACTGATTACCTTTCTCATTAGCCCGTGCCGTCACCGCCGAGTAAACGTCTCGTCTCTCGTCTTTTCTCGCGGTTTTCTTTTCCTTGCTACGAATGATATCATTTACCATGGGAAGCCCGGCTGGGCATGATGCATAGTGGATTAACGTCTGACTCTTGAAGAGTGTGGAACATTCGCACTCTTGGACTACGTCAGGTAGTGCGAACTGAATCAAAAAATCTACAAAACTTCATGAAAAGGACATGCGTCATAGTTCCGTAGACTTTCTCTCGGCATCTACCTGCTGCACTATCCACACCAACACCGCACAAAAAAAAACACAGAAAGTAGCCCTACGACTTCTCCACCATCGCACTCCTCTTCGGTCGCTGCTTCTGCGCACTCTCACAAAGTGGCCACGGCTCTCCTTCAACACCTCCATCCTCAACCACAACCCTTCCAGCCTCGAAATACTTGGCGTGGTTCGCAAAGAATTCACTCCATCTCTTCACAGTCGCTTGAACCCGCGCTTTGGCAGCTCGTAACTCCTTCTCGCGGCGGATTTTCTTCTCCGCAGACGTCACGGCTTCTTCCTCAATATCTTCAACAGGAAGGAACATAATCTCGACACCGCGCATGTCGTTCGTAAGATCCTCTTTAAAGCATCCTGTGACAAAAGCGCGTGTTGCATCCCGCCCCGCGAAGAAGTTGTAGCTCCCGCCCGGTCCGTAGATCATACGGTTTGCTGAGACGTCGAATACGGTCCCGTTCACGGCGACGTAGAGGGGGAGTGTGGTGTCTGTACCGTTGTAGAGGGATAATTGGGTTGGTGTCAGGGTAACAGGGCCTTGCTTTAATTTTGAAATTTATGTGTTAGCTTGAATTGTGGCATGACTTTTCTTTTTCTAAACTCGAGGATTGGGAGTCGCATACCACCCACTGCTTCACCACCGGCCACCGTGTATACCATGGTCTGTAACCAAACAGTACAGACTCGGAGGAAGTCATGTAATAGGAGAAGCCGCCGCAGGCAATCAGTAGGGTTACAATCACGCGGATGACGTCCAGCACGCTTATGCGGTCTTGACCGGTTTCATCGTTGCCGGAGTGCGGTTTGGAAGTTGGTTCTTTGTCCGGCCCATTGCTGGACTTTGACGCCACTGTTGGTCGCTGGCGGAGTTCTGACATTTCTCCTGGATGTGTGTCGATTGAGGAGTTGTAAGATCATACGATGACCATTTGGATTGTTGTTATTGGAGTTGCACAGGTGGAGGACTTGGCTGACAAAACCCGAAGTCCAGCCCCGAGTGGACTATCCACAACTTCACATTTACAATGGAATCCGATGTGCATTATCAATCCAATTTCTAACCATTTCTCCGATCTGCATTCGCTAAAGATACAAGAGGCTTGAATTCATAACGTAGCCAAGAAAAACACCCAGCTTTTTAGTTCTAACGTCAAATTTGCCTCCATTTAATTTCCATCATTTGCTTGCAGTTGTGGATTCCCCTTCTTGGGCCGCAGACCCTTCTTCCCAGCTACGCGAGAAGACTTCGTTCAGGGCGTCTTGGAAGGTACGACAGTTCATGTCAATCAGACCTCGCTTGTCCTTGGCTTCGGGGTTGCGAATCACCGACACCAGACAGAGGTACCTGTAGAATAAGGTCAGTATATATAGTCAAAACACTCGTTGAGAGACATACTTGTTCATCTCCATCAAATGGATCATGGTCTGATCATGCAACACCACATGGCTTTCAGCTTCTTGGATCTGGTCGCCCAATCGCTTGCGAACTGGGTGATCCCAAGAATACAACTCGGAGATATCGACAATCACATCGATATAATCAGAGCACATCTCATAGCAAGCCATGTCCACAGGTCGGGTGTCGGAAGCGATATAAATTTTACTCAGAACATCGAAGAGGTATGTCTTTTCAAACCCACAGTTGTTTGCGAGGGTGTTGATGAGGTTCTCGAGTGTAGATAAGTTGGGGATCAGCTTCTGGATCACTTTGCTGAAGGCTTCAAAGACTGAATAATCGTAGATGGAAGTCAGATAGTAATGCACGGGCGCATTTTCATATCCAGCGTCACTGAGCTCATCGGAGATACGCTGCACAATGTCCTGAAATGTGTCGGTGCGGTACTCGTCTGACAGTCCATCGACCTTGTGGATGAAGACTTCAATGTTGATCCCGGGATAGAATTGCTGGACAGTCAATATGGTGCGGTTGAGCCGCGCCACCGAGTCCAGGTAGTCATCCTGTGCGTCGATCACCCAGACCAGGGCGCCCAGGCTGCCGAATATATCCTCGAGGTCGAAGGCGGACTCAAAGTATTCCAGTTGACCCGGGAAATCCCAGACTTGAAAATCCATAAAAGAGCTGCAGACTCCAGGTCAGCGGAAAGCGGATTCATTATGTCCTGTCTGTGGAACTTACTGGATCGAGTCCTTCTGAATCCGGGTCGTAGACTCCAAGAAGAGTGTCTCGTTTGGCGGCATTTTATGGAATACCACGCTAGCAATGGATGACTTACCACTCCTAGTACATAGTTAATACCTCCGCTGTGTGAGAGGGGGTGGAGAAATCTTGCCGGCGGAGTCCCATTAGAAGAAGACGAGGTTTAACATCGGGGCCTTTGGTGTTAGGCACAGAGGCCGATTTGGCCCGATTTGGCGCAGTCACTTGGCTGTTTCCCTGTAAAATATCCAGAAGGCTTAGCTCGGCTTCAGTCTTGTGGAATGGAATTTCACGCCGTCGCTTCCAAAAATAAAACTCACGTCCTATAAAAGGACCATGAGGCCGGCTCACGCAGGCCATCAGTGAGTCGGACATTTAATCAAACAAAAGGGGCATGCATTTTGGGATTGGTGAAGCAAGAGACAGCTTATGGTTATCAGGATGAAAGATTGATGAACTAGGGGCAGGGTAGAATAAATCCACACATCACATGTTTGGGAGAAATAAGGCATTGGGCAGTCAGCGAACCCAACCAGGCTACTATCCCTTAACAAGGAAAGGCCCGAGGCTGAAGACGAGACGCGTAGATGGTATTATCTTGCAACGGTCCACTGTGACAGCAGCCGTGACTGACCAAAATTGGAATTCCATATTCCTTGCCTATTCTGGGCCCATTTGGCTGCCTAGAAAGGTCTGTGGTGCTTCTTCATCCCCTGGGAGATAGCAAAAAAGGTCCGGAACCAAGCAGCTGTCTCACAACGGCCCGTGCATGGATGCAGCGAAACGCGGTAACTAACCGAGCTTCACCGGATGACCCAGCCGTAGTTCGAGGCAATATAGGGAGGAAGATTCGAGGATATATGTTTGGGAAGGGGGGGGGGGAGTTTCTTACCTCCATTGAACGGGCAGACATCTAGATATGGGGTGTTAGACTCTGGGGTATGCATTAAGAATGGATTGGGTGCACTTACTACACAATTTATTTTGTATTAGACAGAGATAGTCAGGCCAATGCAAGGTCAAAATTCTTCCGTTATCACGAAGAAGAATGGTAAAAGGAACCGGTTGAGCTCAATTTAACGGCAAAGAGCGACTGTTGACATCTGCATGTGCTAATCTCGCCTAGGACGGAAGCCGCAAAGGTTCCCAGATTTTGCCTGGGATGGTGATACAGAGTCGGATGTCTGCAGTCAGACCTGTATCATTGTCTCAGGGTTGGGAAATTCAATTCACGGCGGAGGAGGGTGGGTCGAGGCGATCGTTGAGTAACCGTTGTGCTGTCCGAGGAGTGCGGGGGTTGGAGTAGCTCGGAGCTAGGAAGCGAGGCGAAGCGCGATCGGGCCGGATATGCAATGCGCACGATAGCGCAGCAAGTAATCTAAAAGAGTTTGTTCAAAATATGGAGGGCTTTCTTTGATTTGAAGGAGTATTTCTTATGGAATTGTGGTAAAGAGGAGAGGATGGGGGAAGAGGAAGAGCAGGACCAAGGAGCCGTTATCTTTGAGCTTCTATCTTATCGGCTCTAATCTGTTACAGACCGCCTGTTGTATTCTGCCGCCATATTACTTACGTACCGCTTCATCCAGAACTATCAACCTCTACGGAGTAACTCCAATTATGATGCTTGGCCACGGCCGCAGCAGACGGCTCAATGGGCTACTCCAAAATTGAGGGTTGATCCTTAAACACATTGATGGGATTGAATAGGAATAACTTTTTTTTTTATCATTAACCTCGACAAGTTCATGCGGCAACCATCCGGCGGCTGTGTCCATGAGCATGTTTAGTCCCATGCTGATGACCCAGGTAATCGCTGATTCGATGCTTCCCCTGCTCCGGCTTCTCTTCCTCTTCTTCTTCCTCTTCATCGGCCTCAAGTGCAGGCCACTCTTCCCAACCATCTTCCCACATTTTGGCTAACTTATCGGACTTCTCGTCTCTGCTCATTTTCTTGTTCTTCATCACCTTCTCCCACTTCTTCATATCCTTATCATCTAGAAGACATTCATCCAACAAGGCACTGATCTTGACAGTATCAATACCTTCCCCAATAAACACTAGTTCCTGGCGACGATCACCCCAGGGGCCTTGGAAATCATTCTGGATGGATTCCCGCACGTCGTGGTCTTCTGGCCAATCCGCATCGGGGACTTCAGCAAACCAAGGTCCACCGCATCCAAGAGTCAGCATACCGCCTGCTTGACTCCATTCGCCAAATTGCCAGGGCCTGGTTGTGAGCCAGAAGAAGCCCTTGGAGCGGAGAACTGGACCAAAGGCCGGGTTGATACGTTTGTTGTTCAGAATGACCGCCGGGTCAGGCTGCTCAAAGTCTTCCATTGACCCGGAGTCGGAGTCTGTGTCCATTGCATCTTCAGTTTCCTCGTCTTCCTCATCTTCCTCGTCGCCTTCTTCTTCTTCCACTTCATTGTTCTGGAGAATTATGAACTTGTCGTGGAGAAGAGCGAAGAGGCGGCGCGGATGGAAGGGTCGACGAGCAGTGTAGACGAAGTTGTTGATACCGTATCTATATCGGTGAGTAAATTATTCATGAATAACGAATTGGCAAACTTACTCCAGGGTCTCTGGTTTTGGTGCCATCCGGTCACCGTTTCCTGTCGTCTGTACCGTCATTTCGTGCAGACTCTGCAACCACCCAGGCCCAGAAGCGGCACGGATAAAATCGAATTTGTTTGTGTTGATGATTTCCCGGACATCTATTTGAGAGTAACTTGACTCGATAATCTTTGCGACGGGGTTCAATAGCTTCAGCAAATGCATGAGCTTATCGCGTGTTGCTTGGTCAACTGTCTCGACCTTGTTGAGAATCAACACATCAGCGAACTCAATCTGATCCACCATAAGATCAGATATTGTGCGCTCATCCTCGGGGATGATCTCTTCTTTCCCATAGCGGTCAGAGAGGAACTCTGCTGTGTCGAAGCTGGAAAGCAAGTTGAAGGCATCAATGACGGTGACAGTCGTGTCTAACCGAGCCATTGTGTGCAAGCCACCTAGTTCCACGCTATGTCCAAGACATGTTAGCAAGTCCAGCATAAGAGGAGGTGTGTGTGGTGGAGAGACAATACATTTCATTCAGGATCTTCTTTGCGTCGGCATCATCATTGGCAATCTGATCTTCAGCCTCCAGCATGGCCGAACTAAACTCAGCTGTGAAAGTCTCGGCCACTTGCATAGGCTCGCTGATACCAGTTGATTCAATGATGACATAGTCAACTTCATTTCGTTTGGTCAAAGCCGCCAGTTCAGCCAGCAAGTCTCCACGAAGAGTGCAGCAGATGCATCCATTTTGAAGTTTGATGAGCTTCTCAGTTGTCTGAGAGACTTTGTGATTTTGGATGAGGGTAGCATCGATGTTCAGCCTAATGGAACAAAGCAATTAGCTTGCATCCTATGTTCTACATTCGATTTGAAACTCACTGGCTCATATCGTTGACGATGACAGCAACCCGTAACCCATGATCAGGGGACTTGAGGATGTGTTTGAGGAGTGTTGTCTTGCCGCTTCCCTATACATGGATGTCAGTATCCCTGTACATTATTCAAAGTTGTTACAATTGCTATTGTTCCATACCAGGAAGCCTGAAAGCAAGGTGACAGGCATCTGCCGTGTTTTGGGCTGTTGCTCCACTGGAGCCGGGACATTGTAAGAGACCGAGTCTCTTCCGGAATCGATGACCATAGTGAAGGTAGGTAACTTTTGGGGTTGGTTATACAAAGCAAGAAAGAAGAAAGAGAAGGAATATAGGCTAAGCCTCTATGAGTTCTACAGTATCACATTATATAGCATCCTCTTTCCTAGACCACCGTCTCCAAGTTCCTCACGCCCTGACGCTCTAACGCTGCCGGTTGCATTTCTGATGTAGTACAAATGTCAATACAGGTCCTCCAAGGTTGATAGTATACCAGTGGAGCCATAGCTTGTCCAATGAAGTGTATGATTTGAAATGACGATGATAATTACTGTGTTATAAGTGGCCAGCGTGGATCGTCCGCAAGGTACCTGGATGGCGCCGTTGACTTTCACGGTCCTCATTTGACGGGCATTGGTTTTGAAAATCGGTATTAGACGACTTGTGATTGGGCTTTGATTGGTTTCTCGATTTCTTGACTGCTCATTCCTGGGGAACTAGCGGTGGAACTAGGGTTGGACCAGGATATAGAGCTGGGATTGGATAAATGACATACTTGGATCTCAAGATAATTCACACGAAATAACATTAATCAGTTAAAGCTTCAATTATTCTACCCAAGAGATATTTAATATTAATTCATTCGCACAGATATAACCTCCGATATAACCTCCAACCTACTCCAATTTCAATCGGTGCTCGGCTGGAAGAGCGGGCCGATAAACCTGCCAAATCCCCGATCGAAGAATGATACAACGTCAACCTCGAGCCTATAAATAGGGGGAGTTACACTGACAGCAAAGACTACAGAACTAAGAAATAACCTCATCTATCAATCACCACACATTGAACCTCCGTTGATACCATAACTCATCCAAAAAACAACCAAAACCCCACTCCAACCACCCCCAAAATGACCGACCTCCTGGGAACATACACCAAGCCCCTAGCCTACCTCGGCCTCTTCGCCCTGGGAAAAACAGCCTTCTCCCTAACCCGCCAGGCAACAACCTACCTCCTCCCAAGTAACCTCCAACGCTACAACACCACAAAAACAAACTGGGCCCTCGTTACTGGCGCAACAGACGGAATAGGTTTCGGCTTCGGTCAGGAGCTCTGCGCGCGCGGGTTCAATGTCATTCTACACGGCCGGAACCCCGAGAAACTGGACCGTCGTCGTCGCGAATTACAGACCCTGTTTCCCGCTGTCTGTGTTGCTGTGCTTGTGCGCGATGCGCAGGATTTGACAGCCGATATCGATGACGTCGATGCGGAGGTCCGCGATATTATTCGTCGCAGTAATAGCACTGCTAGTAATCCCGGCCGATTGACTGTTCTTATTAATAATGTTGGTGGTGAGACGAAACCTTCAACACTCCTTAAGGAATATACCTTTGAGGATGTGCAGGCGACGGTTTCGCGGAATGCCACGTTCGCTATTCAGATTACACGTGTTCTGGCCGCACAGCTGGAAGAGAATGCGCCTGGTCTTGTGATGAATGTTTCTTCGCTTGCGGCGTTTGGTTTGCCGTATATCAGTATTTATAGCTCGACCAAGGGATTTGTCGATTCTTTTACGAAGTCGCTGCGCGCAGAGTTTGCTGCCGAAGGGAAGAAGGTTGAGGTTATGGGGCTGCGAGTTGCGGAAGTCAGCACCCCTGGGTATGATGTTAAAAGTAACTTGTTCATTCCCGAGGCCAGAGTGCTGGCTGCTGCTGCCTTGGATCGGGTTGGGTGTGGGCAGGAGATTGTATGGGCTTATTTCTGGCATTGGTTGCAGGGCTTGTCGTTTGAGTATCTACCGCGCGGGGTGTTGATGAAGATTGCTGCGATGAAGCTGAAGGCAATCAGAGCGGATCAAGAGGCCAAGGCGAAGAGCAGCTAAGATAACTCCTAATGTATAATACCTCCGACTATACCTCTCTACTCCTCACTCATAATGAACACGATGCACATCATATGAAGATACAAGGGGGGAAAGGATATTTGCAATTAGAAATAACAGCATTACAGTCTATAAAATGTCTAGAAGCCAGCCGGTGCCTTCTCACGATCGTCTGGGCCGTGGAGCCCTGCGCCAAGGTTCGCTGTGCACTCCATTTGCCAGTCCTTGGGCGTGAACTTATCGACAATTTCCTTAAAGGCATCCAAGGTGCAGAATGTCTCATCACCAGGCAGGTGGTTCTCAGGCTTAGCAGCACAACCGGGGATAAGGACCGGTTGGTCATTGTAACGAATACGGACATAGTGCTTCTGGAGAGACTCGCGAGCGCCTTCGGAGAGGGATTCGAGAGGTGCGCGTGCGGTATCGGAGGTGGCGGGCTGCTTCGGTGCGGACTTACCGAAAAGCTGGGAGAGGACGCCAGGCTTCTTGGATGCGACGGGTGGGTTGGAGAACTCCTCGAGCATGATCCCAGCGTCGGCATCGGACCGGGGCGCTTGGGAGAAGAGTTCAACTGCAATAGAGGAAGTAAATGGAGGCCATGACTGGTTCTGGAATCCACCAACACTGGACAGGATCGCTGCCAGGGTGGTGTCGTGGCAACCGCTCATAGCAAACTTAATAGCCTTGCCAGTCTCCGGGTTTCCTGACCCGGACGCAGCGGTCTCACTGCGCCAGCCACCTTCCACCGCGGTGCTGACCATGCGGTCAACCACGTCACCCATGAGAGCACCAATGCCCAGCTTACGGTACTCGCTGCTCTCGCCGTAGCCAGCAAACCACTCCTCGACCGCAATTCGGTCCACGACAGCACGACCCTTCTTGTCATAGAACTCGGACGGGAGCTTAGTGCCTGGGCCATGGGCATCGGTTGCGTTGATGGTGTCCATGATTCCAGAAAGACGAGGGTGGGCATCGACGGCAACCTTGGGAGATTCTTCGGGCATATGCTTTGACCAGAGGCTGTTCAAGTACGCCATTTGTTCAGAGTCGTTCCCTGCATGAAAATCATTAGTCGTAACCCTTATCTTCATATCCTACTGATAAGCCCATACATCGTGTAGCGGCGCGGTCGGCAAAAAGCCGTGCCAGCTGTCGGAATCGTTTACAATTCCCCTCGTTGGGGAATAGTGTCTCCTCATTAACCTGGCGGGCCACAATCACCGGCGGTGGGAAGTCGAGAGTGCGCGCGCTAGCCGGGTACATGCCCCAAAAGGCTTCCTGGAGCGACTCCAGAGCGCGGGGGATGGGCGTAGCGCGCAGATACATATCCTCAGCATCGCTCTTGATCTGGGGCATGAACCCAAGCTGGTCGACGTATAGATGGCGTAGTCGTTGTCCGAGCGCATATGTTGTCTCACGGCCCTTGTCTGTGAGCTCGCCATGCAAGCTTCAAATGGCATGATTTAGCTCTTGTTCACGTGCCTATCAGAGCTCCACGGCAACTTACCACATCGCCTCGACTGGTCCTCCCGGTGCTGTGGCGATCACCGACTGGTCATTACTCCCGAATGACTCCATTTTCCGGCGCCATTGAAATCCGTTCCATTCCGAGAGGTCTTTGCTGTTCGATACCATCTGCACCATACGTCTTGCGACGCCGCAATACGGCCAGTCTTATCAAGGGAAAATGTTAGCATATGATCGGCCGATATCGATAACAGAAGATTATCGTACATGGACTTAGGCCTGTCTTTCGGGGGTGTTAGCGGAAACCGTCGGAGAGCGGGTTTAAGGGAATGGGGGTTGTCAATTGCAAACATACATTTGTGAATCGCGATGAGACGGGTGTGCGTTCGCCTAGGAACAATTAGAAATGCTCTCCGGGGTAGCATTGTAAATGAATCTCTCACCATGACGAAGGAACTGTACTGGTTAGCTATGTTGCATCTTGGTCGATGTGGGGGACTAAAACGCTTACCACTTGGACGAGCTGCAGCTTCAGAGCTGCCGGGTACAGGCGAGCGAGCTCATCCTGTGTATAGGGATCACGGGGAATGAGAGTGGTCATCTCGAATCAATTGAGAGATATCCAGAGATATCTACGGAGTAGGAATCTATAAAATGGAATTGAGTCAAGGAAATGAATGGCCCCCCACGGGGGCGGTGAGGGGAGTGGATTTGTTGGGGTAGAGCCGATAAGCCGTTTATGTCAACATTGAATCGGACTCTGTACTATGATTAAATAGGTTAGGTGCATCAGTTATTAGAGTTGGAGATTTGTTCTCTTTATACTCATCAGCATCTAGGATAACATTAGAAAAAGCTAGGGAAAGCTGGCAACCCACAAGAATACAACAGCAGATATATGGTCTCCGCACCTCGGCAAGTTCGCCGAGAGGTACTGGCCTCGGGCTAGTATTCTCTGAGATGGGAAAAGCTCTTCCAAGCTATGCATATTTGACATGGTATAATATATACAATTAGGAACACTCCTCGTAGTCACTCGTCTCCCATCCCTCCTCACTTTCACTGGCACTCCAGATAGATCGAGCGGGCGCCGTCTGGGCATCGCTAGTCTCAGTTGCTGCGGCTGCAACTGCCGCGGCCGTAGCAGTAGCCATTTGCTTGGCCCACTTCTTATTATTCTTCGCCTTGCGAGCATTCTCCTCTTGCTGACGCGTCTGTTTCACGCGCTCGGTTTCCTCATTCGCCGCTCGCTCCAATAGCTCGATGAGCTTCTCCAATGCTGGTGCGTATGCTTGCGCAAGGGCGAAGTCCCCGACCTTGATACGCATGTAGTCCATCGCTCCGGCGACAGGGCCGGTATAAACGCCGAGCCTTTGTCGAGATGTCACCGTGTTGATGTCGTCGGACAGTAAGACGTCGTTGGAGCCCGCTGGTTCGTCTTGAGGGTCGTCGAATGGAATATCCGCATCTGCAGGCTCCTTTGCAGCTGCGTCCCGGTTGAATTCGAATTTGCGTGGGTTTCGCTTGTCTACAAAGGCTACCTTCTGGTAGCGCTGACTGAAATGAGTGAGCAGGACAGCGCGCGCTTGCATGCGACGGCCGACCTCAATCGCCTCGGATGAGGTCGAGTGCCGCTTGGCCCTAGCCGACCCGACCATGTCGGGTTGGAAGGTGGCCTCGTGGATGAGCACAGTCGAATCCTGTCCAATGACGGCAAATTTGTCTGATGGCCTACAGTCCCCAGAGTAGGAAACCTTAAATCCATTTGAGAAGACAAGGGATACGGCGAGTGCACCCTTGCAGTGTTTGACGCGGCAAGTGAGTAGGTCTGCAAGACCAGTGGCAGACTTGAGGAGAGGAGTGAGGGGGAAGATTGGTCCGTGAAGGTAACAGTATGACGAGGATGACCAGATGGCTGGTGTGAGAAAGAGGTAGTGATTTTAGACCCATTTACTTCAGGATGAGCGGAAAGAGTAAGCAGTTTGTCAAATCCGAAGTCCTCGACCTGTGAATATTCTTCCAACCAGGAAATCATCGCATCATCAGACACAATAGCCAGGCGCTTCTCCTGGAGGATCTTGGCCATATTGGTTTCAGGTCTAGCAGCAGAGCCGGATCCATTCTGGAAATTCTCCTTGTGCCAGGCCTTGATCACAGAGACCGTGCCTAGGTGGTGATCAGCGTGCAAATGACTGATCCAGATCATTCGCAGGTTCTGAAGCACTTCACGAAGTTCTTCGGGCTCGAAAACTCGCTTCAGTTGACCAAGGGTATTCTCGCCACAATCAAGCAAGTAGTAGCCATATCCAGGCACCTTCAGCAGTGTGGCAGAGACATTGCGGTATTTGGAGGGAACAGAAGAACCAGTACCCAGCGCGATGATCTCTGCATCCGCTCCGGGCCATTGTGTCCGTTGCTCGTGCAACTTTTTCTGGAATTCAGGCTTAGCGACGCGGCGGCGAATGACTTCCATCCGGTGCTGGACAGAACGCGGGATGTTATTCAATACGCTGGATGGGTTGAAGCGGGACATCACTTCGTCACTGTTGAACCCGAAATTGGGCTCCATGTTGATGATGAATCCGGGTTCAAGGGGCTGCAGTGGAGAATTCTGGCGAGCAGCAATCGCAGATTCCGAATTGGCGTTGGGGGTGCCGGGTTGGGGAAGGGACACATTGTCGTGAACAGGAATCGCATAGCTATCGGCTTTCAGACGGGCAAGTCGAACAGTTGAGCTAGCAGAACTGGTGAACGCCAGGTAGTTCGGGCAGTGGTCTGGGCTCGACACAGTGTGCTTGCAGTGGGACATGCTAGCAACGAATTCCTGGAATTTAGGATGCTCGGCCACACCTGGTCCAAGAATCCAGATGAACGCTTGCAACTCGGTCGTTACAGCTGGTGACTTCCATTCGGCCCGAGTGACCAGGTCCTCGACGTACTCGGAGGATGGCACTTCCATAATAGCAGTGCCTTTTCCAGCTCGGGTCGGTCCCAAAACCATTTCCGGGGTAATAGTCTTCCCATCCAGAGACTCAACGCTCTGGCCCTTCGTCAAATTTGCGTACTTAACGCCCTTCTCGACGTTCAATTCTTGGGCCTTTTTTGGGTCGAACTTTCCACGGATATCGTGGTTCCGCACGATATAGCAGACTGCCTCCTTCGAGGGAGAAGTGGTCGGGAGACTCTCGACGGTCGCACCGGGCCAGGGCTTTCTAACAAGCACCTTGATATCTGGAAGCGCATCTGGGCCGCCCGGCACCGGACCCTTGTATTGCTCCAGGTCCTTGGTTTCCGGGTTGCGGATGAATATAGCAGCCGGCATCTTGACTTGGGCCAATGGGGTTTCATGGAGGGCGTCCATCTTCCAAGTTGAGTTAAACATATCCTGCACAATGGACTGCGTCACGAGCAGGTTCTTAGTACGCTGGCTCATATGATCTTCAGGCTGTTCAGATTCCCGGAATTCATCCAAGCTCCGCTTTCGTGGACTCTTTGACCGCGGCTGCGTAACTTGAGGACGAGCTGATGGGCTAGGGCTAAGGGGCAAGGCCCAGACTTTGATGTTAGAGTCTGACCATGAGGGCTTCTCAAAGGGATCATCGGCGCCGATAGAAATTTGCTTGGCCAGTGTCTCCGAGTCATATTCATTCAAATACACCGGCATGCCCTTCCGGAAAACAAACCGCCGAGACGTAGCCAGTGTATGTGTAAGGTTCGCAGGACCATGAATCGTCAGGTTACCTCTCTGCGAGACCCCCTCGCCTTCCTGTTCCTTAGGTTCACGGGGTTTGGATTTTTTGCCTTCTTCGGCCTCCCTTTGCGCCTTGCGGGCAGCTTTCTTCTGGTTTTCTTCCTCGATAGCTGCCATAGAGGTTGACACCGTATCAGCCAGGGTCAAAACAATCCCAATCAACCCGCCAGTGTTGGCCCATTCCGTCCGTCCAGTGACAAACACATCGGTGAGGAGAGAGAGCTTAACCCCGCGCTCTGTGCATGCGCGCTGTGTACCTTCCGATAGCTGTCCAAAAAAGTATCGCTTGTCCGGGAAGTTGAGGCAAACGGACGTGCCAGGGGTATCGGCCGTTGGGGTCGAGATGACCTGGTAGAAGAATTTCATTGGGGCAGTTCCTACTACAGGTACAGGCCGTGAATGGAGCTCGAGTCTGGATGGTTCACAAATCAAGTAGTCGTCGCTATTAGGCCGTCGTTTGGTCGAGAGCGGAAGAAAGTATGCGTTAGGTTTGATTGTAGGTTGTCTGATTCGAAGTGGCAAGGGTTTCTGTTGGGATTTCTTTTTGTCTGCTAGTTTCGACAATGATTTAGGGTAGTTGAAGCTCCTCAAACTCGGTTTTGAGTCAACGGCGTTTCGTGAGTCACGGTTTATGGCGCTGCGATACGATCGTAGGGTGAATGGCGAAATCGAGGTTTTAGGGAACGCGCTCCAGGCGACTGCGCGAGTGGTTGCGGTTGACAAGGCACCGCGCACGCAAGAAGAAGCCAGCGTGTCTAGAAGGAAGTATATTAAAGGGGAAATGAATGATAGAAAGCCCCTAGGCGTAGTAATGTCAAGGAGTAGGAGATTGGTGGATCCCCACGTTGATAAAAAAAAGTGACGGTTGATTTTTGCGGCAGAAAATCGATTTGGACCGCCATGGAGTGACGTTTTTTCAAATAAATAGCACAATAGAGAGCTAAGGTGTTTGTAAATCCCAAGGTTCATTTCATACATATTTGGACTATTCAAATAAGTTCCCCAAAGTCCCTGAGGTTCAACAAATTTACATGTTTTGGTTACCTATGCTCCACGCATGATGTACAGAAGGAAATGCAACGCACTACAGTAGCATTATTTCGATAAATTGACAAGCATTCTATTTGGCTAAACTACATCCACAGTACAGGCTATGCAATAAAATAAGATAATCATATGGCCATAAATATCAAGATTGGGCTTTTACTCCACAGATCCTTCAGATACACCACTAAAGCTCCAAAATTCCATCGAGAAGGTCCTTCGTGGGAGATAGACGATATAGTAAGAGACAGGCGCCTTGAACTCCCCAGGGCATCTGGAAAAACAAAAGAAAGAACACCTCCCCATGGTTCGCAAAATATAGCAGGAGGTTTCACCGCGGGTGTATAGTCACAAGGCGGTGGCAATGGGAATAGCAAAAAAAAAAAGGAATCACATGTACAAAGAAAAGGAGGCCGAAAGGGCAAGACGCTAATGGGGAATCACAGAAGGTGGGATGTGACAGCCGAGACACGCTCGAAGGCAGCGTCAATGCTGTTGCAGAGGGCGTTGAAGGTTCTCTTAGCCGAATCGCTAACTTCAGAGTTGTCAACGACGAGAGTGAACTGAGCAGTCTTCTCGGTCGAGACACCTTCAAACGTGATGTCAGCAGCGGGAGCAGGAGCATCAACAAAGAGAGCAAAGGCAGGATCGGACTCATCAATCTCGACATCGGGGTTGGCAACGCCGATGTCAGACTGGCTGGGTGAGTCGCTAATAGGACGGTCGACAACAGGGGCCTCATTCTTGGAGCTCTCGGGGATGCTGAAGGAAGAAGAGGATTTTCCGGACAGAACCTCGGCATCAAGGGCCGGGCCCTCGGGAACCTCCATGACAGCAAAGACGGGAGTGTTGCCGTAGTTCATATCGATTCCCGAGTTCCAGCCGGCGCTGTTCATGCCCATGCTGGAGTGATCCATACCCTGGTTAGGGACCATAACCATATTGGCTTGGGGGTTTTGCTGCATCTGGAACTCTTGGCCACGGTTGGCGTTCGTCTCCTTGGGCATAGCCTGCATGCTAGGCTGGGGTGCAGCCTGCTGGGCTTGTTGCTGCTGAGGTTGCTGTTGAGATTGCTGCTGAGGTTGAGCGGGCATAGTGTCACCCATATCGTTGAGGAAGTTGGAGAAGTGGGGAGATCCCAGAAGCATGCGGGCCAAGTCGTTCAGGCGGGCATTTTCTTCGTAAAGAGCGCGGTTCTGGAGGCGAACCTCGTGGGCCTCGCTGGTTCTAGCAGCCACCTCGCTTTCGAGCTGACCAATGTATTCTAGTAGGAGGCATTAGCGAAACGAACATTACACATGTATTCAAGTGTTCAGAGTCATACCCTTGCGGCGAGATCGGAAAGCGCGAGCGGAAACCTTGTTTCGCAACTGGCGGCGCTCTTTGCTGCTGAGCTTCTTGCCCTCCTCACTAGCGAGAAGGCGCTCATCTTCATCCATATCGGCCTCGTCCTTCCGGGCCTTAGCCATCTGCGGCATACCGTTGGAGGGGCTGGGGGAGCCCTCGCCATTGGCCATGGCATTCTGTCGCATCTGCTGAAGTAGGCGAGAGATACGCTCCTCAACCACGGGGTCAGGGTTGCGGGGACCGCGAGCCTGGGGCATAGCATCGGGCACCTGATCCGGACGCTGCTGTATCTGAGGGCGGACCATCTCACTTTGCTTTTGTTGCTGGGCCTTGGCCATCGCAGCCTGCTGCTGATGCATGCCGGGGTACATGCGACCGACTTGTGTAGACGGACCAGCCTGAGCCAGCTCATGGCCGCCGAGAGCGTTGGGATCGACATATTGGTTCTTGTTTCCAGGGTTTGCCGGGTAGAAGTATGGCGAGGGGTTCATGTTTTCGGGGTCAATCTCCATCTCCGAGTTCCGGCCCGGTGCAGTGTTGAAATCGAATGGGGCGTCCTCGCGCTTCATGTGATGACCAGCATACATGTCGGCGCTGACTGGAAATCCTTGACCATTGTTGAAGCCCATCGGAACCTGGCTGTAGGACATGGCCAAAGCACCGGGTGGGAGACCAGTCTGCTGTCTGTGTTCATCGTACTGGTGGCTTGGGGCCTGGAATGCCAGGGGAGACTGGCCACTTGAGGCAAAGCTGGCACTGCGGGCGTCGCTGGTGCTGAACTCGGTACTTGCGACCGACGGTTGGCTGACCATAACCTTTGAGCGGGAGGGATCGGATGTGTAGGTGAGTTGATCGAAGTTGATGAATGAGTCGAGATCCTGGTCATAGTTGGCAACCGGTTGCATCGGGTGTTCTGCGAGAGTCGCCATAGTGATCTGGATAAGGCTGTCTCTCGACTGTGTACGGAGTAGGGATAGCGTAAATGGAATAGGGTAAATATAGCGTGAGATATGGCGTGAGATAGGGATGCGGGTGGGTATAAATGAGATAGATTGATGTGATAAAAAAAAAAGAGGGAAAATATGAGGACAAAAAGGATCCTAAAAACGAAGGTCTAATAGAATATGGATTTGGATCTAGATGGATAAGGTGAAATTGGATGGAAATGGGGAAAGGGACAAAGTGTTCCGGAATAGCAACAGAGGCTTGCGCGTCCTTTCTGAGTCAGCGGGGGACTCAGGAATGCAACCCCGTGATTGGTTGACTTGCCACTCGACGGGAATTGTTTACCATACCGTATCCCGGGAATGTTTTCATGATTTTCAGATCTATACTCGAGATGTCCGGACCAAATTTATGAATGCCACATTACTCTCTACTAGTGATAAATCAATTGCTTGAAACCTATATTTATTCAAAGTCTATAGCCGATAGTTTGTTGGACATTCAATAGTCACAGTACTCCGTACTCCGTACTCCCCTATTATACCTAGGTACTCTTTTGCCGGTCAAAACATTGGAAGTGGGGTAATCTTAGGGCATGAGCCATTTGATCCCATTGGCCCTCCGGGAAAACTTACCAGGGCTCGGGGTTACTACAACCGTATGGTATTGTAATTGTACCTTTTTTTGTCCCTTTCATGACGCAAGTGGCTGTGCCATGTATCTCCAGGTCTGTTTATCGAAGATTGCCCCCTTTAGTAAATTTTACATTCCTGGTGACTTCAGTGTTGGATTATGTTGTAGACCACCTAAAGATACGCGAGAATATTCCAGTGGATTTAGGACTTGCAGGTTCAACCTTTAAGAAAATAACCTACCAACCTTGTTCGGACTAGAAGTGACTATCACCGCAGCTAGCGGCTTTCGGGGTTGAGCCAATTATTTCAAGTGGCTTCGCCCCTAAGCAGTGGGTTCTCGTAAACAGTTTTCTGTACGGAGTACGGAGTACTTTCTGCAAAAAACTTCGTACAACATACGATATAGGTTGAGTCCCTGACCCATAATACCAATACTTATATAATATAAACATATGCCAAACAGATTGTGATCCAGGGTGCATTTTCCATATTCCCATGTATCGACTAGAATCCCTTGTTTCATCCAAACTAGGATGTACGTACGCCGGCGTCTCGCCAGGCCGCCAGGCCCCCTGTACCGGAAAAACCAGGGTGAACCAGTCAGAGAAGTAGATTCGGGAGTTGGTCCTCTCGTGCTCCCGTGTGAGAATTACAATAAGCTTTTCTAAAGTTCAAGCGGGTCGGCAAGAAAGGATCCTAAAGGAAAACGATTCAGGCTCTCGGTGGACTTCCGTGCACGTGATGTGGCAATCTATTCCAAATATGGCTAGTTGGCCCGTCTCTATAACGCTAAATCTCTTCCAGTCGATCTCCGAGGTCCTTCGCCCGAAGTCTCATTCTCAAGTGCCCACATTACTCCGTACACCGTACTGTGTCTATGGATTCCAAGATTGGCACTTTAGAACCTTCCTTTTTTTCTATAGACTTGCCTATTTTGATTGCCCCTGAACCTTAACAAGGCGAAACACAGGGCAGACATGGTGGACCTCGTAACTTATTCCCTCTTTCCTTTTCCCCCGAAGAACCAACTCTCCCCTGAGTCTGGACTCTTCATTAGCCTGCTTCTTTATTTTTTTTTTTTGTGACCAGCGATCAGCTCGATGGTAGGGCTGACTCGGATTACCATTGATCCCCGATCCAGTCCAGTGACCGCGTGCAAAGAGGCTGAGTTAGTTCTGCGCCTACAACCTCACTATTAAAAATAGACACTAGAAAAAAATACTTCAACTACGGCACTTCACTAGGGTCCATCATGCCGATACACAAAGGGTGATCACAGAATTCGAATCGAACTACCTTATTTTTGAAGTTTCTGTAAGAACGCCTCTTGTGCGGAACCTTGATGAAACTGTCCCAAGCCTCGAACAGTGGATCTAGACCATTGTCAAGGATGATATTTCCCCCGATGGTAGCTACATACAACCCATACTCGTGACATGGGTCGGTATGAAAACTGAGCCTCTGGCATATTTGCCCCCGAGCATTACTTACGTGTGCTTTCTGCACCTCTTTTTTTTTCCTAATGCAATCACATAGGTCTAGACTAGACCAAACCCCTTCCTCCATTGTCTAGTTGTCTAACGCCTCCTACTATTAAGACCCGCCATGCCCTGATCTCCAGGCCTAGCCTTAAGACCCTACAAACCCTGGCAACGAGTCTGTTTTCTGGTTGTCTGACGACTCGGCCCAGGCCCGCTCAAATTTCAAATAAGCATGGGCGTGTTCGAGACTCTTTAACGCTCCGGTGGAGATGGAGAAATTAAAATCTAGATCTAGATTACACCTTATCGTAGACAATGAGTAAGTAGAATTTCGGTTGTGTCCCGACTCCGGTACCTGACTAGAGATCTCGATCCGTCAGTCTGGGCTTTGCTTATTTGGCTGTTCAAGGACTGGACCTGGTCTTCCCCGGTCTATCTCGAATCTGGAGCAGAATGGAGCACAGCCACGTGTCGCTAGAGAATCTTACTATTCATGTTGCTGGCATTTGGGCGAGAGCACATTAATAACATAGTATTCATCTTCTAGTACCTGGCCTCGAGAGTCTAGATGCCGATATTATCCAAGATGCCTGGTGGACTAACACAACATAGATGGTATAAACGATAGCATATTATTTGTTAAGACTCTGGATGCCAATGCTGCTTTCTATATGCATGATTGTACTGCGTCCTGGCGTCCTGTCTCAAATTTAACTTAGAAAAGGAAGCATTACATCTTGTATAATAGTATGAATTGGCTTTTTTTGTTTAGTTTTGAGTGGAATTCCACCTATCGATTTCTTGTGACGCAGAGAGACACTATTCCTTCAATATATATATTTAGTTTCGATGAATTAACCACAACGCACAGAATCCAAAAACCATGACTCACAGTGAGACCATGGATATCTCCTACACACATAAAGGTACGACCTCTCATAATTTACTGAATAACCCATGTAGCAAAATACGAGCACAATGATGCAAATAGCGACTCCGCCAAGGAATGTGAGTAATCGCCTCAGGCAGGGAACCATTCCTCTTTCGGACCCCGACCCCAGAATGTTCGTCAAACAGCATCCCATTTGTTCACATTTGTCCACACTTGTCCACATTTGATTCCATGACTCGAGAAATAATAAGTCTAATGCGATCATAGTGGCGCATTTTGATTCTGTAAAGGGGCTTGAGGACTGTGACTGCCCTTGCTAGTTACTCTACATATGAACCCGCCCGAACCGACCTCGGTTACTATTTTACTTCAGATACATATCTAACACTTGGATCTTGGCGAAAAACACACAAAGACCAAGAATTCCAACTCATCTGCTGAAGCCATGACATCCGCCCCGACAATTCTGGCAACCCGTAAGCAGACACGGTTTCATCTGCTAGATGATAATCCTTCGCAGGAGGTATGGGTAGCCACAACAATGACCCAGGTGACCACTGACGCTCAAATTTATCCCATTATCAGATTGATGTGGATGGACTCAATATTATAGTCACATCGTCTGCACCTGAATCCACGGAAGATGTATCAAAATCAAAGACCAAAGGGAAATCAAAGGCCAAGGCTGCCGGGCGAGAGCTCATTTCAGACGCGCACCTACGACTCAAGGCAGGTGTGCACTATGGACTGTTAGGTCGCAACGGAACTGGGAAGTCAAGTGAGACAGACCCTCGCAAGTACCATTTGCAAAGCTCGGTATATTAATGTTACCAGCGCTCCTCCGGGCAATGGCTGAGAAACTCATCCCTGGCATCCCGCATGCGACTCGCATGGCAATTTTGCAGCAGACGGACGAACAGGATGACAAAACTTTTGGCGAAGACCCTAACCAGGACAAAACGGTGTTGGAAGCTGTTCTCAGCAGCGATGAAACTAGGAACGAGGCTGTTCGGGTGGCGGAATGTTCGTATGTCTATTTAATTGAAATTACACTTGACTGACCTTCCAAGTCCTATCCAAGAGTTTTGAAACCGAAGATCCAATGCAACCCGTGCGGGCGATTCGCAAAATTCGACACCAGAAAGCAGAAAAGCATCTCTTCCTGGCGCAAAAAAACGCAAGCCTGAAAAGCGGTGCTCGGGGTCTACAAGCACGGAAAGACTTGAAGGCTGCCGAAGGGAAGCTCGAAACCACATCGGAGATGTCAGTAGTATTGATTCGCCCTAGCGGGTATATCTAACTTCTCCCAGGATGGCCCAGGATGTAGACGCCATCGATGCGGAGACAGTCCAGTCGGATACTCAAGCTGCCGTCGAGACGCTACAAAATTTACAGTCTCAACTCGAAGATGTAAGTATTTTTACGATGGCCATTCACCTACTCCATTAACCTGAAACCAGATGAAACTTGCCGATATGGAGCAACAAGCTCGTCGTATTCTCCTCGGTCTTGGTTTCAAAGAAGACGGATTCGCGAAGAAAGTCTCTACACTCTCAGGTGGTTGGCGTATGCGATGTATGCTAGCCAGCGTTCTAGTCCAAGATCCCGACATCATGATCCTCGACGAGCCAACCAACTTCCTGGATCTTCTTGGGGTAGTGTGGTTGGAGAACTACCTGAAACAACTTCGCGACACATCAGAGACAACCATCGTCTTAGTCTCACACGACAGGGATTTCATCAATGCTGTCTGTGAGGAGATTGTCATCCTCCGAGACCAGAAATTGACGTATTTCCGAGGGAACCTGTCTGCATACGAACAAGATTTCGAGGAACAGAAGCTCTACCTGGGGCGCATGAAGGAGGCACAAGAGCGACAGGTTGCGCATATGGAAGCTAGCATCCGGGAGAATATGAAAATTGGGAAGAAAACCAATGACGAAAATAAGCTGCGACAAGCTAAGTCGCGGCAGAAGAAGGTTGATGATCGGATGGGTCTTCAAGTCAGCGCGAACGGGGGCCGTTTCAAGCTGAACCGTGATTTAGTCGGATACCATTTCCACAATCGAGCTGAGATCGAGGTTCCAACAGATGAAAAGGGCGCGACTATGAGTTTGCCCGATGCGACCGAGTTGCGGTTCCCCGGACCGTTGGTATCACTTGAGGGTATAGTTTTCCAGTACAAGAAGACCGATCGCGTCATCTTGGACGACGTGAACTTGGTCATTCACTTGGGTGATCGTGTCGGGATTATGGGTCTCAATGGTTCGGGGAAGACTACTCTGCTTCGTGTCCTGACTGGACAGGTATCTCCTTCAAGGGGCAAGGTTTCGACTCACTCGCGGTTGAAGGTGGGCTACTACAGCCAACACTCTGTGGAAGAGCTGCAAGAGCGTGGCCGAGGCGAGCCTAGTTTAACTGCACTGGGGTTATTGACGATTGAAACCGAAGGATCTATGAATGAGGGCGCTATCAGAGGTCTACTTTCTTCGATGGGGTTAGCAGGTCGTATTGCATCTGATGTCCCTGTTGCCAAACTATCAGGTGGACAACTGGTATGTGAAATGTGAAAGATCAATAGAACATTCGACACAAGCTAATAATATTGTCGAATCCAGGTTCGCCTTGCATTGGCTCGAATTGTCTGGAGTGCACCACAGCTTCTCATTCTTGATGAAATCACAACTCATTTGGATTTCTACACTGTCACTGCATTAGCTACGGCTCTCTCCTCCTTCAACGGCGCTGTGCTTCTAATTTCACACGACCGTTTCCTTGTTCGTTCTGTAATCGAGGGCAAGCGAGACACCGAGCACAAACTTGATGAAGATTTCGAAGGACTGGAGGAGGAAGAGACCCAAGAAACGCCAAGACGCCGGTCGGTCTATGTGATTAAACAAGGCAAGATGAACGAACAGAAAAATGGGGTGGAGCAGTTCGAAAAGAGCCTGGTGAAACGGGTTCAAAAGTTGTTACCGAGTATAGATTAGTTGACGTAGTTGACTCCATGACCAATTGAAATGATGAAGATGTTATGACTCAGCACGGAGCCCGCCGAGAGCCAAGTGCGATAAGAGAACGTTCCCCTCATTCCTCCGCGGAGTACCTCCTGCAATATATATTTGCTTCCAACATGCAACATTTTACTCCTTGAAACAACTTCCTCATGGCTGGCTTGTGCAAGCGGTTCTGGTCTTGCCCTAGGGCTGCCCGCCAGTGGAACCTACAAACTCGACCCCAGAGCACGCGCGCCGCATCAAGACCTAACGCCACCGTCGCCGTTCCTGATTTACCTCCTTCACATCCCTTGACTAAACCCTCTAAACTCTCAACACTCAAGTCTGCGAAGCCCTTCTCCGAATTCCTCACTGATACCTTCAATCGCCAACATGACTACCTCCGAATTAGCGTCACGGAACGCTGCAATCTTCGGTGTCTGTACTGCATGCCCGAGGAAGGCATAGACCTCTCGCCCTCTGCGAAACTCCTTACGTCCCCGGAAATTCTATACCTGTCCTCGTTATTCGTCTCACAGGGAGTAACCAAAATCCGATTGACGGGTGGCGAACCGACGGTCCGCAAAGACATCGTGCCGTTGATGCAGGATATTGGCAAGCTGCGACAGAATGGGCTTCGGGAACTGTGTCTGACAACTAATGGAATATCATTACATCGGAAATTGGACTCGATGGTAGAGGCTGGGCTGACGGGTGTCAATCTCAGTCTCGACACCCTGGATCCGTTCCAGTTCCAGATTATGACAAGACGCAAGGGATTTGACGCTGTGATGAAGAGCATCGACCGAATTCTGGAAATGAATAAGGTCGGCGCAGGGATCAAGCTGAAGATCAATTGTGTTGTTATGAGGGGCATGAACGATCGAGAGATCCTCCCGTTCGTAGAACTGGGCCGCGAGAAACCGATTGAAGTGCGCTTTATCGAGTACATGCCTTTTGGCGGGAACAAATGGAACCAGGGAAAGATGTTCTCATATCAGGAGATGCTGGATGTTATCCGAGAGAAGTATCCCACATTCGAAAAAGTGGCCGACCACAAGAATGACACGAGTAAGACATACCGTGTTCCTGGCTTCGAAGGCCGCGTGGGATTTATCACGAGCATGACGCACAACTTCTGTGGTACCTGCAACCGGTTACGCATTACTAGTGACGGGAATCTCAAAGTCTGTCTGTTCGGTAACTCCGAGGTCTCCTTGCGGGATATTATTCGCAAGGAGAATGGTGGGAGCCCAATTGACGTGGATGCAATGAACAACCTGCAGCTGTTGGAAACAGTACAAAACGCAGCGCGTCTTAGTGACGAAGGCGGCTTGGTGAATGAGCGCGAACGTGAAATTCTCGACATCATTGGAATGGCAGTGAAACGAAAGAAGGCGAAGCACGCCGGCATGGCGCAACTAAAGGACATGAAGAACCGCCCTATGATTTTGATTGGTGGGTAGCCATTTTCATCTTTTTTTCATGATTGGAAACGCTTTATGACCTGTAAATCATCTCAGATGATCATTTCTTTTGGTTTTTCATGAAATCGGCGAGATCTTACTTGATACCATGTACACATGAAATTGATATATTTGGACATTGTTTATCGAATTATCAAGCTGATAGATGAACTAGATAATAAGCCGAAACCATGGGGATCACGGTCTCACCCTTGGTCAACCATACCCGTACATATGCTTTCGCATCTCCCTACAGCTTCCCAAATTCGTCTCTACCACTCCGGGCGCTCTAAACCAGAGACCAAAGACTGTATTCCTCGCCCATCCCTCTCTCTACCTACAACCTCAGACGCCGACCTCCCTCATCTCACACCATCCAAAACCGTCCACATGACCCAGATCACCGAAAAGCCCGAAACAAAACGCGTCGCCACAGCCGCCTGCACCGTCTCCTTCTCGAACTCCCGACCCTGGGATATCCTCCGCGAAGGCAAAACCACACATAAAGGCGACGTCTTCAGCGTTGCCCGGATCGCGGGTATCATGGCTGCCAAAAGAACACCTGATATTGTGCCTCTTTGCCATCCCGGAATTGGAATTACTGGGGTCGAGGTTAGCGTGGAGTTGATTGAGCCTGGACCGAACAGGGATCATGGTGCTATGGATGTCGTGGCATCGGTCAGCTGTTTTGGTCGTACAGGCGTGGAAATGGAGGCTATGACAGCTACTATGGGTGCGGCTTTGACGGTTTATGATATGCTCAAGGCTGTAGATAAGGGGATGGTTATTGATTCTGTTCGATTGTTGGAGAAACAGGGGGGGAAGAGTGGGCATTGGGTGCGGGAATAAGTACACATATGTATACATACATATGTAGTTAGTATCGAAGGCGTTCGACTGCTATATCTACATCGTGGCTTGCCCTTTCCGTTTTGGTGCTCACCTCTTGCCGCTTTTTTACAACCGAGTAAAATTGAGCACGCTGTGTATTTTACATACTCACCAAACCCACCTGGCCTACTCCGTACTTGGAGCAGGGATTCTAAGTCCGATCTCTGGCCATGTCAAAGGTCATCAAAGGTTATAGAAATGTCTCGTATACACCTAAAAAAAGGCATATAAAAGCACATCTAAAAAGACCATTAAAAAGACATGACTGGGCCGCATAAGCGGCTATCTATTCTTGTTATTTATAAAATGGGAAAAGGATGAAAGCAACTAGGTTTGACCCTGATTAATACCACGAGTATACCAGGCTGGATGATCTCATAAGTTGTGGGGGGGGGTAAGGCGGATGACTTCAGGACGATACATAAGGCTCAGCTGATAAGACCTCGATTAGAAACAAACCGCATTGGCCTTCAGTTGAATTGATATTTCCCCTTTTTCGAGATTATCGGCAGAGGGTTCCGACTGTTCTCGTCAATCTATTGGTTCGTGTGGCTCTATTAGTAAATAAAACACTTTAACTAGTTAGTTTGTGACATAAAAGATGCCAGTAAGTTGGCTGCCACTTACTATCACCCTAGCAGTGCTTCTTAACATAACAATTCTATAATTCAGATCGTTGAATATCCTTCCATTTCTCACCTATTTCCATTCATTCACTCGTTTTGCATCGTCCGTTCCCGTGGGGTTATTTAGTGCAGGCAATCGGCATGGTAGCCGGCGACTTCGACACGACTCGTGTCTTCCAAGGCACTCCATATGTCAACGGTCAGGCTTCAGGGAAGCTTATCACAAGCGAGTTGGAGTTGAGCTTCTGGGGCGGTGTTAATCCTCGGACGAGCGAGGTTATCGATCAACACCATCCATTGAGCGGACAGCATCTTCAAGAAGCCATCCTCGCTATCCCCGGTGGACGTGGCTCATGTACCGGTAGTACAGTCATCCTGGAGCTTCTACTGAATGGCAGAGCACCTGCCGCGCTGATCTTTGAGCGGAGGGAAGACATTCTCACCCTGGGGGTGATTGTTGCGGAAGAGATATTTGGAAAGGCCATTCCAGTCGTGACGCTTGATCCGATTGAATTTCAAGACCTTATCAAGTTCAACGGGCGCGATTTTCATGTCCTCAACGGCCAGGTATCCACACACAAGCTTCTGGATACAACAGCCAAGGACCCACTAGTGGTTGGCGCAACTGAGCCCAGCATTTCGACTAAGAGCATCAAGCTCACAGAGCTTGACAATGCGTTTCTCAATAACGTGTACGGAGATGCCGCCCGTGCAGCAATGCGGATCACTTTGAGACTAGCAGAAGTTCTGGGTGTCAGCGAATTAATGGATGTCACGCAAGTTCATATCGATGGCTGCGGCTACACGGGTCCAGGTTCTCTCGCGTTTGCAGAGAATCTTCGGGATCGTGGTGGAAAGGTTCGAGTCCCGACATCGATGAATTCCATTTCGGTTGATAAGAATCTTCGACGCGTTCAAGGTATCAGTGAAGAGTTTAACAATGCGGCTGTAAAGCTAGCTGACGCATACACCGACATGGGAGCTCAACCAACATTTACATGTGCACCTTATCAACTTGATAGTGCGCCAAAGTATGGAGATCAAATAGCCTGGGCCGAGTCGAATGCGGTTGTTTACGCCAATAGTGTGCTCGGTGCAAGAACCATGAAATATCCTGACTTCTTGGATATCGCAATTGCTTTAACTGGTCGTGCTCCTAAAGGAGGCCCGCACGTTCAAATCAACAGATTAGCCTCGGTGATTGTGGAGATTCCTAAAATTTCACCCGCAGAAATTGATGATTCATTTTACCCTCTGCTGGGATACCAAGTCGGAACATTGTCCACGAGCGAAATTCCCGTCGTGATCGGACTCGAGTCCTTCGCCCCAACTCAAGACGATTTGAAGGCGTTTGGAGCAGCATTTGCGACTGTTTCTAGTGCTCCAATGTTTCATATTGTCGGAGTGACCCCCGAGGCACCCAACCTCGAGGCTGCGATAGTAAAGGGGTCAACTGTGCGTTCCATACATGTACAGCATGGTGATTTGATCAACTGCTGGGACTCTCTAAACAGTGCGCCAAGAGATCAATCAGTTGATTTGATATCTCTGGGTAATCCACACTTCTCACTGTCTGAAATCGAGACCCTCGCGGAACTCTGTAGAGGCCGCACCAAAGACAGCCGAGTTGCCGTCATGATAACGTGTGGGCGATCGACATATGCCTCGGCTTGTCGAGCTGGCCTGGTAAATGAATTGGAGATATTTGGAGTTCAATTTATTACGGACACCTGTTGGTGTATGATCACTGAACCGACCATTCCCCAATCTACGAATGCTATCATGACAAATTCGGGGAAATATGCACACTACGGCCCTGGTCTCACTGGGAAGAGCTTTTATTTTGGAGGTCTTGTTAGATGTGTTGAGGCAGCGTGTGGAGATAACTATGCTGAAGTTAAACCACGTTGGATGAAATCTGGACCTTGCGAGGCTGCCTAGGGATTCGGTTCCTTGTGCCGAGGGTCTTTGGCGGTAAAATATCGAAGGCTTTCGTTTCAAGCATATGATGTACGGTCCTTGTATCTCATGGATAACTAATCGTTGCATTTGCAACCTAAAATCCCCATTGAAGTTATACTGGTAATAGTGGCGGCTATTATATCCCTAGATTAGGTCTAGTGCACTTGAAATCTGGAGTCTGTGGACCCTGATCTTGATACCATTGCGATTTTACAACCTTTCTCGGCTAAAAAGACAGCTTTCTGTATTTTCTGCATGACGCTTTATCCTGATAAAATGTAGGTCTTCACCGACTCTGACTATTGTATGACACAAATGGTGAGCTACATACAAGTGCATCAGTCATTCCTGATTTAGTGGCACCATCGATTTACAAGGATACTAATCTACATGAGATAAACTAGGAAGGATTTCGATGGTGTGATGTTGGGCCAGCCAGTCAATCTCCCGCCCTGTGACTAGGATTCACTATCTCAAGTAAGGTCACGCGGATGGCCTTTCAAATGTTGCATCCATCTATGATATCACCCAAGTCCTATGCTGACATTGAATCCATGCAGCCCAATTGTATTCTTGTCTGCTCAAGTGTAGTGGAGGGTAAACTTGGGGGTAAAGTTGCCGTAGCTTCCTATAAAACCAACTTTCAACTAGAGGAGAGTATTCTAAATGTACATATTAAAGAATCTTGAATCTAAACACATCCGCCCATACCGCCGGTGGCGCAGAATCTGCCGCCAGCAAAAAGTGAGATTCGCTATGATCCCATTATTCAAGTTTCTGGGAGATATAAAGCCTGCTTGGTAGCAAATGAAACTATCTTAGAAGAAACCAAAGACCTTATTCAATTCACACCTGCCTCTTTGAAAAAGAAAGTAGCCGACGACGCAATGACTCTCGCTAATGATCATTTCGATTCGAGCAAGATTCAGACTTCTCCTTCTGAACATGTGGCGAGTGGTAAGTTAAGCATCTCTGCTTTTTTTGAAGAATTGAACTACTGATCAAAATATGACTGACTAGTTTCTCCAGACTCAGACGGGAGTAGATGCGCCTCACCATTTGGTGCCGAGATTCTGTCCCAAGTGTTAGAAAAAGAGCTACTTGATTCTATCGACGATGAACTTGTTCAGGTGTTGCAGAGCCAAGCGTTTCTCGGATCCAATTCAAATATTCAACCAGAGAAGCAATTTTTCTTCCACTTTGTCAATACCGTGTCCTACTGCATTCCACTGCCCTATGACGAGAGACGAAGATCGCTCATCGCGTTTGCCGTGCGAGAGAGCCTGAAGGATCGGCTTGTGATGGGTGTGATTCTCGCCTTAGGCGCTTCTCATTTTATAAACACAGTGCCATCGGAGGGAGCAGAAATAAAATCCCTCATACTTGCCAAGAAAGAACTGGTTCGGGCAGCAAGAAAAGAGCAGTATTTGCGCTTTTCATCACAGCTCTCCCAATGGAAAGATGCTGCAGGTAATTCAATTGACCTTGAGAGATTCCTCTTAATATTTGTTCTATGCCATGTCTTCGAGATGTCAGAAGGGGTGTCAGAAGAGTCATGGCTCTGGATGGAAGAGACAAAGACAGTCTTTCTACGTGCTTTAAGACCATCTCTTGAGGCTAGTGGAATAAACCAAACTGCTTTTGCCAATGAGGGCCAGTCACAAGAGTCGATTCAAAACAAGAATGATCTTCTGCATGTGTTTATCTACATGGATGTCTTAGGATGCGCTACTTCTTCTCAAAGATATGTGTGTCAGCCTCAGGCCATTTACATCTTGCATTGGACGTCTAAATCTTCAGATGATGGGAGAATTGCCAGTGTTCAATATGAGGTCATTGAATTGGTTTCGCAGATTACCGATCTCCAGCTTCAAGTGACGAGCACATCGATTCTCTCTGCTCCACTTATTTCCCAGTCCATCCATATCTCAAAAACTATTAACGAAAAATTGGGACTTGGTTGCGACAACAACCTTTCGGTTGAAGAGTGGCCCATCCTTCGGGCTTACATTTCTTCGGCATTTATTTGGCTCCATTCTATTGTTCACCCAAAAGAAATTTCGAGTGAGAAAATACAGGGAGAGGCTCGCAGTGGCTTAGATAGCCTTTCCGCAATACCTTTTTCATCCTGGTATTCACTCTCTCTGTTCCCCTTTTTTCCTGATAGGAGTGAACTGTGTGACGAGGACTGATCGGCAATCCATCGACACACTACTGGCTAAATTTGAGAGAGTGCGCCGGCTCAAGTACATTGGTCAGTCAATTAGAGTGATCCATAGCGCATGGCAATTGTACGATGAACGAAAAGGAGAAGGCTGGAACTGGAACCACATTGTGGCATCGGGAGTATTTCAAATACCATTGTTTTGAGTCGAACACGGTATTTCAAACTCGAATATCTATATAATACCTCATTTGAGTAATATATCATGCGAATAGGCAATGACCTTGGAACGTACTATTGGTAATATAGTCCCTCACAATCACCAAAAAGTCGGCATAAGCTACCGAAAGTGGGCCTTGGCGATATGCATCAGATGTGCGCTATACCTGATTTAGGAATTTACCCAGCGCGCTTATCTTATCTTATCTATATCCCCCATATTGGGTGAAGGCGAGTAGGTAGACGTATGCTTGACCTTATACCTGATTATCTAGAGACCACATTCTATCAAGTAATTTTACAAGTAAACATCAATGGATATACCACGAATCTTGTGATCCAAGACGCGTGATTTGTTCAATCTCACTCACGGCTATGGCTGAATAACCGAAAAAAGAATGACAATGCACTAAGGTAACTATCTACCCATTCTTCCTGTCTAGCTAAGTTTGAGCTAGTATTTCCCCACTCAAACACCACAAGAGCCCTTCATTGGCTTGACGCACTTGAGGACTTGGGAATGATAGGCCGTGGCAGGTCCACAAAATCAAAATCAGCCGCAATATTCAAAAAAGTAGAGTTCCCCGGATGTGCCTCTTTACTTTCCCCCTGGAAAATGTAGGTCGTTGGAAATCATGGGTCGAATTCATAACCAGATTCAATGTCTCGCATATCTTTTTCTGAAAGAACCAACCCCAAAGCGTCTATGTTAGCAAGAAGTTGATCAACCAGTCGTCCTCCAACAATTGGATAAACATATCGGACCTTGTGCATCACATATGCTAGTGCCACGCTCGTGACCACTGTGGAATGCCGGGCTGCAATATCTTCCAGAATGTGTGATACCTGGACTTCGATCGGACGTGGTTGACATTTCCGACCCGTATTGCTCTGCGACTTTGATAATTGCTCGCGTTCCGAGGCAGATTTGAAGCTACCACTCCCGAGTGCACCCCAGGGACATATGCCCATCCCTTCGGCATGACACATTGGGATTATATCGCGCTCAAAATCACGCTTCGCTGCGTTCCACTGTCCTTGGTAGACAGAAAAAGTTCGCATTCCGTGATCGCGGGCATCTTTCAAGCAGGCTGTTAGCCCGACAATTTCTACGGAGGAATGAATGTCTTCTTACACTGATTTGCCCTGCTGACGACCCAGGCAGGAGTGTCGCTGATACCCAGGTAGAGTACTTTTCCCGCAAGGACAAGCTGATTGAGTGAGGTCATTACCTCTTCGATGGAAGTCCCAAAGTCCCACCAATGGACGTAAAACTGTATTTAATTGTCAGTCTCAATTGGATTCAGGGGCATTTTCGCATATGGGGTAGACCTACCAGGTCAATATAGTCTGTGCGTAACTTTCGCAAGCTTGCTTCCTCGGAAACCCTCAAGCTCTTGGTGTTATTGCCAACGAAGTTGGCCTGGATCTTTGACTGGTTGTATAGGCGATGGGCCGACGAATACTTTGTTGCCAGCACAATCTGATCGCGCACTCCTCGAGTCTCCATCCATTCACCCAGCCATATTTCGGAAACCTCATCTTGGTAGTTGTTTGCCCTGGCGAGTAATTGTCAAATGATTGAAATAAAAACTGTATTAGAAAAGACTCACGTATCAATAAAGTTTCCTCCGTTTTTATAGAATGCGTCCAGGACTGAGAACGTCGTATCTTTGGTACATTCACCCAGAGTTTCCTTCCTATTGGACTCGGGTCAGATCTGAGTGGATTTCCTTCATGTTGTGCATATTAAACAAATACAGAACCTACCATGCGTTCCCAAAGTTCATGGTGCCTAGGCACAATGGGCTTACTTTGACGCCGGCTGTTGGGGCAAGCAAGCGGTAGCGACCAAGCCGGGACTTGGTATGTGGATTGATCGTGGGCATCTTGATGAATAATTACTTCCTCTTTGTGAATATCTCAAAAATAGATACGTTCTTATCAAGAGTGAAGTGGAAGAAGTTTTAAAAGCGTTGCAATGGTATGAACTCATAAAACCTGCCTCGCCCAAGAGGGATGCCCTCTCCGGATTTCTTGCCCCCACCGACCAGCTAGTGTCTCAACGCGGCTACTATTTCACCAAGAGAGGTAATCTCGGAGTAATATCTCATTTTTTTGCGAATACTTTCTCGGATATCTAACTAGTACTAGTGCTGCATGCACTTGTTCTGTGCCGGCACTTGAAGCGCCCCGAGGGTATTCCATACGGTACTAACGCTAGCTTCCAATATTGACTTGACCATTTGGAAAGACCATGTCCTCCGTTATGCCTCGTTTGAAGGAGACAATAAACTAGACCTTCCTATAGTTAAAGGGCTGAATACTTAATTAGATCTGCCGTACTAACTACCATCGAAAGGTGGCCCATTACCATTTCAGATGGACCGGATATGTGTACCGAGTATATAGTCATTCGTTGAAATTTTGCAAGGGCGATATACTTCGTAGTGTATGCCTCCATAGCAGAGCTGTGGACGATACACTGTGTTTAACCCCACTTTTCTGCTCTCACACCCCCTCTTACGCACCCACCTCCACTGTTTTAACAGATAATTTCCCGTTTTCTCAACGTCTGATCACTTTGATTTCTCTATTACCTTGAACACTTCGCCTACTCAAGATTTTGTGCTAAAAGTCAGAATGACGTCGTCGCCAGAATGGGATAAGATGCTTCGAGGGGAGTGGTATAATCCAGGTTGTGAGATCCTTCAACAGAATAGAGTCCGTTGCAAGAAGGCCTGTCAAGCGTTTAACACCGCCAGTTATGCATCACGCCGAGAGAAGGTCAGGCTTTGGCGGAGGTAAGTGATTTTTGGGAACGTCAACTCGGATGATGGTTGATGGTCTTCGGGATGATGTTGGCGATGACCTAAACCTAACTCTTGACCAACTAGCGTGGTTGGTGATACTCGGCCCCTTCCTCTGCAACTCTCAGATCCAAAGGCGGATGAGGCACTGTTCGATGAAACCGATCCTTTTGTCGATGAACCAATCTCCATTGACCACGGCTTGAATTTCAAGGTCGGGAAGGGAAGTTTCTTGAACTTCAATCTTGTCGTCCTAGATACATGTCTGATCACTGTTGGTGAGAATGTTCTTTTCGGACCTAATGTATCCCTTTATGGTGCCCTCCATCCCATGGATCCGGCAAAGCGACGTGGACTTAAGGGTCCGGAGAGCGGAAAGGAGATTCATATTGAGGACGATGTCTGGATTGGAGGCGGTGCCACAATTCTGGCCGGAGTTCGAGTAGGGCGAGGCAGTACAGTAGGCGCGGGCTCCGTTGTCACAAAGGTAATCCATGCTCTTAGAAACGCATGAGCCGAATCCTTGACTAACAACACGATCAGGACGTTCCACCTTTTTATTTTGTTGCTGGAAACCCTGCCAGAATCATTGCACAGATAGAGACTACCATGGATCCCAGGCAAGACATCAAACCGGCTTGAGGGCGTTGATCCAACGAGGCAGTGAGAGAGTAGGAGGACAGAGAGAGAAGGTGTGGGTACCATCTAATAGCCGGTAGGAAATCAACAATATTAGATAGAACATACACAAAGCATCGGTAAATTTGGACATCGGCACATCTTCTCTAGCTCAACACGCGTATGGATTTTTCAAAATTCTATCTTCCAAGTCTGCGTAATACCCACATTGGGTTTCTAAACAACTGCGTACGATGCTCTCCCATTTTCTTGCTCATAAAACCTGATGGAGGCAAATGAAACTTCTCCAGAATGATGCGAGATTTTCACCGAGTCTTTCTTCTTCCAATTGGGTGGGAAATAAATCACCACAATTTTCCCTATTGTGATATTTTCCATGCTCTTCAAGTATTGAGCTGTTTGTGGACCGTCTATCCCGATATTCTGTGATGATAGAGTGGATTCTTCAAAGACGAAATGGCGGTGGATGAAAGCGCCATCTTGGTAGTCAAATGTCTCGCCGTCGTCGATATACAACGACCCTTCGGCTTCACCGTCCCGATTCAAGGCCATTATGAAAGTAAACGGATCATACCTCATGCCGGCGCTGCTGCGACAAATTCACTCTCGCCGCGGAACAATGTGACCACTATGGAGGAACAAGGGGATTTTTCCAATAGGTGCAGGGACAGAGTGGCGACTGGCGCCCTGGTAAATGGTAAAGTCGAAGTAGTCGTAGTACTTCTCATCGCCTGCCAAGTAGATATCCGTCACATCCATTTGCTCTACTACAGGTCGTATGAGGAGACCACTTCCACCTAGCCAGAATTGAGAGTCAAGCGGAAAGCCTTGCTCCTCGTTCGGAAATGCATAGTATTGAGGGCGTATTATAGGCATTCCGGTGACTGAAGCTTCTTGGAACGCGGTATACCACACTGGAAGAAGTTGATATCTCAAGCGAATTGCCTGGATGATGATCGTTCGGAAAGGTTCCGCAATCAGGTAGGGTTCCCGACGCCGTGTGTCAATGTGTGAATGCGCACGGAAAAATGGATACCAGATTCCAGCTTGATACCATCTCGTGAGAAGATCTTCTGGTGGGTCATTGAAGAAACCGCCAACATCAGCGCCTGCGAACGGGAACCCAGCAACACCGTTAGTTAATATCATAGGCAATGACATTGCGAGGTGCTCCCAGGTGGCTTAGTTGTCGCCAGTCCACATAGCAGTCATCCGCTGGGATCCAGAGTAAAACGACCGGGTCAGGATGAATGGCCGTCGATTATTCTCACGATCTAACATAGCCTGGAACGTCGCATTCACCATTGTAAGACCGTTAGCGTTGTGGATATCACGATGCTCCCAATTATCAAAGTGGAGGTTATCCCTAGGCATGGTAGCTTCGGGTCCATCAAACACTGAAGGCTCATTCATATCATTCTCAATATAGAGATTTGGTAGAGAGCCCTGGAATCGATCATACTGATGAAGAGAGCTCCACCAATGATGTGTGGCAGGATTAAAGGTATCGATCCAATTTGAAAGACCGGGCCAACAATCAGCATCGTAGATTTCGCCCTTCTTATCCAAGACAGCCAAGCCCTGTGTTCTAAGTTCTCGAGAGACAAAGTAACTATCTTCTGCCTTTTTGATATGCGGGTCAATCAAAACGACCAATTTTCGCTCTGGCTCCATCAGTGCCTCTTGCATCCCTTCCGGGTTGGTAAATGAGAGAGGATCCCACGTAAAGTATTTTCGCCCATCCGTATACTCTATATCGAGCCATATTGCGTCGTATGGGATTTGGTATTTGTCGAGATTTTCAAAGAGGACGTACCGAGTTTCCTTCAGCAGAAGGGCATCTGCGTGCTCGGGAATCCCAAATACATGGTTATAGCCAGGGAAACTAACGTCCATTCCAACACTCTCTGGACCGCGAGGCTTGGAGTCTGTGTGTCCATCGAATGATTCTTCCCACCATGTGCTCTCGTCTTCCTCGGTTTTCGCTTCATGGGTGTGTTTCCTTGGCCTCCAATGTTCCAAATTCAATAGACCTCGAGAATTCAGCTGCACATGCGTCTCTCCTTCAATCTGGAAGTCCACCGCGAATGGCGCATGTTGTATTATTGCCCTGAATTTGTTTTCTAGGCCGAACAAGACTCTCGTGGTAGTCTTAACGGAATTCACCTCTATCTAAGGATCCAGTATGGCCGATTTACTCAATTCTAACCCTCCCACGATCGTCCATTTTTCGGCCTCATGATAGCGCTTCTTGTTGACTTTATCGCTTTGGATTTCAGTTTCTTCCGCCATGCGCTTTGCTTCATCAATGGTTATGCGCGTTGCACCGGACTCGAGGAAAGAGACAATTATGGGTAATTCGACACTCGTGCCCGCTGCAAGCTTTTTCAACAAGATCCCCGTCAATTGACCATTCCCGAAGTGCAAGGTACTCGGATCCAGCTCGTAGGGAGACCCTGAGACGAGGTCAAGTCTTGTTAGCACCTGCGAATCGCGGGTTATCTCACTACCGAGGCGGGGTTAAACGCCCTTCCGGTCATTCTCCGGATGACAACGTTAGCTCGAGAGCCTGGGTTTGCGATGGCTGGTAAGAACATCAAGAGCATCACCATTGGGGCAGATATCCCCGACCTAGCTACCACTACGGTGGAGTTACCCTGAATGGTACGACTACCGTCTTCCTGACTATAACTGTGGCGCGATGGGACTCAATGTATATCCCGAATGTAGCTGCGTGGTGTTGACAGAAGCTGCGCAGAACTATAATAGCATCTTCCAGACCTCTCGACCGCGATCCAGGCCGCCACCAAGTTGTCCTTTGTCCCGCCCACTGCCCCGCTTGGTCCAACGCCATTGGTATCCAGCACGCTTTCAGGCCAGTCCAATGGTAGATAGACTGAACATGAGACAGGGGATCACAGGAAGAGGCGGGACAGAAAAAAAATGACATGCTGGGGGGTTAGGATGCCGAATTTGGGCAAATAAATGTTCAAAACAGACGAGTTAGAAATTAATTGGGGTTTAATTGTGTTGTGTTCTCTCTTTGGGTCTTCCTAAATCCTCTATACGGAGTACTACAGTTACATTTCCTACAAAAATAAAAAGATACCTCAGGCTGGGATACCATCACGTGACCCACAGCAAACTACAATATTCTAATATAAAGAAAGGATAGGATACGATGTAGTATTGACTGATTGTGGTAGTGTAGCTACCTACGTATACTACATAATTTGTAGTACATATTATATATATTATATATAATATATTATACATATATAGGTAGGAAAGGTCTTCAACCCTAATGGGGTATTGTCTCTATACAGGATCAGCCCTATAGGCCAAGCCCTTGGAATTCTCCGTTCACCGTACTTTCATTTCTTTTTTTACCTTTGACCAATGATCTTTTTATATTTATTTATGAATTATGAATTTATGAATTTATATCTTATTGATATACTTGGTTTGTGCCTAGGCACATTCCTATCTGGCCTAAACTGAGCCCACATAACTCGAATTGGCTTAGCTTTTCGACCGTTGAGCTTTTTTGACATTTTCCCTTGTCTTTGTCTGAGATTCTAATTTTTTTTTTTTTTTTACAAATTCTTCATTTGGAGGTTAATAGTGTTCGAGATATCTTGATTCTCGAGTTGGGTGGGGTTTTGCTTGAAAAATCCTGCCTCCCCCAAAAAAAGAAAAACTATTACATTGACAGCGCCTCAACGACAGATAATTCACCACACAGCAAGGACTGCGCGTTATCAACGACCCCTGGCGAATTTTGTCGCCAAATAAAAATGCATGCACTGCCGATCTGTAGGTGCCCCTGGTCTACTAGTCTACTTACCCATCGGATTTCCCTAACCACTTTACATAGTCGGCAAGTGGTGGAGGCACATCGGGAACGCCATAATGGCAGTCCTTCCACCCTTGAATTTTTTGACTCTACACTATTTCTATTTCATTGTTACATGCATGATAACCAGTATCATTTTCTATTTGACCTCAACTCCACGGCAGAGCGTTGCCTATGCAGACTCCATTTTCATGTGTGTCAGCGCCATGACCGGGGCTGGATTGAATACGGTATGAACTGTATCTCATGGCGATATCGTCCTGAAACTAACAACCCAATGCTCAGGTGGATCTGTCAACTCTAAACACCTTCCAGCAAGCAGTTTTGTTCACCTTGCTTATCCTGGGCCATGCCATTCTCATTTCTCTCACCGTACTTGTAGTACGTAAGAGGGCCTTCGAGGCAAAGTTCAAAGGTGTCTCCGATGAACGAGAAAGGGAACGATCTACTCGTAACCCCTCGCAAGTTGAGCTGCAGGTCCAGGAACCCGCTCAGGGAAGCACCGGAACTGATCTCTCTGGCGAGAACGGCGAAGGACATAGCTGTAAACCACGCCCAAAGTCATCCGTGCTGGTCCAAATGAAACCGGGAGAGTCATCATCCCGTGAAGAACAGTTGTGGGTGGATGATGACCAAAAAACCATCGGCGGAACACCCCGTCATCATCACCACCGAGTCTTCCCTATGGCTGGTATCGGGGCGAGACCCGATCTGCATAACCACCCCCGCGACGCAGTCCCCAATGTACCCTTGGTTGTAAAGGATTCGGTGTCTGGTTTCAAGGGAATGCTCCGCGGCACACAGAAATACATGGCCTCCAAGGGTCTTGTTTCCCGCAACTCTCAATTCCACGATCTCACTCCTGCCGAGCGTGACGAACTAGGTGGTGTGGAGTACAAGGCCGTCTCGTTTCTGTCTGTGGTTGTATTCCTTTACTTCATCTTGTTCATTATCTTCGGCATGATCGGTGTTGGTAGTTGGTTGGAAGCCAATGATCCCGCCGTGACGCGCACAAATGGCCTCTCGCCTTTTTGGACGGGTGCTTTCTTTGCTGTTTCTGCTTTCGTGAACAGTGGCATGTCGCTCTTGGATGCTAATATGACTGCTTTGCAGTTGAAGTAGGTGGCCTTGACCCCTCATGTTTCATTGTCAAACGTTACTAACCACCTCTAGTGCTTACCCACTTCTCACAATGGGTTTGCTGATTCTCGCGGGAAACACCCTCTTCCCATGTTTCCTGCGGTTCATCATCTGGACTATGAGGATCATGCTTCCGGATCGACCGAAGTGGCAGTCGTGGCGCATAACCCTTGATTTCATCTTGGAGCATCCTCGAAGGGTACGTCGAGTTGCATTGCCTTGGTAGCTTGCAGAGATAGACACTTATCATGAATCCAGGTCTATACGAATCTCTTCCCCGCTCGCCATACATGGTATCTACTCGGCACGATCATCATTTTGAACGGTATCGACTGGGCGGCATTTGAGCTGCTGTCTATTGGAAACAAGGACATTGAGAGTCTTCCCACCGAGTACCGTGTGTTGGATGGACTCTTCCAAGCCCTAGGTTTGTCAATCAATATTACCAACACCGCTATATCTGAATCAAGCTAACAAATTATCTCGGATAAAGCGGTACGCGCTGGTGGATTCTACGTTGTAACCATTGCCGATCTTCGCCAGGGTCTCTTGGTTCTCTATGGTAAGTGCTTTCAAAATCCTTGCCCGACTCAAATATAATCATGCTAACACAACCTCTAGTACTCATGATGGTAAGATATTGTAGTCTCATATCCTATCCACCAAAAATCCGAACCTAAAACTAACAAACTCACTCAGTACGTCTCCGCGTACCCAGTAACGCTCACAATGCGGTAAGTAACCCATGAACACCACCCACACCAAACCAACCCCCAATCTAACACCCCACACAGCAACACAAACGTCTATGAAGAACGCTCGCTAGGAATCTACGCGCACGACGAATCCCCAGACTCTCCAGCAAACACAAGCCGCAGCAACGTAGTAATGGACCTAATCCGCCACCACCTCGGCCGTCCAGGCCTATCCGAGACTTCACGCGGCTACTTCGTGCACCAACAGCTCCGCTCCCAGCTCAGCCATGACCTGTGGTGGATCGCGTTGGCCGTATTCTTCATCGCCATCCGCGAGTCGGACCACTATGAATCCCAGCCTGTGGCTTTCTCCACCTTCAATATCATCTTCGAAGTCGTCTCTGCTTACGGCTGTGTGGGTGTCAGTCTTGGGTTCCCTGGGAAGAATTACTCGTTCTGTGGTGCCTGGCATACTATTAGCAAGTTGATCCTTGCGGCTGTGGCGTTGCGTGGTAGACATCGTGGTTTGCCCGTGGCGATTGATAAGGCTATTATGTTGCCTAGTGAGTCTTTGGCTTGGGCTGAGGAGGAGGATGCTGCTATGCGGAGGGATAGGTCTAGGGCTTGGGCTCAGGAGCATGGGCCTATTGGGTCTGTTTAGATGGTGCATTCTTTTTGATATATACCCCCCCCCCTCTGCTTTTCTTTGCTAGCTGATTTATTGGGCTGTTTTACAGAGCGTAGATTTATGAGACCTATGATGATATGAAGCTTGTTAAGATAAATGATTTCTTTTGTAGGACTGAGTTAGCTACCCATGGTGTATCCTGGTAAACAAAGTAGACATATGCAATAACCGTGTGAAGTAGATGGACATGGACGTGGACAAGGAGATATACAAATTAAAAACAGAAACTAGACGATCTACTCGTCCTCCATCTCCAACTCGTCTTCATCTTCACTCTCGATCTCGGCTTCCTCCTCGCTCTCCAATTCCTCCTCATCCTCCTCCTCGTCCTCGCTGCCATCATCACTACCAGCAAAACCACCCATATCCTCATCCTCTCCACCGTTCTTCTTCGCCTCCTGTCTCCGCTTCTCTTCCTCAATACGACCTTCTTCAAGGACAGCCGCACGCTCTGCACGCAGCTTACGCTGCGTCTTAACGAACGCACCGACGGGGGTAGACTCCCAGTCAACATCCTTAAGGAAAGACTCGACACCAGAGCGGTTGCGGGGAGCGTACGAAACGTTTAGACGGCGCTCCTCGATCCAGCGGGCATTAGCCTCAACCTTCTGCACGAGCAGCAGGATCATCTGGTTGATCTTGGCGTTCTTGTTTCCACCGCTGCGGGCAGAGACCTGCTTCAGCCAGCGCTTGAGGGAGACAATGACGGGCACGGACAGTTCAGGGAAGGCAATGTGCTTGGACCACAGAACAAAGAACTCGGAGAGGAGCTCGGCGACCTGCTCACCGACGCCGTCTTGGTAAGTGCGAGAGCGCAGGTAGGATTTGGGCGCGCGGATCGCTGTGTTGAAGTCCAGGGGCTTGAGCGTGCTGGACTTGGGGTGCTTGCGCATCTCAGCTGAGGTCAGGACCTCGAGAAGCGAAGCGGAGAGCGGGATATAAGTGCCTGTGGCGCGGGAGATGCGAAGCAGGGAGCGCGTCAATTGGAAGCGCAGAGGGAAGTACGTGGCAGTTGGGATGAGGCGCATGGCGCCCAGGGTGATTTGCACGACGGGGTAGATGAGGGGACGCAGAGCGGACTGCTTGCCGATTTGAGCTTCGACAAGGCCATCGCAGTGCTGTGAAAGCACACGGGACCAGAAGTCCAGCGAGTGAACGTATTGCCAGTTGTAGATGGTCTTGTAGGACTCCTTGGAGGTGTTGGTAATGCTCTTTCGCAGATGCATGGCCAGCTGACGGATAAAGGAGAATCCTGCTGTGTATGAGACGTTCTGGTCAATGCCCCAGATCTCGGCTGCGGAGTTCTTCATCAAGTTCACGCCGGCTAGCGTGTGCACCGTTGTGTTGCGGCTACCCTTGACAACACCCTCGTAGGTGGCCTTGAGCACACTCTCCCTGATACCTGCGTCTCCCAGAACCATAAGGCGGCGCAGAATCAAGAAACCTGTGATACGGGTGGCATCGGCCGTGGACACATCAGCCCAAATTCCGACGACAATCTTAACGAGTGTCTTCAGCACCTTGCGGAACTGAAGAAGGTAAGGCAGCATGGGCTCAATTGACGCGAGGGTCAACTTGAGTGTCGATGCATCGGACAAGTTGATCAGAAGCTGGTGAACTGAAGCAGTGTGCGATTTGATCAGAGGGGTGAGGGTCTTGAACTTCTTGGAATCCAATGACACTCTAATCTTGCCGGAAGCGCTCTCCTTGACGGGGAGGTGGTGGGCCAGGACCTTGGGGATGGTGTTGAGGGCCGTGACGAGAACCTGGTGGTACACATTCTTATCGGAGATGGTGTATTTTTGCTCGGGGGCATCGGGGTCATTGACGTAGGCGGCCGCACGGAAAGCGAGCACAGCCTGGCGCATGGCTCGGATCGAGTTCTGCTCCTCCATCAATTTCTGCCACTTCTTGACCATCTCAATGGTCAAGGTCTCATCCTCGGGCTCCTCCTCTTCCTTCTTGGACTTCTTCTTCTTCTTCTTGGCGGGCTCCTCATCTTCGGGTTCTTCGCTTTCGCTCAGAGCGTCGACCTCGGAAAGATCGCCTTGATCACCGAAATCAAGCAGTTCGGAATCGTTCTCCTTGAGATATTTATAGAACTCGGGGTCCTTTTCCTTCAATGACTCCAGCTGATCCTTGTGCTCGTCGTAAGCATCGACACTGTCGTCATCACTCTCGCCCTCAGAGGCCTCAGCGTCCACCTGTTCCTTATCTTCTGAGCGCTTGCGCTTGCCGATCTTGGGGGTGGTATCCTTCTTGCTGGCCTTCTTTCCCTTCTCTTCGGGAATATCAAAGCCGCCAGCGAAGAAGTCGTCGACGTTCATTTCGGAAAAGGCATTTTCTTTCTTCGCTTGCTCCGGGTTCGCTGCGGCGGCGGCTTCGGCTTCGGCGCGGCGAGCAGCACTTTTTTCCTTGCGCTTGTCGTTCAGTTGGTGTCTCTGCTTGATTTTGGCATTGGCCTTGCGTCGCTCAAGGACATCCGGCAGACGGTTCTGCACGAACTTCTTGGTCGATTTTTTGCCTCCAACCATTTTGAGATATTAATGCAGAAAAGAGTCTGCAAATGTAGCTTGGTCGGGAAATGGCTGGTCCAAAAAAAAATTTGGGGAGAAAATCGGCGGGTCCGCCTTTCAGACCGCCTTTGGCATTGGGCGATAACGTCCAGACAATCTATAAGACAACAAGACAACCTTCAATTACAATTGACACCTAACAACTTGACGATTATTGTACATATCGAGAATTTACCAAAAATGTACTCCCAACGCCCACTTTCTTATGCGCCTACCCCCTACAGCTACACACCTAATCCCGCCCGGTCAGCCACAATCAACCTCGATGAAGTATGGATCCTTGTCTCCGCATTCATAGTCATATTGACTAATGCCACTTGTCTTAGGAAGTCAAACTAGCATCCAGCTCAGCCGAACGTGACTTATACGAATCACTAGCCGAAATCTACAGCATCATCGTCACCCTCGATGGACTCGAGAAAGCATACATCAAGGACGTGGTCACCGAGGCAGAATATACCGAGACATGCACACGGCTATTGAAGCAATACAAGTCCAGCCTTGGAGATGAGACAGTATCGCGGGAGTTCGTGGATCTGGAAACCTTCAAACGGACGTGGGGTGTGAGTGTTCTTCGTTTTACCCCGCAAAACCCTAGGCATTTCTAACGCCAGGTGGACAATATAGCTAGAATGCCCACGAGCCACAGAGAGATTGCGCATTGGTCTCCCAGCCACAGTCGAGCAAGCTTCTCATGGCGCACCAACATCTAATATGGGCGCAGCAACAGCGGGACCCGCTGGCGGTGCCTCGGGTAGTCTTATTCTGGCTGCAACTGAGAACTTCATCACCTTCCTCGATGCATTGAAACTTAACATGGTATCCAAGGATGCACTGCATCCACTTTTATCGGAGGTGATTCAGTCTGTGAACAAGGTAACAGATACCGATTTTGAAGACCGCGGCAAGATCATTCAGTGGTTGATCGCATTGAATCAAATGCGAGCTACTGAGGAATTGAGCGAAGACCAAGCGCGTGAACTTGCATTTGATATTGAACAAGCTTATCAGGGCTTCAAAGCGACGTTGAACTGATTTGGGGGATCATTTACTTGGTGCGCCGGCGTTCATCTGGACAGAGATACCATTATATTTTTTACGTATTAACATGATCATTAGTGATTGCTAGCTTAATATACCCACTCTGGCTTGTGTTTAATTGGGTCTTCTTGTACAGGTACAGCGATTAGGCTCTTTCTTATTCGAGATCATCCTGCTCTTATGTTGATATCTTGATGCCTGATAATCTAGGCGACAATCAACCCGCGGAACGGCAGCGCCAGCCTTTCCTCTTTGGGAATATTTTCTTTTTTTCTCCGCCACATTTCGCGATTCTCCGGGCAGTGAGGCCAATTCGTTGCTTTAAATTCCTCTCTAGCAATACCTAGAGGATATACAGTTATCACCATGATCACCGCTACAGATGAGCCTCTACATGGTTAGTCCACAATCTACCCCTCTAGTCTATTCGGTCCACAAAAGATAATGGAACTGATAAGCGCAGTGCTTGACCTCCCGCAACTCTACCAGAAGCCCTCGGGAACCGATCTCGTGAAAGCTTTAGCTCTGTTGAGCTTGCAGCCACGCACATTTGGCACGACCGCTGATGTCGTCAAGGGCCCCGCAGTCCAGCCTGCCGGGGTGACTCGGTATCTCACATCCATCATCGCCAGTCCACTAGCATGGCTCGATACCGAGGAACTCCGGGAGGCAATCTGGGATGCGGCCGCTGCACGGCTTAGTGAACGGTCTGGTCGAACCGGTAAGCAGACCACCATCTATCCAGCTGTGTTATGTTATCCCGCTGACCGTGACTCATATGCCACCAGCTATGCCGGCAATGTCTCGAATCTTCAACATCCCCACCGGCTCCGGCGACGAAGAATACACACTGACCCTCCACGAGCCGTCAATCACGGCGGACAACCTTGGTATGAAGACTTGGGTATCTTCCTATCTTCTCTCACGTCGGCTTCACAACCTTGGATCGCCACCAGCACTTGTTCCCTCGGCGTCGGCTACTCCCTCCACATCGAACCCCCAAAAGCCTCTGCGGGCACTCGAGCTCGGTGCTGGAACAGGATTGGTCGGACTTTCCTTTGCGGCCCTGCAGGGTGAATCTGCCACCGTCCACCTCACCGACTTGCCCGAGATTGTCCCCAACCTTGCCCATAACGCTGCCTTGAACATAGAACTCCTCGACAGAACTGGGGCGAATGTGACCACCGGTTTACTTGACTGGTCGGTCACGCCATCGCCCCTTCCAACTGCGGAGGAACAGTTTGATGTGATTCTCGCAGCGGATCCATTGTACTCGCCCAGCCATCCCAAATGGTTGGTGGATACCATTAATCCCTGGCTTAGCCGTGGGCTTGGTGCCCGAGTCGTGGTGGAGAT